ATACAAAAAAAGTTGCATAAATTCTAGAGATATACGCATCCGCAAACCACACGTCTCGATCCCCCCCCCCCCCCCACCCCGGCACGGGGAAAATGAGTTTCTTTAGTGGTGGCTTGACCAGAGTATGTTGTGGTTTTATCAAATTATGGCGAGTTGTAACTTTGTTTCCTTCCATCCGATGAGTACAAGAAATATATGGATTATTGAATAATTTTTCAAGGAATTAATGGAACAACTTTTAAAAATAACATCTTAAATCTGAAAATATAACCTTAATATTGTCCAAAAAATCCTACAATCCATAGAAATTAGTTAGTTAGGGAGAGATATGTAGCTCGAATATTAACTCGGATGATCATAAAGTAAAACCAAGAATATTTTCTCTAGTTATCTCGCCTCAATCATCTCATTATTCCTCTTTTCTCACCCCCCATAATTCTCTTCAATTCTTCTAAGTCAACCTACTCACGTAATCCCAAGCGCCACGATCCATCATTCATCGCTTCCCGTATGCCATTGAAATTTCCAAACCGATGGACACTAACTCTTTGCTAGAGCACATCTCTTATATTCCTGTGGGAATGTGCTATTCTCCTAAATGTGGAGTCTTGAGATGAATGACAAGACAAGAGCTTTGATGATCAAAAGAGAGAATACATGCAATAAGTCCAATAAGGCCTCAACGACAAGACCCCATTAACATATTTAGTACCCTTATGCATTGGGATTTTTCTAGAGGCATTAACCATGACAAGAAAAAGCCGAGAGCTTTTTTGCTAGCATAATCTAGAGAGAGAAGCCCTCTTAAAGCAACTATGTTTCAACAGTTTAGGGCAAACCAAGAATTTGCCACAACAAAGAACAAGTGAAAAATGAAAGGATTATATTAGGCACCATCCACCAATCGATGTCTAACAGCCCAACAACTTGTGCTTGTTATTTTCCATGGCCACACTCGATTACTTTTGATTCAATACAAAGAAACATGATGATTCCTCTTTTTAGTGGGTTTATTACGTCCTCCTTTAATTTGACACATTGATAGAATTATTGAGTAATTGTAGTTTTAGAATCTCGATTCTTCTGCTATCTTCTCGATATGATTTATTTGAGTGTAGGACGATAAAAAAACCATAGAGTTGATGATGTTAACATTAACTTAACCGAACGTATAAAAACTTACGTTAAACCTAACAAATTTTTTTAATGATTTTTAAACATCATAACTTTTTTTACTATTTTATCGTGTATTAACCAAAAATCATATATTCTTGTTATAAGAGTGATATTGGCTTTACTTTTTTATTACATATTAATTATCCAAAATTCTTATTGTAAAGGGAAAAAAACCTACAAGCTTTCTCTTTGCTATGATGATCTCAACCACTTTTAAAGGAAGAATACTAATTTATGGCAAACCAATAATCAGAAGGAGAGAAAAAGAAAGAAACAAGACAAGAAACTTCTATAATAAAAGGATGAATATACAAAACCACCAATCATAAACCTACATCTTGTAACCAAAAAAAAATTCATAAACCTACACACAAGAACATTATATATGCCTGATAGGCCAAATTCCCTGTTGTTTCCTTTCCTTACCAAATCTGGTCCAAATGTGTCACATACTCGCAAATCACTCCTACCCCATTCTCTCTTAATAATGGAATTGCTGAAAATATCGGTTGAGGGCCATTGCCCAATTGCCACAAGGCCACCCACCAACATCAAATCAAAGGTCTCACTCCAATTCCCCCTTTTTTTTTTTTTCACCCGCACTTCTTCCTTTCCTTCTCTTTTACCCCTTGGTGGGGATGGCTATTCATGAGGAAGAAAATGAGTGTAACCCTATTTTATGCCGAAGCAGAGGGCGAATAGAACGTTTCTTCGTACTTTTCTAGTCTTTGAATCGAGCATGACAGTGTTTTTGTACATAATATTGGTGTTTTCATTCTACGGTAAAAACTATACAAAACAATCCAACTGTATCAGCAAGTGGTAGCCTGATCGGCTAAACACTGTTATTATCAAAAGGGAAAATATAAGAAAGTTTTTTTGACTGGGGGGAGTGGGAAAGTGATATCCCATCCCATGAACTGTGGAAAAAGCTAGTTCCTTTCCATGTAAAGTGGCATTAATTATGGAGATGTTGAAAGCAAAAAGCTGGAAATGGTGATTAGAGTACTGAACAGAGTTTCCAGTGAGTGGAATAGAAGGGAACAGCTAGAAGTGGGAATGGGATGGAGTGGTGTCGACTCTGTACGTTCAGAAACAGAGTTTCCATTGGTCTTTTGAAGCCTTTGCTTACCTGAAATAGCAATTTCTTACTTTCTAGAACTGCAGTTAATAGTTTTGTTTCCTAGTTGAAATGTAAATGTAATTAAGAAGAAACTCTGGGTGAAAAATACTAGCTAGGCCACCTTCGCAGAGCAGCCCATTATCAGAGCTCAATATCAAAGGAGATATGGAAAGAGTCGAACAAGTATACTTGAAAAATGTTCAAATCTTCCATAAAGAAATTATTATAATACGTTTTAAAAGCTAGCTAATACGGCGTTTAATGGCAATTCCATCTACCACTCTATTGTGAAAGACCAGATTAGTCCGTTCGGTCATTCTTTTTTTTACCCATTTCTTAGGGTGAGTCTCTCAACTACATTTAAAATGAATTGGTTATAGATAAAGAAAACTTTCTTCATTCTACCAAAAAGAAAATGAAAGCTTTCTTCTAGTTCCGCTACGTGCTCAAAAGATGAAGAAAGACTTGTCCGGAATCGGTGGTTGGTAACAAGTTAAGCTCTAACCAAATAAACATGAGGCTCAAGTCATTCATATAGGAGAAATAACATGGGTATACTAAGTGTTTAACTCTCTACATATGATCATATGACGCTATGTCCTTAAATAATAAAATCCGAATCTCGACTCTGGTGGCGGAATTGTAGGTTTGATATTTTTTTACAAACAAATCATCCAATTTGAAGTTTTCTTATAACATTAAGGGGATTGTGAGGCAATCCACACATTGCATCGTTATTTATTTATTTATTCTGGCATAAATATTGAATATCATAATTGTTCATATCCCATGTGATATAAAATTTATTAAATTTTGTGTGATCCAATAGCTATGACATCAAATATTAGTATATATAAACGTAAAGTTGGTTTATTGTTCCCCAAATAATTGCATTTTGATACCACAAATTTAATTAAATTACAACTTAGTCACTATAATGTATATTTTATATTTTGATACCCTAAATTTAATTTTAATGTAAAGAATGTTCAGATTTCACTTGAATCCATGAATCCAATCCACAATAATATAAAAGTATAAATTAATAGATATAAACGTGAAGTTGGTTTACTGTTCCCAAATAATTGCATTTTGATACCACAAATTTAATTAAATTACAACTTAGTCACTATAATGTATATTTTATATTTTGATACCCTAAATTTAATTTTAATGTAAAGAATGTTCAGATTTCACTTGAATCCATGAATCCAATCCACAATAATATAAAAGTATAAATTAATAGATATAAACGTGAAGTTGGTTTACTGTTCCCAAATAATTGCATTTTGATACCACAAATTTAATTAAATTACAACTTAGTCACTATAATGTATATTTAACATTTTGATACCCTAAATTTAATTTTAATGTAAAGAATGTTCAGATTTCACTTGAATCCATGAATACAATCCACAATAATATAAAGTATAAATTTAGTTTGTACCATGCAAGATGTTGTATCACTCAACTGTAGGAGAAAATTCAACCATTTTGGTCTTTCGTGGGATTTTCTAATCACAAGTATGAACGGGTCCATACATAACTCACCAACAATCTAGAGAATTTATAATTGAACCATGAGCCACTAACTTTTTAAACTCAATGTCGAGCCCAATTAAAAATAAAGATATATGGTTATTACTTATTAGAAATTCATCATTTTCTACTATGAAATTTGAAGGCGTGAAATTTTAAGCGAATTCTAGTTTGTATTCCTTTTGCTTCTCTTTATAGTTTTTCTTTTTCACCCGGGCTAGAATTTTCAACAATTATACATGTAATGTCTGGCTAGGTATCTATAAATTCCAAATAAATAGTTTCCATTTTTCTATAAAAAAGTAAATATTTATGATCTTAAATACATAATCATAAAAGGAATTAAACCGCAACTATGCAAATTACAATTCGATATCTAAACTCAATAGATCTTTAGATTAATAACCTAAATTTATTTTAGGCATATAAGTCCTCACAAAATTGATGAAATATTACATTTTAGTACCTAAAATTTTTCTGTATTACATTTTGGTACCTAAACTTTTGAAGTCCTACAAATAAGTCTAATTTTTGTATGTGTAATTAAAACACTCTCGAATAAATAAGTATTCATACCCAACTCATACACATTTGGATATGGAAGTAAATATTCATACCATACCCAAACTCATCTACATACTTACAAACCTATATATACGTCACCCATTCACTTCCCATAATCAATGGGTCTACTTGGGTTTAGGTAAATATCATTTATTAGCCAAAAAAATTCAAAAAAAAAAAATTGAATGTTGACCACTGTATATATCTTCTCAGTCAATCATATTCTCAAGTCAATATTACTAACAAAAATACTAATAAAAAATTAATTTTAGGCTAATAATACTAACAAAACACCATAACAGGTCACATAATACATTCTCATAAGCCATCTCCGTACAAGGCGCGGCATCGCATCTAGTATAACTATAATTCTGCATTTGTGCATAACTAAATTCAATCTCTTAATTTTAAGTGAGGTTAAATATGTGATTGAGGTTAAATAATTTATTCATGAGTAAGTAACATTTGATTACCAATCATATCCGTTTCGTAGCCAATATTAGGATTTTAAAAATCAAATTTTATATTATGATGCTACAAAATTCTTACTACCTCATACGGAAATTATATATAATTTCTTAAAATTTCGTTTATTCGACATTACCCATTGACCAAACGACCCCTAATTTAGGGGCGTGGTCCAAATTCAACAAAGCCCAAGTCAAAGATATAGAGGGCTGGGAGCCTGGGACTGGGATGACCTATTGTTTCCGCATAAAAAAATAAAAATAAAATAAACACTAATGAACTTAAAATAGAACTGGGCTGAAAGCCTAAAAACATTTTAACTGGTGCACAGTGCCAAGCATATGGGCCAATTGATTGCAAAGAGATGTGATGGGAGAACGGGGTCCAGAAGCCCACCATGGCAGCCAGCTGTTAGATGGTACTTATTGGGCCACCGAGCACGAAAATACGGCTTAGACGCTCGAGCCTCGAAGTCTTTCTCCGCCCTACAAAATACGCCTTAGAAGATCACATTTATTATTGGTGCAAAACGGGCGCACAAACATGAAATATATAATAAGCATATAATAATAATAATTGACTTTGAATCCAATCAAGAAATATATAATACACATTTTAAAATAATTTCCTCAAGAGTGTAAATCCATTTGAAATTTTGGCCATACCATTGACCCGCCAGTCCGCCACTAGTTTACACACATACGAATCTTTCAAATTCCAAACTTTGCACTTGAATACAAAAGAAAAGCATAATGAATAACAACACTTCCAAAATAGAAAATGTGAATGAAGGGGTTGATATTTAATTATTTATGGTGATGGGGTCACATGAAAAAAAAAAAAGTTGTGGGGGTAAAGTGGAAAAAAGAGCTGTCAATTTCACGGCATTCATGGAGGAACAACATTATGGTGAGAGACTGAGAGGTGGTGGGTGTAATTTTTTTTTCCACTTTAACCCTCACCTCACTTGTTCATTTCCCTCCCCCACTTAGGGATGGCAATTTCGACCTGACCCGAGTCACCCGATCTGTTTGACATGTTTTGGGCGGGAATGGGTACTTCTCATCGACCCGACCTGCCCTGACTCGCCCCATTCTCGACCCGTTCTGGCATAAGTTACATGTAATCTTAGTCAAATTGTTTAGGATTTTCCTCTTATTACATCATATTTTATGTATAATAAAGTTGTAAATAAGTGAAAAACTCAATTTCTCCAATAATTTACCTACATTTTTATCAAATTATGGTTTCTTTCTTGGTCTTTTAATTAAAATAACGAATACTTCTAATGTTTTCGCATAAATTATATACCCAATGGGTCGACCTGCCCCGACCCGCGCCCCATGATAAATTACCCGACCCATACCCGACCTGCCACGGGCGGGAATGGGTATCGAGATACCCGCCCCGGACCTGCCCATTGCCATTCCTACCCCACCTCCACTCCCAAAAACTTGTTTGAGGGGACTATTCATCTTTTAATAAATTTTCCTAAAAAAAAAAGAAGAAGATAATCAAACCAAATAAAAACACATGAGAAAACCAATCTAATACATCAATAATTAGTTATTTGTGTTTTGATAAACATACTACTCATTAACATCGAGGCCGATTCGTTTGGTTTGTCATTATGAAAAAAATTATTTGATGAATCTTGAAAGGGCTGTAACTTGTAAGTATGAAAATGAATATGTCAAACCTCCATCCTCATATAAAACAGCCATTTATATACAAATATATGATAAAATTCCATTTTCATATTAAAAACAATCAAGTCCTCGTACAAAAAGTGGTTCTGCGTGGAGTAAATAATTTTTTGGAAAACTCATGACCATTAAAAGAAAACTTTACCATTGTCCTTCGATGCTTCTGTGCTCCTAATAACTCATTTGTGTAGGACAAATGAATTATAGAAGGAAGATAAAAATAATTATAACATGATTATAAATTAATTATGATCTTGTTGAAGTTACCTCAATTCTATAAAGGAATAAGATTTCAATAATTAATATTTCTGTATGAGCCTTTTACTCTAATCGTGTCATAACTCATAGACACATTTGCTCAATAACGTTTAGTTAGCATTAGAGAAGTTAGTAATGGATATTTTATGTTGAAATTGTGAGTTAACTATAGTTCAGCTGTTTTATATGACTAAAATTATTTGTCGATTTTAGTTTCAGTAAATGATTGTTTTAATTAGACCGCGTGTACAGTGTACTGTACGATTTCAAAAATACTTATTACAAAGATCCATTAATTACTTGGATACTATTAATTTAACTCCAATAATGACGTTTAATGATAAGAACCATATTTTTTTTGTTATATCTAATAATAAGTAAACAATTAATTAATTTTGAGGTAGTTATGGTAGGATAGGAACATGTCCACGCATGTCTTTGAAATTATATATAAGTATAACCTTTGGCATATTCCATTCCCAATCTTCCATTCGAATATTGAAAGAACTCATTTGAAAAATCAAATCATCACATTTCCTTTCTACAATTATCGGGGTTAATCAATTGGAAAAGAATAATTTATTGGATTAGAGTATTTAGGGATGGCAACTTTGCCCATACCCATGAGTTTCTCCCTAAATAATATTTTCTCCCTCCGTATTTTGGACTTTTTTTAACTCACTTTCTGTTGCACTCACCTTCCTCATATTTCTACTATTTGTTTGTATTAAGTATTAACACCCTTTTTACGGTAACTACTTGGCTATTTCTGTATCTTTGGTACTATAAATATTCAAGAAGACTGATTACGTACACAGAACAACAACACATTACAACGTTTTTCATGGTGTGAGGGTAAACAATAAGCTTAAAAATGAGTTAAGCTTCTTCTTGGCCTATGTACTAGGGATGGCAAAAATATCCGTAACCGTGGATATCCGTCCGAACCCGGCCTAATCGGGTAGGGTAAAACCCGAACCCGAAGGACATTTAGTGGGTACGGGTAAAACCCGAACCCGAATATTGCGGGTAATGGGTGGGCATGAGTTTCTCAGTATCCAACCCGAACCCGCCCGATTATACACATACATATGTATTTTGTCTAGAAAGTCATTATTTTTCTCTAACATATTTTATATTTAGCATATAAATATAATATTTTCATGAAATTGTGTTGTTTTAATTAATTTTCTTCATTCTAGTGAATTATTGTCATACTTTTCCTCTTGCGTAATGTGAGAATACGTGTGAATGTTAATATATTAGTTGGAGTTATGAAGAGAAATCATTACCCATGGATAACCGTGGATACCCGAAACCCGAACGAGTATGGGCATGGTTTTAATTTTCTACCCGTTTCATATGTGGTATGGGTAAAACCCGAACTACTTTGGATAGGGTAACGGATATGCACTATCCGTCCCTGACCCGACCCATTACCATCCCTACTATATACTCATCAACATGACCAATGAGAATATGACAGTGGAGAAGAAGCAGAGAGGAGTAGAGGACAATTAGGGGGGGGGGGGGGGGGGGGGGGGGGCGTGACTTCATAATAAGCTGAGTGGATCAGGAAGTGTAAGAACAAGAAGATGCAAGATATAGTAGGAAAATAGAGAATTCTAGAGAAATGAAGAAGAACTAATTATTTTGACGTTTATTGTTGCTCTAATACCTTCTGTTAATAAGTTGGTTTCGCTGTATTGTTCGTGAATTTGGCCACTCACTCTCGTCTTCTCCTACTTTGTGGTGTGATAATCAAGACCCGACTTTTAGAAATCAAATTCCACTTTCCTAGAGAGCCAAACTCCAACAACGAGTTCAATACCATTGTCGATCAACTCGTTAATGTCTTTATGATCGGCATCTCATCTACCTCTTCACCAATTATAACCTTCACCTAGCTCTAAAATTTAACTTACAAGGAGTGATGCAGATTTTTCTCGCATCATCCTCCATGTATACACAGACTCGTCTACAAATACTAATCTATTATTTTTGTCTTTTTGTACTTCATAATTATACAACTACATCACCTGAAGACATATTCAAGAAATCTCTACCTACACATTCAAATATCCCCTTGTACAAAGTCTTCAGCTACTTTTCATTTTTGTCCATCAATACTTTACACAGGATATTCTTTGCTGCAAAATTTGGCTAATTAATAACTAGGGTTATAGATATAATATGCTCCTCTACTATGGCGTTTTATCAAACATGCCCCTCTACTATTTTTTACATCAAATATATCCATGTACTTTGCAAAAATGATCAAACATGCCCTTTTGTTAAAATTTTCATCCAAAAACCGTTAACCAAGGCCGAACTTTAGTTTGGGCAACACAAATGACTAAAATATCCCTAATAAATTCACTTTAGAAATTTTTTGGTTCTTTTGTATAATCAAATCATTCAAATAATTTCACTTTGAAAAGACCTAGAGAAATAAAACAGGGGACAAAACTGACATTTTCCCTCCCATTTGCCGATGTCGGGTCGTCTAAATCTCAATTCAACCATGATTGACGATTTTTTCAATGGAAATTTTAACATAAGGGCATGTTTGATAATTGTTTCAAAGTACAGGGGCATATTTGATGTAAAAAATAGTAGAGGAGCATGTTTGATAAAATGTCATAGTAGAGGGGCATATTATACCTATAACCCTAATAACTAAGAAGCTACTAAACTCAATGATTTGTTCTTAAGTAACGTCCAAATTACCCTCCAAGACTCCAAAGGAAATCAAATTACTCGTCCCCACCACCCCTTATACCCAAAAATGTGTTGGGCAAGAGAAAATGAGAGAGCTTAATCGTGTCATCGAATATGAAAAAAGTGAGAAGGGACAAAATTATGCAAGAAAATAATATTCTAGTTGAAAATGGGGTAGGAAACTGAAAATGGCCCCTTAAACGACCAAAGGTGACATTCCACCCAACATCAACCAAAGACCCCAAATCATTGTTCATCATTTCCTTTTCTTCTTATGTTAAAAGAAAGGGAAAGCGATAAGTGGCTCTCTTTTCTTATTAATATATTACATATATACATGTTTTATATTATTGAAATGCTAGAAAAATGACATTTTTGGTTGCTCTCCAACTCCACCAATCCAAATTTTAATATCTATAAATTTACATTGATATAAAATTATTACTGTATTTAGTTTATGTTCATTACATCAAGTGTATCTTAAATGGATACAATACACTTTCTATAGAAATGGGTGTTCAGATAAGTAAAAAAAAGAAAAAGAAAGAGAAGAAGTGAGTGTTTAGAGAACTTTTCAACCTATTTTTGATAATATCTGGATTTGAATCTCTGTATGATCAAATCTACTTGTTAAATATGATTCATTTCCCACTCATTCACCCACATAAAAGAAAAAACAACTGATAATTAAGAATAAAAGAGCTACATGACGCCAGGGAAATATGTTCTCACATACAAAGTGAATGTATTAGAGAATCTAAATAAAAAAACTATAAAATTTGATTACTCAATAAGCATATTCGAATTTGACTTGTCGATTATTTGTTACAAGGAACCGAATTGATTCGATCATAAAAGAAACTTATTTCACTCATAAAAAAATGTTTATTGGTCAACCCTAAGACATAAGAAGTTGCGGCTTGTGATAGTGATTTTGTGATTGTGGAAATTAATCTTCACTCGAATTCAAAATTTGAAATTAGATTCATAAAAAAATTGAAATTAGTGATTGTTTCAAAAGAAAAACGAATAGCGATCTAACCGACCGAACCAATGAAAGACCTCGGCCCAACCCAAAAACCGAAGAGCGGGCCCGCAGTTTTCAAAGTAGGTATCCGGCAAGAAAGACCCGGCACCATCTCCAGTTTCCACCTTTAGCTTCAGTTTTACAGCAAAAATAATACTCTCTCCCTCCCGCCCGAAGAACATCTACAAGCGAAGTCACAGGACAGAAGGAAATTAGAAAAGCAGAGAGAGTACAAAGGAAGAGCGAGAGAGCATGCAATTGCAAACCCTCCTTCTCCCCCTTCTCAGCCATGTCTCTCCCACTTTTGACCCTCTCTCTTCTTCTCTCAATTCAAGTCTCCTCATCCCCTCTCTCTCACCTCCTCCACCTCCGCCACACTTGTTGACTTCCCATCATGATCATGGCGGAATCACCAGAATCACCGTTACCGGGAGCCGGCGGAGTTGGAGCTACAGAGGAGGAAGCTCCGGCGGCGCCTTACGTGGAGAAAGTTCTCGACTTTCTGCGCAGGAGTGGGCTGAAAGAGGTCGAATTGGCTCTTAAGGAGGATATCATCGAGAAAAACAAATTGGGTTGTGTCGATTTCGAGAAATTCTTGTTCGACCTACCTCCGGTGAGGATTCCGCCGGCCGCTTTCCAGCAGTCGGAGGCGGGGGAAGAAGACTTATCCGCCGGCGGCCGTGCTCCTCGTGATGGGTCGAATTCTGGGTTTAGCTCCGATGATGACTTCGTCAGCTTGGGATCTTCCACCAGTGGTCTCTGCTCTTCAGGTACAATACTCTTTACTTAATTTGGACCGAGTCCAGAGCTCAGTTATGAATGAATTTTTTGTTTAGGAATCAATTCCCCCACTTTTCCGCCAAATTGATAACTCAAACCCTAAGGTATGAATCCGAATATTTTGCTACCAATTGGGAGCCTCTCTCACTCTACTTGTCTGGTTTCAACTTTCAACCCTCGTGTAGTTGAAGGATAAATGGTGGACCCTTTTGGCTGTCTAATTATTGCTGATCTAGGAGGTTTAGCTAAAAAATATGAACTCTATTTGTTTTTCTGTTATATGATACGCAGAATTCACTAATCCGTATGGACTCCGGTCAGGATCGCAGCGAGATTCGGACACTTCCTCGGACAGAATGTCCCAGTTTGGCACTGCTCGCGACTACCCTGATTTCGGTATGCAGAATGATCTCTTCTGGTACGATGGCAGAGGTGATGGTAGAGGTGAAGGCTCGTTCAACGATCCGCGCCTGGCCAACTTCGTAGGTGTGAGCGAGGATAAGTTTGTAATGACATCTGGAGCAGAGCGGCAGGTTGAGGAGGACACAGTTGGACAGTATGACAAATCTGAAGGGTTTGAGACTGAGGCAAGCGTTGACTTCTTGGACAAACCATGTCTTTTCGATGCCACATCAACTGCGAAAAAAGATGCTAACATGGCTAGATCCACGGTTGAACAGGATGGTTGTTTGGGGTTACTTTGCAAGTGTTGTGGTGGTGCGCGTGGTGGAAGGGTTTATGAGAAAGAACCTGTTGATTATTTGTACTTAGGATCCAAGGAAACCGATGGCTTGAATTGGTTAGAGCCAAAAGCAGGGGATTTTGTCAATGAAATTAGGGAAGAAGATTGTGGAAATGAAGGGATTAAAGATCGTGAAGGTGATTTTGATCAACTGGTTCCATTCGGAGTGGATTATGATGAGCTAGGGCGTGATGAAGTGAGTGAAGCACAAAATGAATCACACCATGAAGTTCTGCCTTCTAATGAGAGGGAGGATGCAATCGATGGTGAACTTGTCTTGTATGAAAATGATGTTGACGAGTGTGAAGTATTTGAACTGCGAATCATACACCGGAAGAACAGGTTTGTGGAAACAACTAGCTGTTCTCATAATCTTCCATGAAAGAGATCTTAAAACTAGTTTTGGGATCCTGAATTATATGCTATTTTGTTTTGTCTTGTTTTTCTGTGATGGTCATCAGGACAGGATTTGAGGAAAACAAGGACCTGCCAATTGTAAATAACACAGTAATAGGAGGCAGGTATTATATAACGGAGTACCTAGGTTCAGCCGCTTTCAGCAAAGTTGTGCAAGCACAAGATCTTCACACGGGGGTAGATGTCTGCCTCAAGATCATTAAGAATGATAAGGACTTCTTCGATCAAAGTTTAGATGAGATCAAGCTTCTTAAGCTTGTGAACAAGAATGATCCGAATGACGAGAATCACATATTACGCCTCTATGATTACTTTTATCATCAGGTATTGAATATGAATGCATTTGCATTTTTTATCTCCTCAGTGTTTGCAAACTCTTATTGTTTAGAATCCGAAACACGCTCTCATTGTGTAAATCTTAACTGCAGGAGCATCTCTTCATTGTTTGCGAGCTCCTACGAGCTAACTTGTACGAGTTTCAGAAGTTCAATCAAGAATCAGGTGCCGAACCTTACTTCACTTTAAGCAGGCTGCAGATAATAACCCGGCAGTGTCTGGAGGCGCTTGAGTATTTGCACCGCCTGGGGATCATCCACTGTGATCTGAAGCCAGAGAACATTCTGATAAAGAGTTACAGCAGGTGTGAGATCAAGGTCATTGATCTAGGTAGCAGCTGCTTTAAGACGGACACCTTGTGCTTATACGTGCAGTCTCGTTCGTACCGTGCCCCTGAAGTCATGCTAGGCCATCCATACAACGAAAAGATCGATATATGGTCTCTCGGCTGCATCTTGGCCGAGCTATGCTCTGGTGAGGTATGCCTGCCTGCCTGCCTGACAGATCAACCTGTCCAGATTTTGACCCTTCTTTAACTTACTGGCTCTGAGCTCATTTCTCGGTGGTTTACTTGTGTCGATTATTGATTTACTATCAGGTGCTGTTTCCGAATGATTCAGTAGTGATGATCCTGGCTCGGATGGTGGGGGTTCTTGGTCCTTTCGACATTGAAATACTGGAGAACGGCCAGGAGACGGACAAATACTTTACAAAGGAGCATGACCTTTATCATATTAACGAGGTTTTCACCCTCAGCTCTTATGCTTCATTCCTCTACGACTGTCTTTCCTCATGAAAGCTTATGATCTTGTCCTCATCACTGAATCTTATGTGGAAACAAGAAATCTTCGCATTCTACTAATCTTTTCATTTGGTTGCGTATTGATCGATCATTTTAGGAGACGGACCAAATGGAGTACATAATCCCGGAGGAGACCACATTGGAGCATCAATTGGGAACTTCCGACGAGGTATTTCTAGACTTCCTGAGGAGCTTGCTGGAGATCAATCCTTGGCGACGGCCAACTGCGAGGGAAGCCCTTCAACATCCTTGGCTCTCTCATTCATACCACCACAGCCACCACTCTTCTACTTGAAGTTACTGACAAAAAGATCCTTTTTTTTTGTGTGAATCTTTGATCGTTGACCACGAGATCGATGGACTTGTATTGTGTTATGTGTACAGAAAGTTGCGCGGCCTCCTTTTTCTGCTTCTCATGATCGATCTCCCATTGTTTTCAGAACCCAGAAAAGATGGCAATAACATGTATGTTGGAGTCAAGACCTAAGCTCTCATGAAATGTTTTGACAAATGACAATAATTAAACTATAGGCTGGAGTTCGTGGGGCCGCCATGTGACATGTCTGTAACGTTAGGAAAGGCAAGAGAGAGAGAGAGTCCGTGGGGGTTCCCAGCTCAGTTCTTGAATGTGCTGTGGCTGTGAGGCAGGGGAAAGGGAATTTGCTTTTCTTTCTCGAGTTAATGGAGGAACTAGATGATTGTAGCGTCGAATTTTGAATTTAGTATTAGAATGGTAATCATAGACTAACAACACTTCAATTTCAATATAAGAAACACTCAGGTCTCAGCCCGTAATTCTCTTGATTTTTTTTTGTCAAGGCCACAGCCAGGGGGAGAATGACACAAATATTGTTTTTTTTTTAATTTACCACGAATATTACAAATTAAAAACTATTGACACAAATATTGTGTTTTTTAGTAAGGATTGGGGCGGGACCACCTGAGACTCAGGCGGGACTGGTATTTTACCCAGTCCTGGGCGCCGGCGCCCCAGTCTCAAGCGGCCCCGCCTGGAACATATTTTTTAATTAGTCTCGGGCGCTGGCGCCCGAGACTCAGGCGGGAGCGCCCCAAACCCTTTTATTTTAAAATTTCGGACGGTCCCCCTTATCCTCCCACCTTATCCCCTCCCCACAGCACACAAATCCTTCTTCTTCCTCCCCCAAACCCGCGAACCTGCTGCCCCCAACCCTGCGAACCAGACCGCCGCTACAGCCCCAGACCTCGGCGCCGCCGCCCCAGACCCCGGCGCCGCCGCCCCAGTCCTCGTCGCCGCCGCCCCAGTCCTCGCCGCCGCCGCCGCAGTCACGAGCGCCCCCGTCCCAGACCTCGGCGCCGCCGCCTTTGACAGTAGCGCCAGCGCCTTTGACTGACCCGCCACCGCCCGAGATGTCCTCCGACGAAGAACCACTCGCCGCCGGTAGAGGCAGAGGGAGAGGTCGGCGAGGTCGTGGTGAAGTCGGCGGCCGTTTGCGCGGTGAGACTCTTGTCGGCAGTTTGATTTTTTTTAATGTTTTGTGTTTTTTTTAATGTTTTGTTGCTTTGTTTTTGCAGTTCCGAGGCTTATGGATCCTTATTCGATGAGATTACCGCCGGCGACAATTGATCCAAGTCCGGTCGATCCGACACTTCTTTGGGGACACGGCCAACATCGTATCGACTCTGTTTGGACAAACGAGGTAAGTATTTGATAATTATTCATGTAAAGTTAATTAGCTAATTAGATTATTTTAGGTAGTGAACTGAACTGTTAGGTGAAATTAGTATAATTTCAAATTAGTATAATTTTATGTTAGATAAGACAGATTAGAATTTATTAGGTGAAATTAGAATTATTACGAATGAAAATGAATTAATATAAGTTTTGTGCACTATAGGCTGGTGATCGACCGTACCATGTTCGAGGTACGACCATTTTAGTACCTTACCATGAGCTTTATCGGCCATATCTCGAAGCGGCAGGCTTGTTTAGTGTCGTGCCCCTAGTCCCTATGAACCCCGATGCTAGTTTGATTACTGCGCTCGTAGAGCGGTGGCGCCCCGAGACGTCGACCTTCCATCTACCGTGTGGAGCATGGTGGTCGTCGTGGTGGTCGTCGTGGTGATCATCAGTGAGACTATTATGTACTTCCTTCAGACATTTATTTTTGGATTGTTATTATTATGTACTTCATTCAGACTATTATTTTTGGATTGTTATTATTATGTACTTCATTCAGACTATTATTTTTGGATTGTTATTATTATGTACTTCATTCAGACTATTATTTTTGGATTGTTATTATTATGTACTATAAACAAACAACAACATCTCAAGCAACAACATCTCAAACAACAACATCTCAAACAAACAACATCTCAAACAACAACATCTCAAACAAACAACATCTCAAACAAACAACTTTTACATGGTAAATCAAAAGATAACAACAACATACCAAACAACAACATCTCAAACAAACAACAACTTTTACATGGTATAACAACTTCTACCACCTCTCAGCCACGTCTATTACCTCTACTTCCTCTTCTACCACCTCTCGTACTTCGTTGGCCACCACTCCCTCCTCGGTTGCTCCCACTCCTACTAGCTTGGCCGCCGCAAGTTGATGCATTATGTCCCGCTTGGTTACAGTTGCTGCACACTTGGTGTGATGCACCCTCCCTTGGCCAGTCCATCTCGTTGTGGATCCTTGTAACTCGTGGCCTCCCCGGCTTCCTAATCATGTGCACATTAGGATGGAGAATAGGACCATTATGTTTCTTCAACCCTTAGGTTCACCAAGAGGTGCGAAACTTGTCCCATAACAAGCCATCACTGTTTCCAGCTTGTAGACATTGTTGACAAACCTATACGCATTAGCCCCCATTCGGTTGCAAGCTGCAATGGCATGAGAGCAAGGAATTTTATTTCCTTGAAATTTACCACAAGTGCAAAATCCTGCCCGGTTTTGATCGTCAAAGTGAACTGTGAGTGTGTTTGACCCTGTCATGTTGAAATTGTTGGGAGGAGTCTGAACTACATAGATGCCTTGACCTCGATCAAGAGCTGTCACAGAATGTCCAATTGCCTTTTGTGACCTGTACTTCATTAGCTCTTCGCACTTGTTGGAGTACTGTGAACCGCCACTTCTAATTTCTGCTCCTGTCTCCAACCTATACATATCGAATTTCTCCACCAATCGCCAATAGGTATGCTGCACAAGAGAAGCTATCGGAAGTGCACGAATACCTTTGAAAACACCATTGACGCTTTCTGCCATGTTGGATGTCAGGATAGACCAATGACCCCCACCATTGTAGTTATCATGTGCTAAACTCCAACGAATCTGATGTTGATCCACCCAGTTATCACATGAAATATTTCTATCAGCGGCCACCTTCTTAAATTGCTCAACTTGTCAAACTTCTCCAACCGTTTTTCTCCGGCTAACAAAATAAACCACAACACGTGTTAGATAAATTCATGACAAAATTACATGAAAACAAATAACAAAATTAAATGAAGAAAGCTTACCGACTCGAAATAGTTGATTATACATAATTTTGCTTCGAGTCTTCCTTTGCAAATTGCTTGCATAGTGTCGCATGCACCACCTCCACTCCCAACCTCTTCCGATGTTATTCATGGCTTCATAGAGTCCTGCATGTCTATCTGAGATGATGCATACATCATTTCGATCAGTCAAACCCTGAACCTTCCTCATGAACCATGGCCAACTCTCAGTATTCTCGCTCTCCACTATGGCAAATGCAATTGGAAAAATCTTCCTCCGGCCATCAAATGAGCTCGCCATGAGTAGCACTCCTTTATACTTCCCAGTAAGAAATGTTCCATCCACAACCATGACGCCTGGACAATTCTTGAATCCATCTATACACGGTCCATAAGCCCAGAATACTCGCTGAAATATTAAATGACCAGGTTGAGTCGAAGGAACTGTTACCCAATCAATCACCGATGTTGGCATTTTTCTCTTGACCACCCGCAAGAATGTTTGCAAAAAATCGTAGGATTCTTTCCAATTTCCATGCAACTTCTCCAATGCTCTTTGTTTCCCATACCAAGCCTTCTTGTAAGTAACTTGCATATTAAACTTATCTTTCAACTCGGCTTGAACAGTTAGAACACTCAGATTTGGTTGGGCACGTACCAAATGTTTGACGGCCTCAGATATCATGTCGACATCAAGATGGCGATGATCCGTCGGTTGAGTCGTACTGCTACAAGAATGCACCAACTCAGCTTTTCTCACAGTCCATTCGCCCCCAACATCTCGACATCCAAACCGCACCATCCAAGGACAATTGTCATCCTTGTGCCTCAAACATCTGACCTTCCATATTGAAGGTGACGACTCCACCACGCCATATAGAAAGTTGCGTTGTAGTGCGTGGTGTTTAATCGCCATCTGTGCAGCTTGTTTCGAGTGAAATATCTGCCCCTTGTAGAATTCTCCTTCAAAACTATCAACAATAGGCATTGGAATTACGCCATATGAATCAGCAAGTGCAAATTCTTCGTCATCTTCATTGCCCTGCAAGTAAAAATATGGAGGATAATTAAGTTGCTCTCCTTCCTCCTCCTCCTCCTCCTCCTCCTCCTCCTCCTCCTCCTCCTCCTCATCTTCCTCCTCTCCGTCATCACCGTGATCATAGTCATGATCGGATGGCACGCTCCATGTATCATCTTCTTCCTCTCCACCCTGATCATCACTGAGCTCAACATGTATCTCAGCACCCAAACAATAAGGATTTTGTGCCATAAAATTCCAAAGCACATCCAAGCTATCATCATCCACAATAGGTAACGCATAATGAAATAAAACATCATTCTGCCATTCTGGAAGACGGTAAGTGAAACCTGTGATCACATCACTATCTTTTACTGCTTCGTCTCTGCGCCGTATTCTCGGAATTAGAGTCTCACAAAGTTTGTGATATGTGACTCTGGATGGAACCGTCAACTGAAAACTACTACCACCAACGAATTTGACACCCAAATTATCCTCTACTTTCTCCGATTTCCACCGAACAACTAGTTCAAATCTTCTAAAATCACTACAAAAAAACAAACTCACTAATTAAAAACTAAACACAATCATAATAGCATTTGAATAATATAATTACAAAAATAAATGTGTCTCTTACCTAGCCATTTTTGCAGCAGCAACCAGAGCTCTCTCCTCTATTTTGGACGATTTTTTTTGTGGTGTGAATCTGAAACGAAATGTCTGTCTGGGTTTTATAGGGTGGGTGGCCAATCCACCTACTCGCCTCAGTCTCGGGCGCCACCGCCGGAGTCTTGATTTTCCACCTACTCGCTTCAGTCTCGGGCGCCGCCGCCTGAGACTCGGGCGCCACCGCCCAAGTCTAATAAAACGGTCCAAAAACCAAGTCTTAAGCGGCGGCGCCTGAGTCTCAGGTGTACCCGCCAATTCTGATGTATAAAACACAATATCTTTGTCAATAGTTATTAATTGGCCATATTCGTGGTAAATTTAAAAAAAAAAAACAATATTTATGTCATTGTCCCACAGCCAGGGAAACACGCAGAGAATGGAACAGTGTAATCATTGTTATAATCGTTTATTGTGATGAAAGATTTGGTGATATCCAAGAAAAAGGCATGTCTGGGATCGAGATCCTTTGGGAAATTGGATTTGACGGTGATCTATTAATAAGTACATATGAGAACCTAGATTTCATCGATTCATATCCACTCCATGTGCTAAATATAAGCTCGAGATAGAACTTCCTCAGTTTCTCAGCTGATTGGCCCAAAGAACCACATGCGAATTTTTTGTTTTTTCTTTCCGTCATCAATTTTCTCGAACGTGGCAAGTACGAAGTGCATGCAGGAAGCAGTTGGGTTTGCCGTTTGGGTTAAGCTCTGCCTCCGTCTGATTCAGTGGTGAGGAAGCGGCAGAGAGTGAATCTGAGTTTAAAATGGGTCTGATTGCATCTAATCCGAACCCCCTCATTTTCCGTCGCGATCGTCAACTGGGTTTATCATCTTTTCATTGCTTGGACACGGCAGAAGTCTATAGACAAATAGATTAGTTTTGTGGATGACGGTCGACGGAGTCGTTGAAGAACCAACCAACCAAACGCTGTCGCTTCTCCTTTGGCTGCTTGCTTGCAGAGTTGCTTCCCCCCTTCTTCTGTTAAACCAAGAAAACGGAAAAACGTCTCTCTCTCTCTCTCTCTCTCTCTCTCGTCGTTGCTTGTCCACTTGCACTCTGCTCACCTACGCTCCCAGCCGCGCTTACGTTCTACGCACCTCTTGTTTTTCATAGAGAGAGGTAACCCTGCCGGCGGAAGTGGCGCGTGGGTACTAACCTTACAGGAATCGCGTAGTCCCATCTCCCGGTCTTAATCAGATTCTTGCTTTTCTCATTTACTCTCTTAATTATCGTTAATTATTTTCTTTTTTCCACTTTTTCTTTTCATATTTTAATTTTAATTAGCAAACAAAACAAAAAGAAAAGGAACGCCGAACCTGGATAGATGCCGCTTTTCCAACACATAAATAAATTCCAATTATCGTTGGCCTTTTAACGACTATCCTCCTCCTCCTCCGCCTGACCACCGCCGCCACCGGCGCGATCCTCCTCCGCCGTCGTATCCAACCTCGCCGCCAGTTCCTGTTTCCGTACTCGGCGGACGAGACGGGAGCGAAATCTTCTCGACTTCTGCACATAGGAGTCGATTGCTAGCCACCAGCGATGGCTGAGTTGACTCAGTCCGATGTGGTCTACTCGCCTCGCTCTCTCCAGCTATGGACGACTCTCGTGAACTGGCTCGCTTTCTTCTTCCAGATCTTCCTTCAGATCCTCCGTGCTCTCGGACACCTCCCCCTTCTCTCCTCTTCCTCCTCTTCTTCGTCTTCCCACTCCTTCAAGCCCTTGCCCGTCGTCGAACTCCCGGAGATCGATTCTTCTTCTTCGTCTCCGTCTTCTCCTCCTGCCCCGCCCACTTTGGAGATCACCGACGGCGACCAGGACTCGATTCGGGTCCATCAGCCCCTCCAGGGACTCCACAGGCTAACGGTAAGTTCTCTCACTGGCAATTTTGTTACGATTTTAGAAAGGAATAACCTAGTTTGAGAATTGAATTTCATCCGAGGATTTTTGTACAATCGTCTGTTTGGATGGGCTGAATTAGGTCGTCCTCGACCTGGACGAGACGCTGATTTGTGCTTACGAGACGTCCAGCTTGCCGCCGGCGCTGAAAAGCCAGGCGATTGAGGGTGGATTGAAGTGGTTCGAACTGGAGTGCATCTCGTCGGACAAGGTCCGTTTTGTTGGGCTCGCAGTGGAATTATCATCATGTGGAGATTGGGGTTTAAGTATGCTTATTATATATGTTTGAATTAAATGTGCGATTTTGGGGATTTTGAAGGAATTTGACGGGAAGCCTAAGATCAATTATGTAACGGTGTTTGAGCGTCCAGGATTGCATGACTTCCTTAAACAGCTCAGTGAATTTGCTGATCTTGTGCTCTTCACTGCCGGCTTGGAAGGTTCTTAGCTCTTATCCCTGATCTTGCCCAATGTTTCTTTGCGTTATCTGATAACATAATGACGATTATGATGAATCGCAACTGCTAATTTCGGTGTTCCTGGATGCTCCTGCAGGTTATGCAAGGCCCCTTGTTGATATTATAGATAAAGAAAACCTATTTAGCCTTCGCCTTTATCGGCCTTCAACCATTAGCACGTAAGTCCCTTTCGCCTTCTCTGTTAGGTTCTTAACTTACACATGAGGAGAGAATTGTAGATGGCAATCACATTTTATATGCCTATGAGATATATTTGGTACAGGCAGCTACTAACTACTGATTGGACCCTTTAAGGATTAGATGTAGGAGTCTAGATCAAACCGTGATCTTTTGTATCTGAGTTAGGACTACTGTCAGGAGATCACGTTTGTTCCACTGTGACCAAGTTTGAGTGAGCAACTGAGTATTGAAGCTCTCTATGCTGCGTTTGATTGAACAGGGAGTACAGGGAACATGTGAAGGATCTGACGTGCATATCGAATGATGCTTGTCGGGTTGTTATTGTGGACAACAACCCCTTCAGCTTCTTGTTGCAACCATTGAATGGAATCCCATGCATTCCATTCTCGGCTGGCCAACCACACGACACACAGGTAAAGCAGAGTCACAGCTCACAAGTCCCACTTCATACGTTTCATACCAGTTTGTGTTCAAAGTCCTAAAAGGAGTGTTCTTTCTCCTCTTTGTATTCCTGACCAACCATCTTTCACTCGCTCTCCTCTACGCTCTTGGTGCAGCTTCTAGATGTAATCCTTCCACTACTCAAGCAACTCTCTCAGCAGATAGATGTAAGGCCAGTGCTGTATGAGAGATTCCACATGCCAGAGTGGTTCCAAAGGCAGGGGATTCCTGCTACTGGCCCTGGATGGAGATAGTATTATTAATATATAAGAAGTAAACCTCAGCTTCAGCTTCAGCTTCAAGTCCTCTGTACCATCCACGACAGTTGATTTATTCCCAAGGCAGCAATGTGTTTCGTTCTTCTCTTGCGAGTTCGGCAACTACTAGCACTTCCATTTGTTTGTAGATAGCAGCATTAAATTTTTGTAAGCAAGACGTAGGTCACATTGATGAAAGCAGCAGGCGAGCAAGGCGGGCACAGCACGGCATAGCTAAAGATCATTCAATTCAAGTCAATTATGTTGCTCTTTGTTGCCACTTTCATGTATGTAGATCTTTCCTATACAGTAAAAGAGACACAGTCTTAGTTTTGGGTTGTTATATAGGGCCTCTCAGTATGTTGTAAAAATTGGGTGAGGAATGGATTCAGTCAATACAGCTTTCCTCAGTATTTCAGGCATGTAACTCTATGGAGTGGTAATGTGGTATAGTTAGAACTTTAAAACTTTCCTCAACCCGTAACAAGTTTTGTGATGTGATCAACGAAATCGATTCAAGCTAGGTGCTACACTTGACAATTTCGAAAATAACTAATGTTCTCTTAGATTGAATTAATAGATTAGTGCGGTTGATTCCTGGAAGCTTATGAGCTTTACAAATTATAACGACATCACTTTAAATTTGTGGGTCAATTTCAACTACGAGCACCAGTTACTTCCAGTAAGGGGCAACTGAATTTCTTACACTTCAATGCTAACATTCATCCAATTAATGATGAATCCAGTTCAGAAGCCTAATAAGTCGTGAAAGGAACGTTCATTTTCTGTACACAACAATAATGCCCCTTCCTTGTAGATCAAGGCATCTCAGCCACAGAAACGCAGAAATTAGCCATTTTTTGCCAAACTTTAGTGGCCAAAATTGGTGGCTAACTGGCTGAGGCTGAGTGACTGGGCCGCCACCTAGACCTAGGGAGTCATTTTGGACCAGGCCTACCTTTACTCCCAGAATCGTCAAACCATGAAGGTTAGCTTCCCGCTACGGCGGCCCGCTCTATCTGTGCTATAGATTTGTTGAATGTTGGGCAGTGTTTCTCTTTTTAACCCTTAAGTACCAAGTAAAAAATATTAGGCAGTATTGTTGAACGTTGGCGTAGAGGCGTAGAATGAATGTGTTGTCAGTTTGTGGTAATCATGATTTGATATCCGGGCAGCAGAAGCAGAGTTAGCTATGCCATTGAAATTCAGCATTTGGGTGTAGTTACATCTACACACCTTATTGAGTTGTTAGCTGCTAGAAATAGTTCTGATCAGTTTGACAGTGATGCGAGATTCTAAATCTAAAGTGGTGGTATGTTAGCTTCAAAATGGCGTGGATTGAGGTAGGGCTGCAAATGAACCGAGTTGGGTCGAGTTTTACCCCAGTTTGAGCTCAATTCGTTAATAAACGAGTCGAGCTCGAGCTCAGCTCGTTTATTAACTAGCCGAGTCGAGTCGAGCTCGAGCTAGCTTGTTTATCAAAATCTTAACTTTTATTTGGTACTTCATTTTGTATATCATGATACATATGATTTATTTTGTTAGTTAATCTCATCTTATACTTTATACTTTGTTGGTATCATATATCGTTTAGTTAATAAATTTTAACTACTCCAAATCATGTTATTTCATTGTATCGAAGCAATCTATGATGCATAATTTCTTTTTAAAGTAAAAAAATAAGATATATTTGCTCACATACTCAACGTGCAAAACTTTATATATGGCGAGATATATAAATTAACAACCATATGAATTAAAATCATAAGATATAGATTGATTCGTCCATAAGTTGGTAATCGAGTTGGCTCTCTAGCCATATGTTAAGACATATCATGAGCTCTAAACGAGCCAGCTCACGAGTTTAGCTCAACAAGCCACCGATTCGAGCTAGCTTGCGAGCTGAACAAAGGTGAGCTCGTGTTCAGCTCGTTTATTAACGAGCCGAGTTTAGAACGAGTTTTTCTCGAGTCGAACACCGAGCCGCTCGCGAGAAGCTCGGCTCATTTGCAGCCCTAGATGTGATGGACGATCAGTCAGATCATGTGCTCTATAATAATAATTGTCTTCTGTCAATATCAATTATGAAAACATTATTAAAGTTCAGAGCCATTACTATGGATAGACTATTACGTTTGGAGCAGAATCAACTGTTCATATGGATGGATGGCAAAAGGCAATTGGCAAGCAAGCAGGCAGCCCAGCCTGCATTGCATTCCCGCCTTTCTTCTAGCAGTGGGAGTTGGTGAGATTACTGTTTGGCCAAAAAGACTGCAACTTTATAATCCCTTTCATGAAAGTTTTCAGGTGTTTGATTTCAACACAGATAATGAAGGAGGTGTGAAGTTCCAGCCTCAAAGGATGGAGTTATTAGGATCTAAAAGGCGGGGAAGGGTATGAAAATCAGTGTCCATTAAACCGTACCGTACCGGCGGTTCAACCACGAAATATCAGTATCGGAGGCTAAACCGATATGCGACATTTACCGGTATAACGGTTGAATTACGGTTAAACCACGGTTTTACCATAAAATACCCTACCGCTGATTTTCCCGATACGGTCTCCGGTACGGTTTCATCGACCATGCTGAAAATATAAAGGCCAATGATATTATGAGTACTTGACCAGAAGACCATCAAAATGGAAGAGGTAAAGTGGTGTAGTAGTCCAGACAAACCAAACCAGTATATAATTTCAAAATCAATTTGGGGTTAATGGGGGTGGGTACCTTTTGGATCTTCTCTTTTATAAAGTCATACTCATAAATAAATAATTAACAACGTGAAAGAGAGCTCCTCTAGGGTATATATGGTTTTGCTGTCAACAACAATATGTATGAATCATCAATGTCATAATTCAAGTTGTGGGAAACAACAAATATTTTAAATAAGTGATTTGAGTCTGACTTGGATATTATTCTAGGATGATGATATAATATATGATATGCCAGCCAGGATGTTCTATATCAAAGGGATTTTGAACTTCATGGAAAATAACTGGTTATTGTTCATTCAAGTACAATTGGAGGAAATTTTGTTCTTTTAAAAGGCAATGTCAACATACAACTACAACTAAATTATCCTAACAAAATCTACAATTGAATGGAATTAACATAATAGTCATTAACTGAGGTTGTCTGGAGGTGTAAATGATAAAAAAAAATTAAAAAATCCCCTTCCATTGTAATTTTTAAATACATTTTGAATATACGAAGAGATTGTAAGTGATTTTTTGTTCAAATTCATAGGCCAATTTTGTTCGTCATAGTGCATAAGGTCCAAAATTGAGACTATTTAGAGATGAATTAAATGGTCAAAATGATAATTATGAGGAAAACATCCTTAAACGAGGTTATATTTATGCTAGACAAAGTCAATATATATTATCTTTTATCATCATCAAATTGAAATCTTCTTAAGCTTAATACACAAAGGATAAACTATTCAAAATAAAACAAAAATAATCACCACTAACCAACAAAAAACGAATTTCATGCAACAAAACACGTATATCGTAATACTGTATACATACTGCCCATTATTTGAGAGAACAACTACAATACCAATCCTACAATCATAGTACTGTCGTGGATAGCCAACCATACATTGTATTTGTGATCTTGGAAACATTGGTCTGTCAGACAAAACAATTATAACATCCATCAACGATCATTTATCTACCTATATCAACATGAAACGGACATCACACAACACTCTGTATTTCGTTTCGCGTAACGTGACTCTTACGTATTAAGTGCCACAAAGAAAACATAACCAACATGACTTTGTGCCATGGGAGAGTATATATGGTGCATGTGATGTGTGCCACCCACCCACCTCAACAACAACACATGTAAATATTTATAATACTAAACCAGTGATTTGTAATGAATACACGATTGCAGCAATTCCTCGGTCAGAACATGAATCATGCTACAACGCCGGCGGCAATTATTACAGCAACCCACCACCGGCCACTACCGCAGTCACCTTCTCTGCCTGGATTTCGATATAACTAATGCTTTACAATCATAGCTGCCTGCCTTGTTGTGTTCTTTCTTTGGTCGCCAAAAGGACCGATTATATATTCTTGGCGTTATAATATGGTGTTGATGTTGTCGTCGGAACCAACAACAGCTATCATTACCCTCATTAGTCCACTCTTTTTAATATACGGTGCTAGCTGCTGCACAACGTGCTGCGATTTCTTTCCACTTGTTTAATGCTCTCTTCCAAAAAAATTTATCCCTGGTTTGCTCTAGCTAATTCTCTTGCATTTTCTTGGTGTGTGCTTTTGTTTATGAATGCGGTAATATTATTCATCGACTAGTTTTTGACGCTACCATTAATCGACTAGTTTTGTGTTGGATATTTTGTGTAGTATATTGTTGAGCCGTCGTATTTGGACTTATTATGTATTTATAGCCGAGTGATTGCTACTCAATATACTCTATAAAATGTTTGTTGATATATCTCGCACTATTTTTCGTGAATAGAAGAATGTACATTGGCTCCTTCTCCGTCCTAAGAACCCTCAACCTACTAGTAATCTACCTCCTTGAATCTCTTCAACGGTCACTCGTATTGAATATACAGCTTTTCATAATGGTAGCGTAGAACATTTCTTCTAAGATGTTTTGTTTGAAGTCTGCCTATCCGATACGTTCGGCTCGAGTTACTTCTTGGTAATTTGTTAATCTATCAAGACGTTTTTTTTTTCCTTCTGTAATATATGTCATGAATTTATTTAATTTTCTTTGGTAGGATATCAATCTTTTAGAATGATAAATCATATCACCCTTGTAAAAGAAATATTTTAGAATAAAGTTAAATGCTTAAACACCATGCAGATACTGTCATTAAATCCCTAAATCTTGAACTACGAATTTTTTTCAGATTGAAAATCAATAGTGTGCTTTAAAAATGACTTTCCACCATTCCAATATTTGATTGCCATTTAAAATCCAACGGGCGAATAATAATTAATGAATTACGGACTCTCTGATCACCTATAATAAAATAAAAAAATTGAGGAAAAATCTTTAAAAAAAAAGAATTTTTATCCATTTTCTTATTTGTTTAGCAAATTTCGTTCCCATTCGCAGGAAGGGAGAGAAATAGGAAAAGGAAAAGCAAAAAAGGACCAATTAACAGAGTCAACAATTCTCCATTAAAAAACAGTCAACAATCAATTCCGCGCACAGTTTTGATGACGTGTTATTTTACTGTGGTTTTCTTTTTAAATTTGTTAAGTGTGCACGTTGTTTACTCGCCTGGCGCGTATATCTCTCTCATAAAAAATGGCCCTTTTAACTTTTGAGAATAAATAAGGGCTTGTTTGTTTGTGTCGTACTTTCAAAATCTTATTACTTGAAGGAACAACAAACAAAAATGTTGCAATTTTTTTCACAAACATTTTGGAATTAACCAATGTCAATCCTAAATTCATTTGAACAAATAACAAATTTTGAATACGCACAGGGTGGACTCATTTGGTGTGGGGTTAGATTAGAATGATCTAGTCAATTGGATGGTAATTTAATCATTAAAAACATTAACGTTGCATTGTAAACAAGTTAGCAATGATTTTTTCCCATGCAACCGCCAACTGAAACCAAACCCACACTTCTAACAACAGATGTTATTTTTTGTCATGGTTCTTCGCTGTATTTGAAGTCTCATTGGTCATTAGGATAAGAATTAAATCTATCTTTCATAAACATTAGTTAACTATACAGAACAAACATTAGTGGTCTAAAACTAGAAATGCAAAAAGGGACATTTATAGTTACTTGATGAACTGCCCTTTCGATTCAACAAAACCTAACTTGAAATCGCATAGGCAACTTTCTTAGGGTTCAAACTTTAGCAAAAACTCTACGCCCCATATGAATTTTTGTGGTGCCACCTGAACATTTCGAATTTCACTGCCATTAAACTTTGTGAATTTAGACAATGCTTCCCACCCAAATGCCAACTCGTTCACCCTAAACTTAAACAAAAGGCGAATGAAATTTGTTGTTACTAACAATCAACAAACAAATGAATCATCTACATACAGATAACTAATGGAACGAGCACGACCAGTCACTAGTAATGTGCTAACCTCTTTCGTGCTTGCATAATGAAATTTCAGCAATACAATCAATAGTAATGTTCTTGCAAAATACAAAGATTGAAAGGGTACAACATCGACACCTCTTTAACTTGTACCGTTATAGAAGATGGGCTCCCCAAACACGGCCTTAGAGGAACTGAAACTCATCGGCTGCTTCAATTTTCCGTTTTCTCCCGTCTCCCTGTAAATATATAAAAACGAAAACCGCAGTCTCTCTCTTAGACCTCAGAAACTGAAAATAATAAAGCCAAGAAAACCCTCAATTTTACTCCCTCCGCCTTCCCCTCTCTCTCTCACTCTCTCTAGAAGCTTAGACTCGACCAAATGAATCATTCCCGCCCGGCGGAGCCCACCATCGCCTCCGCCGCCGCCAGAACACCCTGTATTAGATGAAGAACGCACCCTCCCCTGCTTTCCTCCGCCCCATCGTAGCTTTCTCAGCCTTCGCCGTCCTTTTCTGCCTTCCGCTACTCTCCCATGCCCTGGGATCCGGCTCCACCCTCGCCGTCATCTCCGGCTCCCCCACCGCCTGCGGCATCGTCTCTTACCAGGCCACTCAGAGCATCGTTTGTTTCAGACCACCAGGAGCCGGCGGCGGCGGGGGAGGAGGAGGGTATCTGCAACCACCACCACCACCAATCGTAACGCTTCAACCCAACATCTCCTTCTCCTCGATCTCCGGCGGGCAGGATTTTTTCTGCGGGGTCCGTTCCGGCGGCTACGCTCTGCTCTGCTGGGATACATTCTCGCCGGATAACAATTCCGCCATTCCCAACCAAGTCAAGCGAATCTATTTCAACACCTCGGTTCTGTTACAGAGCGTGTCTGTTGGTGGTGATCGGGTTTGCTCGACCACGGCGGCGGCCGGTGGGGATTCGGATTTGGATTCGAATTCAGGAACGGTGAGATGTTGGAGAGGGGATGAGATTACTAGATCACAATTGCCTCCTAGTGGCGAGAGATTCAGTGAAATTTCATCTGGGTATGGGTTTTCTTGCGGGATTTCGGTTAACGGGAGCAGAATTCGGTGCTGGGGAAGCCAGCCGATCGCGCAGAGAATCGAATCGGGATTCGGGAGTATGTCGATGTTGAGTGTTCAAGCCGGAGGGTCTCACGTATGCGGAGTGAATTCGACTGGGTTTGTGGTTTGCAGGGGAGACAATTCCTCCGGACAGCTCAACGCTCCCCTGAATTCTCCGCCTCTGGAGTATTCACAGTTGGCGCTGGGAGCCAATTACAGCTGCGCTCTTCGTCGGAGCAATGGGTCGGTGGTTTGTTGGGGTGGAGACGGAGGGCTGGGGGTCAACGGGATCGAAGGAATCTTCTTTGAGTCCATCGTCTCTGGCTCGAATTTTCTCTGCGGCATTTTGTCGAACAACTTGTCGACAATTTGTTGGGGACCCGGATGGCCCAGTGCAGGGTCGAATTCGAATTCACAGCTCTTCCAGGTACTTCCATTGCCTCCGATTCTGCCAGGTCCTTGCGTCGAATCATCTTCCTGCGGTGAATGCGGCGTGTATGGAGATTCTCAGAACTGGTGCAGCGGTTCAGGGGTAATCTGCAGGCCGTGTGGGTTCAACGTTTCGACAGTAGCATCGTCTCCGCAGGAGGCGCCGTCGCCGCCATTCCCTCCATCGCAGTCGCCAATTTCACCACCACCGCCATCATCATCAACAACAAGTTTGAGAAAGGGGTTGTTGTCGTTCGCCATTGTCGGTTCACTCGGAGCTTTTGCAGGCATATGCACAGTCTTTTACTGCCTGTGGACGGGAGCTTGCCTGGGCAGGAAAAAAGTCCACAACTCCGTGCAACCCACAATCACCAGAGCAGGCTCAAACAACGGCGGAGGATCGAACAATTCAAACAACAGCGGCGGCGGAATCACCACCATCACCTCCAGATCCTCGACCATCCGGCGGCAGAGCTCGAAAGCAATGAGGCGCCAGAGGAGCGGGACCTCATCCAAGCACGCCGAGCCCCGAGCCGAAGAATTCACCCTCTCCGAGCTCGCAGCAGCCACCGACGGGTTCGCAGCAGAGAACAAGATCGGCTCAGGAAGCTACGGCATCGTCTACAGAGGCAAGCTCGCCGACGGCAGGGAAGTTGCGATTAAAAGAGGGGAAACGAGCAAGAAGGCGAAGAAGTACCAGGAGAAAGAGAGCGCGTTTGAATCGGAGCTCTCTTTCCTCTCTCGCCTCCACCACAAGCATTTGGTAAGGCTCGTCGGGTACTGCGACGACGGAGGCGATGAAAAGCTTCTTGTGTACGAATACATGAAAAACGGAGCTCTCTACGATCATCTCCACGACCGGAACAACGTCGAGAATTCGAGCAGTTTGATCAATTCGTGGAAGATTAGGATCAGAATCGCCCTGGACGCGGCCAGAGGGATCGAGTATCTGCACAATTACGCGGTCCCTCCGATCATCCACCGGGACATCAAATCGTCGAATATTCTCCTAGACGGGAATTGGGTGGCCCGGGTGTCGGATTTCGGGTTGTCGCTGCTGGGACCCGACCCGGAGAGGGAGTACCGGCCGACGAAGGCGGCCGGCACGGTGGGGTACATTGATCCGGAGTACTACAGCTTGAATGTGCTGACGGCGAAGAGCGACGTGTACGGATTGGGGGTGGTGTTGCTGGAGTTGTTGACAGGGAAGAGGGCGATTTTTAAGGGGGATGACGGGGAAGGGACGCCGACGAGCATAGTGGAGTACGCGGTGGCGAGGATCGCCGGCGGGGAGCTGTGGGGGATACTGGATCGGCGGGTGGGGCAGCCGGATGTGAATGAGTCGGAGGCGGTGGAGCTGGTGGGATACACGGCGATGCACTGCGTGCGGCCGGAAGGGAAGGACCGGCCGACGATGGCGGACATTGTTGTGAATTTGGAGAGGGCATTGGTGCTTTGTGAGGGCAGCCATGGGAGCATCTCCAGCGGGACAATCTCCATTGTTTCCGAGTGAATAGTGGTGCATTTTTTTTTTAATTTGGGGGTTGATTTGATGATTTTGGGAAGATGGGGGATTAGTTGAGATAGATGATAAGAGTTTGGGGGGTTGAATTTCCATGATTCGTTGAGATTCTTCGGATAACCCAGATTGATTGATTGTTGAATTCATCAAATTCATATATTTTTTGGGTGGGGTGACCCGACCCGGCTCCTTTTGTTTGTGGTTTTCTTTCTGTAAAGAAAATTAGGCAGATAGATTGTTTTTAATTTTTAGGCTTTATTTTATTTTAGTTTTGATTGATTGTTCTTTCTTTGGAGTAGGCCATTTGCAAGGGTTAGTGGGAGATTTTCTTTCTTCTTCTTGTTAGGGGGGAAATGAAGAAAATACATATATAAAAATAGGGGAAGAAAAGGAGAGCTTCCAATCCATTCCAAATACTGCTTTTCAAACTTTTATTCTATTGGTTTTCCCTTGATTGTTCAGTGTTCATAATAATCACTCATTATTTTGAAAATAATTATCACTATTGAATTTGAATGGGAAGATTCATTATAATCAGTTGAACGGTTTGCCAAGTAATATGTAATGCAAGTTTATTTCTAATTAATTTACAAACAATGAAAAACAATGTCATTCAAGTGGACATAAACGTCCCTTAATCATTAAGTTATTTTTTTATGTCTCGAAACATGGTGATCTACCATTGAGAATGTTCCAAATCATATAATGATTCAGTGATATATAGTGAACAATTTTATTTTCTTCTCTCCATGTTTGTTGTTCATATTTTCTCTAGCAATATAATTATGGAACCAAATGATTGTGTCATCTTTGAGGGGAAAAAAAGTAGAAGACCAAAATAGAAATTAGTTGCAAAATTTTCTATGTCAACATTGGCCTTCCAATTCCAAGTCATTTGTATCAAAACTGTGAACAGGCAAGGAAAAGAAACCATGAATAAAACCACCAGTCATTAATATAATTGCATTTTTAATAGCGCATTTGAAAATGACACCCAAACTCCCAAAACATTTTTTTTCTTTTAAAAGCAATTAAACAATACAAAATTTTCACGTTGACACTCAGAATCATGAAACCACCAAAAAAAAAAAAATTCTAAAAATTCTAAGTAGAGACAGAATTTCTCCATTCTTTTAAATCGCGAGATTCACACGATTATTCTTCTTTCAAACTCAATAGTTGGTTACCAAGGGTTCCCTTTTGTTCCATGCAAGGGGAGACTTTTCAGCTCCCCGGAAATAGATGGAGATACCCAGCAAGAAAGAAAGAAGGCAAATGGTCCTGTTATTTTGTGGGTGGCACATAAATAATTATGTTTTAATAAGTTCACACACGTTTAAAGGGCTAAATTCTTTGCTCTTTTGACTTGCTCCGAAGTTGTTGTCGCTATTTCGTTTTGGGTTTCTTTATAATTAATGTAAAACCATGCGGTGCCTCCACATTTATATCAATCGCACCGTGGCTGCCAAACGGAAATTGATCATTTTTAATATTTTCTCAAACCGGCTTGTGAACCAGCTGATAGTTGTTTTCTTGAGCTTGTGACCAGAGATTATTTTTAAAAAAATTAATTGTGGGAGGTGGTGGTGAGAGAGAAGTCAGAGACGGTGGCCGGTGAACCACTTCCCATGACCCACCACCTTCCACCGTCACCGTCGTCGTCTTGCTCCTCCGGCGGCCCCCACCACCGTTGCTACTTTTTTTTTTTTTTTGGGGTGACATTTATGTAGCTGTTTGGTTAAATGTGTGTACAAATTTATTGGGCGGAAGACTGAAGACAGATGAGTGAAAAGCGCAAGATCTGCAGTTGGGATTTAGGAATGAGTCAATTCAGTATTCATTCATATCCAAAACTGGTAAAAGAAGTTGAATAGAACAAAATGGAGGAGAAGGAAATGGAAAATATATGCAAAAAGTAGTTACTGTGTAAGGATCTTTTGTGATAAGATCTAGCTAGCTAGATTCCATTTCTCATACAATTGAATGCTTGCTTGCTGTACTTGTGCTCCAACGACTGTTAGTTAGGAGGAAGGGGACGACTATGAAACTACAACTAGAGGAGATTGCTAAAACTATTTATTTTCTGACAAAAGAAAATAATTGTTAACGATTTGACTGATTTGCTACCGAATATTACTGTTATTGATTAATCCTACATGTTAATTTATGTTATTCGTTTAGATAGATGTACCTTCTTGAAAATATTTTGTATTATTGGTGTATTGGCAATCCAATGTCTAATGTAATAATCTATTGTCAATAGTAACAAGACGAGTAACGTAACTTAGTGGTAAAACTTAAATAATGATCGAGATCCGTTCTCATCGAACAATACTCTGCGCACCATTGTGGTTGAAGTGGTACTTTTTGTGAGGATTCTAGCTTTGGAATTTTAAGAAGCAAGAAATTTTTTAAAAAGGAACAAGTTTAGTGACTACGTTTTATTATTATGTGCATCTCGCTTGTTGATAGGGAGAACAACTTTATCCAAATTCACGAGTGTTTTGTATTTACTTATCCAACTCAACTGAGTTGGGAACACAATCCAAACTCATCATATATACTTCACACATAGCTTATCCCATTGTAAACGAGTTTACTTGAGTTTATGTAAAATACGGATAATTTGTCATCCCGACTCGTCGGAGAATGAAACCTGCAAAGACTCTACCATGCATTTCGGTATAGGAAACATCTTCAAGGATCAAATAATCCAGCCGTGTGAGGATTTCTGGATGTCTGAAGGGGAAAATTTCCCGCAAATCCATTATTGTTTTCCCCGGTGATGTACAAGCATGATCGAGAGACTAGTCGAGTGCCGGCCGGTGGAAGGGATCGATGTTGTCTCTCTCGAGTACTGGCCGGGAACATTATCTTGTCTTTCCGGTGAAAGGGTTTTCACCAATTTGGTACCTGGAATTTTTTTGCTTGATTTTTATATCACAGTTTGATTTGGACAGCTCAAAATGAAAGGAAGGGTGGATGGATGTCGCCATCCATAAAAGCGTAGGTTTTCAGTTACTCGACCTACTTTCTTTCATATATGATAGTGACCACGTCCCTAGCTTGGTCCATTTCATGGAGCACGTAGTAGTCTTTCTTTTTCTTTCTACATTCATTGTCGTTAAAAAAGAACTTTTTTCCTGTACTTTGATGAGAAGGGTTGGACTTTTTGATACAATCTCAAATACGCCATACATTACATAAATAATATGAATTCACCGGAATAATACAATTTCAATTACATCGGTTTTTCATTCGATCTTTTAGGCTATTCAAGTTGTTGGGAATAATAATACAAATAAGAGTGACAAAACAAGTAGCAACCTATTATTTTCGTAATAGGTTGGGACTGGCCTAGCATTTCATTTAAAACTACATTAAAAATGGTATGATTAAGTCCTTTGATTTTTCTTCTAATTATTAAAAAGGTACTTCAAAGACAAATCTACGGCCGTGCAAAAGTGTTCAAATACATCCATCGAATAATTTTAAAGTATTGAATTTTTCAAAAAGAGAGAAATTAAACAAACAAATAGTACAATAGACTAGATATTTTCAAACGTCTAGGTATAGGATTTGTACCTCGCATTCATGTGGCATAAGAGAGATAAGTTTGTTTCCGATGTTAGATCTTATTTAAGGATTCGAACCTGAGACTTACATGTTGAATTATTACAAGTTAAAGATCGGTGATGATATGTTTTCAGCGTGCCATCCAATATCTTAATTCTTGTAAATCAAATGCAGTACTTTTAACACTATATATTAACTCTCACCATTTCACCTATTAGGCCATATTTATTTCGGTATTTCTGAAATTTAATGTATTCTATATTACCTGTTGTTTGATATACAAATTCGTAAATTTAAATATTCAGCATTACGTGCCAATTGCCATGAACATGAATTCATGTATTCTTCATTGCGTCCCCGTCAAACGAACTCGTACTAATTTTGATGACTGGCTGCGGCAGTGGCATATTCTACAAAGGGCGAGGATTCGTCATTTTCATTCAAATAATGGATTCATGAAACGCCCACGAACAATTATAACGAAGGAAATAAAATGCGACACAACCAGAATGGCAGACGATATCTACCCTAAATGTTGTTCACGTTGAAACTTCAACCAACCGCTCGAAGTCCATTCCGGCCGGCTCTCTTGTTCCGGTTTGCGTTGCTTTCCGCTACAGTACTGGTAGTATTAGACGTATCGCCCAAGCTAACCCAGATACACAAACAATTGGTAAAATCAAGTCCAACAACAACAACAACAACAACAACAAAGAATATACAAAGCCGTCGACCGAGGTAAACGATTACTATAATACCATGCCTCGCTAACAGATAAATATGGTATCAAATACACATCGGACACAAGTACTGGACTATCCAAATTCCAACAACAAGAAACAAGCAAAAACAAACAACGAAACGGCAACGTTTTCGCCGCTTTGGCCCCTCCCATGTTCTGCCTGCCCCATCCAAATTTTTTCCAACGTACAGTAACCACACAAACCCAAAACAACAGGAGGAAGTCCAATCTTGCCTCTACCGGATAATAATCATTCTGGAAAGAATCTCAGAAAGTGACACAATAATATGCTAAACTAAAAAGGGTCTAGAACTAAATCAGTTTCTAAGTCGACAACTACATGTGAGTGTTGTATATGTAAATCCAGGTATAAGAAGGAATCCAAACACAAGACTCTCTTTATCCTGCTAGTCCCACAAATCATTCAAGCAATTATTTAACTCCTTTCCCCACAGGCTCGAACCCATCTCTCTCAATCCTAGTGTTCTCTGCTGTGTGATGCTTGTTTTATTAGAGTATATATATGTGAACTGTGAAGCAGCAGTTTTGAGCAATGCTTACTTGAGAGGCCAAAGGCGTATATGCTAGATTCTTGGATGTCTTCTTTTGGTGCCCTTCTAACCATAATACGATGCAGCTATCAGAGTAACCACGAGGATGACCACTAGAAGCAGCTTCTTCACGGCGGGGAGGATTTTCTGGTCCAAATAGTAGGGTTAGTTCATTAGTTATGCCAGCAGTAATGAAAGATGGAAGTACAATGATTTGGATCCCCCTCTGGTACGTGCCCAGCGTTGATCTGTTGGATCCACATGGTTGCAAAAACATACGCCAACATGCGTGATGCAAGATCAGAGAATGCACGGGGCCGATCCAACAACATCAAGACGTACCGAAGGGCCCCTCCCCTGTCAGCTTAACAGGGAGTTTGTGGCTTTAAGATCTATCAAGGCAGGGGGGGAAAAAGGATACCTGGAGTGTGGATAACTGATTTGCTTCTTGTAACCGCTGGCGTCGTTTTCTACGCCTAGAAGGCTGTGCTTCAGTAGGGCCGTCTTTCTCCTGCCATATATGTGAAAAGCATAACATGTTTCAGTTCAAAGTTTCTTAAGCCAATAATGTGCAAGATGCTGCTGGCAGCGTTTTTCAGTAGTAAATAACTGATAGTGATGGGTGACTTGATTTGTATTTTATCACACAAGGGGTGTTTCACTTGAATAGATGCCTACCTAACCTAGAGCTTTTTGGGTTTGGTCAGCTATCAATTCAGACAACCCTTTTTGTGGAAAACGTACAAGTAGAAGGATATATGAGTGCAGGTTTCTCTACATGGCTGATAAATTCTACCATCAATGACATTGAAAAGTTGAGATAAAATGAGTCCACAAGTTAAAACTCATCACATGCAATTTGCAAACACATAGGCATGAGCAGTATTAAATGAGATTCTGGTCCATGTAAAAGGACACCAACCTTAGCATCCTTTGCTGTACGCAAATGCAGTTCCTGCTCCACAACTTGAATTTTAGCCTTGCAATCTGAATTACAGGGTAGAAGTCCGAGTCCAAAGTGCTTTTTAGACACATCTTTGGGATCAGAACCAGCTACTCGATGGGCTTCCTGAACATCTTTGCAAAGCCACTCCTTTTTCAAAGTTTGACACTGACAGCGAACGGTAACCTTCCAAAAAGATAATTTACACAGTCAATATAGTTAAGTTCATAGGAAGAACTAAACTAGCATAATTTATTCCATTAGATGATCTGAAAAATCATCCTAACATTGTCTTTATCCAAGTTGATAGAACTCTTCCTTACCTTTTTACTGCACTTGTCAGGTGATGAACATTGGCCTGGATGACATGTCTCCGGGCATAAATGTGTGCAGTTAGGCAACTTCCTGCATCACTAAAAAGGCATTAGTTTCAGAACTTCTAACATACTAATAGAACGTTATGGGACGTCTAGCGCTGACAGGTATCAGGCTATCAGCTACGATGCAACCAGACCTAATGAGATACCCAAACCCAATGCAACCTGTGGGCTGTAGCAGTAATGGCATTAACCATAAATAGAAGTATTCTCACAATCAGTTGGTCCACATTTCATGACGGTTGACAACTTCCAACTCAAGACATCATGTGAATACATACAAATTAAAACCAGGAACATGAGGGAATATTCTTCACCATTGCAAATGGACTACCATATAGGAAGTACTTCAGCCCACTGCATCGAGCTACAATTTTGTAGCATTGTAACGGACTGTATTCTTGGATCAAGAGAATAACTTAGGTGAGTCTTGAGCCCAACATACAGCATTGTGGCCCACTCTTGGTTTGATTTTCTACTCCAGGATATATAGAAGGTAAACAGCGAAGGTGCGCCACAAGCGCAGATGTGCATTCAAGGGTCAGTCTTCTGCACCTTTGCATTTTTTAGACAAGGAACAGTCTGAAAGTTCCATAGATCAGATCAGAGGCCTCTTTGGCTAGTTATTTTCTATTTTTATGTTCAATCGTGTAAACTTTTTAATATTTCTCATCAGGTTTCATGGTCTACAATAAATCTTGATTTCATACGCTTTGTTGTGTTTCCATATAATCACTCAAGTTATCAAAAGAAAGCAATAAGGGTATCCAGCACATAAAAGTAGAGATAGGATTAGGAAAAGAAGAAAGAAATCAGCAGGCACCTCTCTGGTGACTATGCATACACACACGAGCATCATCAACAACCATTGGAAAAGAGAGTAGTTCTACGTACCGATGGCAGGGTCAACCACGTGAACGAACAGAAATTTGCTACTTTTTTGACAAGCTGTTGTAGTAAATGCACTCAAAAGCATGGACCATAGAACCACAGTGGCAAGACCGTTTCACAAGTGCCTTTCAAGGTGGACAGTCATCAGGATGACACCGCAAAGAACAAGGATGCGTACAACCAGGCTTCATCTCCTGTACGTGTTTAGCATATTATGTAATTACGAAAATTTGATAATTATATCCATATAGGAAAGACATGATTAATTTAGATGAAGAAGTTTCAAACAGAGAAGGTCTATTACCTTTCACAAGGAAGATTACACTTTTCACATGACTCACTTGTACCAATTTGGCCCAACCATTTTGAGGCATTGAACTTCAGAGCATGGCAAGACTTAGTACATTGGTGATTGCCACAAGGAAGAGGATTCCCGCAGAGATTTTCACAAGAAAACACGGTTTTGTCTGAGCAAACCATCTAAATTCCACACAAGAAATAGACGGCAAGTTACCAACACAGGGAAAAGAAACATCTCTTACAAAAAAAAAAAACCCCCAACAGAAAACAAACATAAAGAGAACAAGAAAAGCCATGCAATGGACCAAAACCAACATAGGTATTTTAAACAAATTTAAATGACGGAATAGAACCAACCATTCTCTCTGCAGCATATTGTTGGCCAACACATGATCTCTAAACAAGTTCTGGGCAAGGAGACCCCGGGGTAGATTCACTGTGATGAAAAGGCTTCTTCTTCGTTGGTTTAAACATGAATTCAGGTTTGGGAGGGGGCATTGGACCATGGCATCTGAAGCATAAAAACAACTATAGCTTGTTAAATCGGATATCTGGAATTACCATCCAAGTACTATATATTGATAAATGCTAATTATCTCGAAATTAAAGGAGAACCTTAATTTGCACTTATGTCCGCATGGGTACTCTTCACAAATTAACCGACAAGGTGGGCAAGCACCATAATGACATTTGTGTGGCTGGACAGAATTCCAAATTAGAAATGGTTAAACCTCTGATCAAGATAACATGTTACAATAAACAAATCACTGGAATGGATATAACAGAAGGTTTCAACAGTGTTAAAAAGTAAAAACAATGAAAAGTCTGCAAAAAGCCCAAAACTGATATAGAATTCATTTACTAGTAATACCTTGACGTGTGGCCCATGCCTGCACAAAGGAGGAATTTCACATAATTTTCGACATTTAGGAGGCTTTTGGTCCTTCTCTATTCCACAAGGAACCTAGCAACACATCCATGACCACCAATAAATTTGCATTTTTCACAAATCAGTGCAAGGAATTCAACAGCAAAAAGTAGGAGAATAGAGAAGTTCTTGTTGCATCCTTTAGCATAAAAAAGAGAGGGCAAATTATACTTTGAAACATAATGTCCTGACAGTAGCTTTAGAAATCAGGTCAGCCAGTAACTGAAGCCTATTTCGGTAAGAACCGGTTCATACTGCTAGCATGAATAAACAGCTTCCTCCCAATATCCAACAGGGTCGGGATGAGTCAAAAAAGAAACTCACCTCAAATCGTGTTGACCACAAGCACGTGATATTGGAACCATCACAGGACAAGGGGCACAGGGACCTCTACAGAATAAGAAAATCATGATAAGCACACGAGAGCAAAGCTACAATATGAAAGCAATTTGGCTATTGGTCCCTAGAAATGCTAAATCACATAAGTAGCCCATCACATAGATGCGAACATTGTTGCAAATATATATGCAGTGTGTAGCTTGAAAGCAAACTTCTGGTGGACAAAATACCCCCAGTGCTACTCCAAATCTTGTTCTATAATCTAACATACAATAAATCATGCCTATGACAAGGGGAAGGGCATCTGTGATTCTTGCACCTTAATCTCTTCCCACAAACCTGAAATTCAAAGCTCAGTCACATTCTAGCCAAAATGAAGAAGATCAATTTAAGTAGGATGTTTTACGAACTTCTCCACAAGGCGGGCAATCCCCTATCACAGCAGCGACGTCTACAAGCATGGCGTCCACAATCCCTTGCTATCTGACACTTACTGTCACATGCTAAATCTTGATAGCAAGGAATCTAATCTCAAGTCAGTAAAATCTAGCCCGAAAACACAATATGCAATAAACAATAAAACATATAGCACACCAACAAATATTCACTGTTTGCTGTTCCTTTCGGCATTTGTCAAGTTGTTCTTGGACCCAACTATGAAGCAACCTTACAATCGAATAAGCTAGAACTAGATTTTACCTCTTTCTTCAGGCCTCCACAACGGCACGACTTGAAGACACAACCATTCTGCAGGTCTCAGCACACTGCCCTCGGTGCCACCTTTCATGACACCTATGGAACCCACAGCTCAACATTTTGCCACAAGTATCTCCACATAGCGGCACTGCAACATCACAGGACAATCCTTCATGCACTGTCTTCCCACAAGGGCAAGTCCTCTTCCCTTGCAGCGGACATCCACCACACCCTTCCGGAGAGTGACACCCTTGCTCGCACAAATGCTTCCCGCAGCTCAAGGGTTTCTTGCACGGAATCTCACATCTGAATTCCCTCTCACAACATTCCTTCTCCTCTTCTTTCTTCCCGAACAGGCATCGATAAACCCCGCGCTTGTGACAAGGGGGAGACTCTCCATCGTGACAAATCTATTTACATTTGTGACTCATACAATCTAACAGCTTATTGGATCGACTATTACACGAGTACACTTTATATCCACACCGCCGCACAACTTCAATCTTGCCGCAAGAACATGATGCCTTAACCAGTTTAGGACATGGAGGGCACGGCCCCGGGTGACACAACAACAAGCAGAAATGGCCACAATTATTCTTCAACGGACGGTTACGGAGCTCGCCGCACGAATGCGGCAAAATCCAGGGATTATCATTCGGAGCGAGTGGCGGCGAGATCGGAGGCCTGGCGAGCCCATGATTGGATGCAGAGGAGGTGGAAGACGTCGAAGCAGAGGGAAGCGCAAGACCAGGTGGGATCGGAAGGTCGGATGCGCTCCAGGCATGAGAAAGCGCCGGAGGAAGAATGGAAGATGGCGGTGACGGGGACGGGATTGGATTTTTGAGAGGTCGTGCGGGGACGGGGAAACGGAGGTGGCGGTGAGCTCGAAGTAGAATTTGAAGATGGAATTGGAGAGGTCGGTGTGGCGGAGGACGGAGTTGAACTCGCCGGCCTGAGAGCGGTCGGAATCGGAATCTGAATCGGAGAACGAGTGTTGCTTTCGATAAACACACTCAGGTTCGCAGGTGGATCGCGGAGTTAAGTCAAGTGGGACCAAATAGGGTTTGAAACATCTGAATGAATATACAAAATCCTGATTTAACTGTTTTGTATCGCGCGACTAATATGGCATAGTTTCACAAACTCTTATATACTAATCATCATACCAAAACAACAGTGAACTATGAGCTCGGATCTCTTTCTTAAACAAGGGGAAAGGCGGATCCATTGGGTTTCTTGGAAAGCGATGTGCCTCGGTAAGCAGGAGGGTGGGTTGGGTTTCCGTAGATTTGAAGAGTTTAATCAAGCTCTTCTGGCTAAGGTGGCCTGGCGAATCTGGAAGGATCCCAATTCCTTGTTGGCTCGAGTGTATAAAGGGAAATACTTTCCCAATTCAAGTATCTTGAGTGCAAGGATTGGGTCTCTCACATCTTGGGGATGGCGTGGAATTCTTCGAGGGCGTGATCTGCTTCTCCAAGGGCTTCGATGGCAAATTGGGTCAGGGGATTCAGTAGAAGTGCTCACTGATAATTGGGTGCCAGCTCTACATCCGTTTCCCCCCAAACCGCGACAGGGTATTATTGGAGTGGAAGGCAAAGTGACGTCTTTGATTTGTCCTAATCAGGGTGTCTGGAGGGTAGATTGCCTTCGTCAGATCTTTGAAGAAGACACGGTTAAAGCTATCTTGGCTATTCCTCTCCCCATTAAGGTTGTGCCAGATCGCCTGGTCTGGGATGGAGAAATCTCTGGATGTTATACTGTCAAATCAGGGTATCACAAGGCGGTCGAGTTAAGACGGCAGAAGGAGCTGCAGGTGAAGGCAGTCGCTCTATCCTGGGACCGTAGCCTGTGGAAACGAATTTGGGCCACTCCGATACCGCCTAAACTGCGGTATTTTATTTGGCAGCTTGTCCGGGGTGTCTTGCCAACTGGTGAGGCACTGAGTACTCGCGGGATGGAGGGGCTGGAGCCATGTCCAGTCTGCGGGGAGGAGGTGGAGTCTCTTGAGCATCTCTTCTTCCGATGTCGTGTAGCGCTGCAGCTCTGGGAGGGGGCCGAGCTTCACCTGCTGAGAGATCGGTTCCCCCTTAACAATATGAGCATCTTTTGGCGCAGGGTTCTCGAGGAAGGCAATTTGGACCGGAGCACGCTGATGCGGGTGGTGGCTCTTTTTTGGCGTGTTTGGCGTGCGCGAAATTGGGTTGTGTTTGATTTCACTCAGTTCATTGTCCCTGTTTTGCTTTCTCAGTTTCGTTCGCAGGTCACAGAGTGGGATTCCGTTCCTGATAATCAACAAAGGCCGCCTTTTCCAGGTCCTGGGGGTCCTCGCCTAGCGGTTAGAGAGTCAGTCCCGCCTGGGGAGTTAGTGTTGTTTGTTGATGGGGCCACGCTGCGTGGTTCCCACGGGGCTGGAGGTTGGGTTTTGCAGGATCCATCGGGCGTGGTGGTGGCGGCTTCAGCGGCCTTGTATGTGGGGATTTTTGATCCCTCCTTGGTGGAGCTGTTAGCTTTTCGGGATGCGATTCGTTGGTGTTTGGCACGAGGTCTTCATTCTATCGTCTTTGCTGGGGATGCACAGGTGGTGATTAGAAGGATTCGAGAAGGTCAGGTTGATGATGTTCAGGGTGGCACGGTTTTGGAAGAAATTCGATGCTTGACGGGCTCGTTTTCGGTGTTTGATATTCGGTTTGTTGGTAGGGATTGTAACAGGGTTGCCCATTTGGTGGCGAGAAAAGCCCTTTCGTTGTTCCCTCACTTAGGAGGGTTCGATTTTGTTTCTTGGCTGTTTTCAGCTGTGTGACTTGTTATATCTGGCTTTCTCGGTAATACGAGTGATCTTTTGGCAAAAAAAAAAAAAAAAAAAGCTCGGATCTCGGTGGAAGGCTGCTAATAAAACTGAACTTCAGGAAGCACAAGTGACGCCTTTCCGGGGTCGTTTGGATTAGTGAATGTGATGAGTGATTTATGAGTGATTTTAAAACAATCTCTCGTTATGCAGGATTTTAAAACAATTCTGCGTTTGGAAAGGTGAGAGATTGTGGGCATGAGAAAATTCTAAATCTCTCGTATGAGAGTTTTTAAAATAGCTAATAGGGATCAGCTATTTCACAATCACTCATTTTTTCTCATTCTTTTCCAAACTCTGCCCCTCCTTTTATTCTTCCTTTCTTATTCTTCCTAAGGGATTAGGGATGGGTATAATTGTAACTTTAATTTTTAATTAAAATCCTTCATCTATTCCCAAACATGTTATTTGGATCAAATCCCACGTTTAAAATACCTGGGTTTTTAATTGAGAGGTTTTAATCCAAATCCCTCATTTACACATTCCCTAATCCAAACGACCCCTCCATTTTCCTTTTTATGCACACCATATACACATGCAAAAACCCACCCTTTACAACAGTCGACATGAACCTTCAATCCAACACCCCAAAGACACACCATTACCCTAACAGCCGGAGTTTTAGTTTGATGGTACATATGTTCCACTGCGATCTTCCTAGAGCTCAAGTTACTCTAGAAAAGGGTTACTCCCCTCCGTGACTGAAGCTTGAGTCCCCCTAATGAACCAGCAAAGAAAACAAAGCAACTTCCACATCCTGCATCATCTGCAACACCCAAAAGGTCGAAAGGAAGATGCCATTATTGCTCACACAGTCGCACAGCAACCTCAACTGAATGTTATGTATATATATATAGCCAAAGCACCACCCACTGGAAAGGGGGTTTTTGGTTGATCTCCACAACTCCATCCGATTCATCTCTCACACAAAATCAAAGTGCACCAGTAGCTTGACATTGTTGTATTTCTTGCCCTCTCGATCATGGAGCGGAACAGCCCGGATTCCACTTCGTATTTCGGACACAGGGAGACAAGTTTGGCCTCCGAAATCATCCTTTTCCGACATGTCGTACTCGTGGACTTCCAGCCTCAGCATGGCTAGTTCTGGAACAGTTAACTGGAACTCGAACTCTTCGTTCCAAACCGGTATCCAGTTGTCCTCTAATGTCTTTGTTTTCTTCATCACTACATCTGCTGGGACTCCAGCGATCCCCACCTGCTTACAAGAATGGTTAATGATCAGGCATTGAATTATCTTCGGAGATATATATATATATTACCATCAGTCGGAATAGAGATGGAGAGCGAATCACAAGCAAAACTGAGTAACTGATGATTGAACTCACCCTGGTGTAGAAATCTGGTGGGGAATACTGATCAAAATGTGTGTGGCGGAAATCGTAATACCATCCTTCTCCCATGTATATCCTCACCTGTCGAACAGGCAAGAAAAAGGCGAATGAGTTTCCCTTTGGAAAAATGAGCCGCAGTGGATGTAGATTTTATTCCCAATTTTATTTATTTGTGTAGTCATCACCTTAAGAGTTTTCTTCACAGGTAACTTGGCTCTAGGGTCAAACACTTCATTGTTAGGACCTGACTTCAGTAGAAAATCTGGTTTCTTAACATAACCGCACCCTCCATTGGACTTGAACATTCCATGCATCAACCACAGAGATCTACCAAATCCCTGTAGTCAATAAACTAAGCCTAATTAGCTGAAAGGATGTTACAGTATAACCAAAGACAAAAATAAAAACTGGTGAAAGATAGTTTGTAAAGAAGCAAAGAAAGAAACTAAAAAACAGGATAACTGTTTAAAAGAAAATACCTGCATGTTAAAAGCAACCATTTGAGCTCCATGCATCCAACCGATAAGAGGGTTGTAGTTGGATGAAGTAATACGAGTGCCCTTCGGGTACACCCTCAAGATGTTTCTCTGGGTAAATCTGTCGTCTTTAACCATCAGAATTGATAAAAATAGTTCTCCAATAATCAACTTGACTGCGTTGAAGTTTTGCAGAAACTTGAAAGAATAAAGCAATAAATTGCAAAATGGGCTTCAGGAAACAAAAGGAAAGGAAGGATCTTCAAATGGTGCACACCTGACAATATCAGTACCCCGAGTCTCTGCAACTTTTTCTAGCTGCTGCTCACTTAAGCTAAGACGCCTCACTTTCTCGGGATCTACTTTAAGACACTCACTCATACCCCCTTTAGGCTTCCCAGCATGGATAGCAATTAAACGTCTATATTCTGGTGCAAGAGACTTCTGTGATCTGTTCAGTCCTTCATCAGGATCTTCCTCATCATCTTCATCTTCCTCAGGTTCTTCCTGTGCAAAGGACGTCAAATTGGGGGAGAAAGAATAAACACCTCCAGTTGACTCTAAAATCACATAGTTAGGGTTCACACTTACCTTGTCATTGCCTGAAGCAGGGCCTTTAAGATGTGGCACTTCTTTCCCCCACGCTTCTTCATCACTTGCAGTTTTCCCGTTTAGTGAATCACCTTCCTGGGCATCTTTGGGAACAGCAGCTGACATATACTCTTTTGGTGGTTTGGTTGATATGATAATCCGTTTCTTCAATGATTCTGGGGAGGGGAATTCTTTTAAGCAATCTGAATCAGGACAGAACAAGATGTCCCCGAACGTGCTTGTCACCATCTACAAGTTCATTCCAAAAAGGAAAGGATACATTACAATGATAATTCCCAAGAAATCAAAACCTGTCCAATTAACAAACTCTTACCTCCGCGACTTTAGCCTGCAAATCTGGAGTGAGGTGGTCTTCTAGAGTTATGACTACAGGATAATCAGATGCAGTAAAGGCATGTTCTTTAATAGACCTCAAACATTTTATAAGTTCCACAGGAGTTGTCAGTGTCCTGCGCCGAAAGAAACAGTTACAGTGATTACAAGCAAGTTCAAGACTATGTAACAGGAAAAGATTATTGATGATATTCAACAATAATCTCTTCATAGAGAAATTCATCTTACATAACAACAACAAAAATCGCTATCCTGGTTTAAAGCTGACAACTGCAGTCTAGAGAGCCATAACCAAGAAAAGAACAATAAAAATTCTGTAAGTTGGTTCAAAAGATTTATGCTATCTTTTCATTACTTCCCTATTTCAGAGGGTAGTACTGTATGTCTTGCCATCCATCCCAGGAGGTAGACCAGAGAAACTACTACAGTACCTTCCATGAAGAACTTCAATGCCATCCTTGTTGGAATTGGGCCATATATCCAATTCAATCACCCTCACACCTCTCTGCAGGGCATGTATGATTGGGACATCGCTGCAGTCACTACTAAGTTGGTTCCCAGTTAGATACGAATTGTGTCCCGTGTAAATGAAATAATGCGAAAGAGGAGCACTCATATCATGATGCACCTGCAAAAACAGAGAAAATGTGCAATCGTTACAGAAGAATTTGGGATAGTTAACACAACCAACGGTAAGCAACATCAACAAATGAGCTAAAAGAGGCAACTTCAATCCACCAAATGACCGAAATCAAGCATCCGTAAGCAACCTCACAGGGAAACAAAGAACTGTTTGGCAATTGGATTCGACTAGTCACAGGAAATGTATCTCTAAACAGAAAGTCAGAAACCAATCAAACCCACTGAGCCTAAAAGGAAAGTGATGCGAGGGAATGTTTGCTGGCTGGTACGGCTAGCAACTACTCCTGAACGAAACAAAATTCCAAAAAGCGCAACAAATCTCAACCGACAGAAACCCTCACCAGAGAGGAAAAAAGAACAGAATTGGAAACCACAGCAAGTGAAGTAAACAGTGAGGTCAAAGGAAGAGACAAAGCGGAAGGGGGAAAAAGTTGAGAATCATCTAAATTCTCACCCCGCACTGGAGGTCAACAGGAGGGTTAATGTCGCCGAAGAGGTACTTGAAGAAGGTCTCGAGGTTGAGACTCTGGCCCTTGTGGTGGTGCAAGATGTTCAAATGCTTGAGCTCGTGAAGACTGTTGATGGCAGCTTGAGCGTCCTCGAGGGTTGCATTCTCCTGCTTCTGGACCTCGATCAGGAAGCGGCGGAGGTGATCGGCCGACATGAGCCCATTCTCGGAGTAGCGGTTGAAGAAGCCTTTGATCTCTTCCGGGGCCTCGGCGACGGCGAGCTTGAACCTCCGGCGGAAGCAGAAGCAGACCCTGTAAGTCTGCTTCGACATTGTTGGGCGGGAAGAAAGAGAGATCGTGTCAGCTGGGTTTTGGGAGAATTGCCGAATTGGAGAGGTTTCCGGGACAGTGTGGGAAGAGAAGAAGAAGGAAGTAGAAGATCAAAAGGAAGTGGGAAGAAGTTAATTAATTAATTAAATTGAATAACATATTCCGGGGAAGATTAAGAGGAAGCGGGTCCCAGTTAATTAATAAATAAAACGGAAGCGGAGTGGGACAGTTGGGTTATGAGGTGGGAAGTGATTCGTCAGAGGGGGATTGAGCTGGCACTTTGACTTTTTGTTTTTATTCATCCGGTTTATTAAGCTCTTCATTTATTATGGTTTTTATTTTTATATTAACAACAGTCGCTACATTGAATTATTATCATTAATTCTTAGGAGATAATCCTATTAATTTTGGGAATTCTATTGTGATGTAAGTGATGAATGATGATTAAGTAATCATGTTTTCATCACTGAATAAGTATTTCATTAGGCTTTTAAAAAAAATTAAAAGTGTATTTTTATGGGTAACTCTTTATTTGCGTAGATGACAAAACATAGGGGAAATATTTAATGAAATTATATATATAATTTATTATAACTTCTTTGTGAAAATCCTTTTGTCTTGTTTCTTTTGCTCTAATGATTGAATAAGTACCTTTCGTTTCAGGAGTACAAATGATTTATTTTGTAAAAATGAATAAAATGGTTAATTTGAGGGGAAGCAAGGTATAAGACGAAGTTTAAAAAGAAGAAATAGTTAATTAATCTAAATCTATTATGTTGTTGGCTGTAGGGTTGAACAAACACACCCGCAAACCGACCCACCCGTCCAACCTGACCCAACCCACCGGTATTTGTCGCTAAATTGAAGGTTTTGGGTTGGGTGAGGGTTTTCTTTTGTACAACCCGCCTCATTTGGTTTGGGTTTGAATTTTAGATTACACAACCCGTAGAACCCGACCCAACCCGTGTTCCAATTATTGGTATGAGTTCGTATCCAAAAAAATATTTATGTCGTATATAGTCACACTTATGAGAAAATTAAGATATTTTGCCATGTTTTTCTCTTAAAGTCTCACTAATCTAATGCATTATTTGACTTAAAGTTTAGACATATATTTAATATAGCTATGATTCACGTAATTTTTTTTTCTTGTGTACAATTTTAAAAGAATATCATATTATGAATGCGTTCATTTGTAACCTTTTTAGCCTATTTCAACAAATATCGTGAAAAAAACTAGACATAAGTTGAAGTAAATCAAGTTTTATTAAAATTCAAATAATATTTGTGAATTTTGATACCTTTCACCTCGGTTTATTCGTTTGAATTTTTAATTTGTTATAAAATATTTTGATAATGTAGAATAATTACATATTTTGTGTTGGGTTGGGTTTTTACTTAAAAATATCGCCAAACCGACCCAACCCAATTAGAAACAAACCGTAGGGTTTAGATTTTTTTGGGTGTATTTGGTTTTAATATTTCCCAAACCATAGTACATGGGTCGCGTGATTAAAATGCCTAAACCCGGACCACCCGACCCATGTACACCCCCGTGGACCCTGAGCACTAAAAGAAAGGGATAATAACTTATCATGAGAAAACATAACTGTGCTGGTCTTTCACCCTACATAGGTTTCGGCATTTTGCTACTCCAGTCCCCACACTTTTCCCTGTTCCTTTTTGGCTATCAAATTGAGTTTAAATGATGTCGGTAAAGCATGCCATTGCCATCGATTTATATAAAAAAAGAAAATTGACAAAATTATCAATCAACTTCGGTTTGGTAGCAAAATGATGACCAAAGTTTAAATGTCAGGAATTGATCATCTAAATACGAGTATATACAATTATGAAGTTCTTGTACACTTTCATCCATGGAATAAACGAGTTCTTCTTTGAGAATTACGTCTAACCTTTTCAGAGATTTCAAATTTTCAATGGTGCAGCAGTTGAATCTAACAAGTAATACCTACCCTCTAAGACCACAAATTTTGATTTGAATGCTTTAATTTTGCTGCCTAACTAATTAGTATAATTCTGCTCCAAGATTTACACATAAATTTACATATATGCATACATACATAAAAATCTACAAAAGCTCAAATCCCATCAAAAGCTTTACATTATTCAGCTTCTCGCCTTTCTTGTCGTGAAGATGAATCGATCGTATCCCTCGTCTGAGCTCTGAGACGGGCAAACATGTCTGCCCACCAAAATCATCTTTCTCAGACTTGTCATGATCTCGGACCTCGATTCGAAGCAGAGCTAGCTCTGGAAGCGTCAATGGGAACATAAACTCTTCGTTCCATATGGGAGACCAATTGTCCTCGATGATCCTTGTTTTCTTTTGCGTCGAATCGACTGCTGCACCAACAATGTAAATCTGCTTGCATACACATATCCAAGTACGATAATTTTTTATGAGAATTGCATATTCCTGGAAAGTGCTGGAATGGTTTTCATAATACTTAGGGATGACAAATTACCCACCCATGGGTAATTATACCCAAACCCAAGTAGACCTATTGATAATGGGTTGGGTATGGGTGAAGTGCATATGGATTTGGGGGTTTATAGATGGGTTTGGGTTTGGGGCTTCTATAATCTAAATGGGTATGGGTTGGATATGGATATCCATTTACTTGAGGGTGTTTTAACTACACATGCAAAAATTGGACCTATTTGTAAAATTTGAAAAGTTTAGGTACCAAAATGTAAGACCAAAAAAATTTAGGTACCAAAATGTAATTTTCCATCGATATTTTGAGGACTTATATTCAAAAAAAATTAAATTTAGGTACTAATTATGCATATCTATTAAGTTTGGGTACCAAACTGTAATTTGTATTTGGGCATGGGTACAAACCCAAATCCATTTGATATAAACCCAACTCAACCCAAAGTAAATGGGTATGAGTACAAACCCATCAAACTCTACCCATATCCATCTATTTAGATTTCATACCCAACCCAATTGAGTTGGATAGTAAGAAACCCATGAACATGGGCAAAGTTGTCATCCCTAATAATACTTATGATATACCTAAAATGTCTAAATTCTATCTTCAAAAAATTGTAGACCATCAAGCGTTCTGTTTCAGGGTCATTCGAGTGTCTATTCGACTGTTAAAGTCGGTGAACTTAATTCATCATGAAACTTTGTAATTGTTGATATATGAATATTAATATGCCTAATACAAAAACACCTATGTCATCAATGAGTTCAAACCGAACACAAGCCTTCTCACCTAGGGCCCAAGCCTACTCCAACACTTATTACCAAGGAAGCCGCAAGCTCTTTTATAAAGACTCTTAATCTTCCAAGCTAGGGAATTTTCTCATACCTTCCTACACTTTCAGAACTCTAAACTCATCTATATCTACATTTCTCTCTACTTTACATAGAATTACCTTGATGTAGAAGTCTGGTGGCGAATAAGCATCAAAATGTGTGTGGCTAAAGTCGAGACGCCATCCATCTCCCAAATACACCTTGACCTGCATTGATCAGAATGAATGAACTATAATATGATAAAGAGATCCTCCAGGGTATATGATAGAATTCAACTTTCAAGCAGAAACTCTACATCAATTAAGCTCACCTTCAATCGTTTCTGCACTAACAATCTTTTCTTCGGATCGAAGACCTCATCATTGATGCCTTTCTTCATCAAAAAATCAGGCTTTTTCACGTACCCACATCCTCCATTAGCCTTAAACATCCCATGCATCAACCAAAGTGATTTCCCATATCCCTGCATATTGAATGCAATCATTTGTGCCCCATGCATCCACCCCACCATCGGCTTGTAATTAGAGGACGTGATTCTTGTTCCCTTTGGATATACTCTCAATATGTTATTTTGCGTAAATCTGAATCCAAAAAGATAGTCTTTACTCTTTATGTAAGAAACTTCCCCAATAATTTGAGTCAAGAGGCTGAACTGGTAATCAACAGGACAATAGAGCTTTTATACGAAAGATCTCGTATTTGAATTCTAACGATGCTATTCAAGGTTAACGGTTTAGTTGCGCACGAATATACCTGACTACATCAGTTCCATTTGTAATGGCGGCCTTCTCAAGCTCCTGCTCGCTCATACTAAGCCGTCTGACTTTATCTGCAGCAGGGCGCAGTGCGTCTTTTAGTGCTCCCTTAGGCTTTCCGGCATGAATGGTTATAAGCCCTTTGTACCCGGGAGGATTTAATTGCCCTGATGATCTGCAATCACTCCAATCTTCTTCTTCTTCATCATCGCTACTGTTGCTCTGCATCCATGTTCAGTAATTAGTTATATTCAAATCTTACAGCGAAAGATAATATCTACAATTAAACCTGGCTATAGATATAGATAGTTAGTCACATCGTACTCACCCAGTCATCTATTTCAAAAGTTTCAATTGCATCTTCATAATAATCTTCATTGTCATCCTCGGTCCCACTATCTCGTGGCGTTCCCTTTTGTTTGATGCCGCTCGATTCGAGATACTCCTTTGGCGGTTTGGTTGAGATCATGACTCGATATTTCAGTACTTCCGGCGAAGGCAACTGAATCAAGCTATCTGACTCTGGGTAATACAAGATCTCCCCAAATATTTGAACCAACATCTACACATCCAGACACATACTAGAATTAAGCTTTCATTAATCAGTCATTAAAAAGGCAACATCATCTTATGCGATCGAAATCGAAAGGCTAAGCAATTACTAACCTCTGCAACTTTCTCTTGAAGCTCTGCTGTGAGATGATCTTCCAAGGTGATTATGACCGGATAGGGGGAGCTGACGAAAGCATAGTCTCGTATCGACTTCAAGCATTTGAAGAGTGATACAGGCGTGGTCAAGGTCCTATACAATTGATTAGCATGCATCCTCTCCAAACCACATTGATTAATGTATAGATTATTTACCTGCCGTGAAGAACATGGATCTCGTCCTTGGAGGAATTAGGCCATAAGTCTAGCTCAATCACTCGAACCCCTCTCTGTAATGCTCTTACAATGGGGACCTCGCTGCAATCACTGCTGAGTTGATTCCCAGTTAGGTAGGAATTATGGCCTGTGTATATGAAATAATGTGACAATGGCGCACACATATCATGATGCACCTGTTCAATCACATTATGTACTCTCTGTCAACATACCGGAAAACCCTAAATGATTGTACGTAGTTGATAATGGCTTTTCACCTGTTTGTTGATGGGACCATTGAGGTCGGCAGAGAGCAGGAACTGGAAGAAGTCGTCGAGTTTGAGGCCAATATTCTCGGCGTATCCCGTCGAATGGTGCCGCCGTTGAAGGATTTCGGCGACGAGCCTCTCGGCTTCCTCGAGCGTGCAATCGTGCTCGCTCTGGTGATCGGTAAGGAAGCTACGGAACTGATCGGCGGTCATCTCATGACGGCCCTCCGAATGCTCGGCGAATAGATTCTGGACGTCGGCCGGCGGCTCGGGCTCCGTAATTTTGAACTTGCGATTGAAGACGCTGAACATCTTGTAATTGTAACTCCCCTTATCGTCATCGTTATTGTCGTCGGCGTTGGGGTACTCTGCCTTCTTGTTCTTCCCCATATCGCCGTTGAATCAATGATCAAGTCCCAGTTACCCTTAATTTTTCTCCCTGATTTGGTTTTCTTCTTTCGGTATGTGGGAGATGGGGAGAGCGAGAGAAAGGAAATAGAGGAGAGAAGGTGAAGAGGTTGGGGAGAGGGCTACAAACAAAAGAGGAGACCTTGAAGAAAGATTTTCAAGTTAAGTCGTTAATCTCGTCAATTAAGAGATTTAATTAATAATCTGATTGAGATTCAACCATTGTGAAATGTTTTGTACATTTTATAACTAAATATATAAATAATTTAAAATTTTAATGACTAAAATGAAATTTATCTTATTAATTATTAAAAACTCATTTTTCCAATAAAAGAAAACTTACCTAATTATCTTGGTTCGCCTATAGAGATGGCAATCAAATCCATGATCGAGAGATCCGACCGCCCTAGATCTAATCAACGTGAGATTCAACCATTGTGAAATGTTTTGTACATTTTATAACTAAATATATAAATAATTTAAAATTTTAATGACTAAAATGAAATTTATCTTATTAATTATTAAAAACTCATTTTTCCAATAAAAGAAAACTTACCTAATTATCTTGGTTCGCCTATAGGGATGGCAATCAAATCCATGATCGAGAGTATCCGACCGCCCTAGATCTAATCAACGTGGGGAATCCCCGCAGGAACTAGATATGGGACGGGTATGGGTAAAACCCGCAAAAAGTTTGATGGGTATGAGGCAGGTATGGTTTTAACCTCCCCGCCCCATACCCATATCCGCAAATATGTCTTCACATATGAAAAATACTTAAATACATGGATCAAATTGAAACCTATCAATGATAATGAAAGTTAACTTAAGACAATATATAGTTGAAATGCAATTGAGTGGTCACCCAAATCTAAATCTAATTCGTTTTTTTACGTAAATTCTCCCTTCATTCTTTCACTTTTCCCTCTGGTTAACAAGATAATTATGTTAGTAAAGAATTATTTTGCAGACGTATGAGAGTTAGAAACTAATGATTTGGAAGATGTTATACTTTATCTTATTGATTAATAGATGTTTAAGAATCATACCATTCGACCATATTATGAATAATTGTATTTTTGTTGACTTAATGATATAATTGAAAATTTACATGTAAAGTCTTAGGTATAATGATATTGGATGTATGAGGCAGTTATTACACATGGGTACCCGAAACCCACGAGTATGACTTATGAGAATGGGTTTCCAAAACCTTTTCCGGCATGGGTATGCTGACTATTCCTATAGAACCTCCGGTACATATGTCAATCCTTGCTTATAAGTAAAATGAGACCTTATTCAATGATAACAAAAATTAACATTGGAGACTTGATTGGAAATTGTAAGAAGATGTGGGGACTGGCACAAACAAAAGGATAAGACACTTCAACCGAAAAATTCCCATGAGTTTTATCATTTTTTTTTTTTTTTCCTTTTCCTTCCGGCGGTGGCCGTACTCAGGCATCACTCATCAGTCGTCGATCGTCAATCGTCGTCTCGTCCGGCAGCTGAAAGAGGGAAAGAGGCGACTAGAGATGTCAACCACGAAGCGGCTGATCTTCGATGATCTTCTCTGGATAATTGCTCTCTCCGGAACCCTAGCTTTCATCCAGGTACGCCGCCTAGCCATGTTCCCTCCTCTCCATTTCTTCGATTAACGCGAGAAGTAGACGTACGGGTTAGGTTAAAAATGGAGAACTGAGCTACGAATTACACGAAACCTCAGCTCAATTCTGCTTCATATTGACTATCGCTTTCCTTGCAACTGGCAGCATCGATTAAGCGACCCTGGAATTTCATTGGAGTCCATCAACGCCCAGCAAGCTCGGAGACGTATGGATTTTTCCTATGGCCATTACGCTTCTCTGCACATCGCAAAGTCATGCTGCTTGCTAAAAAAGTGCGGGAAATTTTCGCTTGTTTGGAGTAGGAGAAGAAATTGGAAGGGGCTTGGAGGAAGAAGTGACTCACAAGTCTACTTCGATGTTGAAATCGGCGGGGAAGCTGCGGGTAAGAAGGCTGCTCCTTCTGATTTCTGATTCCAGATCAAACACTATCCAGGGAATTTTGATTTTCAGGTAATAAGATCGCTAACTGCACTTAGACCCATTTCAATCTCAGGTCGCATTGTGATGGGTTTATTTGGGAAGACAGTCCCAAAGACTGCAGGTAAGAGCTGAAGATCAATGAAACACAATGCAGCATTTCTTACTGTTCTTGGAAACTTGTGAATGGATGATGGATATCTTACTGTTATGAGTTTGTTGCAGAGAATTTTCAAGCACTGTTCACTAGTAGCCAAGTAACTCTTTCTCCCTCTCTGCTTGAGGTCTCAAACCTTTTTAGTTGTGCAGTTGTTCTTGTATTTACCATAACCCAATTGCAGGAGGGAAAGGGAAAAGTAGGGAGCCTCTGAGCTACAAGGGGAGCACATTCCATAGGATCATACCTCAGTTCGTGACCCAAGGAGGGGATTTCGCATGTGGCGATGGACGCAGTGGAGAATCAATCTATGGCGAGAAGTTTGAGGACGAGAGATTCAAGCTGAAGCACACTGGTCCAGGTAAATCTACTATTAGCAATTCATGGTTTTATCTTTTAGAGTCTCTGCGATCTTGGTGCAATTGGGGCTTAACTAAACCCTGAGTAATCTTACTCACAAAAACAGGAGTGATATTGATATAGATGGAAAATTCTGGTAAATTTCAGTCTTTTCGTTTTGGTAGCCAAATCGTTGCAGCTTATCAACTCGCATATTTTCCCAGCAAAGTCATTTAAGTCTCGATCGAATAGCTCAGGACGCTTATTAACAGCCCTATTCATTTGCCCCTGCAAAGAGTATAGCCAAATTCCCCTGTTCTACTCGTTCCCTGATCAGGGGAAATAAGCAAGAAACAGTACAAACAAGCAGAGACACGCAACTTTTAACAAGTCAAGAAGCTTCTTGCATTATTCATTCCACTCGGTTGACTTACTAAAGCAAAGACATCGACAGTAGATTTGTTTATTCGGCTCAGGCCTTGTTGCCTCCGTCGCGGCCGTTGGCATCCTTGCCGTTCCGGTGATGGTAAGAGGAGACGAAGTTGGAGGAGAGGTCGGAGTAGAGGGAGGAAACCGTGGAGATGTTGTGGTTGATCTCCTGGATCAACGGCACGTTCTTGGCCATGTTGTCGGGGATTCGAGACTGGTGATTGTCGTTCACCTGCTGAATCAACGACCTGTTCCTGTCCAGCACCGTCTGCACTTTCCGAAATGTCCCGCTGAAATTCGCCCACATCTCCCCGTCTATTTCTTCTTCTCCACCGCCGCGGCGATCGCGGCCATGGTTTCTGTTATCGTCGGCCATCCTGGATTTGGGCGGCGGAGCGGTGATCTAGCGCGGTGGGGGCGATGAGATGAGGAAGGAGAAGGCAGTGTGTGGGAAAATTTACGGGGACTGGCGATTTTTGTAATGGGAAAAAGGGAGAGAAGGAATCACCGTGGGGAGAAAAGAGCTGACGCGAGGGAGGAGAGGTTAGTGAAGGGAGGAGAAACGGTGGCGCGTGGTGGACCAAGTGGTGACGGCACGCGCTAGCGTTGCGAGTAGGGGGAAGGGAAGTGGATAAAATATCTTAGGCTGATTACGGATTGGGAGAAAGATCGCAAAAGTGCGGGTTGTATCTTACGCTTTTTTACACTTTTTCGGGACTTTTTGATACTTGGAATGTTTTAGATATTTTGCGCAGGGAAATATCTAGCATAGTACAAAGATGGGCCGGCCCAAGTCCAATTCCTCTACGGCCCACGGACATAATTGCTTAGGCCTACATCGTCTAGTAGAGCTAGCTGCTCTTGGCCCAATAATAGACACTCTAAGAAATCTCCGCTCTAGACATTTATTCATCTGTTTCTGATTGAATGTACTACAAATACACACTGAAAGTGAAAGGGATCATAAACAATTGAGATGTAAATTACTGCTATTGTTCTGTCAAGAATCTAGCAGGTGTGTATGGAGATTGGAGCTCACCTGCCTGTAGCTTCGACACTGTCAGGCCTTGCCATTTCTTTACCGACGAGGAATTCAGGATCGTCTAGAGTTTTGGACAAGCTTTCTTTCTACTCGGCTGGTTTTCTTTTCCTTCCAAGAATTGAAGCTCTCTGCAATCTAGGACCGCCCATTCTCCATTTCCTAAAGGCTGCCATGGAGGATTGAGCTGCTTCATACACTATTATCCAATGGGGGCAAAAGGCAAAAGAGCAAAGATGTCAACTTCTTTCAGAACAGTAGGAATGGAAAGGGACGATTGGAAAGCTGAGTTTTAGAGACAGAATCTCACAATTGGTTTCTTCTTTGGTTAGAAAGGTCATGATTTTGGATGCTGCTGCAAATGCTTTTGTGTGTGCCTTGTACAGAACCTCCTTGTACCGGGCTTTGAACGCGTACGAGACCAATAGTCCAATGCTCTTGTCGCAACTGTGTGGCACACACAAGTAGGCAAGTAAAGGGTTAGTGATATACATTGTGATGCAAGGCTCGTTAATTCTTTGGATCTTTGGAGATAAGATACTTCCAAGTTAGGGAAAAGGATATAATTTCTCTGATCAAAGCATATTTTTATATTTAAGGTGACAATGAAAGATCAAACACCTTCACATTGTTTTAGTAGTCTAGTAATACAAGCAAATGAGCAGAACAGTCATAAAAGCCAAACTATGGACAGTAAATTATTTCAGGAGTGCACTAAGGCAATGGCAACAGTGCTCGTTTCGCTAAACTGAGTGCAGTAATCATGCTAGAAGAAAAAGGATGTGCTGAAAGGGTAAGTGCCTCTTTGGCAGCACCAGATTCAAAATGAATGTATACACAGAAATTTAGGGTTACGGTAATGTGGAGGAACTTACTATGGTGCTACTTTACATCCAAACTCATAGAAGTATGAGCAGCGAGATCTTAAGTCAACAGATCCAGCATCAGCCTCAATTTCTAACCTTGTACTGCAAAAAAAAAAAAAAAAAAAAAAAACAGATCGGTTAGATGGAGAAATGAACTACACAACTAGTAAACAAGCTATCAAGCTATGTACGTAAGATTGACACCTAAATCAGGTTAGTTCCAACAACTGTGGACTAAACTATCAGGTAAAAACTTCACAAATTGGACTTTGAATGATTTTTCAGATCAAATTCCTTCTCCAACTGAGAATATATTGTGATAATAGGGGCAATGTACAGAAATCAAGCATGAGAGTGAAAGCCATTACTTCCTATTGAAACAAGCAGGAACTTTGATTGATATGGCTTGTTGCAAGTGCAAACCCCGTGCAAGCCAAAATGGCAGCTCTGCCTTTGAATCTTGTTCAACCTGAGAATAGCATATCACCAAACACTAACATGAGCACGCATCTTATTTTCCTCCCTCCTTTTAACATAACATTTTCCCCACACCATGGCAGAACTTACAAAGCCTCTTTCTGAACTTTCATCAATTTTCACCCCATTCACTGCCTTGTGGAATTGAACTGGCACAAACTGCAATCAACATCATAAAAACGAGAACTAGCAGCACTACAGGAATACAAGTTACAACATACACAGGTCACAGAGTTCTCACATCTTCTTCGGCAAGAATGTCATCAATGTCATAGTAATCCCCCATTTGTGTCTACTCTTTCTCCCCTGGGGAGTCTCAGACTATCCAGCAAGCCACTTCTTCACGCCTTTGAGATTGCAGAATCACGATGCGAAAACCGCACAACTGAATATCACAGCATCTCAGGGTTAGAATAAACCCACCTCCGCACCCAGAATCCAGAACTCGCTTTGTTTCCTTCCGCAGCGAAATAGTGAGATCCCAGTTCCAAGCGTTTGATACTGAGCCAAATCAACAGAACTTGGGAGAAGAAACTCTAGTTCAGTTTCAGCAGCAGCCTGAAATTCATCGAGACGGAGAACAATTCAGAACGGGGTAAAGCTATTAAAGCAAGAGGTGGCAACTAAGAACGAGAAAATGGATCCGGGGAATCCAAGTAGGCACTCGGAGAGAGAACCCTAGAGTGGTAGGAAAAAACGGAATTGAAACACAAACTCACAGATAGAAATCCAGATTTGAATTTAGGAACCGAAGCACAAGTTCCGCTGGCGGGAAAATTCCCCTCAAATTAAAGAAGAAGGTGCGATCTCACCTGTGGAAATTTTCTCGACAGCGATTTGGCTGGTCGGATTCTGCCCAATTTGTGAAAGTGTGGCCGTGAATATGGAAAGTGGAGAGGAGCTTGGGAAATGTCGAGAAGGGGGAAAGAAAGAAAAAGGAGGGAAACTCAAAATTGTCGAAATCGGGAATTTCGCTTCTCTGCGGGCTAATGCGTAGTGTAATTGTGCACCCTCATTAATCGTCGTTGAAAATTCTTAATCGCTCGGGGGCTAGGTACAAATGAAAGTGTGACGTCGTTACCGTAGGAGAACGAGAACTGGTCTCAATGTTGGTAATTATCAAAAAGGAACACATAGCTTTGAAGCATTTACCAAATAGTCACATATCTTTTATATTTCCTAAAATGATATCATAACTTTGAGATTTGTAACAAAATGATTACTTTCCATCCGAAATTTTGTGCAGTTTGCATTATCAGCCTTTCATGTCATCCAAACAATTAATAGAAAACTATTGAAACCAATCTTAGCATTTAGTCATTCGAAAATTGTCGGTATAGTCATGAAATACTAATCCGACCTTAGATCAGGAGCAGTTCCCCCTCAATAAGGAATGGTAGAGAGAAAAGCGGTCAAAGAGGATTGTTGATGTATCAATTGAATTCCCACAGTTTCTCTCGTTAGATCATGCATCAATCCTTTAGAACTTATTGGATTGGTTACATTGTATACTTCTATTAATTTGAAAAGTTTAGCCGATTACAAATTTGATAGAGATCACTATTTTGTTCTAATTCGTGTCAACTGTCATCGTTAATTCTCCTCGGTGATCATCATGCCTCTCTGGACATCGGATGGAAAGTTGGACATAACTACTTAATTGAAAAATATGGATAGTAGAAACTAGAAACGCCAAGAGTCCAAGCCTTCCATTCAAGGGTATGCTCGTAAACATCTCATATGCATAAACACCATTTAAACCTTGATTTAGTGACATATTATCTTAGTAACTCTTACACGATACCTAATGAAGAAGAAACTAAAGCATCAAATAGCCCTTTATGTGATTACTTAACGAAATGTCTAATTTTGATGGAGAAAACTGCAAACTATCGGTTTTCACCAACATTCCCAACAACCCAATCCTACTAAAGCATTCCTATTTAAGAGACTTGACCATATTAATCAGAACTGACTCAGTTTGCCTTTCTTTGACCCTCTACAAAGTGGATGATGATGAAGATGCTGTACAAATCGACTCCAGTTCTGCTGATCCCTTTGCAGAAGAAGTTGAGTTTTTCATCTGCATCGGCAATCAATCCCATCTTCTCTGCGTCTAATACTTGAGACTGCCTCTCTAGTTTTAGTCCCATTGACTCTCCCAGTGGAAGTTCCAAGTCGACGGATTTAGAGTCCTTTTCCCATCGGCAGCTACGAGATCGTATGGAGAATCCTCTGCGAATTCAACTGGCATGGATTTCCAGTGCAAAGAGGGGCTCCATTCTGTTGCTTCTCTCAGCACCTTCAGTATCTCCTTCACCACTATTTTGCTTCCTTCTGCGGATAAGTGAATCCCATCCCTGGTTAACAAAAGAGCAGCATGAAAGAAGGGTAATTTAACTGTTTGCAGCAACAATGTTTGCTCCATGGAAGATCAAGAAGGGATGGAATAAAGACCAGCACTTACGTGAAGCATGCAGTCTCCCAGTCGCTTATCGTTTGAAGTGCAGAGTAAAGATCAACAACCTTTATGTCCAGTTCCTTGCACAGCGTTATACATGCATCCGAGTACTTTTTGCAGAGTTCATTTGTCCTAACCAGCTCGCTCAAGTATGCACTGGTACCAAAAGCAAAGTGGGGAGAATCAGATTTCATCTGCGAGTTATATGTTCAGCAAAAGCAATGCAATTTTGTGTAGTAAGCGGGTGATGATGATGATTTACCTTGCGTTGGAACGAACTCTAACCTCATCAACTGGAGGACAGCTGAGAAAAATTATGCGTATCGTCTTTGAAAGGCTCTGGCATTTGACAAGGAAGTCTAATGAGCAAGCAATTTGGGTAAAGAGGTGATGCTAGAAAATGGGATTGAAGGGAGAGGAAGGACCTTGAGATGAAGTGCGATCTTCTTCATGTTTTCTACATACTCAGGAAGTGGAACATGAGGGCCTAACCCAGAAGAGTGTGGACCCATCGAATCATTCCCACCAAAATACACAATTACTAAAGATGGCTGCACACTAGCATCCTGCAAATTTGGACACAACCAACCCATTTCAGCATCAGCATCAGAGATTCACCAAACCATATCTACTGCTGTCCTAGAAATGGTACAGAGACAGAAATCTTTAGTGACAAAATACGCAGGCTGGTTCTTGCCTACAATCAATTTTGGAAACCAAAAGCAAGCCTTGAGACAGATTTAATCTCTCATAAGTCCCAGCTCAGAAGGATCTCTTCTCCTCCTATGAATCATCATGATGTGAGATTTCGATCAGTACTATGAATTACCTTTGGGAAGATGTCATCGAGCACCTGAACAGCACGACGCGAGTTCCATCCGTAGTACCCTCGTAAGATCACATCTGCCTGCAAATTGCAAAACCATTTTCACACTCCAAAGTGAGGCCAAAAAGGCACAATCGCCCAACTGCAGAAACTAAGCAGTGAATGATGTTTTTATCAGGTTTCAATCTTGTTCCTTTCCTCACAGCAACAGATAGCACTAAAGAAACTTTCAATAATCACCAAACAAATCTTGGATGCTCCAACTGCTTTGGGGCTCAAGATTTCGATTACCTTTCATACAGCAACTCCTAAGAAAAGGACTCGTTTTCAGGGCTAAATGTACGGAGAAGAGGGAAGGGGAAAACAACTAAACCGTTATGCCGATGCAGTAAGTATCGGTCTTTGAATTAATAACAGATGAAAATTCCCTAGGAAAGCCTGCGATGATTGAAGACTCCAGCGAGCTCGAATCGGCGTGGGTGGAATTTCGAGCAGAAAAATGGAGTAAGAAGCAGTCAAACAAACAAAAGGGCCAGGAAGAGAAACGAGAAATTGCACCGGGGCAACGGTGGAAACTCTGAAAAGGAATGTAACAGAAAGGAGATAGTAGGGTGAGTTACCCTGCGAGAGTAGATTTCGGAGAGAGAGGAACCCCAACCGCCATTGCCGAAGCTGAGCTGAACGATGGAGGAGCCGAAGAGAACGAACTGCGGCCTGGACGGTCCCACCATTCTTCCCTTTCACTTCCTATTCTCGCCCGTTGGATATCGGATTTCCCTCCCTCTAAACCAATTTCCTCCGTCTCGATTTCAATGGTTTCACTCTTCTGGTGTAGGAGTAGGAGGAGAAGAAGAACTGAAGAAGGGAGAAGTGGCAGGCGTTAATGGCGTGGTGTATAAAACAAACCAAACAGAGAGAGAGAGAGAGAGAGAGTCCGGAAAGAAAGGACAGAGGACAGAGCAGTGTTTTAATTTGTGGTTTTGCTATTTTCTGTCACTCCCCAAAAGAGCCATAGACAAGCTGCATTTACTCCTTCAGTCCTACTTCCTACTGATGCCATTACCAGCTAAGTTCCATGAAACCCCATTTGCTTTGCTACTGCTAAGCTCCATAACCATTTCTAATAAAGGCCAAATTGAAGACAACAATAAAACAAACCTCAAGTCTCAAGCTTTCATTACCAGCCAAAGGTTTCATGAATCCCCACATTCTCATACTAGAGTAGGGCCCGATCCGATGGTCGGATTCATTTGGTCAATAACTTAAACAAAAGTTATAATTGTAGGAGACATGACACATTTTTGTAGGGTTTATAAAATAATTTAAATTATTTCATCACCAAAAAAATCAAAAAGAAATATACATATCATAACTTTTTTTGATAACATCCTAACGGATTATTGTCCAAATTTTTTATCAAAAGTAAAAAAAAAAACATGTGTAAGGGAAGTGACATATAAAAATTGTATCAAACTGCATTTAGATTTACCTCGATATCAAAATGAATGCAATTTTTTTGAACTTATTTGAGATTGCTTCCCCATCAACATCCTTATATCCACTAACAAAAATGTACTTTATTCATTAAGTTAAATTACTAAAGAAGAACAAAAGATTTACCTTATCAATTATCTGAAACCTCTCTCTGTTCTTCCTCTCTAATGCTCTTAATTTTGTCCTCTCCATACTTGTTCTACATCTTCTTGGATTTATCAAGTCTCTTATGGGCTCTCTAAATTCTATAGTTTGATCTCCTCTAATTATTTATTATCTCATAGTCTATTTATTTTCCGTATTTTTGTCCAATTCTCCTCTAATTATATCTTTATGTTAATCAATCATGGATACCAAGATCCTCTCTTTCATCAAATGGTATCATAGTCTAGTTATCCTATCACCCAACACTGTCGCTTATGTCGTTACAACTCATATTAATTGTCTTCAACGAATTTGTGGAATTTACATGGAAGGTTCGGCATATATCTCGGTGTCAAAGAAACAACAATTATGACCAAGAAGGATGGTGCAACTACATTTTCAATTGAGACATTTATTTTGTCGTAATGAATTCATTGCAGGAGTTGGATTAAATTGGAAGTGAAAGAGCGGTCGAACCTTGAAAAGGAAGTATATGAATTAGTTTATACCAAATCTCGAGGAAAATAATCTTTTAGAGGGGATGTATTGATGAATTATTAGTTATTATTATGATTATCATTGAGGGTAAGAATTTTCTCAACCATTTTTATATTTTTAGCCATCCAAACCTTATTGTCCCCAAAACTTAATTCATTATTACATATCCTTGGATTTTTATAAATTTTATTCCTATGGCTCTCAATTCGCTTAATATTCATATAGCATGAATTATTCTTTATCTTGTTGTCTATTTCTCTCCTTAGTTTTGGCCAATTCTCCTATACTTAGTATCTTTTGATTAATCAATCTCGGGTTCCAAAATCCTCGCTCTCATCATACCTACAACCTTCACCATAGGCATGCTTTTTCTTCTTCTCTTGCATTGTATTGAGATAAAATTTTAATGATGAAATATAATTTATGCGCAAGTAAGAATTTACTTTTCCTTATCTGTCGAACTCACTTATAGAGTCTGCAATGTTGTAACCGGTGATCTTGATATGAAACTCCAACTCCATTGTCTTCATTTGTAGGAGATAAGGATGGGGATGTCCCCTCATTCTATCACTGACTTGTGTTAGAAGTTAGGTTTAAGTACCCATGTACATATTTTTCTTTTCTGACGTGGGTTAGGGCTTGGGGTGCAGCCGAGTATATATGTTTGTGGAGGGATTTCGGCCATTGTTAGCTTTCGTGAACGTGAATAAATGGATCGTTGCATTTGAGGTACACATACTGATAAGTATTTGCAAATTCAAGTTGTTTTTCTAGTCATGAATATAGTAATTATATTTCCATAATGATTTATAATTATGCTAACTTAAATATCTTATTACCTTCAATTTTTAAGATCTAAATGAAGCATGATTTGACTGATTTAATGATTTTCCAAGGACAATATTTATTTGAGATGTAGAACTGCAAAAATAATTACTAAAAACAATATGATATAGATACAATCTTAACAATAATTGAAATAAAAACATACTTAATGACTAAATAATTGAGATGTACATCTTAGACATAATGATGTTGTCATTTTTTGGCATAATACTACGGAACTATTTGCCTCAATAGGGAGAACCACCTTGGAGGATAAGTAAAAATCACATAGCAAGAAATTCATGACAATTCAATTAATCATCCATCCCTAAGCATGTGTTATTGTGACTATATTTTATAGGGATTATCTTTATAGAAAAACAATTTATTAGGGGCCATTTATCACAACTAAAACTTGAATTTTTATTCCATAGATGTAACATCGATTGAAACTTATTATAATTAGAAGGCTTCAATTCTAGGAACTAAATATTGAAAACACATTCATAATTAAGAAAAGAATTGTGAGGCTGAGTATTTTTACAATGATATTGATTAGGGATGACAACTTTGACCTAACACATTTTATCCGGTCTATTTAACATGTTTTGGAGTGAATAATATCCATGGTACTCTCCTCGATCTGAATGATATGTAATTCTACTTAAACTAATTAGGATTTAGCTTTTATGGCCTCATATTTTAGCAATAATAAAATTTTAAAAAGGCGTGATTCTCAATACCTTAAATAATTCAAATACACTTATCATATTCTTGAATAAATTTATAGATTTGTATCACATAATAAATTATCTGACCTAATACGGACGAACATATATAGATATGCATATAATCATCGATAATTTCTAATGCCGGATGGACTGATGATGCAGTGATAAGTCCAAGGTTGTCGTCCCGTGGGTCGAACCACCGGTTGACCCATTTTGATTTGGACCTGGTGAGAAAAATGGGCCACACACACATCGGGTCGACCGCTGCAAGGTACTGAGCTGGAGGTCAGACTATGTCTTTTTTTTCCTTTGGTTTGTAAAATGCTCATATTTTCCGATTTTCCTTTTTCTCCTAACCCAATCTTTGAGATCCTAAATTGAACATTCTAATATTGATGTTATATATGTGTTTGTGAATTTTCACTATATGTTGGATGCAAGTACAAAATGTTATTTTTGTGTAATATTACATGTTATTACTCATATGTTATATAAGATTTAATATAATTTATAAATGTATAACAATATAATGTATTTTCATATATTCGAGCTAAACCGAACTAAAATGGTCGAACAATTAACCCTCAACCCACCTACTCGACCGGGCCAATAGACTAAATCGGGTTGACAACCTTGAATTAGTCGAAATTGTTCAAGTTGATTAGTGGAGCTTGAATTTTGTAACAATGATGCCGCGAGAGTTGTAGGTTGAATTTTTATTTTATTATTATATATCAACAATTGGAGCATGAGTTTTAATAAGTTTTTTATATGTATCTCAATTTGATTAGGCTTTTAGCCCCATGAGACAGTAGCGGAATAGATGAGTAAACAAAAAGACTAAATTGTCCTTCCGTTCTATGCGCATAGGCAAGGAAAAATTGGATTGGGTGTGCGATCAAGGAGAATCTCCATATATAATTTGTATGATGATTGGATACATAAAAAAAAATTAAAAAAAGGTGTTGTTTTCTTTTTTGTTGAAAGTGGATAATTTATTGTAAATGCACATACAAATTCAGTAATTACTCGAGGTCGCAAATATTCGGAAATTCATCCTATGAAAATGGATCTTGCTTTTGTTTAACTTGGCCGTAATTTCAAGTCAATTTTATTCTTTTATTCTTTTTATTAAAGACAAGCCGAGAAGGTAGTAACGCAAGATCTAGTTCACAATATCGACGACAATTGAATAGTTCATGGAAGAGCACGTTTTGCTATGTAATTAACCGACTTTCTAAGACAAATAATAAACGAACACACTGCATAGGGGGATTCATGTGATTTGCATGCGGATTAGTTAGCCTAACCTGGTTCATGAAATCATAGAAGAAGAAAAATGAATTTCCACATGCTATGCTTCATGAGAATGGGAACCGCACCTAACCAAAGTTTGGGGGAAGGAGAAGAGGAAAATTAAAAGCTGTGTGATGGCCAACTACACAGAAAGTAAATGTCTTCCTTACCATTACAACAGTACAGTTTATAGGTGCGGGACAAGTCTGTGTATTCAATTCGCATACAGAAGAAGATACAGTACGAGATATTTTTACCCCCTATATAGCATTGACTATTTTTTTTTAATGTATTTTCACAGCGGATGTTGAAACACTTTTTTACTTTTTAGTATATGGTTTGATATTATAAATTTATAATATGAATATGTAGATTTGTATTCGGTGCACTCAAATAATTGGTACATACTATTACTATAGGGGCTAGAGGTGGCAATTGGATAGGATTGGTGGATTGGATCGGTGGATCCATGGATCAAATGGATTGGATCCAATGAATTGGTGGATTCATGGATTGGTGGATTGATTCATGAATCCAAATGATATCAAAGGCTTGGACCAAAATGTAAAATTTGAAAAGTTTTGGTACTAAAATGTCATAATGAAAATTTTTAGGTACCAAAATGTAATTTTTCAATGATTTTTTCGTATAAAAATATAAATTTTAGGTACCAAAATGTAAAATATAAAAAATATAGGTACCAAATCGTAATTTGCCATTTGGATCCATGGATTGATCCATGAATCCACGAATCCAATTGGATTTGGATCAAATGGATTGGATTTAAATGGATTGGATTAGGTGGATGGATTGGATTCATAGCCTCTAATAGGGGCGGAACTATTGGCAAACAAGGGGGTTGCGTGGCACCCGCTTGGATTTGGAGAAAAGCCCAAAAATTAATAATATTAATATGTTAATAATGATATTAATTCCTTAATTTCAATGTCAATTGTTAAATGTGGTATTATTAAACCACAACAAACTATGTAAATTAATTTCATCTACTAATATCTACATTTCTACATTATAGTCTATCAAGATGGATAGGAAATGCTAACTATTAGAGAAAATCACTAAATTCTTATGATAATGATATATAGCCGGAAAGAGAAAATTAGTTCTCATCAATGTATTTGCTTGTGAAAATTGATTTGATTTGCTACTACCAGTTGTCAATGTTCAAGTTGATAACATTTTATGCAGTGAAACGATTGACCATCCTTTCGCATCAAGTGAATTAAAATAGTGAATGGTTATTTGGTGTGATACATTAAGTGCGAAATCTTGATAGTTTGGCCGATTCATATAGATTACAATAATTGCACAACATGAAATATGAAACTATATGTGTAAATTTTTTATGGCACCCCCTTGAATAAAATCCTGGCTACGCCACTGACTATTACTATGTACTCGCCTAATAATCGTTATATTATGAGACGACGAGTATGTCAAGTCACTTGTGATATGATATACAAGAAAACACTTGAATTTGTAAAATCATTCAGAATTTGGGTTCCTTAGAGTTTAGCGATTTAGGGTTCGGGGTTTAGAATTTACAATTTGGGGTTTAGGTTTAGGATTTGGGATGATATTTTTTTATAGGTTAGGGTATTGTATTGATTAGTCATGATCCTACGTTGTGTAATCATATTAGACTAATGTTACCAATTAAAATTCAAAATTCAATGTCTTAAAACTAGTTTTAGAGTTGGGTGCATAGTATGCGCTCATTTTTGTGAGTGCGTCTATATAATAGCCATTTTATAGGAGGTGGTATAAGTTTGTTTTTAGTTAGTTTCTACTTCAGAGATCCGAAACAAAAAACCTCCAAATTTAAGACCAGTGATATTATCGTTGGATCCATTCTTGTTCGCTATATGATAGGCAAATGTTGGAAACCAACAAGTCCATGAGATGTGAATATTATTGCTAACCTACTCACTCTAATTCCTTCACAACTGACCCTTTCAACGTGATTTTTCTGGTGACCGAGAAGGTGATGGGAACTGAGCAGAATGATGCATGAAAAGATTTGCAGGATGGGAAGAGTGGACGCCGGAGGAGTTACGTGGAATGGTTGAGGGGAAGACAGCCCATTTAAACTTCCACAACTGCTCCAATGCTTCCAATTAATGAACTCAACGCACAAATTGTCAAACAAGGATTTAAATTGGTGAGATTATAATGATCCAACTCCAAAAGCAAACGTCAAATTTAATCGTTAATATCACTCTACTTATTATTCAAGAGATGAACATTACATGAACACCACATATTAAAAACACGAATGTCACATGTTACAGTTTACACTACTATGTCGCCATCCCGAATTTATTCAAAATAAACTAACAAAAGCAAACCAAAGAAAGTCAAATTTCATAACAAGGATGGAAAATAATAGCTGACCAACCAAGAAGATTTGGCAGCACCACATCAGAAACAAGAACACAAGTGGGTATTAGGGTTAGTGACCACTTATCTAACTCTGCGGCGGCCACCTAACTCCACTTCCCCCTAATTTTGTACTTGGATACTGTAACATTTGCATCCGGTCAACTTTCGAATAGGATGGCAAAATAATCTATCGTGATTCGTGAATATCTAATTGAATTTTGAATCGATTTTGTTGGAGAAAATTCAATCAATATTATTTTTGGGTGAATTTTTTCCGAACGCGAAAGAGGGTTAATTGATTTTGTGGGGTTTTGGTATTTTAATTTTTAAGTATCTGCGTCGAACTTGCTCAAATATGTGTTATAAGTTATAACTATGTCCTCTCATTCAAAATACCATGTTGTTCATCCATATCACTAAAACATTATAACGGAAAAAATCCCAAAGTACACTAGTTCTTAAAAAAAATTCCCAAAATACATAAGTTATAAAATAAATTCCAAAAGTACACATGTTTGAGCATCACCGTTTTAGACAAAAGCGGTGAAGGTCATCACCGCTTTTGACTAAAACGGTGATGTATTCACCGTTTTTGACTAAAACGGTGATGTATTCACCGTTTTTGACTAAAACGGTGATGTATTCACCGTTTCAAACTAAAACGGTGATTGCTTCACCGCGTGAGAGAAAAACGGTGAAGCACTGAACTGCGTCCAAACTTTAAAACAACGTAACTTTGTGCTCGGTTATCCGATCGTAGCGAATTTTTTTTTGATTCCGCATAATTTTTCGAGATCTTGCAAGCGCTCTCCCACGGTGAAGCAGTCACCGTTTTGCTCTCCCACGGTGAAGCACTCACCGTTTTGCTCTCACGCGGTGAAGCAATCACCGCCCTTCTCTGACGCGGTGAAGGCCCAAACATGTGTAGATTGGGAATTATTTTCATAACATGTGTATTTTGAGAATTTTTTTTAAAAACATGTGTAACTTGGGATTTTTTTCACATTATAACTATCTTTTGAATCTTAAATCTTTGTCATTTTTTCTCAGTTTTGTAAACAATATGACAGAGAAACTTCATTTTACATTGACGTTAAAAAAAACGTTTATATCTTTGTGCATGATTGTTTGGAGATGGTGGAGATTATCCAAAATCGCATGTTGATTGGTTTTGGTATAACATATTACGTCCCGCATAGTTTTTTGATAATGGGAATGGTTACGATTTTAACCATGGTTCGAAAATTATATACATGAAAACCAGTCCCACACTCACACTCGAACAGGGATGGCAATGGGTTGGGTTTTGTCAAATCCAAACCCATGGGTTTATCCGTGAAAAAAACCTGGAGTAAAATCCACTGGGTTTGAAAAACTCAAACCCAACCCACTGGGTATCCGCCGGTTCATGGGTACCCATGGGTTTTTTCATAAAAATTTTACAGTACAACTTCCTATCAAAATAAAAATCAAATATCAATCTCTCAATATAAATTATCCATATATAAAACACCATTCTAGAAAATTCAAGTAAATCACAAATTAACCATACAAATTGTTCAACACCAATCTAGAAAACTCAATAAAATTGAAGCAAATCACAAATTATCCATAAACAACATGATTAATTGAAAGCTTCTTCATCCTTGTCAATTAAGCTTCTTCACTCTCCACTCGATAATATCAAATTCATTCTACACAATTAGAAAGAAAAAATTAGACATGTCTCCACAAATTAGTTGTTTAGAATATTATATATACCAAAAAAATTAATTATATGAGTGTGGGCGGGTACCCATGGGGCGGGTTTACCTAAACCCAAACCCAATTCAACCCGATGAATAGTGAACGGATTTAAACCCAAACCCTACCCAAAACCCATCAACACGAATTTTACCCGCGTTGACTGAGTTGGGTCAGGTAGGGTACCCGTGAGTTCCAGTTTTGTTGTCATCCTACAATTGAACCCGTTACATCATTATTTTGGAGGCGTTCCATCAAATCCAATATATAATATAAATGTTTATTGACTATTAACGCAACAAATTAATTTAACAATAGGAGAAATCAAACGAATGAAGTAACTACTAGCCTACAACCAAAAAAACGAATGAAATAGAGCTAAAGACAGCTCTAGTCATCCCATCTCAACTCATAGATGAGTGATTATTCCATCACGTCCAAACAAATGAACAATGGTGCGGCCAATGTGCTATTTGGGTGCCTCCAAAATGATACAACAACTCAACAAGAATTCCTATTCATGTTTGTGTCTTCCCGCGATGGGATTTTAAAGAGTAGACAAAAATACCTGTATGAAGTGATTTGATGTATATCTATCCGCTTCCCCCTTTCCAGGGAAGAAATAAATGAGTTAGGTCCAAGTTCACAGCTCCTGCTAACTGGGGCTGTGAACGATGGCAAAGAATAATACATCTCTGGTTTTCATATTTATATAAAAGTTACAACCAAAATGAGTATGAGAGGCTGATCTCGGTTTCCGGTCTTCACCCGGTTAAAGCTCTGCGGAATTTAAGCAGCCAAAGCGCGAACTTCATCCCCAGAAGACGAGCTTCCAACCGCAGTTCGTCCAACCACACGTCGATCCAAGCTAGGATGTTAAATCTCCTCTGCGACTTCTTTGCATCGATAACTGCCTCTGACGAGATCTTTCCAACGATGAAAAATGTATCTAGTGATGATTCCTGCAGCTGTAAGACCAGAGAGAGCCAATCAATCACATGACAGGAATGCCTAGGTGGGGTTGGTAGTCTAGTGGCCAAAGATTAGATGGAATAATATTAGGTAGGGTAGTAAGGAATAGTCACCAAAGCATTGTTGACAGCCCGTAGACAGTCGTTTGTCTTCAGCATCAACAGAATAACCCGGGGAAGCCTCCTCAGGAGCTCAGAGATCTGGGGGAAATACTGAGATGCGTACATCTGGAGAAGGTGACAGAAAACCAAGTGCAAAGATCAGCAAAATTATCCACCAAGGCTAACAAGTTGAATAGGAGAAGCAGAGAGATTATTAGGTCAACACAAAAACCCCACCTGTAGTTCCGAGCGATCACTGTCATTGCCCTTTATCACCAAATGATCAACAGCTGGGTCAATGACTCTGTTCCAAGGCCTCATGGTGAGGATACCAGCAAAGAGTGGATATAGATCTTCTCCAGCTCCAAGTTTAACGCAATTTTCCTTTATGGCCTTTGCATCAGCAAATACTAGACCCTGTGGCAAGCAAAACCACAGAGCATCATATAGACCTCAATTAAGTCATTGACGAACGGAAAGCCAGTTGCAACAGGAGAGAAATCAGAAAATATACCTTCCAAAGCGAGGCGTAGTTAAATCTAGTAGAGAAATCTAGTTCCTTGTATAGACCGTGGTCTAAGAGCACCAACTGTGGTTTTCTCTTGCCTACAATTCACACACAAATTGGTTTCAATTCTAACTAACCACTATCTGCGTAATGTAGGGCATTTTTCTGTATTGGTTGCATAACAGTGAGCTTTCAATGTGTCCTATATAAAGAGCTTACCTAGAATGTTCCCTCCTCCAGAAGGAAAAGGGCGAATTATCAAGTTAGCAGCATGGGGATCACAGTGCACGAATCCATGCTTAAACATCATTTCAGCAAATGCTTGACTAACCTGCATGTTTAAAAAGCGAATTTCATAAGAGAATGATCATTTTATCAAGCAATGATAACATCTCTTGAAAAGGAAAAATACGGGGAGATAGACATGGCCTCCATCCTGGCGATTCACCAAAAAACAATGAGCTGACAAATAATAGGGATAGCCAGGAGCAAGCAAAATTTCTATTCTGGTCAAACAATATGCACGACCTTCTGTATTCATCTTTAGACAAAATGGTAAGCTTATAGTGTGTGAAGTTAGCTTGACTTAAGAGCAAACTATTTCCAGATGAAGGCAAGACCAATGAGCGGACAGTACAAGTGTGGGGTTATAACAAGACATATTTATCTGCTTCTGCATTCCAAGACACTGTCTCGGTATGGCTTAAACATGAGCATACGTATATGTAATATCAACATTTATATGTTAATGTATTTCAAGTGATTATCATAAAGCAGATACAATGACAATCTTATATCACCGCAAACACTTACCAACGTTGAAACTTCCTTAGGTTTGAGACCAAGTTTATGAATCGTCTTGATATCGTTCACGTGTGCACCGTCAATATATTCCATGGTCAGTAACTTCGAAGTGCTTAAGTTCCAATGAACCCTTGGTGCATAAACATAAGCTGCTATATGAGGAGATAGCTTCCAGAAATTTTCAATACATCTCTCGCTGTTCTTTGCTTCAACTAAGAAATCCAGTTCCTGTTCTTGAAATTTGAACCACTATCAATATTTATCCATAATAATAATAACACAAGGGAAACTAGTTAACCCTGAGCTCTTTACAATCTTCATTCAGTACAATGGTAATCACTTGCAGACTCAAAACCATGAAACGGGAAAGAAACAAGAGTACTTGCCTTGGGCAAACTCTCACTCATTTCATCAATCAACCATCTGCACTTTTAAGCCAAGGGAAATTTCATTAACTTTATCTGTTAAAGACCAAATATACATGCACTCAAGACCTGGCAGAAACAGTATCTAAATAGCAATAATACACCAGGATAAACATCCCTTTATGCATAAGAGACATACACCAAAACTGTAAAAATTAAAGCAACTTTCCATGAGAGTTACTCAGATGAGTGCTCTACACAAATAACTACGCCGGGTGAGTGTTTGACTAAGAAACTGAATATTGGATGTGGAAACAGAGGCAATCACCCAGGGTAAAGCTACCTGTAATCAAATGAAGGGAAAACATAATGTAGAGCATTCACAATCATATCCACCGTGGCATGATCTGCAGCAGCTGTATCTGTCATGTGTGTGTGCTGCACCTGAAAAGCAAAGCAATCTTAAAAGGACTTCATAGCAAACATAGCTGTTCCATGGAAATGTACAAAATTGTAGAAGAAAAAGCAGCTTTAAAAATTTGACCAAGGTAGTACGAATTATAAACCTTCACAGCAACTTTTTGGCCATCAAACGTGCGAGCAACATGAACTTGTGCGAGAGAGGCACTAGCTATCGGTTCAGGATCAAACTCGCTAAATAACTGCACGTGAAAGGTTCTCAAGAATCAGATATTGAACAATGATCAGGTGAATTTGGTAAACACAAAAATATATGGAGATAATAGAGACCCGTAGACTAGCACTAGAGCATTCAAAAGCCGTAAATTTTCACAAGATTGCAAAATACTTACTTTATCTGGTTCCTCCCCGAGCTCTTTCTTGACAACTTGGCGCACCTGATCATACGAAGACACTGGACATCTGTTCAACATCGACTCCCGCATTGTCTGAACGTATTCTTGAGGTACTAGATATTCCTGCATAAGAATAAGTTAACTAGAACTTGCAATGGATTGATTGATTGATTGATTGGTAGCTAGATGTGATTCATACAACTTGAGACAAAACCTACATGAACACCAAATCCAACTTGTACAAATCCCAAGGAAGCAGAACAAAATCATACCAGTTGCCCGATGTGTTGACCTAGCTTAATGTATATGCCTCCATTTCTGAAACATAGTTCCCGTAGCTTACAAGCAGACCTAAGGTGAACTTCATGTTTAACTTTCGCCCTCTCCTCGCTTCCTTCCGGCAATCCAAACAACGAGTACTCATAATCTACCAGCAGCAAACAATAATCAAGAATCAAAACCAACTCCAAAGCTCCTAACATCAAACCTAAGGGATCGTAATTGAACCAGCCAGGTCCATTGTGAAAGAATTCGAGAAAGGAAAACAGAACTGCTCTCTCCAACTAAGCTCAGCTGAAGAAGATGTAATGAGAATTATGACAAAAAAACGCCATTGAAAAGAGGTACCTATGAGCTCGAAAGTATTACACGGACAATCTAGCAAGTAAAGCATTCACCAAGAACAACAAGATTGGAATTAATGAAACGGAAGGATACCGAAAGCGATGGAGGCGGCAGTTACGGAGTCGCGGACAAGGCGAAGGGGGACAGTGGTGCAAACCTTGAGCGTGGTTGCTGGATCATCGGAAGTAGCAATTGCCGCAGCACCGCCGCCGGTGACAAGTGCGGTAGCTGCTACCGCGAGCTTTGCTTGAGCTCGCCACAAGAAACGGGCAGCCATGGGCGCAAACCGGCAAAAAGAAGAGAGAAGAAATTGTCTCGGTAAAACGCACAGCTTGAGAAAGAAGAAGAAGAAATCAGCACGCACAGTTCCCGACGAGTATAAGAAGAGCCAAAACGGACCTAATACATTTGGGCTGGATGTCACGGCCCATCCAAAATTAGCCCAATCAGAATCAGAAAGTTGGATAGCCAAATTCCCGTAAGCACCCTAAAAGAACAATTCGAATAACCTGCTTACATAATTTTTACAACTCAGATGAACCAGCATTCCACAAGAGTAAACCCTTTTTTCAAACATAGGAATGATCAATTAAGCATGTGGTAAACATGATTACATGACCTAGTAATGATTAATATAAATTTGTACAGTTCATAAAACCTACATTCCACAAGAATAATTTGTCTATAAGTCTATTATAACATAAGAATCGCCTAATTGTTGACTAGTTGACAAATAGCACAAGGATAATCAACGCTTTGAAAGATGAAGTTAGTATGAAAGCCACACGACAGCGGAAGAGAATGAAATCTCTATGCATTGATTTGTCGGACCCGTCACTCTAATGTGGGTTCAGTTTACTGCCTTCGCATTAATAATGAAAGAGTGCCTTGTTCTAAAAGTAAAGTGAGCTAGACTCGGAAAAGGAATCAAAACAACCTCGCGACGTGCCATACGATACGAGCCCCCACCGAAACCATTAACCATGGCTTGATTCAAACATTCTCAAATCAAGTATCGGCATTTTCCAAGCTTCATCGATAAAGTTGATGCGATCAGAATCGTGTGAACTTAATCACAACTCAAAAAGTAGCGATAGTTACTTGGTTTCTCAATTCATAAAAGTATGTCAGTCAACAGAAGCAATTGAAGGAAGAGCCATAGTATCATTTCCTGAGTACTGATGAGTGGCACTTGTGTATATGTTACGAAAGTCAATCGACGATATGTTGGTGTCCTGTGAGGAGTTCTGCCAATTTCTTGTCTTCGTCAATAGAAAGAAAAATCTACATTATGTAAATTCCCAAACAATGAGACTTTGAGAAATACAAAAACTAGATGTTGTCATCGTTTGCATAAGAAAAATACAGAATTAGTGACACAAATGATCACTTACGATAGGGATCATCAATAAAAACAACCACTTAAATGTGCATTTTACAAGTTAGCAACCCGCACTACACTAACTAATAAAATGTTCACTTCGTAATGACGGGAAATTAACGTAATAACCAGTTTTGTGGTTATCTCAATCATAAGTTTCTAACTTGTTAATTTAAATACAAATGACCAGTTTTGTTCGACAACACAAACCAACTAGCCAACTATGATAGCCATGTGATAGGTAAGGAGTCTTAAATATACAATTGAATTATAGTTTTTCATTTTGTTTTTGTTGGAGGGGGGATTCCTTTCCATATTAGAATGAAACAATTAGATAGGAACCTAGCTAATATAGACCAGAATTATTACTTGGATAGTGTACTACTCATATAATTTCATTTATAATTGCAATAGATAGATGTAGTCGTCCTAGTAGCTGATCAAACCAGGAAGCCAGGCCTCTGAAGCAATTATCAGTGCTCCTCCAATGAAGCTACCAAGCTCTGGCCAAACTGATGTCGACCCCAACCTCTACTATAAGTTGGCAGCACTCACAGCCTCATCGAAACCATCCCACTTACGCCGCAATTTCGATCTGTAAACATGGCGGCGAAGTTTTCACTACTGCTAGTAGCCTTCCTCTTCCTTCACTCCGCCATTCCAGCAACCGTCGTGGATTGTTTCCAGCACGACGAGCCAGGTGGGGATGGTGTCGAACACCACTCCACGCCTCGCCACATGGCGCTGCTAGTCGATTTCGGTGATCATGATGAGACATCGTTTTATCAATATATAGCAATGGAAACTGATGAAAATGATGCAGAGGATATTGATGAGTTGATTTCATCGGAGTTGGATTTGGAGGAAGGATGGACGTCCGGGCTAGCTTAGCTCACTACAGACAATTTGCCTCTGTATATAAGCTATATTTCCCTGTAATTATCGTCATGTTATTGTAGATGTTCGATATAGATTTTGGGCATTGGGCACATAGTTGTTTGCAACCAAACTCTATTCCATACTTTAATTTCTGAACACGTTTCTATGCCAAGAACCATTGCCTTAATGTGTGGGCTTAATTTACAGTCTCAATAGCGCCTGAGTGCCTTGTTCTAAAAGTCGAGAGAGCCGGACTTGGAGGAGGAACCAGAACAGCTTCCAGACGTGCCATACGAGCTCCCACTGGAACCATCAACCGGGGCTTGATTCAAGCATTCCAAAACCAAATACCGGCGTTTTTGCAGCTTTATCGACAACGTAGTTGCCTCCAGAACTGCAGGAACCTGATCACAGCTCGGAATTAGGCGATAGTTGCTCGGTTTCTCAACTCACAAAAGTTGGTAAGAGTTCAAAGAGCCATAATGTTCTTACTTGAGTGTTGATGCGTGGCACTCTGTGTATGTTAAGAAAGCCAACGATCTCCTGGTAGCCCGTGAGGAGTTTGGCCAATTCTTTGTCTTCGTCTGGGGAAAGCAAAATCTTCAATACGTAATTCTCATAACATTAGACTTTCAGAAATGAAAAACCACCGCATTAAGAGACAAACCTGGGATTGCTTTAACTGACACCAGGCAGTCTGCCAGGTGCTGCCACCTTTTACAGAAGGAAGGCGATACAAGGGAAGAAGGGAATGTAATTATAGCAACTGCATTTGCAGACCGCACAGTGCTCTTCAATGATCTGATAAAGGAAAGCATCTCCCATTCCTACAGGAATCCACAATTTTTTTACCACGGTTAAACATTTGCTGGGAAACAGGGTTAAGAAGAAAGAGATTACGCAAGGTTAATTAGAGCGATAGCAATCTGTAATCCGAGTTAAATGAGTACTGCTAGTACCATGTTGGAACTTTCACATTGGGGTGCACATAACGATTGAATGGCAATACGACCCGTGCAAGCAATGCTCGCATCATTTCTGAACATGACAATTAGAAGATTGGTAAGGCCAACAAAGTAGATAGTAAAAAATGCACGTCAATAGACCTATAGAAGAGAATTGTCATGCTTGTAAGCTGTAACAAAAGCATGAGTTGTGCGCGTGCAAGAAAACGTGCATCTTCCACAGTTTATTCTGTGGCCGTAGCCAAGGAATCTCTCAAATATTGTCAGGAAGTTCACAGAAATACCTGGGAAACTGTGACAAAAATGAAGTGCATCGCTCCTGAAGAGCAGCAATATTTGGTAGATCTTTGGTGCTAATACAGTCTACATGCTGCCCTGTGTAAAAATGTCTATCCAATGGCCTCCGCAAGTCAAACTCATTCGAGAATTCTTGTTTGTTATCTGCAACAAATGAACTTAACATTATCATACAACCATGTTCCACCCTGAACACAAACTCATAGAGCGACAGACCGAAACAAGATCATGCCTCTTTGACCATCAAGGTTTGACTGATTTTCACCAAAGTACTTCTTGTATTGCCAAGCAATTCTCAAACCCTTCTCCTGCATTACCAATTTCCAATTAGACTAAGTTGAGATAATGGCAAACAGAATGTAGAGATCGGTCGCAGCGTAAGACCTGTTCTGCATCATGACTGCGGGATTTATCATCTTTGGGGGACGAAGGACTGGGCAAAGTACCCAAAAACCCTCTTGGGTCTTTGGATGGACTAGCGTAAAGAAGAGGCTGCTTTTGGACAAGTCCCTGAGACATGAAGTTCCTCAGTAAGAGCATGTGATGAGGTGCTTCTGAATCTTCCATCACCATGACCAAACTCCCCAAAGGAATCCCACCACCTAGGGTCTCTAAATAGTGGGAACGAAATCACTTGTAATTAGTTTCAGTTTAAAGGAATTCCATTCTCGTGGAAAATAAAGGGAAAATAGTAGATAATATTTACTGTCGAGGTCAGGAATTCCAGAGGAGACCAAAAATGTGCCATTAGGACCGCACTTGATTTCAGGGCTTTGGGCAGAAGATGCAGCCGGCAGGTTGCGAGAGAAACTGCTTGTCCGGGTCTTCGTAGCAGCCATTGCTCCTCCTCAAAGTTAAACCCTCTACGTCAAACAGAAACAATTATAACTAATTAACGACGGCTCATAGAAGCTTTTCATCGAACACCTAGTACGCATCTTAGAAATTAAGCAGAGAGTCAAATTATTGATGCCGATTTAAGCTTTAGAACCAACCTGCTGTTGCTTGCTTGCTTGACGGACTTCTCTAAAGGCAGAAGCTTGCGAACAAAGCCAGGACGGAGGACGAACAGTTTCAAGTTTACTACCAGGCTGCGGCACCCGGAGCAAGCTTGACAAACAACCGTCCTTCAAAGAACTGTCACTTTCTGCTTCCTTTGATTTCTCAACAACCGATTACTGATCACAGACTACGATAGTGAAAGAAAGGCGTCAACGGCTGTCTTCTCCTTTTCCCGGTTCAAGGCTCGACGCTACGAATTTCCTTTCTCTAACCGCCGATTTCACGGTGAATGTGAAGACAGAAGTTCGTCTCGGCCTCCGCCTTCAATCTCCCCGCCGCGAACTAGCATTTGGGCCCACCCTAACTAAACGGGCCTCAACTTTCGTGTGTAGCATTCCTGATCGAAGCCCGATATCAACATCTTCGTATCTCAGTTCTCTAGTCGGCCCAAGCCCAGATTCCTTTCTTGACAAGTTTGCCCAACATTTTTTTTTTCCTTTGACAACAAATTTTGCCCAACCCAAATAAAAACAAACCGTGCATATCAATTCCATTGTTTTAATATCGCAATACTATTAACAAATCACTATAAAATCCAACTTTTAGCATGCGAGTCAGTGCGATTTTGTATGGTACTCAACTGAACATTTTAGCAAGCTTTCGTTTCTTGCAACTAATTTTTTCGGATGATCATTTTCTTTAATAGATGGATAAGAGACATGTATAAACCTAAAGCCACAATAAAAGCAATACAAGGATTATCAGCATTCTAAGAGACAAAAGGCTACTTTCATTAAAGAATAAAATGGACTATAAAGTTTTTGGTAGTATGCTTAACGAATCTTTATCCATGCATTGGTATGCAATGTAGTGTCCTCTTTCTATATCCACCTGTATTCTGATATGCACCTAACTTTTAATCCTTTAATATTTGAACAAAAGATGTCTGCTTTAATCAAATCCGTTCCAAAGTGTTACGAGGACAAGAGAGCAAAAGAAAGGTTCCAGGGAGACAAAGAACCAACTATGATTCCGTTTTACAGCGCAGATTCAGTAGATAGGCTGTCTATTCTTAGTTGTCAACTAATTCCCCATCTTTAAAAATATATATATATATATATATATAACAGTAATAGGGCAGGCAGTTAGTCTAAAATGGGATCACCATTGGAAAAGCAATAATAACATTGGTCGATGATCAAGTTGGAGTGTTGAGTACTAGTGGGGAAGTGGTGTCATTTCTGCTTCGTTGTCAAAGCCTTTCATAATCGTATCCTTATCATAATCAACGATTGTAATTTCTTAGCTAGCTATTTCCCATTTCCTTTCTGTTTATGATTTGATCTCTTGATTTTTTTTAAACCCAAACAGTAAAGGCTGTCGCTTCTTGCCTAGCACGATTTGAATCCTTGTTATTCAATAAATAAAATAAATCTTCATCAAAATCTATCGTGTGTGTTCAACCGTATAAGTGTTTGGATTATGTTCGAAGTACATACACGTGTAGAAAAATACAACAACATCTACATGTATGTGTGAATCTCCTCACGAGATATCCTTCATCGGAGTGGAGTACTATAATTAACATTATCTTATAATATTTTCATATTGTAAAGTTTAAGATCACAGGTGGGCTACTATATGTCGGATTCAAACAAATGGACGTAGCTAGACCTAGGTTGAGAAATTAGATTAGGGCAACATCTGGACAGGTGTGACATCATCCCCCATGCACGTATGACTGATTGTAGTTAGTTATATGATCCATCGAGAAGTTGTTGTTAATTAATAGTAATTACTGTGTCGCAGTCATGGAGATATGAACCCCCAAAGATTTTGATGCATAATCTCCATATGTTGTGTCATCTCCTAATGGTTAGGACCAAGTTTACGGATATTGACAAAAGGGAGGAACATGACACGTACTAGGTGAGTAAAATGCGTGGCGACACTAGGGCTGAAAATTGGCCCGACCCGCTCCTGACCCTGTCTGACCCGCCCCTGAAGGGTCAAGTTGTATAACTGACCCGCCCCGACTCTGTTTCTTTCATGACCCTGTCTGACCCTTTAGAGTTTGATGATAAAATTACGTTTTGGTACCCAAATTTTTTAATTTTTACAATTTAGTACCTAAACTTATAAAATTTTACAAATAGGTCCAACATGTTTGTATGATGCTGAGGGTCAAAGGGTCAAAAAGTGACCCGAACCTAAATTGACCCGACCCTATCTGACCCTGACCCGAACCTAAATTGACCCGACCCTATCTGACCCTGACCCGACCCTAAATTGAACCGTAGACAAACTGACCCAGCCCGACCCTGAGGATCGGGGCGGGTCAGTGGGTTTTAAGAGTCAAACTTACACCCCTAGGCGCACAGGCGAATGCTTGCACTTAAATTTTTTGGTGTATGTCAATCGAAGTTATGGAAATTATAATTAAAAATATTTGGGAGATATTTTATGTATTATATACATAGATAAATCCAAAACAGTAAGAATTGGATTTGGAGCCGTCGTAATCAATTGTCCCACGATTAATCCGCGTGGAGTGCGCGTGTGTCATGATGTTTTGCAAGGCTAAGATCATGCCTTGCGTCCCCTATTTACTTACTTCACAAGGCACGGGACGGGATATTGATTATTGAATAAGCCGCGGGGATATTTTTTTATAAGCATAATATAAGTTTGCTTTAGTAATTAGATGTTTTTTATTTATTTAACAAATTTGAATTTATAAATTTCCGAGTAATATCAATCAAAATTCATTGAAACAAATGAGTTGGAGCAAAGTATTCACAAATAAAAATGGTGAAGAGAACCAATTGAGTACTGACAGATTTCAAGTTTGTAGATTGATTTATAGTTTCATTTAAAGGGTAGTGTAGCAATAAAACAAAACACACTACTCTCTCTAGCTTTTATTTTCATTTTCTTTTGGCTATACAAAACACACTATTCTAGCTGGTCTTACGACATCTAACAACTATTAAGCCAAATGGACACACAATTAATGTTTTGCCCTCTTTATATTCCGTGGATGCTGCTCGATTCTATTTGTATGGACAGTGCTTAGCTTTATATACAATATTAATTAATCATGTGGTTGGTTAGGGTTGGCTTTGATCAATGTTTTTGTCCACAAACTTTTACTCGATGAATCCAATTGGCAACTAGATTTCGTTGGCATGATTCCTAACTGCCTTTACGTACAGCCAAAAATAGTCGGCTTTCCTTTCTGACAAAATGTTTATAACATTTACAAGGCCATAGGCCCATAGCCCATAAATAGACCTAATTATTATAAGCTTCTGATGTTTAGGCGGTTCAGTACATTAGACAATGTTGGAGAAGCCTACAAAGTGCATACAATAATTCACAGCTAACGTTGTATAATAATAATAATAATAATAATAATAATAATAATAATAATAATAATAATAATAATAATGCTCAGCTAACTAAGTGGTTTAAGGATTGCAGAGGCAAACGTACAAAAAAACTCTTGTTTCTTTCCCCATCCTCTGGCTTGAGATGTATGGTGAACTGGCCGGAGCCATTTCTCAATATATACCCCCGTCTTTTTGCTTAGATCGATGAGGCGTTTGTTACAACCCAGCTCTAATCCAACTCAGAAAAAATTAGTGTTTGTAAAATTGTATCGTAGCGGTTATCCTGTTCGATTGGAAAAACCTCTTTTCGCAGGTTAAATCGGTAAAATGATTCTTAACTATACAAAATGGTTGGATCAGATTAAACTTTAATTTCAGCACAAAATATTGCACTGTAAACTTTTTTTTAATACAAACTCCGAATAATTTTACAATTCCCACATAAAATTAGAGTGCGCTCTGAATTAGATAAGACAAAACCGGTTTTTCTTGTGTTGATTGGGTCAGGATGGTTGGGTACTCAGGATTTGCTTGCCATATGCGTTCACAAGTGAGAAGCCTTCTAGCTAGGGATTTATACAAAATGGATAATCTGCGAAGAAGAAGGTGACATGAAACTTCTTCCCGGCCCTGAGCTTAAATAAGGCAAGGGTAACTTAATTAATTATTAAGTGGGCCAGAATAAGAATAACTATAAGCAAGCAAAATGTCAGCTGCTCGAAGAAGCCGTCGTGAATCCAATTTTGACGGCCTTCCTGGCTCGGAGCCAGTCCGGCCAAAGGCGGCTTCACAATTTGCACAAATTAAAATATTTGATCAGTTAAGTGTCATGTAATTTTTTTTTGTCAAAAGATATCATCGAAACCGTAGACAGTTACACTCTGAAAACCAGTCAGGTCTGGAAATCAAAGAAGCGATTCATAGTCGGATACAAAAAGAGGGCTTTCCTAGCTACCAAATGAGCAACCCTATTGTTCTCCCGACCTACAAAACAAACACTAAAGTCAGGCTGAGAATGAAAATAATGAGCAATCTCTTCCAGAACAGCACCCAATCGGCTATCTCTTGTGTCGGCTTAATTCTGTCGATAATCACGTTCACGTCATGTAATTAAAGTCTCTCTTTATTATTATTTTTTTCACGTCCGTATTTTACACAGATTCACACATGTAAAAGTCTCGTATGTGGCGTCGATCGTTCGTTGGAAGTTGGATTCGGTTAACTTGGAGAGGCTGCTTGCTTGCTAAGCCTCGGAGACGCGCTGGCGTAGAATATATATATTCCAATTTCCAAGTCTTCGATGGAGCAAAATTGAAGGCCACAAGCTCTCTGCCTGTCCCACTGGAAATATATAGCGTGAATAATGTGAAATCAAAGCCACCCTCTTTTAATTAATTAGACTTTGACCAAACTCACGATAAGTGAAAGGAATACAAGAAAAACGTTTTTTGTATTTGCTTTCCACGAGTGGTAATTAAGGTAACTAATCGAAGGTTCAAGGGTTATATGATGAATTATTGACGAGGCAAGTGAAATTTTCAATTTATACCTATTGTTACTTTTCCCCCAATTCGTTTACTTTTATAATAAAATAAAATGAATGGTTTTCAGTCTCTCCATTATATCAGTTTGGTGAAGAAAAACGGTTTAAACCAGGTTTGTTACGTCGTTGACACATTTTAAGTTCCATTTGATAAAAGTTCCATTTGAATATATGACTCGCGTAAATGTGACTCGCCCGTGCGTCTAGTTACCATCTTATTGTTGGCTTGAATATCATATGATGAGTACGTGCATCATTTCAAGATGTTTGTGCTTTGGAGTTAGAATCGGAGATAAAGTTAACAATTTCGAATGGAAACGTGGTGATTGATATGGGACAAAATTTCTATTTGAGGAAAATAAAATATATGTTTCGTACATAGATATGTTTGTTTTGAATCATAGTATGTGCCACTTAAATTTACACGAATGAAGTTTGAACTTTTTTATTCTTTCTAGATGGTTTATTTGACCATTTTAAGCGTTACCTATTGATTAATAAACACGGTAAATCGTACTCCATTTCCGAGATAGATGATGAGATAATCTCGTGTTTAGTGAAGCAACTATTCTTACGTGAAAAATAATCTAAAAAACTATCCTTCTATTGAATTTTCGTCTATCGTTTTTGCTGGTAATTATCCTGTTAAATATGTCATTATGTATAACGGGGAGGAAGTTGGTGATTATAATTATTAATTATGTCCTACAAAATTATTAATTATGTAGGTTTATTGCAAAAGCAATGAGATAATGGATATGGCTTGGGATATATAGATACTGATCTTTTGGGAATCTATAAAGTGATGTGAACATCTCATGCTTCAAGTAATCACTTTAACAAAACACTATTTTCTATAAACCTGTAGCAGCTGTGGTTTACTAATTAGTAATTACTATTCTTTTCCCCCGGGTATGATGTTTATTAATTAATTTCTTTTGTTAATTGTGAAACAGACTAAGACTGTTACATAATTGACTGAAAGTTGATTTTGAAATGAAGGCTTTAGTCCAGATACAACTAGGGCTGCAAACAAGCCGAGTCGAGTCGAGTTTTTGCTTAGCTTGAGCTCGGCTCGTTTATTAATTTTTCAGCTCGAGCTCGGCTCGAACTCGAATTTTGATAATCCAGCTCGAGCTCGAGCTCGGCTTGAATAAAAATAATCTAGCTCGAGCTCGACTCGGTAGAGCTCGATAAATGCTCATTAACATAGCTTGTTAAGCTGAGTACAAGCTCGGCTCAAGATGAGCTCGATTTAAAATCATTTTTGCTGGAAAAATGTATAAACATAAGAATTTAAATGATAGAAAGAACACTAGAAACTAGAAATAACATCTAAATTTCATACACATCTGTATTATAAGACAATGTTCATGTTTAAAAGAGTAATTCATCCTTCCACAAGCTCAAAACAAGGCAGCTCGCGAGCTTAGCTCGACAAGCCACCGAATCAAGCTAGCTCGCGAGCTTATCAAGCTGAGCATGGTCTAGCTCAAGCTTGGCTCGTTAACTAACGAGTTGGCTCGCGAGCCGGCTTGTTAAATAACGAGTCGAGTGTCGAACGAGTTTTTTCCGATTCGAACGCCGAGTTGCTCGCGAGCGGCTTGGCTCATTTGCAGCCCTAGATACAACACCCTAGATCTATGTAAACTGTACATACAATTAAATTAATATTGTAATAATTTATTTATGTACACTGTACATATAAAATTTAAGTTAAATTCATAATAGCTTAGACCACCAAACACACATGCTTCTCCTCCTCCCTAGCCGTGCTTAATATGCATTCAATGTGATTAGATCTTTGTATTATCAAGCTCGAACTATACTCATTAATAAGCTAACGAGATCTAATCAAGTTCAGATCATCGATCGGCTTGTGAGTTGCGAGACCGGATCGAACTTGAATATCATAGTATTTAGTTCGTAAATTATAATTGTTTATTATAATGCTATTTAATAGTAATTAATTAGTATATAAAAATTTATGATACATAAATTATCATTAAATTATAAACAAAACATATTTGACGATGTACTCAAAGTCTTAAACACCATAACTAGTTGATACATAATAGAACAAATCAATAAATTATGATAAATCAAACTCAATAAGCTATAAATTGATTTACACATAAGCCGCTAGCCATATTGTCGAGGCAAATCATAGCTCAAAATGAACTAGTTAACTAGTTGAACTTAACAAACCACCTAGTCAAGATATATAATGAGCCTTCCGAGTCCAACAAAACTTATCTCAATCTTTTCTCATTAGTACACAAATCAAATACCGAATGAAATATTCCCAATTGAACACACCAAACCGCTCATGTGTAGAGACTATAGAGAGGCAACTTGTCCATGTACCATGCCCGAATCAAATCTGAGACAGTGTCAGGCACAATGATTTTTTGTCTACAACGTCATACATCCTTTTCATTACATTTGATCTGATGTGAACTATACAAATGGCTAAACCCTAAATTATATTCCATACGCAGCTAAGTTTTTTTTATATGCTGAATATGCAGTTAAATTCAAGCTGCAATTTTTTTGACAAAGGAATCTTGGATTGCACTTCGAATGATGGAAACAAAAACCTTCTCTGTGGACAAAAATCCACATTGAACAGTAGAGAATAAAGAGTTAACCTAGGCCTTTTTTACTATTGGTTGTAAATCAACTGATAAATTATATTTCCCCTAAAAAAAGCTATATATTATATCTTATGAATACTTTTGCCCATTCTTGTAATCACAAAAGTTGAGATTCATTAGCTTGAATTGATAATTAAAGGATTCGTTCTTCTAATTTGTTCATTGGAATGTTAAAATGATTCGAGAAACAAATGATTGGGCAGGGAATAAAATTAGTTTATCCTTTCTAATTGTTTTTTGCGTGGGGAAATATAATTTAATGGTCATTTGTATTTAATTAATTTATATATGTTTGATTTGTTCTCATGACCAACCACAACTCAGGATTAAAAAAAGTTATTCTAGTGGCTACTAACAAAATAGAACTCTGTATAGTGACCAATCAGGTAAGCTATCAAAGAAGAACAAAGTCAATCACCAATGCCTTAATTACCTCCGCCCAACGAAGCATTACATCCCTGTCGTCAAACTAATTTCCCATCATATAAGTATGTTCGGGTGCTCTTATCTTTCGGCCAATAAGGATAGTATAGCTTACTTGGCTCAAAGACAAGAGCAGCCCAACAGCTCACTGAGCGTCGCCGAGAGGCATGGCTCATTTGGAATGGAACAAATTGCAGTATGGGCACCAACAGAGAAGTACATATCATGCGTCCGCTTTAGTCTGCAACAATATTTCGTTATCGATACATATACAAAATGTGGTAATTGATTTTATATTGATATTACTAACTGACTATATATATATTTTACATAAAAATGGCATTCTCCGTCCTAGCTACATTGAAAATATGCTGTGTCAGCACTATTGTGAGTTGAAGGTGGGGAAAAAAAGAAATCAGGAAAACTCCGAAGGAAACGACGTTGGACAGGAAGAGAATTTGGGTTTGATAAGATTCGCAAGCATGAAGGTTTTGCATGTGATGGCATGAACATGAGCTCGTCCCAACGCCAACGGTCTGTTCCACCATACCCGCTTCCTTGATTGATTAATTGGCTGCTAAAAAGCTTACTTACTGCTCCTAATTGCCTGCCTTTACCCTATTATTTTACTAATTATTATGTTGTCCTGCACTCTTCTTTTGTATAAATACTATTATAATTTCATTTGCAGTATTTAACTACTAGTATTATCACTTGGTGGTTGTATTAATATAATTAGCTTCCGATCCTTTCCTTCTGGTAGTTAAGTACAGCTCGACTTTATTGCTTATGGCCCATAACTCTTATTTCTTTATTTTCCACCAACCTTCACGCTCTGCGGCTCTGGCTTTTTACGTTTCTCTAATTAAAATCAATTCAACCAGAATCTCTATAGGTTATGCACCATCCAGGCCTTGATAGGGAATAATCAACCATACAATATACCTCATCGAGCCCAACAAACCACTAAAGAGGAAAAAAGAAGAGTGATCAAATGTAAAAGTAGTCTTCTTATTCTATTTTTTTTTTCTTTTCATTTTCGAGTGGAACCGGTGATACGATCGATCGATAAATGAATGTTCTCTTGATATCTGAAGTTTACGATAGAGTACAAATGCTGAGAAGTAATTACAAGATTTCGGGATCTAGGTATGGCAATGTGCAAAGTGGAGGGGCGAGGAGTTGAATGCACCTCTCATTTGTGTAGGCACATATATCCTCGGAAGAAAGACAAAACAATGTCTTTGTAGTAGAATATTCTTGAATCTTTTATAGGAATGAGATCTCCTCGAGAAATTTACGGAGGGAGAAGTAAAACATAAAGAGAAAAATAGTGGGTTCGATTGAATTCTCACCCGGGGGAGGGATTAATGATGAATGGAAAAAATTGAAAGAAAGAAGCAAGTAAAGAGGTATTCTAACAGCGACACCCATTGTGTACGAGGTCTACACAGAACAATGGATGTTCTAAGCCTTCAATGTCAAGGTTTGGACGACCTCGAGGTAGTGGCATTATTGAAGCTTCTAGTTTAACAAAAAAAGAATACTATCTAAATAATGTTATCGATTAGGGTGTAACTTATTTTGTAACGATTGTGATAAGGTCTATCAACAGGTAGAGTTTGTCATAGGGACGAAACAAAAAGAAACAGTAAGATTAGCATTTCCAGAATGAAAGGCTAACCTCACGATGTCTCTTTGAAAATTTCACTTAACGTGAAGTTATGTGTGGTGGACGCGCTTAACAAGATCAATTATCTCCATTACGGTAAACAAAAAAACATCCATATACATTTTCACACCCAATAAAGATAAATAATTTTATTTTCCATTATAGTAAAAAATTTCCATATACATTTGTGCATAACCTTAGTATTTTACTCGGGTGTTGGCTCATAAAATTTTCGCCCCTCAACCATCCGGGTGGGCTCGCTTTGTTTGACCTGAAATTTCGCGTGGGATGCTTGTCACCTACGAGTCAAAAGTATGTTCAACCCCCTCCCTCCACGTCACTACTGTATCTCGAGCTCCCCAATTTTTCCTTTATATACATATCTCGTCAATATTCAATTTCCAATTAAATTAATAAATCCCCCAATTCGATTCAAATTCGGCTGTTTCCATACCCTCTTCTAATAAACCTAAAAAATAAAAAAGGAAATAGAAAAATCAAACCCCGTGCCGTTCCCCTTTTAAGCTTCTTCTTCTTCCTTCTCTTTCATAAGTCTCCTCGTCTCGCCCCTTTCCCAGCAGCAGAGCTTCCTTGCTTTCTCTCTCTCTCTCTCTCTCCCTTCTGTACATAGAAAGCGCCATAGGAGAATGGAAAGAAAGAAAGCAGAAAAAGTGAATCAATTGAAGATGGGATTCCCAAAGGAAGAGAAATCGAAGAGAGTCCTGAGAGTAGTGAAGACGGTGTTCTTCATAATAGTAATGATCTTCTCCTTCCTCATCTTCTCAGCTCCGGTGCTCCTCGTAATCGCCGATACTCTCCTCCCGGTCTCCCTACTCTCCGCTTCCCTCTCCCCGTCTTCCTTCTCCCTCAGCACTCTCTCCGCCGACCTAAGCAACTACGATTTCCGGTACTCCCTCGTCGACATCCCGCTCATTTCCATCCTGAGATCCGCCGTCATCTTCTGTAAGTGAAATCACTACTCCAAAATGAATTTAGACCTCCTCTCTCCCTCTGTCTCTGCCGGCTCGGTTCGATTCTGATTCCGATTTGTGTTTTTTTTTCCCCAACTATTTCAGGCGTCTACAGCTTCTGCGATGGCCCGAGGCTCTCGCGGGGACCGTACTTAGGGATCACGGCGATTTGCTCCGTCTCCTCGCTGATTTACGTCTCCGTGAAGGCGCCGTACGTTTTCAGCATCTACCGGATCGATCGGGGCGGGTACGTTCGCGGGATGGAGGTTGCTCTGTTTCTGTGCTCGCTGTTTCTGGCAATTGGCCACGTCGTTGTGGCATATCGAACGAGTTGCAGAGAGCGGAGGAAGCTTCTGGTCTACAAAATCGACATTGAAGCTGTAAGTTTCCCTATTCTTCCATCAATTTTTTTTTTCTTTCTCTTTTAAGTTTCTCTCCCAAAAGGAAACCGAGTTCCAAGCTATCTCGAAATTTTAGCTTACGTCTCATTGAGCGAGTAATTAGATTGTTTACTAAATTAATGACTAATGAGTCCTCTCTTCTCCAAATCACCTAAACCTGTATGAGTTACGGCTATGGCGGATGGATTCCCTTTCCACTTTCCCGTTCTAGATTGTCAGTTTTAGGGTTATTAATTACTGAATTACGGAGTCCACTCAACCGGCTGCGCGCCTGAAAATGTTATTATTTAGGAGCAGTAAATTCCTTTTCGTAAGGAAAGTAAAAGCTTGAGCAGTGAATTCCGGGGAATACTCTGACAACCGCCCAATGAGAATAAGGGGGTGAAATTGCCTAGAAATCTCACCTTCTTTTGGTTGTCTTGTTTTACCAAAGGGTGAAAGTATTGGCGTGTTCTAGAACAGTGGTTAGAAAATCAACTGGTAGAATAACCAAACCGAGGAAGTAGTGTTGTAGTCATTCAAGAAGAACCCGTGATTTCGATTCCAGAAAATTTTCAGGGGGTCAAAAGTAAAAAACATTTTATTAGTGGGAATAAAATCCGGGAACGGAAAATAAAGTGGAAAAAGAAAATCAAACCAGTAAGTAGGTGTGGAACGTTGAACTTTTGTTCGTTTATGTGGGGAGGTCAAGAACTGACCGTTTGAATTAGTCAGTTGTTTTATTATTCAGCTTTATTATTTCCCCCCCCCCCCCCCCCCCCCCCCCCCCCCCCCCCTTTTCCTTCCTCGACATGGGAATCTGTCAGGAGACCTTTCTGAATAATTTTATAAATAGTTATTTTAAGAAGCTCACTTTCTCAGTTCTCTACGCCTCAAGGTCAGGGAAAATTGACCTGAATCGTAACTTTGTTTTAATGAAAAGTCGTGGAAATTGGATCAGTTGAGGGAAATAAAAATGTCACTTTGTCAGGAGATTCGAGACTCGAGAGACAAATATTATTCGAGGGCTTAACCAACATGTGCTGCTAGTGGGCATGGTTCTATTATTATTTTTTGTAACGAGACACCATTGAAATGGGGAGCCGCGCCCTCACAAGTGGTGGCTAGGGACGTTGGAAATTTGACATCGGGGGAATAGCAATTGACAATGAAAAATCAAAGGAAGGATCCAATACCTGCATTTCGGCCCACATTGCTGTGTAGTCGCCATACAACAAACCGAACCCATTTGTCCAACTTGCACATCTATCTTCGCCCTTCTGCCATCTCTAGATTCATTCATCCTTCCCCCGTCCACCGCCAGCTAAGCCATTGTTTACGTTATGTCCACAATGACAAATGGGGTCGCCCGCCAGAAGGGCCGACCATTCTTTTTGGAGAAATCATGGTGTTACCTGGTTTTTGTCGAACACCGAATTAGAACTAGGAGGAACTATTCCAAATGGGCAGCAGCAGCAGCAGCTGGAATATATGCTCCTAAAGTCCTATCCTTCGGCTGGATTCGTTTTTTTGTTTGCCGCTATTTCCCTTTGCAGATTGATGAGCATCTTAATTAACTGAGTGTGGTTGTATTTGTTTTGTGATTCTTGTAGATCTCGGCTTGCCAGAAGGGACTCCCAAGGTACCAAAAGAAGATCCTCCAGGAAGAAAGAGTCAAGTGACAATGGCTAGCTGCCGAACCCATGAACAAAAAAGAAAAAAGACTAACCCAGACATCTTCAGAATTTTCTTCTTCTTCATGATTATCCCTTCGTGTTCTTCAGCATCCCGGTTTGAGGTAATTTCTTCAGGATGTTCCTCTCTCCTTTAAATGTTATATTGGGACACTACGATTCAGTGGTTAAAATTGGATGTACGTTGTTGGGTGCTACAGGCTGATCCTAAGGATGCCTCTGATTTGGAGATGATTGAAGAAGAAGAAGATGAAACAAGACTTACAAAGCTAACAGAGATGGTAGATATGGTACAATAGAGTGCTTATAGGGCAGTAGAGATACCTGTGTTTTGGGGTGTAGTAACCTTATGTATGGGATTCACTAGGTGTGACGACTATTGTTACATTGTACAGATTACTGCATCTATTTGTTGTTTGTGTATTTGTTGTGGTGTTGAATATAATGAAAATCTTGAATGGCAACTTGGCCAATTCCCCCCTTAATACTTCTAAGTTATAATCATCAATCCCAGGAGCCTATGTTTACAAAATGTGAGATTGTTAACCTACCACTTGTTTATGCATCTCGTGAAAATTACTTGATTTGTGGTTGTACGGGCCATGCTGTTCACGGGCTAGCACGACACGGTTAGAGCACGACACGAGCACGGAATAAATGGGCCAGTTTGACACGAGCACGAATAATTTATGGGTCATGCCGGGTTAAACTTCATGGGCACGAGCACGGGCACGGCACGGTATATAAGTGGGCCGTGTCGGGCCTAATATTTTCGAGATTTTATTGAGTATAAGAACCAACATGACACGAAAATAATATTTATTTGATAAAAAATAAATATAAAAAGAATTATAGGTTCAAATATTACAAAAGACAAGTAGAAAAATAATTATTTGTTGTTGTTAAAAGTATCATAATGATATATATGTAATTACTAACATAAGTAAAAATGGAGAAAGAATTAAACAAAATCAAATCACACTCAGCTATACTTCCAATTTTCTGTTCCCCTTGATTTGTTACTTTTCTCAAACATTATCGGTTAATACTATATTCCTTTTCCAATTTTTACCTTCTTTTTCATTCTCTCTTTTGTTTTCGTCTTTTTCATTAAACACACATACGAGCATGGCACGAGCACGAATAGGCACGACACGATTCGAACCGTGCCCGTGATTCGCTAAAACACAACACCTAACAATGGCCAAGTGTAACCAATGGAAGGGACTGCAGTATAGTGGCTCAAGTGATAAATATCGAATCCACGGGTCTCTAGAGTTACTATTACTCAGCTTCAGTTTATTATTTAGCAAACCAGATTAAGATGAAAGAACTAAAACTACTCTAGCAAACTACAGTTAAAGTTAATCTAATTACAGGTTGGGAACTCACTTAGGTATGATTCCCCCTAGCCACTAGCCAGACAAACAATTGATGATTTCCAACTTGTTTCACTTTCATTCACAATGCGGAGAATCCTTGACTAGACCTTGAGTCTCGACTAAAGGAACAAGGCCCTCTAGAGTCAATTGCCTAGAGGGACGTATCCTTCTCTAGAACAACTGATCAAGGCGTTCTGAACTAGACTCCCTCTATCGAAAGAGGTTCTCAATCGATACAAAGCAGTGAATCAACCCTCGACTAAAGCAATCGATCCACTACTATCAATCTATGGTGCTCTATTGACCTAATCAGGTATTCCCTCTCATAGGATCAAAGCAGAATCAATAATCTTAACTAAAGCAGAATTGAATCATGAAAACATGCATAGATTGAATATGAACTCAAGATTATCAAGTCAGAGTAATCATACAATCATCCAATCAAACAAACATAGCTAGGGTTCCTCAAAACGTAAGTGAAGGGAAGTTACTCCATAGAGAAGAGAGAGACTGCAGTAAGAATCTTCAGATGATCAGTCTTCAAGTCCGGGCTTGTTCCTCGAGCTTCCAAGGCAAAGAAATCCTCCAATTCCACTCCAAGAATGCCCTCAAATCGCCCTCTCTCTCTTTGGTTCGTCCCTTGGGTGTTTGGGATCCAAAACCCAGCTCTCCCTTTGCAAAAACGCACAAAACAGGCTTTTAACAGCCTTCGTTCGCGATCCCCGGTCAAAATACCCGGTAGGGTATTTTAGGTCACGACAGGGGATTTTTTGGTTCACGACCGGGGATTTTTGGGTCACGACCGGGGATTTTGGTTCACGACCGGGGATTTTTGGTTCACGATAGGGGATTTTTGAAAACGCAACGTCTGGAGACAGGGGACAATCCCCTATCAAGGACCGGGGATTTTTGTGTCACGATAGGGCCCCCTTCTGTTTCTCAGAGAAGCCCGAAACCAATTTTCCCCTATCTTTGATTCTTCGTTTCTCCCTCGTTCGGACTCCAAATCAGATGCCGTTTGATCCCAGATGCTCGTATTCTCGTCCTCTTTCTTCTCATGACAAGATTACATGATTATATGGTCACAAACTGAGGTAGAAATCCCTTATTCTTCAAGTCATACCCGAGTTTCTTCCCCCGAGTCGCCAATTGATCTCCGATTGACTTGAAACTTGCGCCTACGCTTCACTTTATGTGCTAGGACCTGAAATGTGACAAAGGAACACAACCTAGCGTAAAATAGGCCAAATAAGCAATAATGCAAGCTTAAACAATCAAGAAACAAAGGGGAAAACATGTGCAAATATCGAGTCATCAAATCCCCCCACACTTAACTGTTTGCTTGTCCCCAAGCAAACCTAACTCAAACCAATGCAGCTCTCCAGACCTCTATAGCAACATGCACCCTCGATCCTTGATAGAGGATTTTCTAGATCATTTAGCAGCTTACGAGGTCAACCGACGCATAAGTCATCTCATAGCTTCTTCGGCGAGAACGCTAGTCTCGAGTCGGCATCATGGCAAATAGTGATCAGAGGACAAATGAATCGTGGACGAAGAGACTCTCAAAAACAAAAGATCATGGACTCACATTTTTCAAGGTGCTCTTATTTTCTTTTTGAAGACGGTTGGAACCCCTTTTTTCCTTTTCTTTTGTTCTCTTTTTTTTTTCTTTCTTTTTCAAGGGTTCCAACCCGATTTTCAGAAAACGGGCTCCCACCTAGAAAAGGTTTTGCCGGAACCCGGCTCTTACCGGCCATGCCGGGAGCGAATGTCTCGAGCATCGTGCGGGGAAAAGGAATGTAAGAGGGCTGGAGGTAGTAGGTGGAAATTGGGAACGAATTCCCGTCTCCCCTTACACACTTTCGCCCTATTCGCACGGGAGACGTTATTTTAAAACACATTATCGACGTACTTTAGGTTTTATATGTTTGTTCGATAAAGTGAACTTCAAACTGATAATCGTCCCCAGATCTAATACTATTGATTCCATTTTTGTTCCTTACATAGTTCCTTACCACCTAGATAATGTGCGCCTGGCTTATGGGTAATTGGTCTTTCAACTATGAAATGAAAGGGGTAACTACATATCATACTACTTGGTTAAGATTGACCAAACTTATGTCACGATGCACATATCATTGATGAAATCTAAAGTCCCTATAGATTCCAAAAAATTAGAGTGTTTTTACCATCCATTAAAAAAACTGAAATGCTAAATGTCGTCCTAAGTTTACTACTTGACGTCCTAACTTTAATATGCAATTTACCAATTAGTCCAAATTCAAATTTCAAATTAAAACAATAACAAACAACGCCTTATCTCTCCTCCCTGACAAAGAGTCGATCCTCTCTCCTCTCTCAAACTTTCACGTTCTCTCTCCGAAGCCCCAACCCAACCGTCTGGAACTCTTTTTATTCCAGCCGCCGCCGACCGTCCCACCATCGATCTAGTTCCTCCCTAAATCTCCTCGCCGCTCCGCAACCCTCATCCATGTGCCGCCGCCGGCCATCGCGTCCCACCATCGATCTGATTCGACCCTGACCGCCGCTCCGCAACCGTCCCTGATTCCCGCCGTCTCTTCTTAGCCCAATAGCCCACATGAGATGAATAAGGTTATGGAAGGCGAAGTCCTTGTCTTTTTTTAGATTCCGTCTCCTATGGGATGGAAGTGTTGCTGGTAGCTCTGCCTTCTCGTCGATTTAAGAATTTCAGGGGAGGAAGAAACAAGGTAAGGAGAGAGAGAGAGAGAGAGAGAGAGAGAGAGAGAGAGAGATGGAATGGTGGTGTGTCATAGATCTCTTACTTGCTCTGCTTTGTGTGGGCTCTTTCAGGAAAGATACGTTCTAGGCAAAGAAGATTGTCCGACCGGCGAATAAGTAGTTGCTTCCTTTCCGTCGGAGAAGAGATCATCGGAAGCAGAGGTACATCCTCCCAACCCCTATTTTGACTGTCGGTCAACCAAATTGCTCTTCTCGTTTGACCTTCCACTCAATCGAGCATTTGTACTATTTTACCCATCCTTCCAACCGGCGATTTGGCCTTGTTCACCGTCCGACATACCAGGAATTTTTTGTCGTTATCCGTCCTTCCAACCGGCCATTTATACATGTTTCCCCGTCGGTCATACGAGAAGTATTCCTCGTGTACCATCCTTCCAACCGACCATTTTTACTTGTTTCAGCGACCGGTGGATCACCATTTATACATCGTTTGACCGATGGTCAATCGATTGTTTAGTCTATTTTGACAAGCGAGCAGCCCCGTCAATCCCACCTAGCCCACCGTCCCCTTTTATCAATTAATTTTTTTTTTATTTTTTGTTTGCACTGATATTTTCCCGAGTTTATGAAGCTTGTCGTTGTACACGTGTGAGTTCAACGCTAATTAACTGCTCCCATAGATGGCCCAAGGGTGGTTCGGAGAACCGAGGGAGTTTGGCCTCAAAATGGCCCATATGTCATTTTGAAGTTGGATACGTACTTATTTTGAAGATTAGTTGAATAGTTCTTGTTAAATTTTAGTATTTAATTTAATTTAATTAAACTTGGTAGAAATTGGTAGAAATTATGTCGATTAAACATTATACACCGTTATAAAAATTGGTAGAAATTTTACTTGTTGTATTTAGAGTAGTTTAATATATATAGTTAAATTATTTTCAATATATATATATATAGTTAAATTTAGCATTTCATTGAATTTTGTTGAAGTTGTGATATAATTACATTTCACAAATAAAGGACGTAATTCTTTTTTCCATGAAATTAAGATTACTACTAATTCAAGAACACAAGATAAAATATTATTTGAACTTTATACGAACCTAATAAATGTTCACAAATACGTTTCCAAATCATATTCTAAATTTCTAATAGTAGCATTGTATGTTTTTGAAGATGTCGAGAATTGAAAAATCTGGAACCATTAAGGATTGAATGAAAAACCGAACTTGTAGACCTACGACAACTGGGCGAAAAGAAAATGAAGACAAAAATCCTCGTAAGAATCGAGCGAGGCAGAAGAAGCTACAAGTAGAGCGTCTTGACGGTCATCCTACTCAAGGGCAGTTGTCTCTTAGTCGGAAAAGTCCCACACCTACATCTGATCGTGTCGATACTTGGGAGCCGAGTTGGGAGGACTCTATTTCGGATGATGGTATACCGATTGATGATGATGATGATGATGATGACGATGATGATGATCATGATGAGGCAGAGAAGCTCGCTCAGACTCAGGTTCAGAGGTACTTAGGAGCTCCGATGACTTCTACTTCCTCGACGACATGTCGGGGTCCTGATGGACGCTTTCGGGCAGCATCTAGTTCTCACCAGTGTGGTAACTCTAAGAAGAGGAAGAAGAGAGCCAACAATGACAAGTCTTGGCTTCTTACGAGAGAATCAGTAGTGATGTGTACGGGCGGACCGATGATTCCCGACGTGATCCCTAGTTTTGCTGGTCACGTGGCCCATGTGTTGTGGACTTCACCTGAGCAGGTCTTATTTGAAGAAGTAAATTCTCTCTTTTTAACTGTCGGATTAGAAGGGTTGGACTTTCTCTTCTTACCGTGAGTGCAAGTCAAATAAAATCGCCGACTATTTTCGTTTGGATTTTTTTTGTTCGACGTCCGCACTAAATAGAACCCTAAACCCTTGGCTATTTCACATGCTGCTTTATAGGCTTCTATCTCTGAATCGTATTTCACCCCTTTAACGAATGTCGGTGTATAATCAAAAGGACCCGAATGGGAACTTCTATCAATTTCCTAAAACATGTATAAAAAATAAGATTCATTCAACCTAACATAACATTTATTCAACCTAAAAATCCCTATGCAATTTATAATAACATAAAAGATTAGTAAATAATTTGTTACAAATAAAGTCCATTCACCTTAACATGTAACAGTAACATTCATACTAGAAACCACTCTATGTTCAATTAAATTGCTTAAATAGATTGCAACAAATCAAGTTCATTTCATAACTAAAATTCGTACTGAAATAAGTTAGTTCATAACATAAATACCTCATCCGAGTCGCTATCACTATTCATGGCAAGTATAGGACGGCAGAGCGGAACTGGATCAACGAATATCCTGAAATTAAATTAATAATAAATAATCAATTTAAATTGTCACACTTAAAATAAATTAATCATTTAAACTTGTAACATTTAACTACTTAAGTCTAATACGTATTGTTACATGTTTCTTCATAACTATTTTAAATTTATAAATGTTTTATTACATTAAATATTTTTTCAATAATAATGTATAATGTGCACATAATCATAATTAAACAAAATCCTATGGGCTCAAACGCAGGTAAGAAAATGAATTCAAATTCTGAAATTATAAATTCATTACTAACGGATATATGGGCTCAGCCCATCCACTGGTTATATGGGCTCAAACGCAGGCAAAAAAAGAGTGCATATGGTAGTTAAACGCAGACAAAGTTTCGTTCGGCCACAGAGGGAAAAAGAAGTTTGACCGACGTTGGACCATAGAACAAACGAAAAAATGGCTATGTCTTACCAATGGCCGGCGATCTGGGACGTCTATGGCGGGAGGAAGAAGGTGCAGGAGTGGCGCCGTCGTCGAGCTGCTTCTCCGGCAACAAGTGCGGTGAGGCGAACGGGAATGGGCCTTCTCCGGATCTCCGTCTTCTCCGACAACGCAGGGGCAGAGGTGATGGCAGCTGGCCGGGAAGGCTATGGCGGGAGGAACAGAGACAGAGGTCGGCGGTGAGAAACAGAAGGCCTGTGCAAGGGGAGAAACAGAGACCGGCAAGGAGAGACAGAGGTCGACGATGGCCAGCGAGCTGGGACGACTACGATGGGAGGAAGATTGAGTGCAGGAGTGGCGTCGACGTCGAGCTTCTTCTCCGGCAACAAGTGCGGTGCGGCGAACGGGAATGCACCTTCTCCGGATCTCCGTCTTCTCCAACAATGCAAACCCACCAGTGACAGTGAGGCAGAGGTCGACGAGGTTGGAGCTTGGGGAGCAGGTGAGAGAGAAGAGTGAAGGGCAGTTTGTCAGCTTGGGCAGTTTGTCGATATGCAGGGCCGATGTAGGACAAGTCAATATGCAGGGGACAGGGGTGATGTAGGAGAGAGGAAGTTGGACTTGTGACTTGGTCTCTTGGAGAGTAGTGAGATGGACGAGAGATATGTTTGGACTCTAGTACATAATTTGAAATTGATAATTGGACAAATAGGTAAATTAATATAATTTAGGACGTTAAAAAGTAATTTTAAGGACGCCATTTAGCAATCCCTAAAAAAAAACTAAAAAACAACATAACACACAAGTACTTATTTGGAAAGTAACTCAGTATATGAACTCAACATCCCTTGGAAATTGAACATTTGTTGACTTTATTATACAAAAAAAAAAAGAGAGAGCATCTGTTGGAAACTGAATTCCCTTCCCCCTTCTTATTCCTCCAAATGTCAAATAGCATGACTTGTTGACTAAGTAGATTTAACATATAGTTAATAAACTTACCTCGAGAAAATGAATTAAAAATATCGAATATTTCATGGGTTCCAACGAGAGTAACTAGTCTTTATTTTTATTTTTTCTAAATTCAGGTATATGATTTAACGTATTCTGTAGCTATTAGCTAACCACTTAGGCCAGAATGGAGAAAGAAATCTACACAGAAGTACAGACCATGTTAGGATCTGACATCCGACTTCCGAGTGTGGATATCTAAAAATGATACGCTACATGAGCGTGGGCCACAAGGCCCATGCCCGGGCACAGCTTTTAGACCGGTTAATGTGCTGATACAGCCCACGACCAGCAAAGCCCACATCATTGCCACACGGCAGCGCTTCAGTCTTCTAATTTCGCCGAGAGACTCTAGTCTCTACAGACTTACAAGAATCAAAGGTCCGCTTCGGTTCTTCTCCTCCCGCTCTCTACCGTTGATCGTCCCGCCGGCGCAAAAGTATTCAAACGGAGGAATAGGCGATTCAAGTCGGGGAAGCGGTGATAAATTTCACACAAGCAATCGGAAATGAGGTTCAACCTCGACCTAGAAGACTCCGACACGCCGGATTCTTCTCGCCGAACTTCGACTCCGAAAGAGAATGTCCAGTGGATTCCGCTCCAGAAGCATCCCGTCTTCACTTCCGCCGGCGCCGCGTTCGAAGGTACCGCGGCTGATGACGGTCCGGCGCCGAGGAATCTGCTCGCGTGGGACGGTGCCTCCAGGTTGTACTATTGGGAATCAAGCAAGCAGTGCCTCCACCGAGTCTCAATCCGACTAGGCGAGCCGGAACCTACTAATGTGCTCGCTGCTTCTCCGTCCAAGGTACTTCACGCTAAACCTCCAGTTCTCACTCTTGAATCACAGACGTTGGACTTGCAGTTTCGTTTCTGAGTAAGTGAACGACAAATATCAGAGCGAAATTGAGATGAATTCCCAATTCGAGTAGTTGTTCTTAGCTTTGTGCAAGAATTTGGAATCCCTAACTGAGTAACATTCTGGTTTTCACTTAGTCCTTGCTGATTATGCCATGACTGAGTTCTCAGTTGTTCAATGTTTCAGTCAGTATATGAGACTGTGTTTATTAGCCTTAAAGCAGCTAACGAGGGAAGCCATTGTTTGGTGTACTAGGTATTGGTAGCAGATGTGAAGATCCCCTTTGTGGTTAACAAGATCTCCATTAATAGAAACGGGTCAGCTTTGCTTCTTGCTGGTACGGATGGCATATGCGTGATGTATCTATATGGACGCAGTTCTTCTAGGGACAACAGAATTACATGCAGGTACAGGTGGTTCTTTATGCGTGATTTTCCCCCGGAACTGATGTTGTTGTTGGGATTCTTTGAATAACTACAATTTTATGGTGATTAAGTTTCCTAGCTACATTCAGTTGTCAAATTTGTGTTGCTAAAAGTTTGATTTTATTTTGGACTCTTTATGCAGGACTGTCTCAATCGGTTCCCGAATATATTTGGATGAAAGCAATGTTATACGCACTCTGCAAGTTTCTTGGCACCCTTACAGCGAGACGCATTTAGGAGTTCTTTCATCTGACTCGGTGTTCAGGTATCATGTTGTTCTATTTTACAGTTTTTAGGAGTGAATGAGTTCTTTGAATTGTCTGGATTCATCGTGGAAGGAAAGTTAAACCAGAAATTACAACTCACAAGTTACAAAGTGTATTCTCCAAAAGGGTAGATCTGCGGTTTTATTTTCCTGTCCGATGAAGAATAATTTTTGTACACATTAGATGCACACGGAAGCTCACCGGCATGTTAAGAGTACTGAGTGAATCTTATTATTGATATGTTTTCCTTATGCTTTTTACAGCATTCTACTATTATGTATATTTTTGTTGGTTGTTCTGATAGCCTGTGGTCTGGCATTGCTCTTGCTTCTAATTTCGACTACAAGCTGACAATAAAAGCTACCTGATTTTTTCTCTTCTTTACTTTCTAGGATCTTCAATCTGTCTGCGGATGTCCTGCAACCAGAGCAGGAATATTTTTTACAGCCTCTTCAACCTGGTAGATCAAGAAATGCTTCTTCCATGTGTCCGGTTGATTTTTCGTTTGGTGGAGATCACTTGTGGGACAGATTTGCTGTAAGTACACTTGCAATCAATAAATGTGATTTTATTTTGGTCTGGGCGTGATGCATTTATTTGTTACATGTGATGAGAGGTTACGCTACTTGACGTGCTACCGTTTCGGCTTGGTCATATGGGATATGGCTTCTACTCATATACATTGGAGTGGGCTCATCTTTTCCTTTTGATATAACTCAACATCTATATAGTGCCCAATTATCTCTTGCTTGTTTGGTGATCAGCTTGCCGTATATTCCTTATCTTGATTAGCTTGTTTTAGGTTAAAAACATAGCAATAACCCAGGATTCTGAATACATGTGTTATATCTACTCACATTTTATGGGTCGTTTAACTTGTCATTTTAAAGGTGTATTATGAGGATACATATATTTTAGAGACCTGATTGTTTTTGACATATAGCATCTATAGTACATACATTTGAAATAAAATGAATAATACATCAAAGTGACGCTAAGATATGAATAATTGATTTTGTGTTTTCTCTTCAACTTTTACCTTTCGTATGCCTCGGAAATGGTCATTGATGTCAAATGTCAAGATTGTAAACTGAATACGAAAGCTACCAAGTGGTGTAATTCTACAACCAACTTATTTGTACAATTGTCTTGTTTCAAATGTACGTGTTCCTGAAATATGAGCATTCTAATAATTGGGTTAGAAATGACCTCTTATGTTTTGGCTACTTTGTGTCCATTTTGCAGGTGTTTGTATTATTCAGTGATGGCTCTATTTACATTCTCTGCCCTATTGTTCCATTTGGGAGGTATATCTCAATCTTTATCTATTACTTTGGGTTAAGATTCAGCTACTTTTGAGAGTGAAATAGTTGCCAATTTTTGCCATGATTATAAGCTACTTGTCTTTCAAGGAAAAAGAAAGCTACATCACAGCCTTGATTTGCTTGCATCCTACTGTCTACAATCTGCCTATTATTATACGCTGCTCTAAATACTAACCATATGATTATTGTCTTTCCTTTCTTTGGTTTCAACTACCTGTTCCGGTAGTTTCCCATTCTCGGAAACGTTCCCTTATGCTTGCTAAAGAAAATGCCTTTGTATGTAGTGTCTACAAGTGGGACTCAGTTTTGGAGATATATAACGATGCCAACACACTGGGGCTGGAATCATCGAATCCAACTGCAGTTAGCAACTCTAGTCGGGCAGTCTCTTGGTTAGAAGCTACGTTTCCAGAGTTGAGTTCAGAAGCGGGGGACAGAGAAAAAATTTCTGCAGTGAAAGCTGAAGCCCATGCTTTATTTGATGCATCACTCTGCTTGCAGGTACGTTCATCTGGCTGCTGTGAACCCAATGTATAAATTCTATTTGTCCAGGCGTTTTAGTGAACTTCTTACTTGCGTACTGGCATAAAATATGCTTATAGTAATTGCTCACTGTTTATTTTGTTGATAATCATATATGGGAACACAAGAAAGATGGCAATTGTGTAAATACTGCAAATGGTTGCATAAATGTTTTGACCATGGAATCATATCCATCACTTAAATCATTTTTCTACTCCGGTGTGTATGAGAAGGCTGGAAATGTGCAATGTGAACATACTATTAACAGAGGTGATGCTTCTTTAATTGAGAAAGTCTTATATTTAATCTCCATGGTCGCAACTAGTTTCTGTGGTCTTGGAATCATCTGGTTATATTATTACTGAACAAGCTTTCACTGGGAAATATAACTGAAATCTTCATCTGACAAGGCAACTTCATTTTAGACATTTTCATGAAATTTCCCCCCGCTAGTGAACCATATGATGCTGGATTCAACATTGTAATAGATTCCATTGTGACAGTTTTTCTGTATTTTTTCAGGGACCACTACAGAGAATTCAGCGGCATAGGGCAAATGAGGACTTCGCAGTTTCCACTGGGGTGAGCGAAGGGCGTGCCATCGGTTTTCTCTACAATCTGGTCAGCAAAGACTCAGTTCTGGTTACTGCCTGGACTGGCGGCCAGTTACAGATAGATGCTTTGGCTGATGAGATCCAGCCACTGTGGACTATCGGTAGTGCAGCTCGCCTCCGTGTTACTCCCCAAGACCACCAAGTTCTTGGTCTTGCTATGATCTGTGAATCAATCCCACATCACCTCCCTGTTGTGAAGCTAGATCAACCACTTGACCAGACAGTTTGGTTGGGTCACCCGCCACCTCTGTTGAGACTCGCGATTGTAGATTTGTCCTTGCCCCAGAAAAGAGAGAGTGGTTATCATATTCTCATGTTTGCCGATCCACTCATGCCCGAAAGAATCTACTGCCTTCATGAAGGCGGGGTAGACTCAATCGTGTTGCATTTTCTCCCATTCACTAATCAGTCGAGTGGGAAGGATGAAACTGTCAGGGCTCCGTCTGTTCATCCTGTGCTGAGTACCTGCCAGGTGGACAATACTGCATCAGTGTCTCCTCTCTGTGGTTTTGTGGCCTTGTCTGATTCGTTTGGGTATTCATGGATTGTGGTGACAACGTCCATTCAAGAATGCGTTGTGCTAGAAATGAAAACATGGGATTTGTTACTTCCTCTACAAGTTGATACGGACTACTACACTAATGGTGAAGAACGAAAGGAGACGAAGAATGCTCCAGACATCATTAGCAAAGAACTACTTGCTGGTCCCAAGATGGTTCCTGTTCCTCAGGTGTCACCAAATCTTCGATCAGTTGCTGCTGACTCCATAGACGGCCGATCAATGCTTCATCAGTACTTCAAGCTTTTTCATGAAAATTATGTCGAGTATGCCCATAAGGTGACGACATCTGTTCTTTTTATGTCCCTCTTAAAACTTGTTTTACAAATGAGCAAAATGTTTCGATTCATACCGATCAAATGAGACTTGACATTGATCGGTATGAATCGAAACATTTTTCTCATTTTAAAGTAAAGAGAGAAGTAAATTTAATCGGGAGATAGAGTCCATGTCGAATCGAAAAGAATTGAATGTGCTTTTGACTAAAATCCTATTATGGTCCTTAGTTTCCCTTTTTATAACCGATGCTATGTTGATTCGGTCGGATTCTGTGATGGACCAAACCGTTTACACCCTTTATCCTAGAGCATCTGAATTTTTCTTCTTCTTCTGGAATGAACATTATTATGATTATCTTCGATCATGGTAGTTAATAGCTCAACACATTTAATCTTCCTCTTTTCCCTCAGGTTTACTTTGAGCTGGAGCATCATGGGCCACAGATGAAGAGAATCATTGATGACCAGCAGGCTCGTCTCAGCGAGACTCAGGAGAAACTTGTGAGAGTAAGGAACAAGCAGACTGGCCTGGACGATAGGCTTAAGCATGCAATTCATCAGCACCATGTTCTGGTACAGCGTTTGAATCACTTGAGGAATCTTCCCGGAGTTCACAAGAAACCTTTGTCTAGAGCTGAGCAGAAGTTCAAGTCGGAACTTGGTAATCATTCTACATCTGTTATTACAGTTTCGTTTGTGAAATTTCGAATAAATGTGAAACAATTTCAACTGCCTGCAGTCCGGCACCTCATAGTGTGTTTTTTTTTTTTGGTGTGTGTGTCATAATTGACTTTAATTGCAGACCAGCTTACGGGGGTTGAACTGGATGCATTGCATTCGTCCATTGAGACACTAAGAGCTCGGCAGAGAAGGTATACGACACAGTCTTCAAAAGACATCATCTCTAACCAACGGAGGAAAATACCAGGGAGGAGCCATGTTCTGGATGCCCAAATGTCCCAACTAAAATCTTCACTTGCTAAGCTTTCGCTCATTAATTCTGAAAATGCGAAGAAAGTAAAGGCTGTAGAATCTAGCTTGAAATCTCAGGGAAGCGGTAAATAATTGAACCCTGCAGTAGCTGTTGCCTGTTAGGCTGAACTGAATAGACATCTCGTTGTTTCTGTAATTGCAGCTGTGGTGCATATGTTGTATTTTACCCTTTGATACATTTGTTCTGATATTATGGCCACATATCAGTTGGCGCAGTGCAGAAATTGTGTTACTCTGTTTCTCTGTGCTCTTTTCTAACAGACTCAATCAACCAGTTCCTTTCAAGGGGAAGGCCCAAAAATGCCAATCCAGGTCAGGACACCTATCATCTCTGTGACATTCACTTTTTTTAAGTACATGATTAATCTCTTAGTAGGTTTCCTTCTGAATCTCATGTTTTGTATAGGAAGATAAAGTCTTTGATCTATGATCACTCAATCATAATGTTTATTCACAATGGCAGTTCTGGAGGTTTCTTAACTGCATATCCTACTCATCGTCCCCTTTTGCATAGAATCATTACCATCTCCTTATAAAACCAAAAAAGTGGAGCCATCGAATTGCTAGCGGCTTGTAGGGCACTTGGATCATGATCCCCATCTCCCCTCAACTCAACTACTGATTTTATATTTCATTGCAAATCGTTTCTTTAGGATACTGGTGGTGATGATGATTGATTGATTGATTTACAGATGCTGCTAACTCTATTTTTTCTATTTGGGAATTTTTTATTATTGCAAAAGGAATTACAACCTGATCTCACATTCTACTACCTCTGCTTCACTCTCAGATCTCAATATCTCTACACTGCTTGGTCCTGGTCTCGTCGCCTGACGTTGATAGGGTACTGCTTCTGCGTTCGGGTTGTCGGAAAGAACACCAGCTTATCTTCCTCAGCCGGCTCCCAACTGCACAACCACCAGAAAAAAAATACCATGCAAAGGTAAAACACCTTAAACACACATAGTAAATAAACAAACTACAGTTTTGATGTGTGTTAAGATTCAATTTACCTGAAACGAGTGACTAAATGATGAAGGAACACAGAGAGTTCAACTCTGGCAAGCTCATAACCTGGGCAGAGTCGACCCCCTCCGCCGAACGGAGTGTACACATTCCCAGGACTTGCTGCTCCTGAGTTGTTCTGTCAAAATATTATGTTATTCAGGGTGAATTTTATCTTCTTTCATTTTCCTTTTGTGAGAGAGTTAAAACTTAAAAACACTAATAATGTAGTTTACCTGCCATCTCCAGGGGTTAAAAGTTCGAGCATCTTTGAAGTGATCCTGGTCCATATGCACAGCTCGAAATGAGGCAAACACCTTCCATCCTTTGGGAATTACGTACCCTGCATATTGGTTTCCAGGTAAGTCAGTAACTTGTAAATTTTCACTGTTTTCGCCCCAAAAAATTACCACCGCGGAACTTCAGAGATTTCGATCTATCTAACCTTTGACAGGTATGTCCGTGATGGCTCGCCTAAACACCCCGCCGATTATGTTGGCCACTCTCAGGGTCTCGTTAACAACCTGAATCACGACGTTTAAAATAATTAGTGAACCGTTTAGCCACCGGTAAATCATGATTAGGTTTTAAATTACACTTACACATTGAGTGAAGGGCATGGACTTATAATCGCTCCACTCCAGAGCCTCTCCTTCCTTCTTCTTTGCCCTGATCTGATCGTGCTCCTCCTGCCATATCCAAAACCAAACCACCGATTCAATTAGTGAATGGACCCAGTGAGCCCGAAGTTTTGGTTGGGCCCATAACATTTTGGCCGGCCTATAAGTAGGGCTGCAAAGAATTTATAACCCATACCCCCCCTTATTTAATACACATTTCAACTTTTCCCAACATGTAATAAAGATAACAAAAAAGAAAACAGTTGAATTAATCCAACGCCCAGGATTCAACAACCAAGCTATCAATAAAGGTATTACCAAAAAGGCAAAAGCTCATCTCATTCCCATAGACTACCCACTAATCCAGCGCGTTTTAGTTGGTAATCAGCTGTTTTCAGCTAAGCTTGAGTCGGACGTTAAAATCATCATAATTATCAAGCTAATTGTAATTAGAAAAGAAAAGGAGAAGTGAGAAATAAGTGATTAAGGAATTTGACGGGGGGTTAACGTGGGTGAGATGACGTCAACCAGACAACACACCTGACGCTAACCATCACCGTTGGATGTTTCACTTTGTCCCCTCTTGTTGTTCTTCTTCTTCCTCCCTAGATCTTGAAATCAGCACCACACGATTCCCAAGGATCCTTCCCCACTCACCCACGCTGACTAAAATGAAATGGAAAAACAAAGGAGAAGAGAAGATAGATAGAGAGCACAGTCTAGGGTCTAGATTGTTGGACTCCTTTTTTTTGTACAGGGCTAGGCTTCCTGTAAATTGACCAGGCAGTCCCTACTAGCCTAGGTAGGGTGGCGAGGGCAAGGAGGTAATTGTCGAGTGAAGAAGATCCGAAGCTTTGGTCAAAAAAGGGTCCGAACTCCGAAAGGCACAGCGCCGCAGCAGAAGTTGGCGCAGGCGTGCAGTCACTCTGGCAAAGAGGAGGAAAGGAAATAGCATATATACATCATTTTGTCACGTTGGACCGACGAATGTTCCTTTTCCTTTTGGCTACTCTGATGACCCTTTTCGTCTTCTTCTTTTTCCTACTTGTTCATGGGATAAACAAGTCTCCCTTCAAGTTCAACTATATGTTCTTTCTACAGATTCTAATCCGGCTTGCAGTTCGTTTTGATATTTGTGGAAGAATGGATCGGCCCTTTATAATGACTGTACTTTCACGTTCTGTGAAATTTCGATCTGTTTGAGAGCTGTAAAGGGAGGAACAAAACAGGGAAGGGGAAAAGTCTGCCACCAAGTTGTACTTTAAGGGAAGGACAGAAATGGGAGAAGTCTTCCATCCATAAAATAATAACTTAACCATTATGTGTCACAAAGACAATGGTGTGGTAATGGCAACGGTGATGGTCGGTCCAATAGGAAAAATGGATATAGGAAGTTCACTGTTCAAACCTAGATCCTACTCTCCAAGTTTGTGAATTTTTTTTTTTTTAAACAAAGTGGGTAATGGATTGAGATGAGAATGAGATTCACTAATCATGAACACATGTGGGTAATAAGACCCTAAAACCCATTTCACTAAGATACCTTAAAATTTTAATTAATTTGTAGAATAATTATGTTATTTAATAATTATGTGGGTTCACTCACTAGTCACCACCGGCCCATTTTCAGTTAGCAATCCCATCTTTCCTTCTTCTTCTTCCCCACCCGCCTTTCTTTTTCCATGTTGTTGGGCGAGCAAACTCGTGTGGCGATGGCAAAGACACCTTTTCCCCCCCTTCTTTTAATCATTTCAGATAATTGAAAGGAAAACACTTAGAGAAACTGAGAAAAAAGGTTGGATGAAAATGGGAAACAACCAATTTGGTTGATGTTGTTTGGTTCTCTCTTTATCCCACCACCCATTGTGAATGGTCCATATTTTCACATTCTTATCATCACCACCCCACACTATATCATTCATTATTAACAATCCTCATGATCGTGTCACGATTTTAGGCCCACTCTCCTAACCAAGTAACCCTAACTACATATCTGTTACAATCGCAGTTATGTGTATTCAGATCTCAAGTGCGCGCGAATTCAGACCGAATTATGTATGTTGTAATTTGCTCTGTTAGAATTTTGATACCCAATTACTGAATTAGGATTTTGAGACATTTCTTAAATGAGTTCAGCTTTTTCTACCAATTTTATGTATCACTTTAGTGATTATTATATTTCACCTTTGAGTGTTTTAGATTTAGTGAGCCAACTTAATGTTGGTTGATCTCTACATATAAGCAAATTCATGATGTCGAAGAAAAGTTTATTTTGTATCAAGAAAATTTAAAAAATTGAATGACCTAATTGTGAAATATTTTGAAAGTGCTACGGAAAAAAGAGATTTAATGTATAAGATGAGAATTCAGAAATGGAGAATTGGAAATAATAATATGATAAGCACATACCCTGAGTTGGGCCAAAGCCAGGGGAGTGTCCGTTAGGAACTTGACGGCAAGGGTCATGCTAGTCGACGTCGTTTCATATCCCGCCACCAACAGAGCCACCAGGAAATCCACTATCTGCTCGTCGGAGAACCCCTCGTCGCCGGCCAAAAGCGCCGCCAACATGTCATTCTTCTTCTTCTTGTCCTTCTCCTCTTCCCTTCCCGCCGACGACACCCCCACCTCTTTCCTCCTCTCCCTCACCACCAAACTCAACGCCTCCGCCACCTTCGTCCTCGCCTGCAAAACCATAATCATTAACACCATAATTAACAACCCATAATTACTTAACCTCTCTCTTAACAACACATTAAAAACAAAACAAAAAGACGTACTTGAATCGCTCGGCGATAAGTGGTGGAGAAGAGAGGGAGAGGGACAGTGAAAAAGCCTTCAATCACAAGCACGTACTCTTTCCTCACCCTCTCCGTCCACTCGCTCGGATCCAAACTCATCAGCTGTTTCATCGCTAACTCGAACGTTATCTGTCACCAATTAATAACAACAATAATTAAACTCAATTAATTACACACAAAAAAAAACAAATTAATCATCACAAATGATTGATTAGCACATAATAATTCCCACACATAAGACAACAAAACTGCAGATTTCCAATTCCAACCACACCCGCCCCTCCCTTAATTATTCTTCCTAGCTTAGATTAATTAGATGTGACAATCCACAATTTGTACCTTCCCCTAACCTTACACCCAAGATTTCATTTTTTTATATATTAAATCTTAATTTACCCTAATAACGTCTTAATTGTCACCATCTAAAACAGAACAAACATCACTATCACCACAACTCGAGTCGATCGGTACAACATTTTTACCTTCTTGGCCTCTTCCATGAGGAGGACCCGGTCGGACCAGGACCGGAGGTTGCGACGGACCAACCGGTCGATGTCGAAGAGGAGGTGGTCCTTCAAGATGGAAGGGTTGGAGAAGCTCATGGTTAAGGAATGCATCCTCTTGTGGAGGCTGCCCTTCATCAGAAGCAACGAATGCTTGCCGAGCAAATTGGAGATCGAACCGGGGTAGCTGACGTCGACCAGCTTCCCTTCCCCGTGGAGAATCAACCGGTTCACATCCGGGTCGGTCGAGAAGACGGTGGGCTCGCCGAAGACGTGGGTCGTGAAGACTGGGCCGTATCGGCCCACTCGCTCGTCGATGAAGGGCTCCGGGTTCTCGGTCTTGTAGGCGGATATGAGCTGGAGGGTCTCGCCGACAAAAGGGATCCCCTGGCCCCCCGGCGGTAGGCCGTGGCGGCGGGCGCGGCGGCGGTGGATGAGGATGAAGGAGAGGAAGGAGAGGCAGAGGAGGGAGACGAAGAGGGTTTCATCGCTGTAATGGTAATGGGTAGTAATCATGATTAGTGGGTTTCTTCTTCTTCTTGTTTTTTTGGTTTTGGGAGAGAGATTGGAGGAAATGGGGAGGAAAAGGTTTCTACTTGGGAGGAGAGTGAGTGAGGGAGGAGGAGGATTTGGTGTTTGTGTATATACATTATAAGAAGGGGGATTTTTTTTTATACATGGAATTTTTTGATTTGTTTTTCCTTAATATTAATCGGAAAAAGTGGGGAAAAGGGATAAATGTTGAGGAATTGATAAGGAAAATGTTATTTTTGGGGAGAATTGAATGGAGGGGAAAGAGGAGCACACGAGGGGCGGATCTCTGTGAAGACTGTGAAAGAATCTATTAAGAAGGGAGCAGGGGAAGGAAATTATTGAGAAAACAGAGGAAAGTCATTAATGTATGGATATTCAATATCTATGTCTTACTTATTTCTTACTAGCTAGAGAGGGAGAGCTATTATTATGTCATCTGACAGCTTCTGTGTTTTGTTGGGTTTTCTTTCACATTTCAATTGGGCTATGACAAATATAAGAGAAAAGTAAAAATAAATTCAATGGTTTAATGAAGGGTTTAGTTACTTTTTTCCGGGTAAATGTCACACTTGGTCACTGAGATTACTAAATCTTGTTGTGTTTAGTCACTAAAAAAAATTAATATCAATTTTGGTTTACTCGAATTACTGAAACATGTCACAATTAGTCACTCTCTCGTTAGTTTTCGTCCAACTCCATTAACCCATTTTTTTTAGTGACTAAACATAACACGATTTAGTAATCTCAGTGACCAAGTGTGGCGTTTACCCCTTTTTATATAAACTTCCTCGGTATATTGATTGAGCCGCACGCATAGTTTACGGTCGTTCTATAACAGAGGAATTAAGAAGATGGAGGGCGGTAGTCCATACTTCTGCAGACTCCCAATTAGAAAGGGTATGGGCTAACAAATAGGCCGGTTTATTGCAGTCCCGACCCCGGAAATAGAAAACGGACTTCTCTGACTCGCTTGGCTTCATCCCTGATCTCAGCACACAACTCTTCGATTTTTAGATCCGAGCGTGTTTCTCGTGTAAGTTTTCGAAGAAGCAAAAGGCAATCCATCTCAAGTTTATGGATTGATTTGCTTTCAAGAAGTCGAGTTTTGACTCCGTGAACCGGTAAGCTGATCTTTTAACCCTCAATGAAACTGGAACGCTAAGCGAAACACTTGCAGGGCTTGATATAATTGTTGACGGCTTATGACATTGGTGATAGTCTCGTCACAAAATCGCTAGACTCAAAGGATAACTTCATTAAAAATTTAATGCTTTCAAGATCAACTTGAGCACTAAAAACATCGTTAAACTAAATATGACGAGAGGCTTTGAATGATTTTTATTAGAAATAATATAATGTTTATATATGGTAGACAGAAACACGAGAAATTTGGAGGTTGTTTAGTTTCAACAAATTTTTTAGTGAATTGTTATAATTCTTGCATTTTGTATGAAACATAATTTGTCAAACATTTACACACAACATATTCATTAGTTACTTGTTGTGACGCAAACTATCATTCATTTGTACAATCACAACTAAAAGATAATTTTTTTTATTGTTTCGTGTTTTCTCTCTTCTTGTTCCAATTTATATAAAAAATTAGATGACTAGTTGTTGCCTTGTTGGTCCATACTCCATCCATACTGTGAAAACTTATTACTTATGGAGTCTTTATATTCTTCTTTCTTTTTTAATATAATTGTTGGATCCAGAGTCTGAATTCATATAAAACCATTGAATTCGCACTAAAATGAGTTTGATTTTTTACTTTATTAAGATGAAACTAAATTGTATGAATTTACATGTATGTTAACTGTATCGGTACATGACCAAAATATGCATGAATTTGTTACATGTCTATGTTATGTTTTTATACTAAAAAAAATTAACAATCTCAAAGTTGATTTCATAGTTCATTCTGCATTATCGAAAAAAAATTGGTTTTATACTATTCATTAAAAATTTATTTCGTGATATCGTTAAATACATAATATATGTCTATTTTTATGAGTACATCTTAAAATCGTCTCCAATGAAAATTCACCCTCTCAATCTACTCGATTTTACATTTCTCCATAAAGAAAAGGGGACGCTAACAAAAAAACAGCGAGGATCTCAAACCATCCATTAAGTAATTTTTTTATATGTGTATACATCAAAAAGCGATTTTTAAAGGATATACAGATAAAAAAAGACGATAGCTACATAATTTTAATTTTATGGGAGCACCCACAAATAATGAAGCTCCCAAAAAAAGGTGTATAATTGATAAAAATACAATGGTGTGGGCATAAAGAATCAAAGAGGACGAATCCTCCACGTGGCTAAAGGTATTGAGTAGTGTGATGCAATTATGTATGTAGGGTGGTCTCGATTAATTGTTTAGGAATGCATCAAACTACACATTCATATTATTATTATTTGTCACAAGAGAAAGAAAGAAAAAAAAAAGCATGAGGTGATGCTTCCTTCCATACTCATCCACATGGTCCCATGATGATACAACATGGAAAGGGATACATATTAAGCCCTCCCACCCACTAGATGGATACGTATCACGTCCATATACTTCTTAAATTGCAACGCGGAGATGATAATACCATACCTTGTTATATGAAATGTGGGACCGACAACCAGGGGCGGAGCTATGTAGGTCTTTGGGGGAACCCTGACCTCATGAGAAGTTTGAAACTTACGTGTAAATCGCTACAAAATCTTGAGAATGATTACGTGTAAAATAATTGTTTACTACTGATACTAGTGCATGAAAACTGCTTTGAAGTAGCTATTGTCGGTCTAGCGGATGGGGTTGTTAAACTTGTATATGAAATGTGTAGGTTCAAATCTAGTTGGCAGCAATTTTTTCACTTTTTGATAAGTATTATACTTTCAAATTAAGTTAATTAAGTTCTTACACTCTTAAATTGTTATTTTAAGAATATTTTTGGTTATATAGTCAATTAGTTAATTCTTTTTGAAACACTAATACAAATAGTAAGTCATTTTTCAATTAAAAATATATTGAATAATACGATATACATTGGTGCAGGTTCAAATCTGGTTGGGAGCGATTCTGCACTTTTTGATATAAGTCATATACTTTCAAATTAAGTTAATTAAGTTCTTACACTCTTAAATTGTTATTTTAAGAATATTTTTGGTTATATAGTCAATTAATTAATTATTTTAAAATACTAATACAAATAGTAAGTCATTTTTCAATTAAAAAATATTGAGTACCACAGTATACATTGACTTGCATAGTTAATTTTTTGTTTGTATAATTTGCCCATTTGTTATGAACATAACATTCTATAACTTAAGAATAAATTCGATTATGGATTATTTTCTTTTTCTCATATAAAATCTTACCTTGTTATGAGAATATCATTATTATTTTCAATATATTATTCTGCTTGTTATTTTCCTTTCATTCTTATGATAATTTATTAATTCATTCGATCCCCCATCCTGAAATTCTGGCTCCGGCCCTACCGATAACTAATCGATAATGATATCTTGTATTCAAATTTTCATAATGAGAAGATTAATAGTTGATTTTGGTTTTTTTTAACAGATGCAAATGTGAATCTTATAAGCTGACTTCATTTATAACACTGTTGTAGAAGAAAACAATATAAAATGCAAATTTGGATTCTCCCAACAACTGATCTACTGGAGGATTGTGATCACCAATGCTTTAGTGCACTCGTTTTTGCTGGATTTTCTAATATAAAATTAATTAATAAGATGATTCCCTTCAAAGTTTGAACTAGATATTGTAATAAATATTTAATTTATAGAACGGCTTCTATTGTCTGGCCGACGCTAAGCCCAATTGGTGAAAGTAGCGTGGACCGACAACATTCTTTTCACAACACACATAATCCTAAGTGTGTGTGTGTGATCATTTATCAAATCTTTTGTGGGTGAGGTCATAATTATTTATTAAGCCAATGCTATTGTCATTATCCACATGATTACAAAAACACATTTCTTAATAATTCCATCGACAGGAACTGTATTTTTTTTTAAATATCGAGATACTATATTTTCCCATGTAAACACATGCAAAACCACAATTTTCTTTCATGGTTCATCAAAGGGAAGAGAATCGATTGTCAACCTCTATGCTGACCGAATTAAGTGCTCAAATAAATTCTTCTTCTCAAAATGAAAGTTGATCAACTTATAATTCATATACAAAATTATAAGATCCAACATAACCCATTTCAACGCTACAAACCGCCCAATCAAGCTCGTTCCATACCAGAAGATAGAAGTGAACTCATTAATTAACAACCAACAATGTGGGGAAAGGGATGGAGGCACGGAATTGTACTACTTTTTTGGATTCGGAATATTGGTGGGGGCATAATTATTATTCATTTATATTATTGAGGGGTTTGGATCGATTTTTTCCCCAGAATTATTGGGGTTTGGGTGGTTGTGTCTGTCATTTTTGTAGGGTTATTTGGGACTTAATTGTTTGTTGCCACCACCCTTCAATTTGGCTAAAGGGATCATACTTCCAGCTGTTACATTACCAAGTTGAGACTTGATCCAATCGTTGCATATTAATATATATATGTACTCATATACTTCTTCTTCTTCGTCTTCAGCTTGCCGGTTGTTTTGAAGAAATGTACAGCGTGGCTGGTATATGTTTGTGGCCGACTTTAGTTTCAGTGGATTACTCGGATGTAATTGGCGTCTTGAATTTTCGGGTTCGAACCATTCTAAGGTGGAAAGAAATCCTAATATCGATCATATGTTAAAACTCTTTGATTATGTGTATGAGATTAGTTAACACATCTCAATATTCACCATTTTTGTCAAAAATAAACTAATTACGAAGGAAAGAATTCATAAACGAGGACGAGGGAAAAAAAACATCCACAAGATTGTGCATAAGGGGTTGATATGAAACATAGTAGGCTCGCGCGATATTTTATTTATTTTACTAATGTTTGGTTCAATTAGGATTGCAAGCGAGGGCCTAATATCTCACTTTTTATTTATTCAATCGATCTCACTGGTTCTTTATCAAACAATAGTATATATTGTCAAGAACACTAAATTAAAAGCAAAGAACACCAAGAATTTAACGTGGTATCCCTGAAGCTTAGGACTAATCCACGGGAGAGACGACACTCTCCAAAGGGTTTCACTATATAAAAAACGGCTTAACCTAGTTACAGAGGAGGAACGACTATATATACATATGGGGTTACACGACAGGAGCATAATAGAAAGGGTTTTGGTAAAATACAAGTTGGTACCTAAAAATAATAAATTTCAACATCCTCCCTCAAATTGATGTGCGGTACGCAACATCAATTTGGACGATAAGTACCAATGTCTGCTTGATGAAACCGCCTTCGTCAAAAGATATGTAGTCTGATCTTTCGTATTTAGATAACCAACCTGTATTTTTCCCTCTACCACCAACTGTCTAATATAATGTACATGAACTTCGATATGCTTAGTCCTGTCATGTAAAACGGGATTAACAACAATCTGTATAGCACTCGTATTATCCCCATATATACCATGGACCAGGAAACCGGATCGTACCGGCCGGTTCAACCGGTAAAACCGGAAATCGGACCTGGGACGATACGGCAAGCTGGCTGTGGAAGAATACCGTGCCGGCCGGTTTTGGTGGTTTAACCGACACAAAAAAAATCGCCCGGTTTTGATCTAACCGGCGGTAAGCAGTAGGAACAAAAACTACGTCGTTTTGGCACATAAAATAGTTTTAAAAAAAATTCGACCGAAAGCCAAAAACCCTAATCTATCGAAAATTTGGAGTTTAGTTTAATCGTTTCCGGATTCTTTCTTCTCCAGAGTCCATACCAGAGGGCAGCGCAGCCCCGCTACGCCCCGCCGCTCCTCATCTCCTCTGGCCGCCTGAAACCGGCGGCCTGCAACCGGCGATCGGCGCGAAAGTGACCCGCAGACCTGAGTCGTGCTCCGCATCTCTGCCGTTCATCTTCTCTGGCGAGTGGCGACCAGGACCGCGGTCCTCCCTCCTCTTCTTCTCGAGCGGCGAGCGGCGACCCGACGATCCTCCTCTCGCTTCCACCGGCCATGGCGGTTCTCGTAGGCTGCTGAATTTCAGGTGCAGGGATGTGACTGGGCAGGAAGGCTTTCTCCGGTGATGAAAAGATCTCTGGTTTTGTATTCAGGAAACTTGAGTAGCCATTGTTGCAGGAAGGCCGAGTTGTCTTTTGCTGATAGTAAGAAGACAGACGGACAACCCAGTTGGATTTTTTTTTGCTAATTTGACAATTGATTTCTAATTAAGAATGCAGTTTCAAATGAGTTTCGAATGGATTTTTTTGCTAATTTGACAATTGTCTTTTGCTAATTTGACAATTGATTTCTAATTAAATAGTTGGTTCATCATATTAAATGAGGTTTCTTCTTGAGCAACATATTACAAATAACATCATTGTTTCTTTATTAATGCGCTCTATGGGACTTACAAAAACAAACGATGGTAGATGGTGTTGAATTTTATATTACATATACTTATTTAGTTTATTCAGGTTTGTTATCCGGTATATTCCGGTTTTATTCCGAAACGATATCCCGAATCTGTCGGTATGGTTTTTTATCAAAAAAAATATTATTTAATTACAAAAACGGTATTTTGCCGGTACACAACGATTGAACCACGGTAGTACCACAAAATACCCTACCACTGGCGGAGCCGGTATGACTTCCGGTACGGTTTCCTTTACCATGATATATACGCATTGGGATTCGACAGTCAACACCCAATTCGCCTAGGAGCGATGAAGCCAAACTAGCTCATAACTCACCTCTGACATGGACCGATATTCGACTTCATCAGTCGATGATTTTGACACTCGATCTTGTTTCTTGCATCGCCAAGACACGAAAGATTTCCCAATTTTGACCCACCATCATGACGTCGATATCCGAGTATCCAAGCACCCATCATAATCTGCATCTGCATTTGCATTTGCAAAAGCCTCCAACTGCTGCTCTCCTGTAGCTGGAAAGAATAATCCCACTCTACAGTTGATTCATCTATTAATCCTTCTATACCTATCAATCCCTCCACACTAACAGAGAATTACAAATATAGAATAAAAAAAACAAAAACAATGGCTAAAATAGATGCACGATTGTCTTAATACGTATAATATCGTTTTCCAAACTTCTTTTAATTCTCGATAGACATACGATAAGATTTATCGTACCCTAGCTGAATCGATCTATATACATACTGTCGTGGGAGGAAACTAAAATCAACGGTCGCATATTCCGTCCAGTCAAAATGGAACCTTGGGAATGCATATTTTTTACTTGGGAAAGGAATTGGATTGGAACGAGACTGGTTAGGTTTGATCCAAATATCATTCAATACTTTGATTTAATTTGGTCCTTTTCACAAGACACGAGGTCTGGAAATCACACGTGTGCCTGCCTAATGTCTGTGCCTCTTCCCTCGCCCTTTCTGCAAAATTCTGAATGTGTTCTGCTTCTTCTTCTTCTTCTTCTTCTGCACAACTTCAATTTTCAACAGAACAATTAAGAAAGAAAGATAAATACGTTCGTACAAATATATAAATTATATAACAGAAGCTTTTCACTTATTATTATTATTATTTTTCTTTTTTCCTTTTTCCATTATCTGTGTGACAGAAGAAGAGCCTACTTTCCTTCGGAACAGAAAGGGGAAGGGGAAGAAGAAGAAGAAGTAAAAGAGTCAATCTCACAGGCAACCCGGTCCACTACAGTGCTGCATGCAGCAGCAGCAGCAGTTCAAAGAGAGAAAATGAACCGTCAGACCTATTTCTCTCTATTGGTTTTTTCTTTCCAGAGGGTGGCATGTGGCATAGTTAAGATGCTACAAATCTTGCGAGTTCGATGATCCGATCGACCGACGTTAAAATTGTAGTTAGGTATGCGAGAGTGAAAGTTATCATGGTATAAATCATGCTAAAAAACATATTTCGTGGAGCAATTTCAAATTATATCTTCGAAGACGTGTAAAACATATAATTCAAATTAAAATAATGTACTGATTTCCTATATCTAGATATTGGATGATGTTAATATGACCACATGAAAATTTGCTGCTTAATTTGTTTGTATTGAGTAAGGAAATACATAAATGTTTGAGGATAAATAGATGTCCAATTAAAAGTTAAGATTACTCAGGTTTTAGTCAGTTCATCTACAAAGAGCAATTTTCGGGGGGTTTTTTTTTCCTTATATCAAATTTTAAGCTCTGATAATTGTGAAATAAGGAACTTTTTAGGGTTTGACAAATATTTTTTTAAAAATATATGGGTCAGTAGTCAGAGGTTGCACGTGTGGTGCCATTATCACTTGGGAAAACTTTCTTTCACGCTTTAATAATATATATTAATTAATAATTTGCAATTGGGGGATATTGAAAATGACTTTTCTTTCTTCTGAGACAGAACTGAAGGAGAAATGGGTAAAGTGCAAAGGCAAGCATGGGAATTGAAAAGCCTTCACATGTGTCCTGTTTTTTGCTTCTTCTTTCTCTTCTCCTATCAAACATTATACAAAAGTGACCGAAATATACTTTCCTATAACCACCTCCCTGCTGGATAATTGAGCCATATTGGTTCAATTTGGTTAAATAGAACTGAAAATTAACAAAACCGTTAAGACTTTTAAGCAGTAGTTAGGTTTGGTTTCAAGAAAATCGAAAATCAATTGGATTTTGTAATGGGTGTTTGTGTATGAGGTTGTGATTTTTCAAATTTTACATGGTTTTAATTTAACTAAAACCAAAATCGATAAGTACGAAACGGTTTGAGAGCGCGATAAAAAAAACTGATAACTAAGAGCACCTAATCAATTCTGTTTTCGATTTAAACAAAAAATCTAAAGTCGAATTGACAGCCCTAGCTACACTATGCTCTACGACTTTGGTTATTATATAGAAAAAATAAGATAATTACTTGATATTGAATTAATACAAAATGAGCAACTTGATTCCCCTTCCTTTCCCTAGATAGTTAATACTTTATACTTATTTCTATCCCGAGAAACAAACTCTCCAAGTGGATTTACATGGTTAATTAGGAGCATTGATAGTTTGATTTGCTCCTTAAACTTTCAAATATAAGTCCATGTTATATTTTGGTTGTCGGTGATATTCAGAACACATATGCATGCCCGTTGTTGAATGTACAAGAAAATGAGCCTAATTGGAATGAGTCAACTCGAGCTAGCTAGCTCTTAGTTTGGTTTGAGTCATACCCTTTTGTCGTACTACCAATGCTGTCAGCCAAACTACTGAATCTAACTCCCATTGAATCTAGTTCTGGTTAATTATACCCTTTTGACTCAAACCATTTTATAATCGATTGCTCTTGCGAACTCTGACTACTTTTTTTCCACCTCTTCCACCTTTTAATTTGCAGGCTGCTACTAAGGCTGGAGGTTCAGTTAGCGGTTGCTGATTAACCGACTGGTTAAACCGATAATCGGCAGTTACCGGTCAACCGACTAATCGAAAAAATTGTAGGCGGGCGGTGTTCGGTAGGCATATTGGATGTGGCGGTTAACCGGCTAATCGACGAATCTAATCGCCGGCTAACTGACACAGCCAACCCCTTGACACAAAACGGCGCCGCCCCTCCCACTCTTTCGCGTTTCAGACTTTCAACGACCAAACCCTAATTTCCCTTCTTCCGCCCTTCGACTTCGTCCTTCCTTCCCCAACCCCAATTGCCAATTGGCCTTCCCTTCTCTGCATCGAGCCATCGACGCCCACTTCGTCCTTCCTTCCCCAACCCCAGGCAGCCACACAGTCCCCCGTCGACCGATTTGCGAATGGCGACCATCTTCTCTCTCCTTCCCAGGCCGCAACAGTGACTTTAGACGACACCGCGACCAGAGCGACGCCGCAATCTCCCTCGCCGACCCGCGCCCCCTGCTCGGCTGCTCCGCCATCTCCTCCCCGACCAGCTTCCCGACTCGCCGTCAGCCATACAGTCCCCCGCCACCAGCACCAGTCCCCCCGTTGTTCCTCCGCCGCCAGCCACAGACTCCCTCGCCACATTTCCTCCGCCAAACTGTCTAGGTTGTGCGGTTTCCTCGGTTAACCGACCAACTAACCGGTAACCGTCTGGTCGGTTGTCGGATAACCGAGGAAGGTGGCCGGTCGGTTGGTGGTATGGTTTGTTTGCGTCGCGGTTAACCGGCAACCGATATAACGAAAAAATTGAACCTCCAGCCCTAGCTGCTACTCATCTCTAGTCTAAAAGTTATAGGAATCAATAATTTTTCTCCTGTTTATGAGTTCTGCTACAATATAAGTGAGTGATTATTTGATGAAAAAATTATTGTAGCAAATGTCCTTTACTTATGGTGTTTTTTTTTCCCCTTCAAATATGTAACACTATTTTTCTCTCATTATTATATTTCACTACTCTGCAAACTTCCATTCCTTCTGAATTTCCCCTTCCCTCCCCTCCCTTCTTTCATGAATAGTGGGTTAAAAATTTGAACACGAAATCTATTACCATATGCAACAAAATCAAGCTATTTCAACCATTCAAATCTTCAGAAAGATGAATTTGGCAAAATTTCATTGACACTAACCCATACCTAACACCCATCGAGCATGCTCGACAAAGAGCAAAAGAAAGTAGATAGGTAGAACACATGGCTTTTCCCACCTCCTGATCTCCTTTAATTTCTTCGTCAAAATTTCTATCGAACACTTAAATCAATCAATGCATGATAAACTGTTCTAAGGCAAAAAAGACAAATGCATGGTAAACTAGTAGCACCAAAATTTCCCCCATTTTGTAGCTAGCTAGAGCCCTATACCATGCTAGTTGTTCCCTAAGATAGAGAGGATCTTGCTTTGCTGTCCATCCATGAAAAAGAGAGAGAGATCGAAGAGCTTATAAATTCATGGCCGTGGATATAGGCTTTTTTTATACAAGCTCAACCCTAATCTGCACAAACCATGCTACGTACGGCAACGACAAAAAGGTATAATGCTATGTGCCTAACCTTTCTTTTGGCTCTAGATTCTAAATATCATCGATCTCCAATCCCGTTGCAATTATGTAATTTCAGTTGCGCCCTAATTACACTGTATAATAATCTTTATTCATGTAGTTAATTGATAATTTCGTTCATCATAATCAGCAGTTGTACCTTTGCTACAACTAAGACTAATAGAGCAATGGTAAAATATTATGGAATTATGGATATATTTCGTAATCTATATATGATAAGTAGCGTGGGAAAAGAGAATGTATCCATAAATATTTTCGTTGGAGTAGTAGTACGTAGCCCCACGCCGCACGTGCATGCGACAGAATTCCAGACACGCACCATGAAGACTGAAGAGGGGGGAAAATCATTACACAAACGCAACCACCCACCCATGCTAGTAAATTTTTAATTCTCTAACTCAACGTTTAATTCAAAAATAATTATTGAGAATTCTAATTGTCAAAATTTATCTAATAAAAATGAAGACAGGACTTTATACCACTCTCTTACATGCCTTGTAAAATAAAAAAATCAACTCACGAGCTTGAAGTTTGCATAGGCCCACCATACCTTGTGCTTTAATCAACTCTTAGTATTGAGGGTCGTGGAGATTCAAACAAACAACCACTTGGCCAAAGCAGGCTCTAATACCATGTCATAAACCAGTTGGTCCCAAGTAACTCGAATTGTTGGGAGAAGGTTATTATAGATCTTATAACACTCGCTTAGATAGGGTGCGCCTATGGTGACATGCATGTCACCATAACTTGCACTTTTCGGTCGACCTCAGTTAGAAATTAGGATTAGATTGACCTAATATGTCGTTTCAGTGTAAAAACAGTTTCATGGTGCCTAGTTTGAAGATTCATATCTTACAATTGGCTCAATAAAAATTGGAGATTAATGGCTTGTTTTGAAGCTGGAGTGTCCCTCTACACATTGAAGTGCTTGGGAGCTCGATAGGAAGTCCAAAATACCATTTTTGAACCTGATCAAAAGGCTATGCCAAAACTCGAAAACTTCCTGAAAATGACCAAGTCTGGGAAAGACTTTGTGAAGCCTACTTTGGAGCTCAATTCGAGAAGCATTGATGAGATTCGAGTCCAGAGGCCTCTACCACATGAAAGTAGGTATGTTTGTCTACAAAGTCAAGGCATTGGATGAAATATTGAATATCTAGAAAGCTTCAAACAAAAGGCTCGAAATTGCTACGAAGTAAGCTGCCTTCTAGCACAAGACTGAAACGGCATATTAGGTCGACCTAGTCCTATATGAGGTCGACCTAAAAGTGCAACTTAAGGTGACATGCATGTCACCGTAGCAAAGTCTGCTTAGATAGCATATGCTAGACATATGCAAGCTTTTGCCATGTATTTATCATAAATATATTTGATAAATAAAAGATTTCAGCATAATAATTAATGTATTAAAATGATCCGTTTAGTTAAATCCAAGGATTGAAATATCGTACCGGAGGTCGTACCGGAAAAGTCAGTGGTAGGATATTTTATGCTAAAACCGTGGTTTGACCATGGTTCAACCGTATTATACCGCTAAATACCGCCTACCGGTTTCGCTTCCGGTAAGAGGTTTTTCAGGTCGAACCGCCGGTACGGTACGATATTTTAATCCTTGGTTAAATTCCTGGTTACAACATTGTAATAAAGCATTACAAGGCAACACAAAAAAAGAGCTAAGTAGATACAATATAGGTAGATAAATAAACACATCCCATTACAGTACAACATGTACAGGAAAACCCTCTTTGGATTTGCCCACGATTTTTGGAATTCATTTATTTCTTAAGGGTGGGTCTTGTAGTCAAGCTCCCTTCTGCCTTTGCACTCAAGGGCCATCGGCCGGCCTGAAGAAACCTTTGCACTCCTCCGTTACCTTTTGGGAGGCTTACGCCCCATAAAAATTGTGAATCCATTTTTTGTAAAAATATTGTCCGCTTTGAGTCTATTTTGCACGACTTTGTTTTTGGTACATAGTGCTCATATATCTAAAGGTTATCCATCTCTACCTACTTCACCCTTGTAACGTTAAATATTGAAATTCTTTCCAGAACTCATTCATTTGTCTTGTAAATTTATGTGAAATTATTCCTTATAAATTACTAATTTCTCCTCTGCATTTTCTATATAAGATTTCTCTAATATATTGTAACTCTCGAAATAAATAAAAAACATAAAAAAAAAAAAGTAGACCGACCAGACAAACATCGCAAAAGTGCCGCCCTCTCATTGGTTTCATTCATGTGGTAATTAATTAGATTTCTTCTTCTTTTTGGTGATGATTAATGGGAGCATAGTTAGAGAGGTTATATATAGTGAGTGAAGTCTTTCCGACCATGTGACCACCACATCTCATCTCTTTCCACTTTCCGGCGACATGTTCCCAACATTTTCGCACGTGATTTGTGGTGAATTCGTGAATTTACTTCCGAGCTATTGACTTTTTTTTTCCCGAGTAGTAGAATTGAGTGTTTAAGTCACTATACAAATTTTCTTTTAATCCTTTTATACTATAATGTTACAATTATCGATCGTATATCATTCTTTAGCCGACAATAAAGAATAAGTGTAGTGCGCGAACAAGGGTTTGACCTAACGATAGTAACACCTTACTAGTTAATTTCAAGCTTTGAATTCAAAGACAGCTTGATGTTGTCATTCATGTTACTACCAAGCTAATATTTTGGTATCTAAAAAGTCGGACAAACTTATACTAGTGATGGGCTTGTCTGTGTGTTTCTTACTTCTTTATTTGTGTGTCCAAAATAATGGATGGTTTTATTTTAAAGGTTTCAGGCTTTTATCTGCGCCTTCTATTGGGATCCAATACTCCTTAGTTCGTTTGGGCTGCTAACAAGGCCCAAACTCGATGCTCCTTAAGCCATATAGAATGGGCTAACAAATTTTCCTTTTGGTTGAGAGACAATGGGCTAACAACCAATGAACCAGAGGCCCCACACAGTCTTTTGGCCCTGATAAACTGTTCATCATCAGGAGGCTTTCCGTCAGGTTGTTAGTTTGATTCAATTAATCTCAATTCTTTTGGTGGGATCAATTCCCTTTAAATGATTGTTGGTCGAAGACTCGAAGGTTTAAATTAATAAAAAAAAAAACAAATGTATGACACTTTTTTTTTTATCGAAATGACACACTTAATTTTGAACCAATTAATATGTAATTTCTCTGATCATATATCAATTGACTCGTAACTCAATACGACTTCGAACATTAGTTAACTCAATCTGAATTTGAGTCTAACAACGTAAAGATAAAGCTGAACTAAAGACATTGGATCATGATTCAAATTTTACATTTACCCACACAATTTAGTAGAAAAGTAGTAACTTCGATAACTTTTATCAAATGTCTATCCACATAATCCGACTTCTTGAAGCCAATCACACATGTACTAACACACATAGTTAAGTCATAAGAAAACATAATTAAGGCTCCCTTGAAATCCCAAGCCTATGATCCTGCAAAATCCACATATGCTCAGCTTTGGTCTTCAACATATTCCAACACTTCAATCATCATCTTCACCGTCGTCGTCAACATCCTCATCCTCCTCCTGCAGCAGCAAGATGATTCAGCGAAATGGTTACTAAACCTGTAAGGGCAATGCATCGATCTAAATGCCATGTTTTTGTTGCTACATTAAGAAACCTATACCTCAGAGTCTGAATCATCATCTTCCTTGGCACCATTGACTTTAGGCTTCTTCGAAGGTGTGGCTGGCTCTTCTTCATCATCTTCCTCTTCATTCTCATCTACACTTTCCTGCACAAGGAACATTGTATTGACAATGAGACACAATATAACACGGCCAAGATGTTGAAGTAAAGCTTCAGTAACAAAAACCTCACACTAACCTGCTTTTTGTTATAGACATTCATAAGCTTCTGGTAATCCGATTTCCTCTTGGCCGCTTTCGCTTCATAAGGGGCTTTCTCCTGAACACACAAACACAGCCTTTTTCCTTGTGAATAAGGCTTCCTCAAGTCTTTTGTAGAATCAAAGAGGGGAAGCAACTTACTTCACTAGACAAGGATTTCCATTTCTCTCCTCCAGCTTTCCCCACCTTCAAATGGATTTTGCATTCACTCAATAAAACAACACTTTGCCTAACAAGTTGATATCCATTACTGAATCAGCAAGCAGTAGCTAGCTAGGGTTTTGCTTACAGCGGAGACAGCTTTCACATTAGGATTCTCTTCCTTGTAAACCTTCCTGAACTCTTCTCTGCAATTTTTTCACATAAGCAATATCATTCCAATCCTTCATTCATTACATGTAAACCCAGCAGCTAATGAAGAAATATAGAAAACTCACAGAAATACAAAGAAGGCACTGGCAGGCCGCTTTGGCTTGTTGGGATCCTTGGCTGAAGCCTGTTTCTCAACGTTGTTAACACTCCCAGTCCTTCTCTTGCTACTACTACTACTCTTCTGACTCTCTGAAACCTTCCCCACTGCCTTCCTCTTCCCAGCAGCCTTCCTGGGGATACATAAAGGAAACAACTTTAGCCCAACATTCATCTAAGGAAACATGGCTGCCATCCAACTAAGAGCTCGAAAAGATTTAATCCATGATATCTGTTGGGATAAACCAGTCCATAACCTGATGTTGAAGCCTTTTAAAACCGATTTTCTAACCCATATACAATAATGAATCAATTACAATCTTGAAATTGAGGTTCAACCACAGACAAGGTTAATGGATTCATGGTGTGCTTCTGATGTTAGTGATGATTACCTGTCCTCCACAATTGCTTCGTTTTTGTCCTTGCTTCCCCTGCCTTTTGAAACTTTCATAGCTTAGTTCCTCCTTCAAAGTTGGAACTACCGCAGCAGATTACCCTGAATTATCAAACAGCCCTTTTGATTCAATTGTTTCAGATAATTGGAATGAAAGGCGTGACTGTTGCATTGGATAGAAACAGGGCAATTTCTCTGCAACTAATAACAAGTCTCACCCCTCAAACTACAAAAGTGCACAAAAGCAACTAGGATGAGAAACTAAGAACAACCCCTTTTCATGCTCCAACGAAACAAAGTAGAATTCAACCAGAAAAAAAAAGAAGCAAACTTTCTTGTCTTGCCTCTGTAGTGGAAGAGAGCAAACGCAAGAACGAGAGACAAAGGGCGAGTACCTCTACCTCTTGAACCGGAGAAGAGAAAGGAATAAAATGGATCCAGAGATTTTGCAGATTAGCTTAACAGAGCCGCAGAAGGAGAGCCGAGCTGCCCAGAAAGCAAGAATTCGATAGTAAAGAAAGCAAAGCAGAGAGATTGGGAAGAATGGTGGAAGGAAGGAATAAGACAAGGTGGGAGAGGGAGAAGGAATGGTACCAAACCAGAAGCCAGATATTTGTGATGGGTCCCGCAGTGAGAACCCAAAAGACGTGGCAATCGGTGGAGGCAGCTTTCAGGGAGTTGCTGTGAGTTGTGTTAAGGGAATTGATGGAGTTACCAGGCAGAGGATCTTACTCTGCCTCACTGCCTTCCTTCTGATTGGTCCCATTGTTGCTCCCAAGTTCTGAATAGTTTCCCTTGGTCATTTCCTGAGATAGAGGTCCTCCGTCAAGAACAAGATGATGAATTTGGATTCAATTTATAGGATTGAAGAGCATGTTGTAGAAGGTGTCATTCAATTACTTTTCCTAAGCTGTCATGTGGGATGGTCACAATAGGGTTGGAGGAGGATGTGTCACGAAGGAGGCCAGTCATTGTGAAAAGCCAAGTTGATTAGCTCAACATAGAGAAGGGTAAGTGGATGGATTCACATCGAGCGCAAAGAAATCCACAATTTAGAATGATTGTAAAAGATGTGTTATAGCAATTAGCAAATGTAATCACATTTTGAATAGGAGTTCTTTGTTTCAACTTCAATTGTCGGTGAACAAAAAAGTGTACTAGCTAGTCTTATTGTCATACAGAATTTCCACAAATGTTGGTTATCAAAGGTTGATAGAGAAGATATGTCCGCATTAAGTTTTTAATAGTGGATCACTCGTTGGTGAACAAGACGCGTACAAAAGGATAGTCGAGACAAGTGAGAAATGGGCAGACTGAAACTATCTCCAATAAAACTGTTAGGGTTATCCTTAAAAAAAACCCACATTATAGTTTGGGTCGGTTCAAATATATTACACACACATATGAAATTAATGAAGTCGTTCTCTAATAGAAAAAACCGACCACTCTCTTTGGTCACTTGTCCTCACTAAAAATCCTATCACGTAACTATAATGAAGTGATTAAGTACCATACATGAAACTCTTCTAACAACTCGAGTTATTAAGATTAGTTGGTCTGTGATACGGTATCAGAGTTGGGTTTTCATTGACGTCACATGTTCAATCCTCACGACCCCTAATATTAATTGTTGTATTAAAACACATTGTATACGAGGTATCTAATTTTTTCGTTTCAGAAAGCGTATTTAAAAAAGTGTTTAAGTACCATACTTAACCTCTCTCAACGATTTGAATTATCTGATACTAATGGTTTTAGACAGTAAAAAGAAGAAGGTAGAGTGATGATGGTGGAAGGAAAAGAGTAGACAATAAAGTCTAATAGGAAGATGCTCTTGCTAGCCATGGCCCATGATGGTTAACAAGCTGAAGAGCAGTCACCAAACAAGAACAAAACCCATATAAAAAGAAGCCCACTAGGTGAGAAAAGAAATGTATCCTTAAATTCTCTCAGCAAAAAAACAGAGATGAGAGACCCACTGAACAATAATAATAATCATCAGCAAAAGAAAGGCCATCAACCATCCAAGTCTCACCCAATAGCAGATAAGGGCAAAAGATAAGGTCCATGCCATTCATCTTCACAAAATCACTCACTCCCCCAATAAAAAAAATAAAAATAAACCTTTTTCTCATTTTATTTCAAAAGAACCACACAGATCCATCCATTCTGGTTTATAAGGCCACGCTTTTCAGTTCTACTAATCCCCAACTTCCTCATTTACCCACCGTGCAGCCAAACAAACAACCATGGCCACCACCGCGGCAGCCACCGCCACCGTCGCCGCCTCCCGATTCACCGCCGGGGCCCGAACCCGGAGGCCCAACTTCGTCCAGGCCCGGTTCGGATTCAGCTTCGGGAAGAAGAAGGCGGCCCCACAGCCCAAGAAGAAGCCCGCAGTCCCGGCAGGGGACAGGCTGGTCTGGTTCCCGCGGGCGAACCCGCCGGAGTGGCTGGACGGGACGATGGTGGGCGACCGCGGGTTCGACCCGCTGGGCCTGGCCAAGCCGGCCGAGTACCTGCAGTTCGACTTCGACTCGCTGGACCAGAACCTGGCCAAGAATCTGGCCGGGGACATTATAGGAGTGAGGACGGAGGCCGCGGATGTGAAGCCGACGCCGTTTCAGCCATACGACGAGGTTTTCGGGATCCAGCGGTTTAGGGAGTGCGAGCTCATCCACGGGAGGTGGGCCATGCTTGGCACACTCGGCGCCATCGCCGTCGAGGCCCTCACCGGCGTCTCCTGGCAAGATGCCGGCAAGGTACGCCATTTAATTAAGCTGACTGATTAATCAATTAGCTTCCGTGTGGGCTAAATTCTAGTTAGGAAAGAGATTTGCATGCTAGGGTTTTTGTTAAAAAGGGCTTAGTAAACTGTAATTAATGATATCATTACTGAAAAATGTTGATTTTAATCGAGTTAGCATATTAATTACATGCGGCTGCGTAGGTTATACGTACAAAGTACGACGTACTCATGTAGATCCATGCTAATTGGGTAGTGGCATGGACAAATTAGTGATTTAACTTTTTGTGGAGAGTAAGCAGCTGACACGTCATTTTCTTCCAATCGGGGTATACGTGTTCACTTGCATATCCAACCAAATATTGTGGCATCCACCGACATAAATTTAAGGTTTAACCAGTGAAGTCAGAAGTGAGAAATGTGAATGAGGAGCTGAACTGAATCGTGGTAATTGAGTTGGGAGAGTTAAAGACTTTATCGACTATTTTATTTTTTAAATTTGTTATGATTTTTATATGTAATTTTACCTATATTTCAAATTTAATGGAGGTTAAATATTTTCCTGGTTTCACCGAACTTCTCTATTACTTAACCTGAATTTATATCAATAGATTATTTTGATTAGAATTTTTAAAACCCTATGCTCCTCAGAATTGATAACTATTTGAACAATTTGGACATGGCTTGTAAGTTGATAGTCAATCTAGACGGTCAACGACTTCGATTGTTAATGAATCACCACATATTAGAAATAATATAATTTAGTCATAAAAAATAATAAAAATTCTGACAATTTTTTTTTATCATTATTATCAATATTTGATAAATTTTACGGTACAAGTTGATCCGACCGAAATTATGAACTATAGGCAATTTTAGTAATAGAAAACAGTTAAACCAATATTTTTTAGTACAATATATCTTATTGTTGACTTTTTGAGTATATGATTTATTATATTTATATATCAAACTAAGCATTTCTTTGGCATGGGTGCATATATATATATATTCGGGTGATTTTGGGTGGCCGGACATGCAGGTGGAGCTGTTGGAAGGGGCGTCGTACCTGGGGCAGCCGCTGCCGTTCTCGCTGACGACGCTGATCTGGATCGAGGCTCTGGTCATCGGCTACATCGAGTTCCAGCGGAACGCCGAGCTCGACCCGGAGAAGCGGCTCTACCCGGGCGGGTACTTCGACCCGCTGGGCCTGGCGTCCGACCCGGAGAAGAAGGAGAGCCTCCAGCTGGCCGAGATCAAGCACTCCAGGCTCGCCATGGTGGCGTTCCTCATCTTCGCCCTCCAGGCTGCTTACACCGGCAAAGGCCCAATCAGCTTCGTCGCCACCTTCGGCCAGTGATCTCCGGCCAAGCCCAATTAATATTGCACCGTTTGCACGCAGTCAAAAAAAGACCAAAGCTAGTTGAGTTAATTATATATTAAAAAAAAAAGAATGTAAACCGAAATTTTAAAAGTACTACTACTGCCTGTGGACAGTGAGATACAGTAATTAAATTAACTACTGCATATGATTAACTTCTCGTGCGTTTACTGATTTAATTTACTGCAGATCGAAGAGATATATGTTAAGAAAAGGTCGTGGAAGTTGCGTATGTATGTGACGTGGGAATATTCACATTTTGATTCGTTCTTCTCAGCTGCAGGTGGAATGGAAATTGGTTTGGTTGTACTTGTATGGCATTTTAGATGGAGGAATTACAAAGAAAGACATGTCTTCATGTTCACAACATAATATATTTAATACGGTTAAGATTTAAAGCTGGCCTCCTTATCTTATATGAATAATGATGAATCTAATTCCGAACTCCCGATTACGACTTATGGACTAGCCAATCTTCTCCTTAGAATGGAGAAATTGGTGTCGCAATCCGTTTTTGTTGTGGAAAATAATGTTATATCTCCTCTATACCTTAGTTTGGCACTGCTGTAGGTTTTGCAGAAGTAGTCAAAATGAGTGTTTGGCTGTAAAACTATTAGAAGTGCTTTTTAATATAAGAGGTTGTGTAAAATGACTATAAAGGACTTATAAAATAAAATATGAATAAAAATTCTAAACAATAAAAAGTAGTCAAAATGGATCTTGTTAGATTTCTTTTATATTAAATAATATGATTTTATAATTTATTATATTTTAAAAATGAAGGAAAATTATATTTTATGAAATAAAATTAATATATGATAAGGATAATCTTGTATTTTCAAAACAACTTTTCGCAGAAGCTCCAAATCGGAGCTTCTGCTTTTATGTTATACAAAAGCGCTTTTCGGCTTTTCAAAAACCGAGCTTTTACAGGTGTTTGGCCCTGCTTCAGCTTTTGAACCCGAAAAGCACTTCTAAAAGCCGGGCCAAACATAGGTATAATTGTAATCCATGAAATTTTTATACAACAGTTCACCTGTTAACTTCCAATAATGCATATACTTGTTTAGCTATTAACCCTAAAATCAAAGATTGCTTTCAACAACAGAGAAGAAATTAAAGGCTCCATGGATGGGGAATACACGTCTCTGTCAAGTTCCACTTTTGCAGAGAGAGGCAACAAATTACAGTTGTGATTGTGAAGGAGTCCTGCCACCCTGTACATTTGCCCACCCTTCGGCTTCATCGCTTTGTAAGTTGTGAATTTCTTTCTCACTTGTAATCCATGCTCCACCATCACCAATAATACCAGACTTAATTAACAATTACCAAGTTTTGCTCTACAGGAGAAAGCAGTACGCAATCTGCCTTTGGCTAGTATTTTTTTTTTTTTCAAAAGAAAATAACCCTTCTGATCCATTCTCCAACTTGCCATTCCGTGTTTCTTTCTTTCCTTCTCTCTCTTCCCCCTCCCGCTGTCTGTTGGTTATTACCCCAAGTGGTTCTTTCCTCTCATATGAAAGTTTGGCATTTTCTTCGATTGACACGAATTGTTGGTGGACAAATCCTTAGGGGGCTGGTTTTGGGAGACGATCTAGTTGCTTGGTTCGGAGCTGATGGGGCGGCTTTTTGTGGTGAACCTTGAAGGGAAGATCTATAGTTGCAAGCACTGCAGAACCCATCTTGCTATTTGTGAAGATATTGTGTCAAAGGTAGCCCCTTTTTCATTCGATGGAGAAGTTATCTTGTCTCTGTGCCATGATCTCTTGGAATTTTCATCTGGGTTTTTGTTTGATTAAATAGGTATTTCGTTGCGTCGGAATAATTTTATGGTGTGAAATTGGCTGTAGATGAAGAATTTGGGGAAGTTGTTGATGATTGAATTCGAGCACTTTCGGAGTAGGACTGTTAGTTTTCAACCACATTTATGATTAGGTAGACTGACTAGATAGGCTTGGGGATTGCTAAAGATATCAGTGAATTGATCTGCCATATAGTGCAGTAGAGTGCACTCAATTTGGGTGAGAAATATTGTTACTTGATCTTCACTAGTAAATGGGTTCACAGAATAATTTCTGTTGATTGAAGTTCACTGTACAGAATGACAAGGTAGGTGAATCAGAGCTTTTGCTGGTGTGGGTTATTGCTTTTCTTCCGAGCATTACCTGATTGTTCTGATGCAGAAACTTATAACTGTATCGCGGTTATTTGTTCATTTTCTGCCAAAGTTAGACCCTTGGTGCTTTGGGTTCATGGTGGAAATTGCAATGGTATCAGTCAGTGGTTTTGGGAGTAGTTTATACTTCTGATGAGTTCATTACTACAATGCCACAGCTTAAGTGCAACATTGTAAGCGATATATTATCTCATCTCCGTATATGATAGCTGTAGAGCTTCGTCGTTCAATGTCTGATCGGATAGTAGTGTGGCATCTAATGAACCATTAATTGGATACTGCAATTGCATACCAATGTGCTGCATAAACCTTGGGACATTTATTCTTCAATCATGTTTGGTTTTAGATTTTCCTTTTGATATGGTACCGTATTGTGCGTGTTTTTCACCTCTTGTTGAAGTTGAGGGTATTGGAAGTATGGATGTGCACAATTTGAACTTATCAGTTCTGCAGTTGATGTGTTTTAGGTCTCCACGAGTATTCTTTGTATGTTATTTGGAAGTGAGGTTCTGACTACTAGTCATGCCTGTGTGTCTTTTCAGTCTTTCCACTCCAGGCATGGAAAAGCTTATCTCTTCAGTAAGGTGTAAGTTTTCCTTGATTTCTAAGTATTGATCCATTGTGGGTTAACAAATACATACCAATGCACTAATCTGTTATTCTCGTTTATGGCTTGGCTAGTTATATATGAACAAGAGTTGATGTGGGTTAACAAACATTTTCCAATTTATCTTAACCTTCAGCCAGGGCTTGCATTGTGTGGCATGTGAGTAAAACATGATGCAACTCATAAGAGTTGGAGTTTGTCTATCCTTGCTATTGTTTTGAGGGCCAAGTAGTGTTAGAGATATGTTTGCACAAAAGTTATGAGGACTTCAAAACTTAAAATTTTATCCATTGATCTCCAGAAGAAATGAAAAGCATTTTATTCTCCTTACGAATCAGTATTTTCAGCTTTGTCCTACATGTGCGGCTGTGATTTGTATAATTTGAAATGCCTTTGCTGGCAAAGGATGCTATGATAAGACATCATCTTTTTTCTCAGCCATGGGTTTATTCTCATTTGGTAGTAGACTTTTACATGTTGCAGAGTGAATGTTACTATGGGAGAGAAAGAGGAGAGAATGATGATGACCGGGAGGCATACTGTTGTTGACATCTTCTGTGTTGGGTGTGGATCAATTGTGGGTTGGAAATATGTAAGATTTTGGCTGAACCTGTAAAAAAGAGTTTGAGTGGCAAGAAAATCTAATGGATAGGGAATGATAAATATACATGCTATATTTCTTTCAGGAGACTGCCCACGAAAAGGCACAGAAGTACAAGGAAGGAAAATCTGTCCTCGAGCGGTCAGTAGATAGTTAGCTGAAACATTTGCAGAAAGATTGAGTTTAGATGTTTCACCATAGTCTGAATTCCAGATTGTTAGATGAATTAAGGTTACAAAGTTTTGGTTGTTGAGCAGGTTTAAGGTGTCTGGCCCTGATGGAAGCAGTTACTGGGCCAATCATGAAGTTTCGCAGCATGTCGGCGGGAGTGATGCTGATGATGTTTGATAGTATGCTGTCTAAACCATCTGTTACCAATTGTACATTCCTATCTCCCTCCTAATTTCCTCATTGTAACTCCTGCAAGAATTAAACCAACCTGCACATTCAAACAGCTCTGGGGAACTTGATATCAGATAGCTTGGGTGCCAAGAAAACATTGGATTGTTGATTCATGATGTATTAGTTCTTGTCCTTTCATCATTTCAATGTGAATATTATGATCTTTCATTTCTGAATCCCTGAAACCGTCTTATCTTGTATTTGTGTTGATGATCATGTTCATGTACATGTTTAGCCATTTCATTTACACAATGCAGCACAGCTAATAGCAGCAGTGTCATGCTACAAGGCAATTCAAAAAACAATTGAATGTTGGACTAATAAACTATTAAAATACTTTTTAATATATGGGGTGATGTAAAGTTACTTAAAATTTCAAATGTAAAACAAAAAATGTTAGAGTGGATATTATTTAAATTAATTAATATTATTTTCTAAACTAATTTAGTTATAACTAATATAAATGAAAGAAAACTACATTTTCTAGAAAAATTTGATAAGTATAATATTCACAAAAACTCGATAACTAATCCTCTACTCTTATGTTACAGAAAATCATTTTTATCCTTTTCAAATGCTCGATTCAAAGAGATATTTGACCTTATTTTAACTTTAGAAATGAAAATATTAAAAAAAATCAAAAATTCCAGCGAAATATTAACAATATTTATTTAACAAAAGTCTTCAACCAAACCATTCCAAATCGAGCCCACTTCCGTTTCCGGCGTGATGGTTGCGACGTTAATAAATAGTGAATATATAAAGCCCACTTGGGTTACGGCCCAGTTAAATAATTGACTAAGAAACAAAAAGAGGACCCAAAACGTAAACATTAACAATTTGCAATAGTACCATCACTGAATCAAAACTTTTAAATTTAATCCCCCTTTCAGCATCATTCACTTGTTCTCCGAGTAAAATGTGGCCGTCAAGTGGGATTTGACGTCACGTAAGAAAACCAAAAGAGGGACCTACTTGCAAATACCGAATATTTCAAAATGGGAAACGAAAATAGATGAACTAAGAAATTTCCAATCCATAGGCACAGCCCACAGGAAAGAAATAATTGATGTAACGCCTTCTCTCTCGTCTCGTCTCGTCGCTTCTCCCTCAAGATTTCCGTTCGTGCAATCCCTCAACCTCGAACTGTTCTTCAATTCCCTCAAATCCGGTCGGTAGACGTGAACCTACGGTGAGAAAGCAAAGCGATTCGCCGCCGTCTCGGTAATTCTTGCCGTTGTAGCTGGTGAAGAGTTGTTGATGATTGGCGAATCGTGACAGAGAGAAATGGCAGGGAAGATGAGGAGAAGCGAGGCGGGAAGTAGCAGTGGTAGCAGCAGCAGCGGCAGCAGCCGGGGAGAGACGGTGGTCGTTGATTGTGGCCGGTGTAAAAGCTCTTGCGGTTACTGCAAATCTCCCGGTCGCACCAGCATTAGCCATGGTCCGTATTTCCTAGTTCTTCGCGATTCATCGTTGGGAATTTTCGTTGATCTTGGAAATTGGTCACCTTTGTTAGGCTAGCTCCTGTTGGTGGAGTGGTAGAATTTATTGATTCCTGATCCTTGTGAGAGCATGGAATTGAGAACTAGAGATCATTATGGTCTAGGCTGTTCAATTTCAATTGGGGTGCTATTGGTGACTGTCTTATGTTATAAAGATGGAGGAAATGTGGGTTTGGAATTTAGTTTGTTACCTCCTAATGGAATTTGGTTGATTTGGATTAGATTTTGAGCATTGCAATCCTAGAGCGTGCGATTGTTGTTTCCATGTCGGTCTATGATTGAATAATATGAATAGAAGTAAGCTTTCGATGTTTAATTTAGGCTCATTTGGGTTGCTTTTCCAGGTCTATGGGCACACAGCATTACAGTTGATGACTATCAAGGTTCGTTCGGTTTATGTTTTTATAATTTATATACGTTGCTATGTTCACTTGATTTGGATATCTGGAACAGTGTAGTATAAAGCCTCATATCTACCAACAAGGAAATTTTGATAGGATTTTCTGTCTGATCAGTAGTAAAATGAGTGGTCATGAGAAGAACATTTGAATGATTGCAGTGCCACATATGCAAAACCGTTGGATTTTGAGTGATATCAAACTGCTTTAAGATGAGCAGAAATCTTCGTGTTTTGTCGAACGGGTGGATCTCCTTTCATGCATCATGGAACGAAATTCTTGCTGTCTAGTTGATCGTTGTGTTGTGACTCTGTTTTAAAGCATGGAATTTTTTCTCAATATTTTTTTGTAGGCTTGCGTTCTTCTAATACAATCCTTCATTGCTAGATCTTCTTGACCAGGGCTGGAGAAGATCCGGATGTTTCCTGTACAAACCTGAGATGGAAAGAACATGCTGCCCATCATATACTATCCGTTTGAGGGCAAGTGACTTTGTTCCTTCAAAAGAGCAACAACGTGTCTCTAGAAGAGTGCAAAGGTATTTTCTCTTTTCAGACAAGTCATTTAAGAATGCATGTCCCTCTGGTCTCTTTTTCTTTCGATTGGTAGGTCTTTGAGATCTTTGGCTTGTTAATGAAACAAGCTACTAACAGTGGGATGTTCCACAGACACAGAGAATATTTTCTTGGTGGACTTGTTTATGAATCTTTGAGGAATTTGAATCCATGTGTTGTTTGTATATCATTGTGATATCTGCTCCTGTTAAATGTACTTTGTATCTGACTCCTCGGTGCCCAATTGACTGCTTGTAATGCGTGTGCCTAGGTTCTTAGATGGAATGCTGGATGTGAAAACCCCAGTAGAGGCAACAGATGATCCAACTACCTCTATCAGTACATGCACATGTGCCTGTCATGAAGCGTCAAGCAGTGGAATGAAGGATTCACTCTCTGATCAAGGTGAGGAGAAAAGAAGTTCAGAGCAGATTGTCAGCTATTTGTCGGAGCAACTTGACAAGGCAGTGAATAAGTGCACTGAACATGGAGGACTTCCTTCTGGCATCAAACTACCAAAAGCATCTGTCAAAAAGGTATCCCAGGGGAAAAGGAAACTACTTGTAGAAGGGGGGAAAGATCTACTGTACTCGAGCAACATTGCATTCCAGATAGCAGCGATTCTCAATCGAGCTAAGTCAGCTAATAAGGAACCAAGTCCTAATCTTGAAAATAATGCCATAACTGCCAAGGCAATTGCAGAAACGCTGGTTGCATCTGTTGATCAGCTTGCTCAAAGCAGCAGCAGTCTGGCAACCAGGGCTTGCAATGGCCATATAAATTTTTATGGTGCTGCAACACAATCTCCTACTGAGAGCAGTGAAACTCTCAGTGGGCCTGAAGAATCTGCACGAGGGTGTAAAAGAAAAAGTTGCTGTTCAAGGAAGAATAGTGAACATTTGCTTGGTAAAAGAAGGAGGCTTGAGGTTCGGTTGAAAAGATCTAGTTTTGATCCTGAAGAGTTTGCTTTGTATAGACGGTATCAAATAAACGTGCATAATGATGCACCTGATCATGTCACAGAAAGCTCATACAGGAGGTTTCTCGTCGACTCTCCTCTAGTATTTGTTCCACCGTCGGGTGACAGCCTCGTTCCTCCTTGTGGGTTTGGTTCTTTCCATCAGCAATATGTAATCGATGGTCACCTAATTGCTGTGGGAGTGATAGACATCTTGCCAAAATGTTTGTCAAGTAAATATTTGTTCTGGGATCCAGACTATGCCTTCCTGTCTGTAGGCAAGTATTCTGCCTTGCAAGAAATCAATTGGGTGAAAGAGAATCAAGTGCATTGCCCTAGTCTTCAGCACTATTATCTCGGGTATTATATACACTCCTGCAGTAAGATGAGATACAAAGCTGCATATCGCCCGTCTGAATTGCTCTGTCCTCTTCGTTACCAGTAAGTTGCTTTGTAACACAAATTCTTGGGTTTGACTTTTTTGTCCGTGTCTTCATCCTTGCAAGTTCCTTTCTCACATTCTGTTCTCTCCTACATTACTTTGTGGCTATATTCTGAGCGTTCCTTTTCCTCATGAATCACCCTTTCGATTTGTTGGTCAAAATTGTAATGCAATAATGATGAGGTTTTTCCCCGTCACTGATTAAGGGCGTGTTTGGGTCTCTGTAAATTGATGTTATTTGGCTCAGTGCTTGTTTTTCATTGTACATGTTGTGATGTATTTACAAAAATATTGTTTGGTTTGTTTATTTGTCAGGAAATTGTGTAAAAAAAGGTGAAAACAAGACATGGTTCTGGGAATATCTTAGTTTAGGGTTTTGTTCTTTTAGGCATCTATTTTGACTTTTGAGAGGTCTCCATTGTATCTACTGCTTTCCATTTATGCTGCATTTTTCACTATAGTTTGAAACGGACACTATTTCTTAGTGCGTTATAAATTTAGATACTGATGATGTGCTGATTTATTCTGTGTGCAGATGGGTTCCAATTGATGTGGCAAGTCCTTTGCTTGACAAAAAGCCATATGTCGTCCTATCAGATTTTGCCCTCTTGCAGAACGGAGAGTCCTTGCTGCCTCATGTTCCCGAAAAAATAACGGATGAGCAGCAACATGATGATAATGTACATGGTGACTTGAATGATATTCTTGTAGACGACAACGAAGAAATGGTCGAACCCGAAACTGAGACCTCTGATGACGAGTCAGGTCCTGAAACCAGTGGGCATGGATCAGTTGAGATAGAGAATGGTGATGTTGGTGAGATTTTAATCGGATTGAAGGGTGCTCGTGTAAGGTACCAGGTAAGTCCCAGACTTGTGTCATCCATTGATTTCTCCGGAAAATTGCTATTTGTGCGTATAGCTATTTTCTATATACATATAAGTTGCAGAATGATGAATCGTAGAGTCACTCATAGTCCACTCATAGCGACACATCATAAGTCGAAAAAGTGACATAGTTTGAAAGAAACCTAGGACGAAAGTTGAACTTAATTCCTCAACTTGAGGCATGCGCTCGTGCACACACACACACAGAGGCGCATATATTAATGTCATACAATTGAGATTTCGACACTAACCCTGCTAGTTACTTTCCTTTGAAGGATTTGCGAGCAGCTTTTGGAGTAAAAGAACAGAAGTACTTGGAATCCCAGCTGCACAGATACAAGAGGGCTGTGGGCGCGGAGCTGTCGAAGAGAATAGTATATTCACTTGGATGATGTCCCTACTGCCAAACTCCAGCGAGTCTCTCGCCCTCAAAACCGAATCGCTGAAACAACCCCATGACTTGATCATGCCTCTGGTTTTTCTTTCATGTGGGCAGTGTTGTTCCAGCAATGGCTGATAGCTTAGTTCCCCCCAGCCGCAAGGACCATGTGGTTGGGTAGATGACAAAGATGTCAAATCGTTCTGTTTGTCTGCTGCTGCCTCTTGGGGATGTTGCACTTTCCGGTTTCGAATCACAGCGACCCGAATCTTCTCTCCTTTCTTCTCCCATTGCAGTTTTCTTGCTCTGCATCTTGTGCACTAAGATGAACATCGGAACATGTTTTCAATAAATAGAGAAGAACTCACATGCTGATCAGCAGCCTTTCTTTCTGTGTGGTTTTCCGAGTCCAGCTCGATCGTTTCAGCATGAAATTTTTGGCTTCCTACATTCTCTGTGTTTATGTTGCTCGTGCAGAGTGTCGTCACACAGTTCTAGAATCAAATCGAGATAGGATCAAACCAAAAAACAAACACATTTAGTTGGGATGATTTTCTCTTTAGTATATCAAAATTTGCATTTTGCTCTGCCACCTTCGGGCAATGTGGTTGAGCAGAGATGGGAGACAACTGGACTGTGGTCGGACTCTTGGGTCAAAATGGTCGGCGCCGGTCTTTAATCCAATAATAATAATAATAATAATAATAATAATAATAATAATAATAATAATAATAATAATAATAATAATAATAACAACTGTTTGGGTCCAAACATCTGACAGAAACTGCACAATGGGAGACTGCAGAACTGAGAAGGTGGTGCATTATCTATTAAGTGTTTAACTAATAGCCTTGTTATAAGAACCGAATCGGATCAACGGTTGGGTCAGTAGAACCGTCAAACCAGTTACGATAGCGATTCGGTTCATTGTTTGAACGGTTATTGATGGACCAAACGGTTTTTCACGGTTCAACATAAAATCAAATGAACCGACACGGTTTAACTGGTCCATTGGTTCACTATTTTAACTAAAAAATATTTTAACATAAACTAAGACCATCAAAGGGTTAATGACAGAAATATTACTTTTTTTTAAATTTACCACGAATATGGCCAATTAAAAACTATTGGCAAAGATATTGTGTTTTAGAGATAAGAATCGGCGGGTACACCTGAGACTCAGGCGCTGCCGCTTAAGCTTGGTTTTTGGACCGTTTTATTAGACTCAGGCGGTGGCGCCCGAGACTCAGGCGGCGGCGCCCGAGACTGAAGCGAGTAGGTGGGAAATCAAGACTCCGGCGGTGGCGCCCGAGATTGAGGCGAGTAGGTGGATTGGCCACCCACCCTATAAAACCCAGACAGACTTTTCGTTTCAGATTCACACCACAAAAAAAATCGTCCAAAATAGAGGAGAGAGCTCTGGTTGCTGCTGCAAAAATGGCTAATAGGTAAGAGACACATTTATTTTTGTAATTATATTATTCAAATGCTATTATGATTGTGTTTAGTTTTTAATTAGTGAGTTTATTTTTTTGTAGTGATTTTAGAAGATTTGAACTAGTTGTTCGGTGGAAATCGGAGAAAGTAGAGGATAATTTGGGCGTCAAATTCGTTGGTGGTAGTAGTTTTCAGTTGACGGTTCCATCCAGAGTCACATATCACAAACTTTGTGAGACTCTAATTCCGAGAATACGGCGCAGAGACGAAGCAGTAAAAGATAGTGATGTGATCACAGGTTTCACTTACCGTCTTCCAGAATGGCAGAATGATGTTTTATTTCATTATGCGTTACCTATTGTGGATGATGATAGCTTGGATGTGCTTTGGAATTTTATGGCACAAAATCCTTATTGTTTGGGTGCTGAGATACATGTTGAGCTCAGTGATGATCAGGGTGGAGAGGAAGAAGATGATACATGGAGCGTGCCATCCGATCATGACTATGATCACGGTGATGACGGAGAGGAGGAAGATGAGGAGGAGGAGGAGGAGGAGGAAGGAGAGCAGCTTAATTATCCTCCATATTTTTACTTGCAGGGCAATGAAGAGGACGAAGAATTTGCACTTGCTGATTCATATGGCGTAATTCCAATGCCTATTGTTGATAGTTTTGAAGGAGAATTCTACAAGGGGCAGATATTTCACTCGAAACAAGCTGCACAGATGGCGATTAAACACCACGCACTACAACGCAACTTTCAATATGGCGTGGTGGAGTCGTCACCTTCAATATGAAAGGTCAGATGCTTGAGGCACAAGGATGACAATTGTCCTTGGATGGTGCGGTTTGGATGTCGAGATGTTGGGGGCGAATGGACTGTGAGAAAAACTGAGTTGGTGCATTCTTGTAGCAGTACGACTCAACCGACGGATCATCGCCATCTTGATGTCGACATGATATCTGAGGCCGTCAAACATTTGGTACGTGCCCAACCAAATCTGAGTGTTCTAACTGTTCAAGCCGAGTTGAAAGATAAGTTTAATATGCAAGTTACTTACAAGAAGGCTTGGTATGGGAAACAAAGAGCATTGGAGAAGTTGCATGGAAATTGGGAAGAATCCTACGATTTTTTGCAAACATTCTTGCGGGTGGTCAAGAGAAAAATGCCAACATCGGTGATTGATTGGGTAACAGTTCCTTCGACTCAACCCGGTCATTTAATATTTCAACGAGTATTCTGGGCTTATGGACCTTGTATAGATGGATTCAAGAATTGTCCAGGCGTCATGGTTGTGGATGAAACATTTCTTACTGGGAAGTATAAAGGAGTGCTACTCATGGCGAGCTCATTTGATGGCCGGAGGAAGATTTTTCCAATTGCATTTGCCATAGTGGAGAGCGAGAATACTGAGAGTTGGCCATGGTTCATGAGGAAGGTTCAGGGTTTGACTGATCGAAATGATGTATGCATCATCTCAGATAGACATGCAGGACTCTATGAAGCCATGAATAACATCGGAAGAGGTTGGGAGTGGAGGTGGTGCATGCGACACTATGCAAGCAATTTCCAAAGGAAGACTCGAAGCAAAATTATGTATAATCAACTATTTCGAGTCGGTAAGCTTTCTTCATTTAATTTTGTTATTTGTTTTCATGTAATTTTGTCATGAATTTATCTAACACGTGTTGTGGTTTATTTTGTTAGCCGGAGAAAAACGATTGGAGAAGCTTGATCGTCAAGTTGAGCAATTTAAGAAGGTGGCCGCTGATAGAAATATTTCATGTGATAACTGGGTGGATCAACATCAGATTCGTTGGAGTTTAGCACATGATAACTACAATGGTGGGGGTCGTTGGTCTATCCTGACATCCAACATGGCAGAAAGCGTCAATGGTATTTTCAAAGGTATTCGTGCACTTCCGATAGCTTCTCTTGTGCAGCATACCTATTGGCGATTGGTGGAGAAATTCGATAAGTATAGGTTGGAGACAGGAGCAGAAATTAGAAGTGGCGGTTCACAGTACTCCACCAAGTGCGAAGAGCTGATGAAGTACAGGTCACAAAAGGCAATTGGACATTCTGTGACAGCTCTTGATCGAGGTCAAGGCATCTATGTAGTTCAGACTCCTCCCAACAATTTCAACATGACAGGGTCAAACACACTCACAGTTCACTTTGACGATCAAAACCGGGCAGGATTTTGCACTTGTGGTAAATTTCAAGGAAATAAAATTCCTTGCTCTCATGCCATTGCAGCTTGCAACCGAATGGGGGCTAATGCGTATAGGTTTGTCAACAATGTCTACAAGCTGGAAACAGTGATGGCTTGTTATGGGACAAGTTTCGCACCTCTTGGTGAACCTAAGGGTTGGAAGAAACATAATGGTCCTATTCTCCATCCTAATGTGCACATGATTAGGAAGCCGGGGAGGCCACGAGTTACAAGGATCCACAACGAGATGGACTGGCCAAGGGAGGGTGCATCACACCAAGTGTGCAGCAACTATAACCAAGCGGGACATAATGCATCAACTTGCGGTGGCCAAGCTAGTAGTAGTGGGAGCAACCGAGGAGGGAGTGGTGGCCAACGAAGTACGAGAGGTGGTAGAAGAGGAAGTAGAGGTAATAGACGTGGCTGAGAGGTGGTAGAAGTTGTTATATTTCTTTTGATTTACCATGTAAAAGTTGTTGTTTGTTTGAGATGTTGTTTGGTATGTTGTTGTTATCTTTTGATTTACCATGTAAAAGTTGTTTGTTTGAGATGTTGTTTGTTTGAGATGTTGTTGTTTGAGATGTTGTTGTTTGTTTATAGTACATAATAATAACAATCCAAAAATAATAGTCTAAATGAAGTACATAATAATAACAATCCAAAAATAATAGTCTGAAGGAAGTACATAATAATAACAATCCAAAAATAATAGTCTGAAGGAAGTACATAATAATAATAGTCTCACTGACGATCACCACGACGACCACCACGACGACCACCATGCTCCACCGCTAGATGGCCGCCAGTACCACACCTAGCAGAAGTAGGTACTGTAGGTACTGTAGGTGCACCGTACTTCCATACCGATCCGAGAAAAGTACACCTCCAAGCAGAGATAGAGCATAAGCTCGTGCAAACTGCTCTATAACCTCCTGTGATGCATTCTCCGGCAGATGACTGAATTCAACCCTCAGCCAAACAATCCTAACAACAGCGACACTGCCTACAAGATCGGCCGGAACTCGTCCCAACAGTCTCAAACAGATCGCTGACCACTCCTCATCCGGTATATCAACTACGACGGCATCACCGTCGATCGCCAGATCGGACAGTGTAACAACGTCCTCTAATGTGATCGTCATCTCACCACACAGTAGATGGAAGGTCGACGTCTCGGGGCGCCACCGCTCTACCAGCGCAGTAATCAAACTAGCATCGGGGTTCATAGGGACTAGGGGCACGACACTAAACAAGCCTGCCGCTTCGAGATATGGCCGATAAAGTTCATGGTAAGGTACTAAAATGGTCGTACCTCGAACATGGTACGGTCGATCACCAGCCTATAGTGCACAAAACTTATATTAATTCATTTCCATTCGTAATAATTCTAATTTCACCTAATAAATTCTAATATGTCTTATCTAACATAAAATTATACTAATTTGAAATTATACTAATTTCACCTAACAGTTCAATTCACTACCTAAAATAATCTAATTAGCTAATTAACTTTACATGAATAATTATCAAATACTTACCTCGTTTGTCCAAACAGAGTCGATACGATGTTGGCCATGTCCCCAAAGAAGTGTCGGATCGACCGGACTTGGATCAATTGTCGCCGGCGGTAATCTCATCGAATAAGGATCCATAAGCCTCGGAACTGCAAAAACAAAGCAACAAAACATTAAAAAAAACACAAAACATTAAAAAAAAATCAAGCTGCCGACGAGAGTCTCACCGCGCAAACGGCCGCCGACTCCACCACGACCTCGCCGACCTCTACCTCTGCCTCTGCCGGCGGCGACTGGTTCTTCGTCGGAGGACATCTCGGGCGGCGGCGGTTCAGTCCAAGGCGGCGGTGCTTCAGTCTGGGACGGCGGCGCTCCTGTCTGCGGCGGCGGCGCTCCTGTATGCGGCGGCGGCGCCCGAGTGTGCGGCGGCGGCGCCTAAGTCTGGGGCGGTGCGGCGGGCGCGGGCAGCTGGTCTCTGTTCGGGGTTGGGGTGGAGGAAGAAGAAGAAGGGAGGAGGAGGTTGGGTCTGGTTCGGGGTTGGGGGGAGGAAGAAGAAGGGAGGAATATGTGTGGTGTGGGGAGGGGATAAGGTGGGAGGGGGATAAGGTGGGTCGTCCGAATTTTAAAAAAAATTAGTCCGGGGCGCTCCCGCCTGAGTCTCGGGCGCCAGCGCCTCAGACTAATTAAAAAAATTTGTCTGAGGCGGAGCCGCTTGAGACTGGGGCGCCAGCGCCCAGGACTGGGTAAAAATTTAGTCACGCCTGAGTCTCAGGTGGTCCCGCCCCAATCCTTACTAAAAACCACAATATCTTTGTCAATGGTTTTTAATTGGCCATATTCGTGGTAAATTAAAAAAAAACAATATTTCTGTCATTAATCCACCATCAAATCATAATTATTAATTTTATATATGCTTCCTCAACCTTATTGTCGATTTTACATTGTCTACTACCAACTAGAACAGTAATTTTTAATTTGAATTAAAAAATATGGTTTCTTTTGTGAGATGGTTGGAATGATTTATTAGATATTTTTCATGATGATATGAATTTGAACTTGTTTATGGTCAATGATAATTTCATTCTTAAATTAGTGTAATATACAAGTCTTATATGTTATATATCATTAACGGTTCTATCAACGGTTCACCAACAGTTTTGTAACGGTTAACCGGTGAACCTTTAAACTACCTTTAAACCACTAACTTTTCCGGTTCAGCCTCCGATCCGGCTATGAAAACAAAGACTAATAGTCTTTTTCCCAACTAAACCAGCTTAGAAAATTACAATTTGCGAATAATTAGTAGTTGATCATTAACTTTGGAGTTTAATTATTGAAAAAGAAAAACGAGCGGCCCTATACTCTTTTCCTTTTATTGTACAACTTGAAGTTGTACCTTTAACGCATATTGTACCTATACTTTTTTGTCAAATTGTTTTGGTACAACTTAAACTTGTACTTTCATTTGATGGTACAAGTTTAAGTTATAAAGTTGTACCATAACATAAGAGCACAAATTCCTTTTATGGTACAACTTGAAATTATACATTTAACGTTATTGTACAACTTTAAGTTGTACATTAAAGCACCAATATTTTATAGCATAGTAGAAGTGCTTCAAATGAGATGAACCGATCAGGGAACCATCCATGATAGCAATCGAAAAATGAATTCAGTCGGCCATTGGCTTGGCTGACTGACCTTGCCGTCTTGCATTTCTTCCACAAAGATAATTGAAAGCTCCCCCCATTGGACTTTTCTTTATAAAATTTTGGTTTTACCTCTTCCCTAAAATAGAATTGTAGGCCACATGTATGAACGAGAACACAACCAAAGACCGAACACTGTGAGTAGTCGAATCCTCCATAAAATGATGATTGGTGAACAAAATATGAATCCAGGATCGTAATGTGAATTTTGTTAATATGATGAACGGGTTCTTACCTTTTATCTTTGGATAAACACAATATATTAGCCAGAACTATTATGAAACGGGAAATTATAACCACAACTATGTAAATTCAAATTATTAGCCATAACTATTGTTGCAGGTCAAGATATGGCTAATTGTCCGTTACTATTATTGAATTTTTAACGGTGAAGGCCACACATCGGCCACGGCAGCAGCCACGGCAGACTGCTTTTAATTTATAACTTTAAAAGATAAAAGTTTAGTCAACATTACTAACGGAATTGTTAACAGAGAGTTAACGTTTGCCTAATAATTTGAATTTCCATAATTATGAATATAATTCCCCGCTTCATAATAATTGTGGCTAATATATTGTATTTACCCTTTATCTTTTACGGTTACTAGTTCTTTGTTTGTCGGATATGTAAATATTTATGGATAACATTGAAAAGTTTTGCGAAGTTTATGTGGTTGACGGTAGTGATTTGCCATCTAAATTGTTATGACTCATGGCTATTGTGTTGTTGTATATTTTTAGGTGAAATTATTTGTGTCTACGATGTTATATTGTGTAATGTTTGATTTTCCATATTTGTGGATGATAGGAGTATTCCTTATGAAACAAGCAAATTACCATTGTAGCTTATGTATCACAATTATGTTTACATGCCATGATTACGAGTTAGTTGAAATAGAAATATCAATATGGTATGTAGATCACCAACACGTACTTAAACCAAATACTTATGATATTTGTATTAACATTCACACGGCCGACTCGCTTACTTTGTTAAATATAATTAGAAGCTTACACAATTCTTTCCTTTTTGGGGTGAACTAGCAAAATGCCAAACCACTCATGCTGTTGCAATTAGTAGTAGAAACTATATTTCGAGTTTCCCCGTTGAGTTTTGCAATCCTAAGTAATGTATGCATGAAGATTATACCTGTATAATAATATACATGTATATAAGAAAATTGATGTATTGTAGTTTACATCGTTTGGTTGTTATGATAGTTATTCTAGTATTTAAATAAGATATATTGCCTTCTGGGTTAAATGTCACTTTTACCCTTTGTTTTATATATAAAAAAGCAAAACACATCAAAAAGTAGAGACAGAGTTTGAAGAAGAAAACACTTCAACAATCTCAAACAAACAATCTCAACAATCTCACAAAAAACTTGAGATATTACTCACTCATTTTAAGTGATAGTTTCCATCACATCAAGCAAGCAATGCATCTAAAGTTTGTACAGAAAATTCAAAAAAAAATGTATTGTGGACAATGCATGCATTGTAACTATCACAACCAAACAATCACATCAACCAAACGACCCCTAAGAGTGTTTTTTTTATTACGAAAATACATTGTTTATGAAATACAAAAAAAATTCATGTATTTTTAATCTATATGAAAATATGAATATAAAATGTTACAAAATACCGCAACGAGATCACAAAATTGCCCGATTTCGAAGCTTTGATGACGTAGTCGGCCAGCGACGAACGAGGTACCAATAGACTGGTCGTAAGATGAGTTCCAAAAGGAAATTTTGCTTGATATGTGGACGAAATCCATAGTATATGAATTATCAATATATGTTATATGTTTTAAATTAAATAAAAAAAATGATATATTTCAAATACATGTATTGTCAAAGTCCGTTGTCAAAGAGGAGCAAGCTAGCAAAATTCTTGGCGATGAGTTGCGAATTTGCGAAAGGTAGAAGAAAAGGAAGTATTCTATCAGAGAGGAAAGAAAGAGAAGTCCCACCACGTCCACATGGCCCATTGCACCTTTCGTCTCCTCATCCCTTCGCTCCTCCTTCAACAAAAACTGGAAAACCCCAACTCTCTCTCTTTCTCTCTCCCCATTCTCAAATCTAAATCAATCTCGTCTTCTTCAGGCACTTCGTCCCTCCCCGTAATTACACTACTCTGCCACTCCCCCTTCCTGTTTCCCCCCTCTCTCTCTTCACTCTTCTTCAGGCACTGTGATCCCCTCCCTCCCTCATTCTCTTCAAGCGGCCATTGTTGCCTTCTTCTCTCTCTCTCTGAGCTGGGGCGACGGAGTTATGAAGCAGCGGTTGGAGCTGGATTTTAGATCTAATTCGTCACTGGTTTCCGCTGCGAGTGGGAGCTGTTTGGCTATTTTTTAAAAGTGAAGGAAAAAAAAAAAATTCAATCATTGCAGTGGTGTGTGTTTGTTTGCTTCCTCTCTGCTTGGTTGTTGGAAGAAGAAAGAAGTGAATGAGAAGCGAAGTTAGGTTTTAGTTTTTTTTTTTTTAATTGTTGTTTCCTCGATCTGTCAGTTGGTAGCGGAGAAGTGAACAAAAAATGAATCGAAGTTTTAGGGCTCAGGACTCGCAGCAAATGCAACAGCTGCAAATGCAAGCGGCGGTGGTGAAGCAGAGGCAGCAGTTGAGGGCTTCCATGATGAAGGAGAAGGAAGAGGAGCTCGCCTTGTTCTTGGAAATGAGGAAGCGGGAGAGGGAGCACAACAGCAATCTTCTCCTGCTCAATGAGGCCGGCGATTTTGATGCGCCGTTAGGTTGGTTTTGTTTTGTTCCTGGTTTTGCCTTTTCCTCCTTCGTCTGCCGTGAAATTCATTCTAATTGGAATGAGTTTTTTTTCCTTATAGGTTCAAAGCCGGGGACGTCGCCGATATTCAACATCCCGTCGTCGACTCCGGCGAGGAAAACCGGTGGTGATGATTTTCTCAACTCGGACAACGATAAGAATGACTACGACTGGTGCGTGGGAAAGACACTATGGCGTTTTTCTTCACTACTTTCCTTATGTTATTAATTATCATTAATATTGGTGATTATTTAGTCCACTTCCATAATTATTATACTACAATCCTCGTTTGTTTTGTTAGTATTTTGGCTTCGTCTTCTTTGGATGTGTGCGCCCCCATGATAAATGAGTAAATGACATAGTAAGGTCAATTCGGTAGGAGAATATTAGTTAGGAAAGGAATAAGATTTTGTTCAGATTTGTTGAAAAGACGTGGTGGGTTGATAGGAGCCGTTGCCCTTTGCCATTGTGTTTGGTATATGCAATCAAGGAAATCATTATCAGATAATCTTCATCTTTTTTTCCCCACCCATTCTTTTGATGCTTGAGGTTGAATTGTTTCGGTGGACTTTTGGTAATGGTAATTATTCTCTTGGGGTGTGATGGATGGCTCTCATAACAACATAATGCTGCCAAGTTTTTAGTTTTTGAATAATGGTGCAGAAACTAGATTCATGTTACAGAATCACCGTGCTTTGTGCTGATTCTTTTTGAGTGGATATGCTACCTGCTTGATTATTGTGCTGATTTGAGGTATTTAGGGACATAGCTGATGATAGAGAAAATTGTGCTCTGTTCTCATTTTAGTTGAAATGGTGTTCTGTTCTCAGGCTTCTAACGCCTCCTGGAACCCCTCTTTTCCCTTCCTTGGAGACGGAATCGCAAAAGACTGTTATGAGTCAGATTGGCACTCCAAAGGCTCGCCCTACTGCACTCAAGTCTAGGGTAAGATTATTTTCTGCTGTTTGAAGCTGAACAACTCGATTGGGGGCTTAATAACGTTAGCTTTACCTTTAAGTTTCTAGTGAAGACTTTGGTACTGGTTACTGCATTATTTCAACCTCCAAGGAAACAAATGGTTTGTGTTGATGATGCACTTAGTTTAGAGCACTTATTCTTGGTAAATTCTTAGACATGACCGGTGAAGCTGTGAGACTTATATGCAACCACTTGAAGCTCCTTCTGCTGATTAATGTAGATGCGGAATCATAATGGCGTTAGAAATTAGAATCCTCTTCTGTTATCTCTGCTCCACTTTCTTGTCCTAACATTTAAGTTTTCTCCTGCTCAACAAGTTCGGGATATCAAGTCTTACAGACTCCCGTTCTAAAGTCTCAATCAATATATATATTCTTTTTTTATTCTAGTTAACTCTTGTTGGAAGAAGGTAGTCCCTTCATTTTTCTCTTCAGTTCCTCTTAGTCATGACATTGTGCATTCGGGATCTGGGTTTTCTTGATCCACACATAATTTCGAGTCACCCAGGCCTTTAGCATCTCAATTTGCCACTTTTGACAACAGTGCAACTCACAGTCTCATTGATAAAAAGATTCCAAGACCAACCAAAATCATTTCGCCCCTTCAAATTGTCATTTCAATTTAGATCAACCATTGCATGATGACTGATGCATATACTTGTAAATGTTGAAGACGTGAGATTTGAAAGATCAAGTTTCTTAACTGACATGGGTACATTCTGTTTTTTCTTTTTCTTTTTCCCCTTCTGTTTGTAGTTAGCAAATAACCAGCCTGAGAGCACAGCTGGTGGCAACTTGCTATCCAGACAATCAGCTTCCTCCCCTGGGTTGAATTCTTCTACCATTGGGATCCGTAGGCCGTCGTCATCCAGTGGACCTGGATCAAGGCCTGGTACGCCAACCGGGCGCTCAACATTGACAACATCATCTAAACCTGCTAGATCTTCAACACCTACCTCCCGAGCAAGCTTGCCTTCGTCTAAGCCCACTCTTAGGTCGAGCTCCGCTGTAGCTAAGCCAACTGGTCCTCCTCCAGCTAGATCAACAACAGCTTCAGCAACCAAGCCTACAGTTCCTGCGAGATCCTCTACACCAACAAGGTCGACACCGAGATCTTCAACACCAACAAGGTCGACAGCAAGATCTTCAACACCAACAGCAAGACCCTCTATACCACCACCTCAACCCAGGCCAGCTTCAAGGCCGGCAACTCCAACTCGAAGACCATCAACCCCATCTAGTGCACCTCCAGGGAGTAGATCCTCCGCGCCACCACCACCAATCAAATCGTCATCTGCTTCAGTCGTTACCAAGTCAGTTCCTACATTATCCAGAAATCCAGTGCCGTCATCACGTGGAAGTTCCCCAGCACCCAAGTCCAGGCCATGGAAGCCTTCGGACATGCCTGGCTATTCACTAGACGCCCCGCCAAATTTAAGGACCTCAATATCAGATAGACCCACTTCAGCTTCCAGGGGGAGACCTGGAGCACCAGCTTCTCGATCTTCCTCTGTGGAGCCGGTTGCCAATGGAAGAATAAGAAGGCAGTCATGCTCGCCTTCACGAGGACGTGCCCCTGATGGCAACAGCGGGGGATCTGTTCCTGCAGGGAGTCGCTTGTATGCAAAAGCTAATGACAGTGTGAGCCCTGTCCTCATGGGGACCAAAATGGTTGAGAGGGTGATAAATATGAGGAAACTAGCTCCCCCTTCTAAACAAGATGACAATAGACATTCTCCGCATGGTAACTTATCGGCTAAGTCTTCATCACCGGATAGCTCAGGTTTTGGAAGAACTCTGTCCAAGAAGTCTCTGGATATGGCCATCAGGCATATGGTATGTTTAACTTTGCACATCATCCATACATTGCTTCTTCTTGGTAAAGCAAAATCAGCAGTTACGTGGAACTTTCTGACATTTTGTCATTGCATTGGACAGGATATAAGGAGAACCATTCCAGGTAATCTGCGCCCATTGATGACTAACATTCCAGCATCATCAATGTACAGTGTTAGATCATCAGGCCCTCCACGAAGTGGCAGAACTATCAGCGTTTCGGACTCACCTCTTGCAACAAGCAGTAATGCTAGTTCTGAGCTGAGTGTCAACAACGGTGGTCTCTCCTCCATGGAATTGGAGGATGATATTGGTGGGATCGAAAGACATGGCCGTTCTCCAATTCGAGGCAGGTGACGAATCCTTGTTCGTGGAGAGGAGCCTCCGAGCCTGGCCTGCCGTCTCTGAACCACCCCCACCCATCCTGACTCATGTTTAGGTTTATAATGATATCATATATATTGTGTATTATTAGTATCTTGGTGTGGTTTGCAAAGAAGGGAGGAGAATCCTATTTCCCTGGTAGAAAAAAAGAAAAGAAATGCCTAACCGGAGTCTTAGACTCTGTATTTGATGTAAAGTAGATTAGGTTGAATGCTTCGATTTGGCAATCCAAAGTTTTCCTCACGGTGTATTTGTGTTGAACCAAAACATTGTAGGGCTTTTTTAGTTGTTCCTCTTCTCTTCCAAGTGTGCTGGTGTAATGTACCAAGTTACCATATCAGGTTCTACCATTGATTTCTAGGAAAACATTTTCGATTCCCTCCTCTGAAGGAAATCCAGAATAGTAGCGACAGTGAAGTATCCGGCAGCCGTAAGGACTACGGCTTGGGTCGATGTTGCTTCATCAATTGGCCGGTGGTCTAGAACCAAAGATTGGAAACTTCATTTAATTAAAGCAATCCAGCTTCATAACTCCTGAGTGGCAGTTGCGGCTTTCATCAATGGAGAAAGCTGGAAAGGGACTGAAGCAGGAATCAGGTTTCATGAGAAACAACAAAGGAGAAGGGGCTATTCACGGTTATGGTCCAACATGGTGCAGAAAAAACAGAGGTAACAGTTCCAAAATCACGATAAGGGATGGCACAGTCATGGGAATCTGGACCACAGACTCACATGGCCATGCTAGAGCCCTCTTTCTTCTCTGCTGCATCGCTAAATTGTAAGAGCTTGCTTGATTCCCCAAGTTCTTGGCTCTACTCATCGTATCCAGATTCCATGTTCCCTAGACAAAGCTTTCCAGACATATGGGACCACACATAAGCTGATCAATGAATGACTTTGTGAACCATCATCATCCATCAATGAAGACCAGAACACAGACTTGGACTCGAGGACACAACGCCTTTTCCCGCCTAAATGTAATCAGATTTGCATATTCGGGGACTGTCATTCTAAGATCTAGTGAAACTCTCACATTCCAAAATGATTCTCATGCTATGCTCTTAATGCTCTGCGGGGAAAAGTAAACTTCGACTAGTAAACTCTCAAATTCCAAAGTGATCAAGCAACGGCCACCGGCTCAGGGGCTTTTGGGGCTTCTGCTGCGGTAGCTGTAGAAGTAGAGGCTGCTGCTGAATCGCTAGCTTTAGGTTCCTTTGCGGGTGGTGGGGGAGTGAGCTTCAGGTGAGGTGGTGTGTTGTGTTTCAGTTGAAGGAGTATGTGGCGGAGCCTAGAGAGTTCAGTTGGTTTCCCTGGTTTGGGACCTTGGACCACCATGATCGAAGGCTTCTTCTCCTGATCCTTCTTTGCTTTCTTCTTCTCGAGAGCGGGCACTTCGTTGGGGATGAGATCTGCTATCGACTTCCAGTATTCCTTGTCTGCCTCAACATGAAACTTCTCTTGCTTGGTCACGAATAGCTGCAAAGGCCAAAGTAGACGAGGAAGCAGTCCGGAGATGTGATCAAGTTACGCCCCACACACATAGTAATACCTCCCATACATAAATAACATGCTTCCATTGAATACACACTGATAATTGAGGGCGAGTGCTCAGTTCTCAATCAGAACTAAAATAAAATGCGGTTGTATTCACAAGAACCATCAAAACAAATTAGTTGGTAAATTGACATTCAAACAATATACACGACCAGACCTGCAAAGCATTTTAAGTTCAGTCTAGAATGAACACTCTCTATCCGTTGGCACATTGCTAAATCCTTATTATAAGCAGGTAAAGTGAGCAAAATACTTTGTAAGCAGAGTGGATAAAACTAGAGAAGTACTCTCTCCAGGTGCTCTACAAGAACAGCAAGATCATGGCAAGTTGGGGATATTCAGCAAATCACTATCAGCAAGAGACAATCACGATATAACCAAGAAAGCATATGGCTAATCTTAACCACCCAAATCACAGATTCTAGTATTTCAGTTTTGGCGATCACTGGATGGTTCTCATCATTTCAATAGCTGAACAATCACAATTTAAGACTTTCAACCATGCTATTGCATCCTCAGAATGTACATTAAGGGCTGACAGGTGATAAAAGGTATGAAGCTCCGATATAGAAAGTTGAACAGATCCTACTCTAACATCTTAGTCGCCACATTGCAAAATAGCTAACCCGATAACTTGATTCTCTTTACTCCGCCATTAATCCCCCTACTGAAACTCCGATTTCAGGTTCAAACCCTACTGCAAGTGATGACCTAACATCCTGAGATCTGTTCTACCTTTTTGCTTTTCCACTTTTCACCACACTTACTCATCTCTCATTAATAAAACCAAGATAACATACAAACCACATTCCAAGCATAGCAAGATCATGATAACAAAAATCAAACTTGAAAAGATCACCATAATAGTATCTCACCTTCTCCCTTTCCCTGTTGATTGCTTTATTGCTCTCACAAGTAACCTCCCTCTTCTTATGGAACTCTACCTTGAAATCCTCTGCCTCCTCTATTATTTTGCTAAGCAGCTCCCTTTCCTTCTTCTCTTTCTCCTCCAATCTCAACGTGTTCTCCCTGTGCACCCAAACAACGGAATGGAATAAAAAACGAGGAAGGAGAAGATCATTGTTGAATCACCATTCCTAATCGAATTCTCTCAATCTAAACCTATCTTAGCAGGGGTGCACATAAATTTCGTCTACCCGTCTGAAGATTAGGCACAAACTATCGATCAAGCATGAAATCCGCCAAAGAAGGAAGCCAATTAACTACGCATATTCGCAATTTCGTAGTTCCTTCATCGCAAATTCTCTATCTCATCACAAACCAAACAGAATCGTGAAAGGGGTTGGAAGAAATTGAGCATTTACCTTGTCCACTCTCTGAGAGCGAGTCCGACCTCCGCCATTTCCGATGGAGCCGGCAGAACAGGACCATTGGATCCACCAAAATCTCCATCGAAACCGCCGCTCCCGTTCTCCTCCGCCGTCTCGAACTCTCCGCCCTCGCCGTAGATCGGAGCAGGCTCCGAGGCGTAAGCGTCATCGTTAGGCGCGAAGGAGTCGAACTGTTCAGAATTGTAACCTACGTAATCACCACCATCGCCGCCGTGGCTGTTGCTGCTGCCGAAGTGGACAGGCGAGTCGACCTCAGTGACTTCTGAGTCGTCGAACGAGTCAACAAATGTAGACATCGGCTTCTGTGCTGGGCGATTTTTTTTTTTTTTTCTTTCCCTCCTGTTTGACGATGTTAAAATGAAAAGGGGCGTCTCGTTTTCGCAATGGAAAAATCTATCATAATGATTAATGATTCATATGGAGAATAAGGGCTTATTATCATCACAATTTACGCTTCGACCGTTATCTTCTTAACTTAAATGGGCCCAAATGTTTGGGCTTTCAAGTTTGGGCTTGAACTAGGTATAACTGTAAATGCGCTCGATATTATGGAATAAATCGCGCCAATTTAATTTTTTCTTTTTAAACACAATCAGATAGTACATAATATATGAGTAATATAATCGGAGTTAAACTACCGATAGTGGACCAACATTCAAACTCCCGATGAAAGAACTTATTCGGCCATAAAATGGACAACTCTATTGAAGTTTTGAAGAGTAAAGGAACAAAAACAAAAGTCGAAATTCAACTTTAGCCTGCAAACATATTCCATAAATTGCTTCTCCCAAATCATGTTTGATCTCACCCGCTATGACTCGCCAAACCACCAATTGTGAGTCACCACAGAAAGTGATAGGGAAAAAATGTCAAGTTAGACACCAACTCATAACATCACGCAAAACTAAAAGTTCCATAAGAAAAAGGATCTTCGATTCCATCATAAAACTTATTGAACTCAAAGAGTAAGGGACCATATGGATCAAACCCAACAAAGCCCGTACCACCACCTTTACCACATCTAGTTGACCCGACACAATGAACAACTAGTGCATTAGAACAATGGAGGAATTTTACAATGCTTTAAAACATTGATGCTTTAGTTTTTGTTTTTATGATACAACTTGAAGTTGTACCTTTGACGTTATGGTACAACTTTAGATTGTACCTATACTCTTTTGTAAATTTTCTTTATGGTACAACTTGAAGTTGTACCACAACATAAAAGTCATATTCCCTTATGGTACAACTTTAACTTGTACATTTATGTTGTGGTACAACTTCAAGTTGTACATTTAAGCACTAATACTTTCAAAAAATTTATGCGATATTAGATCTCGGGCTCCCATGAAGCCTTTAGTATTTAGCGAGAGAGGTTTAATTAGGGATGATAATTTGAACCCGTCTGTCGGATATTACGCGACGCGACCCGACCTGTGATGGTGTGGGTATTACTTGATCCACAGTAGCATGAGATGAGACATGAATATATATTGTCTAAATTGCAAGTTTGGTCACTCGAATTGCTACAAAATTTCACGTTTGGTCACTCGAATTGGTTTATTCCATTCATAGTCACTTAAATCAGTTGAACAATCCAAGTTCGGTCACTCTCCGTTAACCTCCGTTAGACTCCGTTAGTGCTGTTAGTTAACTGCTGACGTGGCTAAGAGAGATGCCTAGTCACCCAATTTTAACCCAAAAAAACAAAAATTGACCCGCCACATCAGAAAAACCTACCACCTCATATAAACACAACCCAACTCACCCAACCTAAAAAACCATTAACCCACACCAAACCCCCTTCCAACCGAGCGATTCGCCTCCGCCACAAAAAATGGGGAGCTGAAGCTGAAAGGGTCCGGGCTAACATTGTGCGCGTCTAGCTAGCTATTTTAAAAGCTGTGCTCCATAGTCGCGATCGCGAACCCGCATGAATTGAGTTATCATATTGTAAAAGTTGTGATTATAAATTATAATAATCCAATGTGGTCTTGAGTCTTGTCACGTTTACTTGGAAATGTTTGCATGCAACGGGGGGTTTGGTGCTAAACTATGAACTTGTTTCTTACATGGTAAAGGAAACCGTACCGGAAGTCATACCGGCTCCGCCAGTGGTAGGGTATTTTGTGGTACTACCGTGGTTCAATCGTTGTGTACCGGCAAAATACCGTTTTTGTAATTAAATAATATTTTTTTGTTAAAAAACCGTACCGGCAGATTTGTGATACCGTTTCGGAATAATACCGGAATAAAACCGAAATATACCGGATAACAAACTTCAAATAATCAAATTACGACTTAACAAAAAAGAATAGTGGTCCGTGTAAGGCTTCAATTGGTAAGAGAGCCATCCACCCATTACATCTAACACGTAACCGTGATCAAAAGATGGTGATTTGATTCTTACTAATTTAATTCAATGTAATCAAAGATTTCCGTCGGCAACTTAGATCTACCTTCCAATCTTCTGTTTCCTACCCTACCGGCCCCTCCAATTATCAATTTCCCTCTTTTTCCCCTTTCCAAAACCCCAATTTCGCCCCGACGTGCGCCCGGGACTTCCCCGCGCTGAGTCGCGACCGCCGCACGAATTCGTCGAATTCCCTCGACAATTCTCCCGGGTAAAGCTGCTGGGGGTAATCGGATTCACCCGTGTTTCCATTTCTCTACCGGTTGATGGACGCAATTAGGGTTCGCGACAGTGATCTCGCGAACAAGCCGAGCTCGTCGACGTCGCCCCGCTCTCGGTGACGACCTCCACCTCGAGGAACGAGACCATCAATGGCTCCCACGAGTTCGACATCAGTGGCTACTCGCTGTCCAAGGGGATGGGCGTCTGCAAGTACATAGCTTCCGAGACGTTCTTCGTCGGGGGTTACGCTTGGGCGATCTACTTTTATCCCGACGGGAAGAGTCCCGAGGATAACGGGAATTACGTGTCTTTGTTCATTGCGCTGGCCAGCGAGGGGACGGATGTTAGGGCGTTGTTCGAGCTGACGTTGATGGATCAGAGTGGGAAAGCACGGCATAAGGCAGCTAACCCCCGGTTAGACCAAAACCGGGCGGTTTTTTGAGTTGAACCGGTTTTATCGGGAAAACCGGCTGGAACGACTCTTTCCCTACAAACCAGCTATTATATCGGCCAGGCACCAAAATCCGGTTTTACCGGTTCAACCGGCCGGTCCGATCCGGTTTAATTTACCATGGTTTCTTATATGTTTTTTTTCTTCCTAATGTATCGGTTGATATTGGTTTGTTATTCTTTATGGAGTAAGAATGAGGCGTACTACCGTTCATTGTTTGTTTTGATCGAAATGACGATTATGAAATGAGTGCAAGAGCATTCAAATATTTATGTGCAAGGGTCACATTATGTAAGATACTTTTTTATTGCATGAAATACTAGGAGAACATGTGCAACATGGGACTGCATTTAATTGTCGAAAAGAAAAAAATTAAAAAACATGGGACTGCATGCAAATACCATAATTACTTTGAAAAAAAAAAACCATAATTATTAATTAAGGTTGGAGCGGAGCCTGCTCCAATACGCGGATCCTTACCTTTCTCTAACCAACTAGAACTAAAACAATCACATGTATTCATAAAAAAAAAAAAAAAATCACATGCCAATGAACAGAATTAATTATTCAATAATTTCGGAGCTAGACAGGATACATTTCAGTAAGGATCGTCCAGCAAAATATTTTCCACACGTTGAATATCAAGAAAAATATATTATCTTCCATAACAATGTAATTTTTTTGTGAATTATAAAGCTCCGCGTTCACACTAATAAGTCTTCCACTTGTGACAAAAATTCCTATAGAAAAGAAGTGGTCGAACCGTCAACGTTTGTCCAAAACAAAATGGATGTCGACTCAGGATTCTTTTCTGAACTAGGAGCTGATCAGCTTGCCTCACTCATAACTGACGCATTCTTTTTAATATATATCGACTTCTATTGTATATTGGGTAAAATTTAGGATACTATCCTGAGTAGGGAAATGTTATACATACCTCGAATTAATCAGATTTTTGGCATGATACTATACCCTAACCCGGGTGAACCCTAGGTCTTACTTATATAAACCATAGAGCCTAACCCCTAAGATTATGCATGTAATTTGTTGTATATATTTTGACGAATCATGACCATCGATTTTTATTCCTAATTAAATTGATCTTATTGTATGAGATTTATAGGATTAAGATCTAGATTTTAATCTTTAAGAGTTTGACAATTGTACCAAATGTTAAACTCCGGTCAATTCAAGATCTGGATATCATTTTTTACTCAACATATGTCATACCTTTGATATTACCAAAGGTACAATAAAACCACCAATATATATGCAGGGGCGGAGCCAGAGCAGGCCAAGGTGGGTCGACTCCACCACCTTGGTTTTGCAACACCTGAGCAAGTAATAGGCTTTTCAATTCTGCAGACTTTGTTTTCTGTTCATAATTCATACTCTGTTCTTGGTCGAAGCTTGTATAAGTAGCTGCTTTGATCGAATAACATAAAAAGGAAGCTTGCTTTTGTGTTTGATCAATATGTCAACGTTTTAAAATTACTTTAATTGACGTGAAAGTGGGCTTACATGTTACATATACAAGGTTGTCAAACCGGTTTATGCCGGTGTGCCGGTTTTGTAAGTGGAATGGTCTGACCGTGGTACAACCAGTATTCATGCCGGTTGTGCCGGTTTTAATAAAATACATGAGGAAAATGGAAATCTTCAATTCCAAATAAATTAATCATGAAAAAGCAATTAGAAGAATTATTTCACACAAAATCATTTATAGCCAAGAATTGATAACTAATACTAAACAATTAGATGCTCAAAAACAAAATTTTATTAAATGAATTTTATTAATGTTTATAATGATTTGTGTAAAATTTAGTATTAGATATATAACATATAAGGTTAATATAGACAACAAAATTGCTTGTAGCCTACTGGTGTGTGAGTTAAACTTAAATGAACATGAGGTACTTGGTTCAAATCCTATGGAGGATGTTTATTTTTGGATATAATGTGTGTACCACTAAATTCCGGTTTCTGGTCTAACCGGTCGGAATTTCCGGATTTGAACGGTATTGACCGGATTTGACCACAATTAAATACCGGACCCTTTCCAGCCGGTTTGCTGACCGGTATCGGTTGAACCCGGTTGAACCGGCCGGCATGAAACCGGTTTTACAACCATGTACATATCACTTTAAGTCTTTAACCCTTATTTTTCTTTGAGCTTGCTACAAAAAAACGAGTTTCTCTCAGGTTTGTGGGCTTAAGTTTAACTTTAGTGGCCCATTAGCTTCTCTTTTTTTTTTGTCATAGATAGATCGTAATAGATAGGGTATTACAGTGCGGTGAAAATGAAAAAGCGGTAGTCAACCAAAAGGGTTGCTACCGATGCAAGGGCCGTTTGTGCCACGCGATGGGCAGCCCTGTTAGTACTACTAAGAGCAAAAACAAAAGAAACAAATGTAAAAGAGGTCTTCAAGCATTGCTCCACCTCGATCATGACCGACATCATTCTCCATTGCTCATCGTATGACCAATTAGGATTCACCACAAAACATACAGCAGAGTAGCCACGATTACGATTCCATAACATTTTTGCTGACCATTAAAAATAAGAAAATAAATAAAGAAATAAAAAATTGAGCACGTGCCTGCCAAGAGTTGTAACTGCACCAAAAAGAAACCGCAACGCAGTAACAAAGCCGGAAAGACTCGCCGTCCACCGGTGGGAGTCGCCGTAGGAGCCCGGACCGCCACTCGTTTAAAAACCCCTACAAAAAATAAGATCTACGAGAAGAATTTCAAGGATAGAGTCAAATCCAGGATTGACGCACGATGGCGTGGTGCAGGAATCTGCTGGATCGCACGACGGCGAGAAAGAGGAGAAACAGATCCAGAGGGTAGCCAGAGCAGGTTGCTTTCCCGCTGCTTCCTTTCCCTCTCATGCATGATCAAAACCCAAAGTAACCGCCATTGTCCCGGAATTGTAACCGACGGTGCTTTTGACGGTTGCCACCGTAACCGGTAGATTCACCCGCCACATCTCATTCCTCTGTGGCACTCTGTACTCTATAAGCCTCCGTCTTCCGCGAGTTCTTCTTTCCCTCAATCTATTCTCTGGAATCGCGCCCAACCAGAAGGCCGCATGACAAGCCAGGAGGTCGGGCCATTCTTCCAGCCGAAAACTGCAAATCGGAAAAGATTATCCTCTTGGTTTCTACTTACTGCGGTGGTTCCGGTATTCTTCGCCGGTGAAACGGAGATCTCGCTGAAGTTTGAGTGAGGGTTAGCGAGAGAGAGAGGAGAGAGTTTGGACGGATTCCTTATCATCCGATTTCCTCGTCTTCTTTGGCCATATTCTTTTACTGGCCAGAATATAAGACACATCCCCCATTAGCTTCTCTTTACTACACGTTTTTTACAATAACTCAATTAAGGTTAGCTTAGTAGTTAGGTCACATATGAAGTTGTGGACATGGGCTATTAGTGCATAGGCAACAATTTGTAGTACGTAGGTTAGTAAGTTAATTGGGACTTGGGAGTCTGTCTCTTGGATGTTGCTGATTTGGGTAGGTTTACTAGAACGGTTTGGCGGTTGTTAGGTTTAAACATTAGGTTTTTCTAATTATATAAGATGTATGTTCCGCGTTAGTTCGAAATTAATTAATCAAATAATAAACAAAAGTTTTTTCGACGGAATCAATAAATCAAATAATAAACAAAAGGTTTTTCGACGTCTACATCGTCTCATACTTGTCAGTTACAGGCAAAATCATTGAACTTGTGGGTGCAAGTTCATCAAAAGAAAGATCGTTAAACTCATTTGGCAAGCCGATGTCAAGATTAAACTTTCATTAATTTGTTTTGTTCAACAATACCCAACATATAATTCAATTACGTCGCTTGCTGCTCATCGTTCACAGAGACTCGCTCCACTGTTCGACCCACCTTAGTGAAATTCCTGGCTACGCCCCTGTATATATGTGTGTGTGAAGGACTAGCGTACGTATAACATGTGCATGTATAACCAACAAATTAGTGTCATCGATCATTATTTTTTAATAATTTAATCTTATGATATGATTTTAGAGAATTAGAAACTATGGTTCATTTATTTAAAATTGTAGTATAGTATTACGTTTCAAACTTTGATTAATTTCTAGTCTAAATAACAAAATTTACTCTGATAAATTTAGCGTTTACGCTATTTTAAATATTGATGTGTCCATCGGGGTTTTAGATTGAATTTCCTAGTATAAGAATTTGTCGATATTGTCAACTACATAAAAGTCAAACTTCCGCTTCTCCTCCACCAACCGGTTGTGTATTTGTGTGCGTGTGAAATTGCAAAAGTCAAGATCCAAGAGATTTCTGCCCAATTTTTTCTTGGTTTAAGAATTTGGCAACTAGCAACCTTGTCTTAGAGTCCACAAGTTTCTACGAGTTTCTTGGCCACCACGAAACGCCAACACAGTGTAGGATTGGTCACTAAATATTTGGTCTTCAATGTTCCGATTTGACTTAGTAATTCGATCACTTAAAAGTTAAATCACAATTATTAACCAGATACTAATGCAATTGAGTGTTCGTCTTACACTATCATTTATTTTCACTGGAGTAATTTTCTATGGTGAACTGAGATAAGAGAATGCTTTTCATATCATCAAAAAGTAAAGACCGGACAAAGAAGAAAGGCATGGCGGGAAAAAAGAAAAACTTTCAAAAATTCAATGATTTATTAAAAAAAAAAAACGACAATAGCTTACAGTGTGTGTTATGTTAAGGGAACATTTGCTTATTTGGTTACATGTCATCAACATTCTACAAATTCTAATAAATCTTTCTTTTTAATTTTCCTTTGTCATAAAATCTTAGTTTTTATTTAGTTAGTCACAATTGGCGCCAATTTTGTAGGGCCATTATTTTCAGATTATTCTACTAATGACATTATATTTTCCTGGAGATGGAACACGCTTTTCAGAGAATATGCATTTCATCCAATAATGGCTCCCAAGACGAAGTTGCTTCTCTTCCACCTGGCCCTACTCCATGGCCTCCTCCACGCACTGATTTCCGAAGCAGCGAACGAAACCGACGCCCTGGCACTGCTTCAACTCAAAGCAAGTCTCACCGGCGACCCGCTTCAAGTCACATCTTCGTGGAATTCCTCCACCCACTTCTGCCAATGGCGAGGAATCCTCTGCGGCCGGAAGCACCAGAGAGTCACTGTACTCAACTTGCAGTCCCTTCAACTCGCCGGCACTTTATCTCCCTACATCGGAAACCTAACCTTCCTCCGCCGCATCTACCTCTTCAACAACACCCTCGCCGGAACAATCCCCAGCGAAATCGGCCGCCTCCGCCGTCTCGAGGAGCTCTACCTCACCAACAACTCCTTCTCCGGCGAAATCCCTCCATCCATCTCCCTTTGCTCCAACCTCGTCGCTTTCGACGCCGGGTACAACCGTTTGGAAGGAAATCTCCCGCCGGAAATTGGGTCACTGTCCAATCTCCGTATCTTCTCCGTTCGCCGGAACTCTCTGGCCGGTGCGATTCCGCCTTCGTACGGGAATCTGTCGAGTCTTCGGGAGTTTAGGGCAGGGAGCAATGATTTTTCCGGGAGGATTCCCGACGAATTAGGTCAATTGAAGAGCCTGGAGACTTTGCATTTGACTATCAATTCGCTTTCAGGGGAAATTCCTGATTCAATCTTCAACCTCTCGTCATTGAAATTGCTGGCGTTAGGAGCCAATCTGTTTTCAGGAAGTCTCCCCTGGAATTTGGCGATCTCTCTCCCCAATCTCCAGAGTTTCGACGTTGCGTTCAACCGGCTGACCGGTCCGATTCCAGGTTCGTTTTCCAATGCTTCGAATCTGGAACTCGTCCAGCTTCAGACCAACGGCTTCACCGGTGAAGTCCCCAGTTTCGGGAACTCCCCATTTCTGTTCCGTTTGTCCATGGCGGGTAACTCGCTGGGAAATGGGGGAAACAGTAGTGATGATGGTGATTTGAGGTTTCTTTCATCACTGGTTAATGCTACTGGTTTGGATGCATTGAGGTTCGACCAGAACAACTTTGGAGGGAGATTGCCAGGAGTAATTGGGAATTTATCGGTCATGCTTCGGATTCTTCATGTGGGGTATAATCAAATCAGTGGTGAAATTCCAGATGGGTTACAGAATCTTGTTGGGTTGCAGACGTTTGGTGCTTCTGACAGCAATTTCTCAGGCAAAATTCCATCTTTCTGGGGGAAGCTTCCTAATCTAGAATGGCTGCTGTTGGGGTTCAATCGGTTTAGTGGTCAGATCCCAGTTTCAATCGGGAACTTGACCAGGTTGATCGTGCTTGATCTGTCAAGAAACGATTTGGAAGGAGAGATTCCTTCAGTTTTGTCAAACTGCCAGTCTCTGACTACATTGGATCTTTCTAACAGCAATCTCACTGGCAGGATTCCTCCAGGGCTGATGACGATTTTGTCGTTATCGGATTTTCTCGATCTTGGCGGCAACAGATTGATAGGTGAGATTCCTGTTGAGGTGGGGAATTTGAGAAACTTGGGTAGTCTTGGACTGTACTCAAACATGTTGTCAGGAGAGATTCCTAGCAGCCTGGGGAGTTGTGTCAGGATGGAGCTTTTGTATTTGCAGGACAATCTCCTGCAAGGATCCATTCCTACATCTCTAAACGAGCTCAAAGGTCTCCGAGAATTCAATGTTTCGCGGAACAATTTGTCTGGTGAGGTTCCAGTTTTCTTTCAGAGCTTCAGCTCACTGCAACTTCTGAACCTTTCTTACAACAGTTTCCAGGGTGAAGTACCAACTGAAGGTGTTTTTAGAAATGCAAGTGCAATTTCAGTAACTGGGAATAATAATAACAAGCTTTGTGGGGGGATTCCAGAACTCCTTCTCCCCAGATGCAACTCCGAACAGCCCAAAAAAGCGTCGAGTAGGAAATCAAAGATCGTAATAATCACAATAGTCGTCGTTTCTGGTGTCGTTGCTTTACTGGTTTCTTGTAGCTTACTCCTTCTGTTTGCAAGAAGGAGAAGGAAACAACAACAGCAAGTAACAGAAAATCCTGCTGATGACTTGCACTGGAAGGTATCCTATCAAAGCCTGTCAAAAGCTACAGATGGTTTCTCCACCGCCAACCTGATAGGCGCGGGAAGCTTTGGTTCAGTGTACAAGGGGATTCTCCATGAAAGTGGAGCAGTTATAGCCGTGAAGGTGTTCAATCTTGCGAGGCAGGGAGCTTCCAAGAGCTTTCTGGACGAATGCGAGGCCTTGAAGAGCATCAGACACAGAAATCTGGTGAAGATACTGACTGCTTGTTCAGGGATTGATTATCTCAGAAACGAGTTCAAGGCACTGGTGTATGAGTTCTTGGAGAATGGGAACTTGGAGGAATGGCTGCATCCGGTGGACCTTGCAAATGATGAGAAAGATGGTGGTGGGAGATCATTGAAGTTGTTGCAGAGAGTGGATGTGGCAATTGATGTCGCTTCAGCACTGGAGTATCTGCATCATGACTGCGAGACGCCCATCGTTCACTGTGATGTGAAGCCAAGCAATGTGCTTCTGGATGCTGACATGGTTGGACACCTTGGTGACTTTGGATTGGCAAAGCTTGTTTCAGGAGTCAGCAGTACTGTGGCCTATTCTGCCAGCTCCATTGGAGTCAGAGGAACTGTTGGCTATGCTCCTCCAGGTATATATACATTTTACTTCAAAAATATGTACTTTAACTTCAATTACTTAATGAAAATGTCTTCTTTTTCAGAGTATGGAATGGGGAGTAAAGTGTCGACAGAAGGAGATGTATACAGCTACGGAATCCTCTTGCTGGAGATGTTTACCGGAAAGAGACCAACAACTGATGTGTTCACAGAGGGTTTGAATCTTCGGGACTTCGTCAGAAGATCTCTGCATGGAAATTTGATCGACATTCTGGATCCTGTTCTGCTCCCACGAGTTTTCAAAATTGGCAAAGCGGGCGAAGACATCACCAATTCCAAACAGAAAGTTGAGGAGGCCGCCTTGATCTCCATCCTTGAAGTTGGTGTTGCTTGCTGCTCACAGTCTCCACAGCATAGGATGAACATGAAGGACGTTTCAGCAAGTCTTGTTGCTGCTAGAGAACTTCTTCAATCTGGCAGACGAGAAGAACTATAGACCCAGATTTCATTTTGTTTCCATTTTTGTTCATGAAAAGTGGGAGCCAAGCAGTAATCTGTTTTATATTCACTGTTGTATACTTCTTTTGGGCCCATTGACTGTCTTGATTTTTCAATCTGAAGATGGTGATCTTGATGCTTTAATTTTAACACGGTACCAACATCGATCCGATTTCGAGATTCTCATAGTGTAATACAAAGGCGAATATGATAATGAGAGGTTCTACTCCTACGTTATGCGATCTTATTGCAAATTTGATGATCTCGACGAGTAAGATAATTTACAACAAATTACTCTTCTTACTAAATATGAATTAGTAACACTTCTAACTCGAAAGAGGGAATCTATCGTACAACATAGCAGCAACACACATGAAATCCTGTGTATATAATCGAGAACGAGTCGGTATATTTTCCAACTCAATTTGATACGACGGTGAAATCCCATCCACTCTAATGAATAGAAGGTGATTGCTCTTACTTGAAACACAAACAATTTGTATGTTGATCGCTTTCACAGATCATTTGTGTCACAAACTATTTGGTCTAAACATGTATACGTAGTTTCAGAATTTTTTATATATAGTTATTATATTTTGAGAAATTTTTATAACAACTATTCAAAATCCTTAACTTTAATTTCCCTGTGACAGGAAAAGAAAAAAAGGCGCAGAGTTTTGATTTAGTCGACGAAGACTTGGACTTTGCGGTGGGTGGGTGGGTGGCCCAAACTAACGCAGATCTCCGCTAAAGAAAACCCCTTTCACACTCTGCTTTCTGTGCTGTCGAAACTTTCCTGGACTCTTCCTGCAAGTTGACTCCACACAATGATCCATATCTTCAACTTTCACGGAAATGGAGTACGGATGACATAACCCAAAACAAAGAAGACAAATCGGCTGGTCGTCGAGCCTGTAAAATAGAAAAAAAGAGTGTTCTGTTCATGCAAATATATCAGAAGTTTGTGTGCAGCAATCAGACTAGTCTACCGACATAGCTGCAAATTATCAGGATGGTATTTCTTGAACTTAAACCCATACAAGACGACTCACATCGGGTCAACCACTACAAGGTCAATGCTTGTGAGCCATTCACTACAATGTCAGGTGTGAAAGGGCTTGAAATGAAGGGTAGGCCATGGACCAAAAACCAGCACACAAAACTCTTTTCCTAGTTTGCTTCTTCCCTTCCACCACATCTTTTCCCTTCCTTCCAGTAAGTCAAAGTTCCTACACACTCTATGGCGGGTGTGGGGTACTTTTCATGATTATGAATCCATGTTTACAGTTTCAGAACTAACCCTATAAGTTCTGGGAAATAATATTTTAATTGTTCATCCACAGATTCAGAACAATTTTCCTTGTCAAAGTTAGCCTAATTTTGTTTCACAAGATGTGTTCTGGAACTTTGGGGCCATTTCTGGTATTTTCATTCCACTTATACTTCATCTTCTCCAGTACTATCACTCTTCTGAATGCTGCTAAAGCTTCTGGAGTCAATGGAAATGAGACAGACCAGCAGGCTTTGCTTCATTTCAGGTCCATGATATCAACCGATCCACTCGGTGCTATGAGCTCGTGGAACGATTCCTCCGATTTCTGCCGGTGGAATGGTGTTACCTGCAGCACAAGGCACCAGAGAGTTACGGTACTCGACCTGCGATCGATGCAGCTCTCGGGCCCCATTTCGCCGCATGTTGGCAATCTCAGCTTCCTGAGAGAGCTCTACCTTTCCAATAACAGCTTCACCAGAGAGATTCCTCCCCAACTCGGCCGTCTCCACAGGCTCGAGAGGCTGTATCTCCTCAACAACTCCTTCACGGGCGAAATCCCGGCTGAGCTATCTAGCTGCTCCAATCTTGTAATGTTCAATGCAGCCAACAACCAGCTGACAGGGGAAATACCTTGGGAGATCGGATCGTTGAACAATCTCCAGAACTTTGTAGTAAGCTTCAACAGTATGAGAGGAAACATCCCTGCTTCATTTGGGAACATGTCGTCTCTCAGGGTACTCTCCGCAAGCAACAATTTCTTGAGTGGCAAGTTACCTGCCACTCTAGGCCAATTGAAGAACCTCTCCATTTTGTACCTTCCCATGAACGGTTTCTCCGGTGAAATCCCTTCATCAATCTTCAATCTCTCCTCTCTCACCAACGTGTACTTCGGATTCAACCAATTGAATGGAAGTCTTCCGCCGGACATGGGAATCTCGCTCCCGAATCTCCAGAGCTTCGACGTTGCTCTCAATTACTTGTCTGGCACGGTACCTGCTTCGTTCTCCAATGCCTCAAACCTCGAGCAGCTCCAGCTGCAGGGGAATGACTTCAGAGGTGGAATGCCTAGCTTGGGGAGATCTCCAAACCTTTTTCGCTTGATCATCAGCAATAACTCTTTAGGCAATGCCGGTGGAGAAGGTGATTTGAGCTTCATTTCTTCTCTTTCCAATGCCACCAATTTCCAGGCCTTGATCATGGACCACAACAACTTTAGTGGTCCATTACCGGTCGATATTGGGAACTTGTCAGCACTGCAGATTCTCTACATCAGCGAGAATAAACTATCTGGGGAACTACCAATGGAGATACAGAATCTTAACAACTTGCAGAGGCTTGTGGCGTTTGACAACAATTTCTCAGGTACCATTCCATCCACCATTGGAAAGCTTCAGAATCTAGAGGAGTTGGATTTGAGTAACAACAGTTTCACAGGAAACGTGCCATCATCGATTGGAAACTTAACCGAATTACTCGAACTGAAACTAGCAAGGAATAATCTCCAGGGAGAGATTCCTTCTAGGATTGGTAACTGCACAAAGTTGATTACTTTGGATCTTTCTCGTAACAATTTCAGTGGTTTGATTCCTACACAAGTCATGGGTCTAGTTTCTCTGTCAGTTTTCTTGAACTTGTCTCATAATGATCTGACCGGTTCGATCCCCGTTGAAGTGGGGAATCTGCAGAACATGGGTGGTTTGGATCTCTCTCATAATGGTTTGTCAGGAAGCATACCTAGCAGTCTTGGTAGCTGTGTGAGATTGGAGTCGGTTAACTTGCAAGGAAATCAATTGCAGGGAGCCATTCCTTCTTCCCTAAGTTCACTGAGAGGTATCCAACGATTGGATATCTCAAGTAACAACTTATCGGGCCAGATTCCTGAGTTTTTCGAAGGCATGAACTTGCTGCAGATTTTAAATCTCTCTCACAATAGTTTTGAGGGTGAATTGTCAGTGAATGGAGTTCTGAAAAACGACAGCATAGTTTCAGTTATTGGTAACAGCAAACTCTGTGGTGGTGTGGCTGAATTCAATCTCCCACCTTGTAGTTTCAGTCGCCAAAGTAAAGCATTGAGTCATAGGTTGAAGATTGTTATATCAACAATCTGCAGCCTGCTTGTTTTGACATTCATGGGTTCTTGCTTGCTCATCTTTTGGATAAAAAGGAGAGGAAAGCAAGATAGAGTCATGACCGACGACTTGCAAGTGAAGTTATCTTACCAAAGGCTCCACAAAGCCACGGATGGCTTTTCGACGGCGAATCTGGTTGGTGTGGGAAGCTTTGGCTCTGTGTACAAGGGAGTTCTTGATGACAAGAACGGAGCCACCATTGCTGTGAAAGTATTCAACCTCGAACGAAGAGGAGCTTCCAAGAGCTTCAAGGTGGAATGTGAAGCCCTGAAGAACATCAGGCACAGAAATCTGGTGAGGATAGTGACGGTTTGTTCGAGTGTTGATCATGGAGGAAATGATTTCAAGGCTCTCGTCTATGAGTTCTTGGCTAATGGCAGCTTGGAAGAGTGGTTGCATCCAGTTCGTAGTATCGATGGCCAGACAAAGAGCCTTAACTTCCTCCAAAGGCTGAGTGTTGCAGTTGATGTGGCGTCTGCAGTTGATTATCTTCATCACCAATATGGAACGCCGATTGTTCACTGTGATCTCAAGCCGAGTAACGTGCTGCTCGACGAGGACATGGGAGGCCGGGTAGGTGATTTTGGGTTGGCAAAATTCCTTCAGTTTACTACTGCAGATACTTCTTCAACTGGCCAGGGATCAAGCACCCTTGGCATAAAGGGAACTGTTGGTTATGCTCCTCCTGGTAAGTGCATTTGAGATACAAATTCATTATTCATTTCTCCTTTTCCTAATTCTTTCCCTAATGTTCTTATGTTGCACAATTGCAGAATATGGTATGGGAAATGAAGTTTCGATACAAGGTGATGTGTACAGCTACGGGATCCTCCTGCTTGAGATGTTTACCGGAAGAAGGCCAACCGAAGAGAGTTTTAAAGAAGGCGCGAACCTTCATGGTTTCGTCAAGCATGCCTTATTCGAAGGGTCGACAACTGAAGTTGTCGATCCGGCTCTGCTGAACGAGTTACTTCTTGATCAAGCGACCCATTGCAGCGCCAGCAGCAGCATTAGCAGCTCGGAGGAAACCAGCAGCAGCAACAACCTGATACCTGAGGAGTCTCTTATCTCCATTCTCAAAATCGGTGTCACTTGTTCTTCAGATTCGCCACATGAGAGGATTAGTATGAGTGAAGTATTAGCAAGGCTTGTTTCTGTAAGGAAGTTTCTTCTTATGGAACCTTCTCAACTGCAGAAAGCAGGTGAATAACTTGCTAGTATTAGTTACGTGCTTCATCTGTCGGTATATTTTTTTTTAGCCAAGGCCGTTCATATCCTACAAAAAACCTTGGTACGATCGTACCCTTACACCAACCAATATATAAATCAAATGTACAACCACCCAATATTTCCAACAGCACTAGACATGGCTCTAAAAGTTGAGATTAGAAGCCGAGAAACAATCAAACCACTTCCTTCCATTTGCTTATGGCTAATATGGTAACGTAATGATTTCGATATACTTTAGATGTCTCAAAGTCGGTTTTAGTATCCAAACTGATATTTGTAGGTGTGCTTTGTGACCAAATAAGTAACTTACCCGAGTCTAGTCAACAATTTGCAAACCCAACAGCCAACGTGGCGATTTCATGCTGATTGGGATCATAGTCTCTGCAAATAACTGACAAAAAGGAAAGTCAATTTAAATTATGATTAAGAAAATTAAGCACAACTGTTTTCATGATAGGGTTAGAAATTTCATCGTCATGATGAATTATGAGCTTTAGGTAGAAATGGAGTTCAACTTATTAACATCTCTTTGTATTTATGCGTAGATATTCAAATGCAACTTGCTTAAGCTAAATTATTAATTCTGGCGGTGGAGACTTTGGAGGACTGCTGTCCCAAATCTCCAGATAATTAACAATTAAGTCGTTCCATACTCATTTCCAAGTTGATTCCACTCCTAATGACTGCACATAATTGGAAAGTAAATTACTAATAGATTCCTACCTAATATCATTAACCATGCTGTTGAATTGATACCTGTACTTGATTCAACCCTAAACAGAACAGAAGAACTAATCTGTCTTGAATCGAACCAGGTTTCATAACGGCGTGAAACTGGTTCTCTGATACTCTAACACAACCTCTGTTACGGGTTACATTCGGTATGTTTTAGTACAAACACCCGGTTCGATTCATGTTCGAGCCTAGATCATTTAACAACTCTAATGACAAAGATGTGTATGTCACTAAAATAAATGCTGACACAGGTCGTTTCTAAGCTTAAATTTAGTTAAACTAAGACTGCTGTGCGTCAACTGCCTGCAAATATTAATATTTGCAGCTCCACAACACTTTCATGGAAACCTGCTAAATCCACGCTTCGAGTTCCAAATATATAATCAAGAAGACAACAGAGAACCAACTCGACCAACAACTAGCATTCTTAAAACCTTAATGATCCCACCATAAGAAGTAGATTAGAAGCAATCCATTCATATTATCATATCACTAGCCCTTCTGTTGGGGGGGGGGGGGGGGGGGGGGGGGGGGGGGGGGGGGGGGGGGGGGGGGGGGGGGGGGGAAAGAGTTTGAAAGTTGAGAAAAGAGTTCGTGGGTACCAAGATGGGTTCAGGATCTCCGCTTGTCTTCGCGGCTGTGGTTCTTGAGCTGTGCTGCTTCAGCTTCTTCCTAATTGCTGCTACATCAGGGATTCTGAGTAACGAGACGGATCGCATGGCATTGCTGGAGTTCAAGGCCATGATTTCTGAGGACCCTTTGGGAGTCTTGAGCTCGTAGAATGATTCCACTTACTTGTGTCAGTGGCATGGTGTTACTTGCTCCACAAGACACCAGCGAGTCACGGTTCTAAACCTGCAGTCTCGGCAGCTCTCTGGCTCCATTTCGGAACACATTGGAAATCTCAGCTTCCTGGTAGAGCTGAATCTCATCAACAACAGCTTCAGTAATGGGATCCCACCTGAAATTGGCCGCCTTCGCAGAATGCAGCGTCTGTTGGTCTTCAATAACTCTTTAAGCGGCGTGATTCCATCCACCATCTCGGGATGCTCGGCTCTCACTGTATTTCATGCAGCAAACAACAAGCTGGCGGGAGAGTTGCCAATGCAAATTGGCTCCTTGAAAAAGCTCCAACAGCTTATTGTGCCTGTCAACGGTCTAACGGGAAGCATCCCTCCCTCTTTTAGCAGCTTGTCATCTCTTCAAAGGTTTGTACTAGGAAACAACCGCTTCAGTGGGAGCGTACCTGATGCTCTTGGGCGATTGAAAAGCCTTCGTGTTCTGTCTCTGGAGATGAACAACTTGTCCGGTGAAATCCCTGACTCCATTTTCAATTTATCTTCTCTCACGGATCTGTATGTTGGAATGAACCAACTCCATGGCAATCTTCCCTGGAACCTTGGAATATCGCTTCCAAATCTGAGAAGCTTAGATGTGGCTTTTAACCATTTCACTGGCACCGTTCCAGCTTCCTTATCAAATGCATCCAATTTGGTTTTCCTTCAACTGCAAGTCAACAATTTTACAGGGAGCATGCCTAGTATGGCAAGCTCTCGCAACCTTATGCGCTTTCTTATCTACAACAACTCTCTTGGAGGTGGGGAAGCTAATGATGTGAGCTTCTTCTCTTCTTTGACCAATGCCAAAAATTTGGAACTCATGTCCATTGCCGGCAACAACTTTCGAGGTAGCTTGCTGGAGCATATTGGCAACTTGTCAACAAGTCTTAAGATCCTTACCCTCAATGCCAACAAAATATCAGGAAACCTTCCAAGTGGAATACAAAACCTTATCAGCTTGCAGAGGTTCGAGGCATCTTATAACAATCTCTCAGGTACAATTCCTTCCGTCATCTGGAACATTCGAACTTTAGAGTGGTTGGATTTAGCTAGCAATAGCATCTCAGGATCTGTTCCGCAGTCTATTGGAAACCTGACCAGATTAAATATACTGAGGTTGGCAAGAAACCAGCTACAGGGAGAAATTCCTGCAGCTATTGAAAATTGCAAAGATTTAATAGCTTTGGACCTTTCCGACAACAATCTTAGTGGTGTCATCCCCCCACAAATCATGCGTCTTTCTTCCTTGTCACTTCTCTTAAACTTGTCCCATAATCAGCTTACTGGCATCCTTCCCTATGAAGTGGGAAGCCTCACGAACTTGGAAACTTTGGATCTGTCTCATAACATGTTATCAGGCAACATACCAGGTAGTCTAGGCAGTTGTGTCAGACTGGAGTTGCTGAACTTGCAAAACAATCTCATGCAGGGGGCTATCCCTTCTTCTTTAAGTTCGGTCAGAGGTGTTCGGATATTAGATATATCAGGGAACAACTTATCTGGGCAAATTCCAAAATTTTTGGAGGACTTCACCCAGCTCCAACTTCTAAACATGTCCAGTAACAATTTTGAGGGTCAAGTGCCAGAAGGCGGAGTTTTCAAGAGTGCCAGTGTGGTTTCAATTACAGGGAACAACAAGCTTTGTGGGGGTATTGCTGAACTTCATCTTCCAGCATGCCAATTTAACCAGCCGGGAAGGAGATTGAGTCGTAAATGGAAGATTCTCATATCAACAATCTCTAGTCTTCTTTTTGTGTCCTTCACGGCAACTTGCTTGCTTCTTTGTCTAATGAGGAAGAGAGGAAAAGAGCATGTAGATTCTTCCACAAGTGATTCACCCTTGCAACCATCTTATCAAAGGCTCCACAAAGCAACAAATGGCTTTTCCTCGGCAAACTTGATTGGCATAGGAAGCTTTGGTTCTGTATACAAGGGAGTCATGGATGAAAATGGAGCAACTGTTGCTATAAAAGTGTTCAAGCTTGAGCGCCGGGGAGCTTCTACGAGTTTCATTGCAGAATGTGAAGCTTGAGCAGGCTGTTACTATCTTCACCAAATTCCTGTGTCTGATATTTCTCAGAGCTTCACATTCTGAGAAATATCAGACACAGGAATTTGGTGAAGATAGTAACAGCCTGCTCAAGCGTGGATTATCATGGGAATGATTTCAAAGCTCTCATATATGAGTTCTTTGCTAATGGTAGCCTAGAAGAATGGCTCCATCATCCAGTGCAGAGAACTGGCCACCTTCCAAGAAGCTTGGATTTCCTCCAGAGACTAAATGTCGCGATCGATGTAGCTTCAGCACTTGATTATCTCGAACACCAATGCCAAACGCCCATAGTTCATTGCGATCTCAAGCCGAGCAATGTTCTTCTTGATGATGACATGACAGGACATGTGGGTGATTTCGGGCTAGCAAGATTCCTTTCATCACTTGACAAACACTCCTTTGAAGGGCGGACTAGCTCGGTTGGAGTGAGGGGAACTGTTGGCTATGCTCCTCCAGGTAAACATTTCTGATTTCCCTGGTACCTGATAGCAATTTCTCATTTCATATTCATCTCCAAAACAACAAACAACATTGCCTCACATCATTGCAACCTTCTCTGATTTTTTCCTTATTATAACTGCAGAATATGGTATGGGAAATTTAGTGTCAATACAAGGTGATGTGTATAGCTACGGCATCCTCCTGCTTGAGATGTTCACTGGAAGGAGGCCAACTGATGAGAGTTTGGGAGCAGGCTTGAACCTCCATAACTTCGTCCAATTTGCTTTACTAGAAAAGTCAGCAGCAAAGGTAGTGGATCAAGCTTTATTTGATGAACTACTTCTTGGAGTGACTAGCCATCCCAGCACCAGCAGCTCAGAGTACATTCTAAAGAGCGAAAAATCTGAGGAGCTTCTGATATCCATATTTGAAGTTGGTCTTGCTTGTTCATCAGATATTCCACAAGAGAGACTCGGTATTAGGGAAGCTGCATTAAAGCTTGTATCTGTGAGGAACAAACTTGTTGGATCGGCCTTGCCCGAGGGTGAAAGCGCAAAAGCAGGTCCCTGTATGTAGCTGAATGATTGTCTTGATGTTACCATCAGTTGTAATTAGGACCTTAAACTGGTACTTTAAGTTCAACATATAGCTTAGTTACGTTAACCAGCTTCACAATCTGATTCTTCTCTCTAAAAGGCCTTCTGACCACATTCCTTAACAGTTATTCCATTCCTGAATTCCTACTGATATTTTGGCCTAGTCAATCTACCAGTAACCAGCAGCATCTGCCTTTACTAGTCTTCTATATACAACCTGCAGCCACAGTCGAGCTCGAAGAGAACCTCAATGTCTAATCTACCAAATTACGGAATCGGCTAGGAAAAACAGCTAAACAGTAGTAAATTAAACTTAATCTAGCTATTATGTAATTCAATTAAGACCATGGCTGAACAGAGGTATATAACCGTCTTAATCTAGTGTCCTAAATACAGATGAAAGAAACGGCAGAAGAAGTGCTTCCCCTTTCATAAATTGGGGGGAAAAAACACGGATCAATTATAGCTCAAAGGGAATTGATTTGGATCAAAGAATATCAATAAAGTAAATGCAGAAAAAACTTATGCCTAGAGCCAAAGCCGCAAAAGTGAGCAGTCGTGTCAGCATCCAAAAGAACATTGATACGATTGAGACCACCATACCAGAATTGATATGGAATAAGGGCAGTTAGCCAAGTTTAAACCCTGAACAAACATAGAGAAGATTGAACTCCTGTTTTGAAGGTTGAGGTACATCAAGGAACGAAATAACAACAGAGATATGTGTAAGTGCTGAACCAGGCATGAAATTTAAGTAGCAGTGAGAATCTGGGTTGAACAAGTGTTGCTCCTAGCTCAGTGTACATTGATTATATTGCTTCCAATTAAGTGGAATAGAAAATACTATAACGTGACCTATATCGTTATATATTTCTGTACTTGCTTTCCCTTAGTTTTGTTGGTCAGCTAAGCCACAGTTAAAACCGAATATAAAGGCGAAAGTAGCTAAGAAATTACCGCCAGCAAGTAGAGAGTCGGGAAACAAAGGGGAAATACACAGCATTCATGTCTTGTTTACCAACTTTCTTGCATATGACGGGAGAAAAACAGCAAAGCTACAGTATGATGTACAGAATCAGCAGGCAATTTCCAGAATCTCTTCATTAGGCTCACTGCAAAACATGGATTTGTATGATTTTGATCGAGGTTTTGATGACGCAATCCTGGCTTTGATGCCACCAAGTTCTATGACCACATCAGCAACTTTCATCCGGTCACCTGGCAACTCAGCAGAACACTTAACTCCTACCTGAACCAGAGAAACCAAACACCCCAATCTATACTCCTTCATATGCCTCTCTTCATAAGATTCTTCAAACAATGATGGATCAGAGATGCCCTGGATATCATCAGGCAATGCCATCTTGCAATAATTGTGAAGGCTGAAACCGGCGATGAACATTTCATCTGTCGGCTTCTTCCCTGTAACCATCTCCAACAAAAGAATCCCATAACTGTAGATATCTCCTTCTGGGGAAACAGAGCGGCCCAATCCGTACTCTGAATAGAGATTAGTGTCCAAGTTAGTGTAATTTTAGGAGAAATTAAGCTATGTACAACTGTATGGTTTCTTTGTTCTAGATTTTGCTAAATGCAAAGTAGCTTTTTTATACAATGCAGTAGAAGTGAAGAAAATTTGTGTTGGTCACGGTTCATAAATTTTTTAGTTGATGAGCTATAAGATATTTTTAGTAGTCAAAAGGTGATTGATGGCAGTTAGATGGATTATTTTGTTTTTCTAGTGGAAAACAGGACTCCGGCTTTTATTTATTATCGATCTGGGTTCATAAATTACTTATTACATGATAGTGCAGCTTGCTCTGGGTTAAACCCATTAGTCTATGAGATCCTTTTTTTAAGAGAACAAGACGGAAATGAATTTCTTTTCGTAAGCTGCCTTTAGATTTTAACAATTTGAGGTGTCCATCATGAATAACTGCTTTAAATAGTCAGATTGATGAAGTATTTTTTCCCAGTTTATAAGCAAAGACTTTTCAGGCTGAAACAAATACAACCTATAATCATTTGCTCTAATGTACCAGTACACAAAAAGTACAATTTAAAAGATTCATACCTGGAGCAACATAACCAATGGTTCCCCTAACAACTGATGACGATATGGGAACTGTACCACCACTCCTGGCAAAGAGTTTGGCCAAGCCAAAGTCACTAACATGAGCAACCAAGTCATCATCAAGAAGAACATTGCTAGGCTTGAGGTCACAATGAACAATGGGAGTCTCACAATCACGGTGAAGGTACTCCAACGCATGGGCCACATCAAGTGCTATGTCCAACCTTCGGGAAAGATTCAGATATCCCGACTCACCATCATCCCCTTTTTCATGCAACCGATTATGCAACCAACTCTCCAAGCTCCCATTAGGCATCAACTGAAGCACAAACGCTTTGAAATTGTTACCATTGTTGTCCATGCTTGAACAAGCAGTTATTATCTTGACAAGATTCCTGTGTCTAACTGTTCTTAAAGCCTCACATTCAGCTGTAAAACTGCTTGACGCTCCATGCTTCTGAAGGTTCATTACTTTTACAGCAACTGGTCTTTCATCTTCACTGAGAAATCCTCTATACACACAACCAAACTGGCCCGTGCCTATCAAGTTACAGTGGGCAAACCCATCAGTGGCATCAAACAGTTCTTTATAAGACACCATTAGAAACTTGTTTGCCCCAAAAGGTTGAGACAAATCCACGTTCTGATTTTTCCTCCTCTCGCAACTGAAAACAATATAAATAATAGTGATCAACACTACACAGAGGCTGCAACTTACTGTTACAGCTACAATCCATTTCAGGGGAAGTTTGAGCTTCTTCGCCACCCTTGTGTTTCTACTAGCACACACTGGAAGATTAAATAATGGGATGCCACCACAAAGTCCTTTGTTTCCTGCAACTGAAACTGTCTTGGCATTTGCAAAAACTCCTTTCTTTGGAACTTGGCCCTCTAGCTGGTTGAATGACAGATTCAAGTGCTCCATGAACTGAAGCCCCTGTAGTTCTTCCGGAATGCTGCTTGACAAATTGTTGCGAGAGAGGTTTAGAAACCGGATTCCTTTCAAGTTGCTGAGAGATGTAGGTAAGCTTCCATGGAAATAGTTTCCTGACAAGTCAACGTACTCCAAATTCAGGCAGTTTCCAAGTGTTTCTGGAATAGCACCACTCAACTTGTTGTTACTTGCAATCAAAGTCATCAAGTGTTTCAAGCTCCCCACATCGGGAGGGAAGGAGCCAGTCAAGGAATTTTGATCCAGTCGGACTGAGATCAATTGGGGCAGTTGACCCAATAAATTAGCTGGTATCCTGCCACTAAGCTGATTATTAGCGAAGTAGAGTTGCTGCATCGACGAACAGTTGGCCAAGGAGAGAGGAATTTCTCCTGAAAAATTGTTGTGGCTCAGATTTACAAGGAACAGAAGCTTCAGGTTACCAAGACAGGATGGTACAGAACCTGATAACTGGTTAAATTGTAAACCCAGTTGACCCAAGTTCTCAAGAGTGCAAATTGAACTGGGGATTCGACCAGTGAGAGAATTATTCTCAACAGCAAAAATAGTCAAGTTGACAAGGTTACCAATTGATTCTGGGATTTCACCGTATATACCATTACTCCCAAGAGTAAGCCATGTAATGCTTGAAAGATTGACTATGGAACTAGGAAACACACCTCTAAACCCATTACCTGCCAAACTCAAAACTTCAAGTTTGGTAGCATTCATGAAAGAGCCTAAGAAACTGAAGTCATCTTCAGAGGTACCACCCAACCTATTATCTTCAACACTGAGCCAGTTCAGATTTTTTAGCACTCCCAAGTTATCAGGCACTCGACCAGTCAGATAATTTGTACCAGCATCAAGAACCTCCAGACTTGACATGTTGCTGAGAGTAGAAGGTAATTCTCCGGAAAACTGACAGATCCCTACAGATAACCACCAGAGTTTAGGAAAACACAGACCCATGTTGGGTAAAAGTTGTCCAGATAAGATGTTGTCCGCAACAGAAAGTAACTCAAGAGAAGACAGATTACAAATGGATGATGGCAGTGTTCCAGAGAGCCGATTTTGGGATAAAGAAAGAGTAGACAGGTCCTTAAGTCCACCAAGGTCTGGAATGCTGCCCATAATATTGTTCCTCGAAACCGACAGAACCACAAGAGAAGAGAGATTCCCAATGCATTGTGTTATAACTCCAGTTATATTGTTTTTATTGATTACTAAGTGAGTGAGCTTGGAGAGATACCCAAACCAGGATGGAAAGTCACCCACAAAACTATTGTCCGATAACGAGATGCTTTCGAGATTGGAGCAATTTGTCAGCTCAGCAGGAATTTCACCAGTGAGGGAATTTTTGGACAGATTGAAAACCTGCATCCTGGAAAGCTGACCAATCTCTTTGGGAAGTGTACCTTTCAAGCTGTTGCTGGCAAGTTGAATTTCTGAGAGGTATGTCAGGTTCCCAATGGAAGGAGAAATGGAGCCACCCAAAGCAAGACCGTCCAGCCTCAGAGCAGTGACCCTCTGATCCCCACTTCCGCACACAACTCCAGGCCATTGACAAAAATGAATGGAGTCATTCCATAAGCTCAAGGTTCCATATGGCCCATCTATCAAACCAGCCTTCAAGTCGAGCAATGCGAGTCGATCAGTCACATTGCTGACAGCTTCAACACCTGAAACATATATTGTTGAGCATAGACCGATGCAAAGCATGCACAGGTTGAAAGTAACAACTGGTAGATGCAATATCTCCATTTCAAAAACAATGAAGCTCAAACTCGTCAACAACCGAACCAAACAAAATGCATTTCACGAACACTAATAGTGCCTAAATTAAAGCGAACAGAAGAAAATGGCTCTGTGGGGAAAGTAGAAGACCAGAAAATGAAAAAGACTACCCTTTACTAAGAACCTCTCATTCAAGCAAAGCTGCCGCCTTTCCATTTACTATGTACCTATGAGTCAGCTTGCAAATTAAAGATTCAAATAAAAATCTAATCAGAAGCCTCCAAGAGGGAAAATCAAACCAGGAATGGGAAGATTAATCATCCTAGGATTTGGCAGATTCCGCATGTCACAATTAGGCGCCAGCCTACCTGATAGTGAAGTTTTGAGTATTAGAGAAACAGCGAATCTGGAGGCCGGCTCCAGATTAGTCCTTAAACCAAACAATGAAGTTACAACGAGATAGCAATAGGAATTTGGCACTGTTAGACCTACAATGGCGTATGCGATTGGCCGTATTAGACAGAAACTCCTAATTTACTCGAGAAGTAGAAGAAACTAATTACCGCCTGGAAATCGCGGAGCCGAGAAGCGAAGACGACATCATGTTGTTACAGACTTCAAAACGGCGAAGAGGTTGGAGGAGAGAGCGAGACGGACGCCGGAGACAGGAATCAAACGACCCTGAAGTTCCGTCAGAAATTGGGGACAGACAGAACAGGTCTTGTTTCTTGGTTTAGGTAGCCGCCTCAGTAGGACCTCGCCGTAGAATATCAGTGCCTTCTTCTGCATCTTTCTCTCCGGTAGCCGGCGTCTTTTGCAGGTTGCAGTTTCCGTCGGCCGTTGCCCTGGATCCCGGCCTTTGATATGCGGGGACGGAGCATTGAACGAATGATGGGCTTGCAGGTCCAAGTCCAACAAGATTTAACGAAACATTTCTTTTTGTTTTGTGGGCCAGCCCAATAGTTGCGGGTCTAAGTCCAGCAAAAAATCTTGTGTCCTGAGTTCAACATTAAAGAGAGCAGATGCAGTGTTCTTGATAGAAAAAGCAAAAGGATCACAATTCACACGTATAGCTCAAAGCGATTGATTTGATTAAATGGAAATCGTTAAGTACCAAATGGTTGGGATTGATATAAAAAATCAACAAGTGTGTTTTATCGAGTTGATTAAAATCAAAAAATGAAAACCAAACTGACAGCTTCTACTACTACCCAATCGAAGGATTCGCGTTCCTCGTATAATATCAATATAAGCAGCCAAACTCTTTCAAATTGCAACAAATTTTTGTATGTAATCATCCGACTCTCTTTGATTCCCCACATACTTTTTCCAATAGTGTCTTATTTTCTCACTTCTCCTCGTTTAAGATGTACACTTAAAACTACTAATAAAAGAAAACGATTGTTCTACTTTTACACATTTGGATTCATAAACTAGGTGCCAGGTCAAATTCGTCAACCGAACCGGATCGACCACCATGAAATGAACTCAAATGAGCTCCAGCCCTGTATAAAATCTCAACGTGGGGATTTCAAAGCCTCCACTTGGGACTTGCCACATGGCCCCTTGGTTCTTATGTATAACCGGTACTGGTCAAAAGTCATGGGTGGGTACAAGGAAGGCCTCTCTTTGGTTACAAGTTCATTAACCGGTTGGATCGAAATGTCGCTCTTTGGGTTGTAAAAGAAAGCCAGTGACACTCTCTCCTTTGTTGAGTTCACGATCACTCTGTGCTCAACGCTCCTGTAGATTGCATTGCTCAATACCTGACCACCGTAAAAAAAAAAAAAGAATTAGAACCTAATTAACTGATGTAGTATATGAACAAGCCTATTGTTACTGGCAGTGAGTCAGATTACAATCCAATCCACCATTTAATCTAATATATTTGTTAAATATTCACTTAATCCGAATCCTTTTAGTAAATCTAAATCCAATAGATGGTGAGTTAAAAGAGTGATTAACGGATATATGTAATATTACAATTCAACATCTATAGTTTTATGGTATATGTTATAATACCTAAACTTTGAGACATTTTAGCAGAAAGTTGCTTCACACATTAGGCATTAGTACCTAAATCTTTTCGGTGCAACACTTCAAGTCCTTCAACTTTAAGCATTTTACAAAATGATCAATAACTTAGTTGCAACCTAAAACAACATATTCATGGACCCAATTCATTTATCACTTCTATAAATAAAGACACTTGTCGTGGATTAAGAGAGCTTGCAGTATATATATAGGAGCACTTCTACTATGCTATAAAGTATTGGTACTTTAATGTACAACTTAAAGTTGTACCATAACATTAAATGTATAAGTTCAGGTTGTACCATAAAGGAATTTGTGCTCTTATGTTATGGTACAACTTTATAACTTAAACTTGTACCATCAAATGAAAGTACAAGTTTAAGTTGTACCATAAAACAATTTGACAAAAGAGTATAGGTACAATCTGAAGTTGTACCATAACGTTAAAGGTACAACTTCAAGTTGTACCATAAAGGGAAAAACCTATAGCACCAATACTATATAGCATTGTAAAATTCCTCGTATCTAACAATAATTCATTAGTGCATCAATGATGACTGCAGCAAGAAGTAATATTATTGCTTTCTAATAGTTTTTGAATGCTATTATTAATATTATCTAGAAAACAGTTTTTCCCCACATGCTAGAAATATACAAGAGCAACTGTTTTTTCCCCCACTTCCTCTCTTGGAAAAGTAGTGGCGAACAAAGTTTGTGGACCAAAATGTTTAGCAATTAATGTAGCGAAGGAAAAGTCCACATCATGAGCCTTGGAGATGATATGAAGCTGAAAATGTACGTAGTTACTGCCTATAGGCATTGTGATCTATGAGACGAACACAAAGATGGAAAGTGGGGAATGAGAGGGCAAACAGACAGACAAATACTACCAAACATATCATTTTCCCAACACCTCCCTTCAATCCATGGATAATATTTCCGATCGTAAGAATTTAAATACAATGACCTCTCAATCAAATGTTTTAATGGATTAATTTATCGTAACTTTTATAGAAGCTATTTCTCGCTTAAATTCGTCGGAATTCTTCTAAAATAAATTATTGAATGTTTGGCTGATAAACTATGAAAATTATCTTTTATTATATATGTAGTGATATAAAAAAAATAAAAATAATTAAAAAGGATAAAGATAACCATAATAAATATTTAGGAATTTCTTTTATAGTAAATAAATCTTCCGTAATTATTTTTATTATAAATCCATATAAATGAAAGAAAATTATCATTAAATAATTTAAAACTCAACAATGATAATAACATACTCTCGAAATAACACTTCAAATAAGTTTCAAAATAAACCTTTCGCTTTTATGTTATAAAAAATATACTTTTAAACTTTCTGAAATGTGTTGTTCATATATCTTTGATTCTATTTAACCTTTTGGACACAGAAAAAACACTTCAAAACATCGTGTCAAACATATATGATTTTACGTGAAAAATAGTTTATCTTAATAATTTGAGATATTGAGATATGTTGAAATTAATATTAGTATTATTAAGGAATCCCCTTGAGGTTCGGGTATTTGGATAAATTAATCATGATGTGTGTTTTCAGATTCCAATAGAATTATCTTATCTTGATGAAAGGATAACCTAATTTTAACTGGAAGCAAGTTCAATCACAAACCAAACTTGTCTGCTGGGTCTCAAACATGATGGACATTTTATATTCATGCATCCTTTCCCCTCAATCAAACCTATAAAAATAAACAAACTAACCTCCATACGACACCGTTGCTCCCTAAACAGTCGATAAAAACTGTCCATATCAAAACGTGGCCCAGCCCACGTGCTCTAGAATTAGATACCCTTGGTCCCAGATGTAGGAAAGTAAAAGAAAAGGGGAGAAATTGGAAGAGACAAAAAGTGAAGGTTTTTTTTTAAAACTGGTTATTTTTTAATAAAAAAATTTAAAACTGCTTTAAGCAAGTTAGATTATTCTGTTAATTACCTGAACTTGATCGCCGATGTTGACAATGAAGGCATGCTTCGCCGGCTTCACCGTGATCCAATCGTCCCCTCTCCGAACCTGAAGCCCCGGCACCTGGTGGTCCGGCAACAGAATGGTCAGACCGCCGGGGTCGGAGTGGGACGACAGGCCAAGTGTCAGGTCCGGCTGCGGACATTTCGGGTAGAAATTCACCCTCATACACGCCCCAATTTCTGTCCCTCCAAATGCGTCCTGAAGACATCGTTCGTTTAATCCCAAGTTTAACGATAATATCCTCATCAGTCTCCCGCAAAGCGCCACCACTTGCTTCCCGTACTCATCAATCACTTTCCTAAAAAATGGTGTACATATAATATGAATACGATATGGAAAATAAGACAAATCGAGTTTGTAACGTACAAATTTCTTTATAATACAAACTAAACTTGTACATATAACAAAATCATGCAGTATCGACAATCAGACCGTCACATTTAACATTACGGTACAAATTCGATCCCCGGTCACTCTTATCAACTAGCTAGCCAGCCAAAGTGGGAAACCCCAAGTTTATGACCACCCGTTTCGTGGGTACGATGATAATAATTCATAGGACGTTAATCTGACACATCGAACAAGAGGCCCAAAAATAAAAGGATTATAAAATTAAAAAAAAAACTTCATTATCAAGATTCAAGACAGAGACAGAGACTTGAAAAGAATAATTAATTACCCACCACGGGCAGTAAATTAAAATTTAATTACCGGGGAGGAGAAATGGAGACGGACCTGATATCGGAAGGGAGGGACGGCCACTTGTCGTGGTCCTTCAACGTCGCCGGCAAGTAGTGCAGGAAATAGTAATCGCTCCAGTCGAGGACGGCGCCCTTCTGGACGCCGAGGCGGCTGCCGTAGCCTTCGTAGGTCTTGGGCGAGTTGGCGTACCGCTGCTTCACCTCCATGGGCTGGTGGAAGAATTCCCGCCACGCTTCCCGGGCCCGGTCCATCAGCTCTGGGCTCACCCCGTGGCCCACCACCTGGAAGAATCCCCAGTCCCGGCACGCGGCCCAGATTTCCTCCTCCGACTGCTTCCCGTGCCCGCCACCGAGATCGACGATGGGGATGTTGCTGGCGTCACGGTGGCGGGTGGTCGTCGGGCGCTGGTGGGGCGGCTTGACGTAACGGTCGGGGATGACGTGGAGGCCACTCTCCGACAGGGACTGGACCCGTACGATCGGTTCCGGCCACTCCTGGAGGCCGCCGCCGGTCATGGCTTTTTTCCCCCTTTTTTTTCCCCCCAGCCGGTGCTAGCGATAAGATGGTGATTAGCTATATCGGGAGGTGATTAGGATGGATAATGGATTGGGAAATGGTGACGAACATGAAGGGGAAAAGAGTGGTTAAAAGCGGATTAAGAGGGGGTAATTAGTGGGATTAGTGATTAAGAGGGGGAGAGGAGAGAGTGGTAGATAAAATGGGGGAGGAGTGGAGCAGTGTGTATAGATTTGCAACGAGGGGAGTTGACGTTTATATATTATGACAACGTGAAAATAATGGCCCTTTTTTTGAGGGGGAGGAATTAATGACCCTGCCTCTTTGTTCTTGGTTATTTTGTGTTTTATTTTTATGGGAATATAATAATGGTCATTTTTTATTTGCTACCATGTGTTGTATTTGTATATATAGTAGTTAATTGATTGGGGAAATATTTTAGTTTCCTTTTTTTGTTTGGTTATGGGGAAGAGATTTTTCCTGCCAATTGTTAAGTTGATCCGTTTACTTTGGCATGTGTTGGAACAGTTTTTGTAATATGGTCGTACCATGTGTGCATGTACAACCAACCACTTCTGGAGAGGGAAAGGGAAGGTAGAATTAAAGTATGTTTAAGCCACCATTAGATTGTCTTATGTATTGTTTTCTTTTGCTGGTCAATAATTAATCCAGTGTTAACGTGAGGCTTTCTGATCTGTCAGGGGGTTGGTGGAAGAGATGCTCTGATATGGGTTTAGTTTTTTTTCTTCTTCTTTTTCTTCTTTAAGATGAGTTAGGCTGGTTAAGGGAGGATTAGCACCCTGTCTGAGCTAATTAATCGGATCTATGTGTTTGTATTTACTATTCTGTCAGGGTTATAGAAAGATAGAAGTCCATTCTACGAATGTTGTAGGGAGGATTCAGATCATCAATACGTTTTCTTTGTATTCGATTTTGAGTTTTTCTTCAACTTAATTTGTATGTTTAAGTTATTCACACGTAGAGAGCAAACAAATGTTTAGCTGGCTGTTTGTTTCTACCTTTAGTACTTACAAGTCACAACGTTCCTTTCTTTGGGGTCATGTTGTACATTATATATAGGACCATGTATGATCTTGATGGTGGAAACATGCCTCGTCGTTGGGTAACTATAATTACGCGGAGCCCTCAGATTTCTTATTGATTAATTTAGTATGAATGACATGTCTATCAATTTGCATAATGATAGTCATGCTGAGGTTACCTATAGATCGTATGAAATTGTATACATATATATCATTCACAAATATATGGGCGATTCACAGTTTCATCAGTTTTAATCTAATCATTCAACTAAGTAGACTTATTAGGCAGAATCATTGGGCTTTGACCTCTTATGTCAGTTGTGTTTTGTTTAAACCAACCCCAACGCGAGGAAGATTGATAAAATGCAGGTAATTTAATTAGCCTAGTGTTTAAAAAATATTCTTTCTCTTTGGGGTATACAATCCAGTTATTCTATAGATAAGAATAAAATTAACAATTTTCATTATATATATATATATATATTTTTATAATATTAATGTTGAACCCTAGCTAAGAATTTTACGCATCCACTGAATCCAGTGTTTGTTCTTTTCTCTATAATAATAACTATTTCCTTTTTGACTTTGGGTATTCATACAAATTAGCTTATGCCGCACATTAATTCTATGGAACAATTGCATTAAATGTATATACATATACACAAATTAGTAAAGCAGATATTGGACTTTTATGGAAATTTAGTCGGCAAAAGATTGAATCATTATTTATTTATTGAATAGGGTACTAAAGTATAGGTACAAGATCCTATAAAAATCAAATTACCATTACCATATTATCTAATGATCCGGAATTAATAAGTGACATGAAGGGGCAGCCTAGTAATTTTTGCACCCTTTTACTTTTCTTTATTAATTGATACGGATGTCAAAGGAGAGAGGATACTGATAACCGGTTAAAGTCTATTTACTAATTTTTATATTTCTTAATTGGGTAAAATATAATTCATTTTAAATTAGAATTTCAAAAAATTATAAAAATAAATACAAATAATTATATCCATTTTGCTATATTACGAGGAAAAACCCCCTTACAAACACGTGTTTGCTGCAATTTGTTCACTGCCATATCGATATTTTACAAACATCTCATGCTGCTTCTACGGCTTTCTATCTGGGTTGGTGGGCGACGGCTTTTCTTCTGTGTGCTCGTTTTGAGCATCTTCGCATGACGTCTGGTGGTTGCAGGTGTCGAGGGAGGGTCTGCCAGTTGCTGCCAGCGGCGGTGAAGTTCCAAGAGCAAACATTTTAGCAGCTAGGGTTAGAAGAGTTGTGTTCGGGTCGGGCCATGGACTGGCCCCTATTGGGTTTCCAGCGTTTTGGGTGGGCTTTGGGTTTGGCTTCTCTAGCTTTTGTTGTTATTTTGTTTGTTTGTTTCCTTTTCCTCTGGGCTTGGCCCATTTACATTCTTAATGAAACCGTTCAAAAAAAAAAAAAAAACACTATCGTATCATTATCATGTAATTATTGTTTAAAGAGAAAGATTTCATATACTATCTTAACACTATCACACGACTCATACGAACACCATACCATTTATGATAAGATTTTATAAGTCATCTCGCTACGATTATATCTTACTATTATGATAAGACTAACAACACTAGCATATTACTTTAGCAATAATATCATGGTATGACATTGGTAAAGCGATACGAAAATTTCTTGCTCCAACAAATATTAAAATCGATATAATCTCGTATACTTTACAAATCAAACACTAAATTGTTTTATGAGAAATCCTTTTCTTTTGTTTATAAATTGTTTTTTTTAAGTTTCAACAAAATACTATTTTTACAAAAACTACAAATAATCATAATAACGATTACAAATTTACAATGTAGAATGTATCGTATACTCTCCAAATAAATCAAGAGCGTAATTGTACCCTATAAACAAACATAATTGAGGTTGATGTTATTAATGGTGAACGGCTATTTGCCGCCAATCAAATTGCTATTTACCGCCAACTAAAAAAAAAAAAAATTCAAAATTTGAATTTTCTATTCCTTCCCAGTGCCTCCGTCGCCGGTAAAAAAAAAAATTTAATTTTGAATTTTCCCTTCCTTCCCAGTGCCTCCGTCGCCGGCACCGTTCTTCCGTCGTCGGCTAACCTCCCGTCGCCCTCAATCGTCGAAAAACAAGTAAGTTTACTTTTTCCGGCCAGTTTTCCAGTTTTCCGGTAAGTTTTCCAGTTTTCCGGCGAAAAACACGGCGGGCCGAAAAAAAATTGCGGCCAGAACGTCGCCGAGCCGAAAAAAATTTGTGGGCGGGACGACGGCCGGCCGAAAAATTCTTTCGGCCCGGCGACGACACGGCCGCAAATTTTTTTCGGCCGGTCGCCGAACACGCCGGCCAAAAATTTTCCGGCGGCGTGTTCGTCGGCCGGCCGAAAAAAATTTGCGGCCGGAGCGACGTCGGGCCGAAAGAATTTTTTTCGGTCGGTCGCCGAACACGCCGGCCAAAAATTTTCCGGCGGCGTGTTCGTCGGCCGGCCGAAAAAAATTTGCGGCCGTGGCGTCGCCGGGCCGAAAGAATTTTTCGGCCGGCCGTCGTCCCGGCCACAAATTTTTTTCGGCTTGGCGACGTTCGGGCCGCAATTTTTTTTCGGCCCGTCGTGTTTTTCGCCGGAAAACTGGAAAACTGGCCGGAAAAAGTAAACTTACTTGTTTTCCGACGATTGAGGGCGACGGGAGGTTAGCCGACGACGGAAGAACGGTGCCGGCGACCGACGATTGACTTGCCTCGCGCCCGATCTTCGTCCAATCGACCCCGAACTCGCTAGAAATCCATAATGAAATTCATAAGTTCATAATGACACTAGGGTCATTAAAAATACAACTAGAAAAACAACAACATATAAATAGAGCATTGCAACACGACACACGATTTACGTAGTTCACTAACACGAAGTATTTATAGTACTTCTCCATGTGGGTCTAAACCTAATCCAATATGACAAAGGAAACGGTTACAGACCAGGCCCAGAACCCGAACCCAAATAACATTGAGCCCATACACCGTGGGCCGGGGGCGTTGCCCCCGCACCCCCACCGGGGCGTTGCCCCTGGACCCCACTCGCTGACCGGGCAGCGAGACCCCCGATTACCAGTCGTAGCGGCTGATAGTCCGATTCAAGTCACATCAACAAAGGGTTTATGGTTCAGGGTTTAGGGTTCAGGGTTCACTTAGGGTTTAGGGTTTGAAACACATGGTTCGTGTAGCACTTTGCCCACATTGTCTGATGGTTAGTGATGATTCATGGATGCGTGTACGCATTATATGTCGAGGATAGGCTTTCCCGATGATTTTCCGACGACTTTTCCGGCGAGCGTTGAATTTTTCTGATTCAATACGTTCTCTGAAAGTTGGATATGTTGTAGATTGTGAAACTCCTTAACCAAAGATGTATATATATACATTTTTTTTCATCGATGATTTTCCGGCGACTTTCCGGCGACTTTTCCGGCGACTTTTCCGGCGAGCGTTGAATTTTTCTGATTAAATACGTTCTCTGAAAGTTGGATATGTTGTAGATTGTGAAACTCCTTAACCAAAGATGCATATATATACTTTTTTTTTGGTTGGCGGCAAATAGCAATTTGGTTGGCGGCAAATAGCAAGCCCCTTATGGTTCAGGGTTTAGGGTTCAGGGTTCACTTAGGGTTTAGGGTTTGAAACACATGGTTCGTGTAGCACTTTGCCCACATTGTCTGATGGTTAGTGATGATTCATGGATGCGTGTACGCATTATATGTCGAGGATAGGCTTTCCCGATGATTTTCCGACGACTTTTCCGGCGAGCGTTGAATTTTTCTGATTAAATACGTTCTCTGAAAGTTGGATATGTTGTAGATTGTGAAACTCCTTAACCAAAGATGCATATATATACTTTTTTTTTGGTTGGCGGCAAATAGCAATTTGGTTGGCGGCAAATAGCAAGCCCCTTTATATGTGGTGGCCGGAAGGAAGCCGACAACTAAACCCGGCCCTATCTCCCGCTGTCTCTCCATTCATCATCCGTTTTCCGTTCACATTTCCCTCTCATCAACTCCGGCGCCGTGGACATCTTTTCCTCTCCTTCTCCTTCTAAATTTAATTCCCCACATTACTATTATTTTGGTAAGCAAGCTAGCTAGCTAGCTCCACCGCCGAAACTAGACAAAACATGAATCACTACTTGCACTTCTGAATTCTGATCATTGCTCCCCACTATGTCTATCGCGCTTCCCCGCTTTCTAGAATACCGTAACGAAATGAAAACCAGAGAAGTAAAAGAATGCACTCGACTAGCAAGGTGCATATGGTTCGCGCACTTATTATTCTCCCGATGATCTCTCCTATACGTTATTCGGAGCAAGTGAACTGCACATTGAGAATCAAGTTGGAGTAGTCTGACTCATTTTGTGCCCTAGGGTCACATACCGATTGAAGACCCTCTAATAAAGTGTCTCTCAACTCTAGCAACGTAATAGAACAGGTGCTCCGGTTCATTGCAAACTCTGTTGTCGCAACGTCTTGGATGCTCTCGTATTAGGACTTCCCTGCTACTGCTTGACGCGAAACAGTATGAATTTAACTGTCTGGGTTGAATTTAATAACCAACTCGAAGGAGAGATTTACGTGAGATCTCCGCCTACATCGTGGTGGGTGTTTCATCAATTCTCTCTTATAATGCGAGATTATGTTGAGAAATCGACCCACCTCCTTTGTCAACTAAATCAACAGAGTAATCAAAGAAAATAGCTTTCTCGAAACATAATTGGGACAAATGGTCCAATAGAATAACTGACTTGTTTTGTTAGTTGGGAAGCTTTGATTAGAAGAGCAAAGGACAATGATAATTGTTGTGGTCACTCTCTTTCATTTTCAGTTAATTGTCTCGGGTCTATTATGTTTCTAGGGATCGATTATTGTGACAGTTTAAAGAACATATACGAGTATCAAGTAGATGGTTCTCTCTTTTGGAAAAAAGGATTAAGGGTGAACGTTAAACCATTCCTTATTTGGAATTTGGATGGGTTAAAATGTGTTTGAAATTATCAAATGACTACTGATTTCTTGCAAGGGAACCAAGGTTTTGGGTTTTGGTCGAACCGTACTTGGATATACCCTTGGTCCAGAACCAGAAGAGATGTATAACCATTCAAGGGCTTAAAAATATGATCTCTCCACTGTCTCCATGTACGATGACTAGCCAACACACGTCGTTGCTCTCTTCCATCTTCATTTTTTCGTGTCTATCCATCCATTGATGAAAGTTTGTGCAAGGTTCCAAGACCTGGTGGAAAACCGAAAACGTGCTCATCATAAAAAAGGCCAGCCGTTATTAAGGTTTTGCTCCTAGCTAGCAACATGATTCCAAGGAAACAAGAGAGTTGACTTTCGAATTTAATAAGGGTGTATAGTAAATTGCATATACGCTAGCTAGCTAGCTTTATGCACGTAGTGAAAAGAGAATGAGATGAGATTCATTCTCCAATCTCTCACAATAAATCGAGGCATTGGAACTAATTGTCTATTGCATGTACCATAATTTATGCCGAATACAAAAGGGTGTCAGAACAAAAGCGTGGCAATCGATAATCCAAACCAACACGAACAAACACAAATTTAACGTGGTTCACTAACACAATGTGTGCTAGCTAATCCATGGGCAGGGGAGAACAAATTTCACTAATTTGAGGAGAGTACAGGTTACAAACCAAATTCCAAACGGACAAACCAAACAAACTAACATGACTGACCTTACTACAGACTAGGGTGATGAAGAGTATTTATAGAACTCTTCTCCTAATCCCAAACAGAAAACCAAACACCTTTTTCCCAAACATACAAGGAAAAGGTCAAACAAAACCCAAACACAAACCCAAACAAAATAGGCCCAAAGCACAAAACAAACTCAAATCAAATTCAAGTCATATTCTAAAAAAGGGCTTGTGTTTAAGTCACACAACCAACAATATTAAGCACATAGTAGAACGATCATGTACAAACTACTTAATTGATTCTTTACAAATTATCTACGGTAACAAAGAAACACTCTTTTCCTTTTTCCTCCTTTTTTACAATAGTTATTTACAACATGTTGTCCTAATCGTAAGTAATATTTGACAACAATATATTAGGAAGTAATCGAAGTATGTATATCCATCATCATATTTTTCAACGATCTCCAATGATATGCATATAATAATATAAACCTATAAGGCCAATTATATTTAAAATTCATCATTTCCATATATTGTTAAAAGCTTGTTTGTTATAGTACGAAGATGAAACACTATACTAGTCCTCAATAGTGTGGCAAGAAAAATTATTTGTCTGTCTAGCTGCTTTCATTTGATTTCATTGTTTGAGAGGAAAAATGATTTATAGGGTATTCATATTATTTCTTATATTTTATTATTATATTTCAGATACAAATAAATAAATAAATCTCTACACACGGCTAAAAATATTATCTGTCATCTTATAGCGTTTTTTTTTTTTTTGTGACAAAGGGTTTTCTTGTTGTAGTATTATAATTTATATATAAGAAAAAAATACCGACACACATATCCTAAACAAAATCGTTATAATTACTAATTAGTGAATTAAGTAATTAACAAGAGACTTTGGGGCTAACTTAAGCTTAGTGAGGACGACACTATACGTATCTGTTTGAGTCCAACTGAGGGTAGGAGGTGAACTCGGGAAAGAGGGTGAGAAGAATAAACAACAAGAGGTCTGGAAATGGAGTTATTCTTAGAAAGAGAAAGAGTTGTTTGCAGGACTAGTGAGAGAGTGAAAAATGCGGTCCCCTCACCCATCGGAGTAAATGCCATATTTATAGGCTACATGGTGGTGGGTGAGTTGCATGGTGACAAGACTACTGTCATGTCAGAACTTTCGGCCATTCTCCTACCTAGGACTAGGGGACTTGTCCATCATTGTACCTAGTACTCTGATGTGACCACTCTTCGAGTGATAGGGTGTCGTTTTCGAGGCAGGCTTGGTCTGGTCAACTCTTGGCTGAAACGCCATCGTTCGGTCGTTTGGAGTCCATGTCCGCGCGTGAGGCTTCCTCGCGCTTAAACTTCTCGCGTAAGCGCGGCTTCGGTTACGTCCCTGCTAGCGCGCCCAACCACTAAGGACGGCGTCGCGCTGGCTTCTTGGCGCGCCTGGACCCGAGCCATATGCCCAACAATTGCCCCCATCATGTGGTATTCTTCGGATGCCGCCTGTTTGATTTCCACAAGGTTGGCTCGGGTCTGGGTTAAATCCGCGAGACTATTGGGTTCGGGATTGATTTTTAGCGCGTCTCGTGTTTTCCGTGGAGTGGGTGGTACGTTTTTTCTGACGCGGATGCGCGTGGTTGGGCTTGGGTGTGACTCTTTTTCTCTTCTTGTGTGCGCCATGCCCCCCAGTCGGTGCACGTATGCGCGTGAGCGACGTGGTTGGATTCACGTGTGATTTTTTCTCTTCGCGGGTACGCCATGCCCCCCAGGCGGTGTGCGGAACTTGTGACGTCAGCGGCTATAGACTGCCTAGGGTAGGTGTCCACGTGTCGTTGGCTGATTGCTCCAGCTAGGCGGCGCTTTTGAAATTTGAAAAACTCTGACAGTTATGATTTGACGGTTGCGATTCCCGATGCAACTTTAACCCTTCGGTTTCCCTCTGTTGATTATAAGTAGCAGTCGATAATTGAGGAGAAGATCACTTTGCTATTTTTTGGCTTTGCTTCGTCTTCCCTTCCTTCTCCTTTCGTTTCGTTCTTCTTCGAGATTCCTCTCCTTATTCTACAACCTTATTTCTCTCGTGTTGTTGCTATTACTCAGAGGAGTGCCATGGTGAACATCAATATTGACGAGATTCAGGTCGTGCAAGACGAAGAAGGTAATCTTTCATCCCTTTCGCATATTTCTACCGATCCTTCACTGGATCTGGTTGATTCCGACGACGGTGGCAACGGCAGAGCTGGTGATGATGGAGTTCCGGAGACGCCGTCCTACGACGCCGATTCGGGGCACGATTTCGTGCCCGATTCTGATTTGGAGATGGTGGAGTTTGAAGATAAGGGAGAGAGCTCGCGCGCTCGCGGAGTTTTGATTATACGCCGCGACCGCGCGGGTAGATATGAAGGGGCGGAGGGTTCGATGCGCGAAGGGTCTGAAACCCAGTCTGAGCCACTGTGTGTCGCGCGCATCTCCGAGTCGATGGCCCGACTTGGGCCCCACGGTGGGCGCCAATTGTTTGAGTCCAACTGAGGGTAGAAGGTGAACTCGGGAAAGAGGGTGAGAAGAGTAAACACCAAGAGGTCTGGAAATGGAGTTATTCTTAGAAAGAGAAAGAGTTGTTTGCAGGACTAGTGAGAGAGTGAAAAATGCGATCTCCTCACCCACCGGAGTAAATGCCATATTTATAGGCTACATGGTGGTGGGTGAGTTGCATGGTGACAAGACTGCTGTCATGTCAGAACTTTCGGCCATTCTCCTACCTAGGACTAGGGGACTTGTCCATCATTGTACCTAGTACTCTGATGTGACCACTCTTCGAGGGATAGGGTGTCGTTTTCGAGGCAGGCTTGGTTTGGTAAACTCTTGGCTGAAACGCCGTCGTTAGGTCGTTTGGAGTCCATGTCCGCGCGTGAGGCTTCCTCGCGCTTAAGCTTCTCGCGTAAGCGCGGCTTCGGTTACGTCCCTGCTAGCGCGCCCAACCACTAAGGACGGCGTCGCGCTGGCTTCTTGGCGCGCCTGGACCCGAGCCATATGCCCAACATTATCTTATCTTAAAATATATTAAAGGGGTTTGAGAAAAACACCCACTCCACGTCAGTTTTAACGCTTCCTCTTAATTCTCGGTAGTTTTTTTTTTCCCTTTTTTTCTTTTTATGGTTGGTTTTGGGCTTTTGGGTTTTGGCCGCACTTCAGTTTTTTTTTTTGGTCGATTAACTCTTAATCCGATTTTTTAGCAAGCATAAAAGGTTGGGTGTGCCTACGGTGACATGCATGTCACGGTGACTTGCACTTTCTGGTCGACCTCAGTTAGGATTAGGTCGACCTCATTTAGAATTCGGTCGACCTCATATAGGATCTGGTCGACCTCATTTAGGATTCGGTCGACCTCATATAGGATCAGGTCGACCTAATCTGTTGTTTAAGTGTAAAAACAGTTCATGGTGCATACTTTGGATATTCATATCATACAATTGGCTAGAATGAAATTGAAGACTAATGACTTGTTTTGAAGCTGGAGTGTCCCTCTACATATTGAAGTGATTGAGAGCTCGATAGGAAGTCCAGAAGACCATTTTTGAACCTCATCAAAAGGCTATGCCAAAACAGGGAAAATGCCTGGAAATGGCTTGAGTCTGGAAACGTGTTTGTGAAGCCTATTTTGGAGCTCAATTCGAGAAGCATGAATGCGAGTCGAGTCTAGGAGCATCTACCACGTTAAATTAGGTATGTTTTTATACAAATTCAAGGCATTGGATGAAAGATTGGATATCTGTAAGGCTTCAAACAAAAGGGTCGAAGTTGCTACGCAGGCTGTTTTTCTGGCAGACTTCGAGCACAAGCAAGCTGACAGAAAAACAGCCTTCGTAGCAACTTCGAGCCTTTTGTTTGAAGCCTTAAGATATTCAATCTTTCATCCAATGCCTTGTCTTTGTATATAAAAAATAAGTAATTTAACGTGGTAGAGACCCCTAGACTTGACTCGCATCCATGCTTCTCAAATTGAGCTCCAAAGTAGGCTTGACAAACACGTTGCCAGACTTGGCCATTTTCAGGTAGTTTCTCAGTTTTGGCATAGCCTTTTGGTCAGGTTCAAAAATGGTCTTCTGGACTTTCTATTGAGCTCCCAAGTACTTTAATGTGTAGAGGAACACTTCAGCTTCAAAACAAGCCTTTAATCTCCAATTTCCATCTAGCCAATTGTATGATATGAATCTCCAAAGTAAACACCATGAAACTGTTTTTACACTGAAACAACAGATTAGGTTCACCTAATCCTATATGAGGTCGACCGAAAAGTGCATGTCACCGTGACATGCATGTAACCGTAGCAAAGTCTAAAAGGTTTTATTTTAAAAGTTATTTCGTGAATTGTCCTATGATCCTATCTAAATGGAACGTGTCGCCTTTTTCTGGAAGTTGGATATACTATTTTTTTGTGGGGGTTGGGGGGGGGGGGGGATATCCTATTTAATTAAGTTAGTGTGTTCTGACTTAATCTCCAGATTAGGTGCTTATTATAATTACTTAAAGAAGATGTGCTATTTTATCGATTCAATCATCATGCTTGTGGATTAGGCTAAAAAAGTTTCGAAAAAAAAAGGAAAACCTCTCCCCTCTCCCTTCGCTCGTGGATAGTGGGAGCGAGGTTAGCGCCGTCGTGCGCTTCGCCGAGTCCGATCCCCCGGTGTGGTGCGCCGACGGGGTTGAGCTGCGGAGTCATGGGTCTATTTAAGCCTCCCCTGCGATCTTCCTTCTTCTGTGCAGTGAGCCCCTCATCCCTTCTCTGTTTTCGCGATCTGTCCCCTACCAGATTGATTTCCTTCTCCGGCGATTGCATGATGGCTGATTCCAGGGTGGTTGTCTTCGGCGACGCCGATGTTGCCCCAGGGGTGGAACGCAATGAGATGTCGCTTTTGGGCAGGGTTATTGGTCCTTTGCCGCCCATCCGACAGTTACTCTCCACTCTGGGAGGGCTGTGGAACTGCTCCGGTCCCATCTCTATCCTCCCGGCGGACGAAGGTCTCCTTCAATTCGTCTTCCCCAACGAAGGCGACCTGAACCGGGTTCTGCGAATGGCGCCTTGGATCCTGCCCAAGTTCTTGGTGAACTTGGCCCCCTGGGTGACGGTTTCATCCGAAGTGGCTGAACAGATGTGGAGGGTTCCTCATTTTCTGCAGTTTTGGGGGGTTCCTGTTCCCTGCTGTTCGAAGAAGATGGGCACCCTCCTTGGTGCTTACCTTGGTAAAACTGACCCTGGGGCGGTCCACCGATCGAAGGATACCGCTGAGATTTACCTCAGGGCGCGGGTCTGGTTGGATTCTCGCCTCCCGCTCCCGGTGACAGTTTCGGCGACCCATGAAAAAGCAGGTAAGGGGGATTTTACTGCGGTTGTCAAGTTCGAGAAACTTTCTCAGTTTTGCTATCTTTGTGGAGTGCTTGGCCATATTGGAAAGCAGTGTCCAAGAAGGGAGGAGCTCGCTGGCAAACCTTCAGCATACAATCGCCAATTGATTTCCAAGAAACTTGGCCCCAAGGTCAACAAGAAGAACCTGCTAGGTCGAAGAAGCTTCACGTGGGTGCGTCCAGGGCAGGGTTCTTCCTCTGTGCAGTCCCGACAGGTCCCTGTGCATCTGCTTCCGGGTCCGGAAAGGGACTCAAACATACAGTCGGCTTCCCCAGAGGACATTGAGGAAGGGACTACCTTGGCAATGCAGGTTCGGGCTCGGCCTCTCGACACAGCTCAATTCCAGGAGGGTCCTGAATGTAAGAAGCAAAGATTGGTTGAGATGATACCGGCGGTCAATAATTCTGGTGAGAAAGTGGTGGAGGCAACCAGCCCTGACTGGTCCCAAAGGGATATATGAACATATTGGCTTGGAATTGTCGGGGATTAGGCTCTACCCTGACGATTCCCTCCCTCTTTAGAGCGGTGTGTCGGTTTTCGCCATCGATCCTGTGTTTAAGTGAGACCAAACGTGATGATGAGTTTGTAAATAAGAAGCTAAATAGATTAGGCTATCTAGTAGTTTGCTGTGTGCCTCCAGTAGGATTATTAGGGGGGTTGGTTTTAGCATGTACTAATTCAGTCCAGTGTAGTGTGTTAGGCAGGGATGATTTCTACATTTATGTTGAATTTCAGCACCTCGTTTGGGGGAACTTAGCTCTCTTCTTTGTTCATCTTAGTTCCATTGTAAATACTCATGCTCTTCAGTTTAATGAACTTCTACGTTTGATTTCGGATTGTGCCTCTCCTGTGATTATGTTGGGGGACTTTAACTGTGTGATTTTTGCCTCTGAGAAGCAGGGTGGCAGACCTCCTCCATTCTCGGTGATCGAACAATTCCAAGCATTCCTAGAAGATTCAGGGCTGCTGGATCTGGGGTTTAGTGGACCGCCTTTCACGTGGTCCAATCGCCAAGGGCTGGCCTCCCATATTCTAGAGCGTTTAGATAGGGGTTTAGGTTCTGAATTGTTCATTCAAGATTGGCCTAATGCCCAGATTTCTCATTTAACTGATCTTGGTTCTGATCACAGGATGCTCCTCCTTCAACTAACCCCTGGGGCAGGTAAAGGGAAAGGCAGGTTTCACTTTGATAGGCGATGGTCATCGAATGAGGAGGCACGAAGCATTATCACAACCTCGTGGCAGCCGGTCAGATCCGGGACTCCTCAGTTTCAGCTATTCTCAGCTCTGAAGGATGCGCGGCATCAGCTGGTAGACTGGGCGAGACAAGGCACCAGAAACTCGGCTCGCCTGATCTGTGAGCTCAGACTTGCCATTGAAACAGAGCGGGATCGGTTGGGTGTGGATTGGAGCGTCATTCAAGCACTTGAGAATCAATTAGCAGTTGCCTACCGCCAAGAAGAGATATTCTGGAAACAAAAGTCGAGAAATGGATGGTTGCAGGTGGGTGACTCTAATTCGAAATTCTTCCACATCACTATGAACCAGAGAAGGCGACAGAATTACATTGAATATTTACGGGATGATAATGGATTGGTTCTTGTTGACGAACATCCGAAAGGTGAAGTGGCTGTGTTTTATTTTCAATTGCTATTCTCTTCCAACGGAAACCATTTTCACTTCCTTGTGCATGCCTTAGGAATTGCTCCCAAAGTTACTGGCAGCCAGAATTCTTTCCTTTTAGACCAGGTTACCCACGAGGAGATTAAGAGAGCAGCTTTTGAGATTGGACCCTCGCAAGCCCCAGGATCAGATGGACTCACTGCGGCATTCTACCAATCCTATTGGGATGTAGTCGGTAATTCGGTTTGTGTGGCTGCTAGCTCATTTTTTAGATCAGCGCGCTTAATTCAAAATTTTAATCATACACTGCTGACCTTGATTCCCAAGATTCCCAGTGCAGATTCGATGAAGCAGATGCGACCTATAGGATTGTGCCAGGTGTTTTACAAAATAATTTCTAAGGTTTTATCTTCGAGATTGAGCCAGGTACTCCCCGATGTAGTCAGTGAGGCTCAAAACGGGTTTGTGAAAGGTAGGGATATCTCGGATAACATACTCATCGCCCAGGAGGTTATGCATTTTCTCAAAACGAAGACTCAAGGTAAAGAGAAGTGGATGGCTCTCAAACTGGACATGGAGAAAGCTTATGACCGAGTAGAGTGGGGATTCCTTTTCGGGGTAATGGAGGCTCTGGGATTTGACCCCGGCTGGATCAAGCTGATCAAGGCGTGTGTCACGTCGGTCACTTTCTCCGTACTGCTGAATGGGTACACCCACGGTTACTTCAGGCCTGAAAGGGGCCTCCGACAAGGTGATCCGATCTCCCCTCTCCTCTTTGCCATTTACACTGAAGCATTTTGTACCATGATTTCAAATGCACTTGACTCTCATCAGTTGCATGGGCTGAAAATTCATCGTTTTGCGCCGCTAACCTCGCATTTGCTGTTTGCTGATGATACTTATCTGTTCTTGCGAGCTTCTTCTGCGGAGTGTGTGCATCTGTTGCAGCTTCTTAGCCTGTATGAGGCGGCTAGTGGTCAAAAAATCAATCTACAGAAGCCAAAAGTTTGCTTTAGTGCAAATGTCACTTCCCAGGAGGCCTCGGATTTGGCTGCTTCATTAGGGATCGCCTCCATTGGAGAACTGGAGAGATACCTTGGGTTGCCAGCACAGATACACCGATCAAAGGTTCAAACTTTCCGGTTCCTGGAAGATGGGCTAAGCAAGCGGATTCAAGGCTGGAAGACGAAGTCCCTCTCGCTAGCTGGGAAAGAAGTTGTTATCAAAGTTGTCGGTTCGGCAACACCAGTGTACGCGATGCTCTCGTTCCGACTTCCATCTACCACCTGTCGTCGCATGAATGGACAGCTGTCACGGTTTTGGTGGGCAAGCCAAGACAAAGACAAGGGGATTCACTGGATATCTTGGCCGGCTATTTGCGTAAGTAAATATCGTGGGGGACTTGGGTTCCGGGATTTTGATTTGTTTAATGTTGCTATGTTGGCTAAACAGGCGTGGAAGCTGATGTCCT